TTTTTTGCAATTGAAATATGTACTGCGTATTATTATCAGAAATATTCTTGCATAACTTACAGTTTTTATAAATGCAAATTTATTTAAAAAAATTGTTATCTAGGATAACATTCAAAGCATTATTTGCACATTGTTTGTTTCCAATAAACTATTATCCTTTTCGCTAACGAATGATGCAATAATTCATTTATACTAACAAAAACTGAAATAAAATATTTTTCATTTTCTGCGCAATCCACAATGGAATCTATAGAATCTGTTCATGTTCACGAATACGTAATGAATATGACTAAAACAGTGGAGATGTTGGATGTGCACTTACTACGCGACAATAATCCGATGCCAAGACAAATTTGGCTAAGAAAATAGTCCGTAAACAAATACCATATCCGATGCTATATTTGGAAGTTGTTTTATCGGCGTGCATGAAGCGAAACACGTAATATCTTCAAGGATTCAAGGATTTGTTTGGTATCCCTTTTCATAGTATTTTTTCACGAGTTGTTTGTAGTTTATAAAAAGAAAAACGTCGTGAACTTGTGAATCTGCCAAATTATTTTGTTTTTTTCTTCTTCAGGGCAAGCAAAGTTAAATCGGTAATTTAAATATTGTCAATTGTAGTAGAAAGTGTTTAATAATATTTAATTATTTCTTAATACGAAATTAATTTAGTACTTTTTAACAACTACGCAATTAAAATTACATAGAATGGATGGATGTTGATAAAAACTTTGAAAAGTAGGTACATTTCGTACTGAATTTACGAATGTCGAACAAATGAATTATGTAAAAATAATTAACCAATGGCATGTACATGAATATCTCAATTATATAGTCACGACACCTTTACTTGCTACAAAACAAAATTAAACTCACTTTAATTCAGGGATTTCTCTGCCACAATTTGAGTTAAAATGATAATTAAGCTAAAAATTGATTCAGGAATGAATTCTTCATTATAATACAAGAAAAATATTATTGATTAATATATCATAACCTCAACTATTAAACTATCATTTTTATACCTCGTAAGGACACGGTAACTATGCCAGAAAATTAGTACTTGTAATGATGACATTGCTGTGGCCTATTGTAACTTATTACATCAAATGTGTGAGTTTGTAGTTTACGATTCACGGTCACCTGAAAATCCTCGCGTCCGCCATGTTGATGGATAGGAGTTTCACGTGTCGTCTATCGTCTCGTGCTGCTACTCGCACGCGCATACTTCATACTTACACGTTATATACTCACAAACCCACCTCCTAAATTATAATTCAGTTTTGTCTATAAATAACTGTTTGTCCGTTTTTATGATTCTCTTATTCTCAATGTTCCTAAAACCTCCAAATGCAACACGCAAGAAAATCTATACAGAAACGTTGCGTGAATTTATCATTTTTATTGCAGTTTTATATGCTTTTATGCTCTTGATAAGAAAACAATACGTTGCTGATATGTCGTATCACAATCCAATACGTCGAATATAATACAATTGCACTGATTTTAAATTAAATGATAACAAATTTAAAACAATGTGCCACTTTAATGAAAGTAATTCACACAAATGAGAAAAATATTAGCAAAAAGTGAATTTTATACCATTTTTGTGATTGTTTGATCACAAGGTTCTATTATGTATATCAATCGGGTTTTATTGTCGTTAAAAAAATTAAAAAAATGCTCGTTACTGATAATGTGCGACGATAAACGAAAACAAAAATGTTCTTTAATGAAAAACTTGACCTTTTAGGTAAAGTTATGCCTGAAGAAAAGAAAATTCCAACGAAATTTATACAAAGTGTATGTTAGAACAGTGTAATTAATTTATTTTGACCATAACGGACTTAATACTATATGAATGAAAAGGTCAAGCTACATGCTTCGATTGGCATTATGCATGCGCATTTTTATGGTTCAATTAAACGACGCTGCAGTATTTCCGACCGCTGTCGTTAATCTATTACTGTACATTAAATTTGTTATTATCGTCATAGCTACGTCAGCAAGGGCAGCAACGACCACAATTTAATTACATTTTGCATCACTATTCATCATCAGCAATTATTTTCCTTTATATCTCATTTAAGAAACAAAGCCAATCAAAAATATACAAATATACAAAAATATATAAATATACAGATACTGCATATTTTTGTTGGCAAGTGATTTTATTGTGTCGGTGGTTGTATATTGTTAAGGAAGTTTTCCATTTTCACTACGTACAATTAAACTCGAGTAAGTGTGTGCCGAGTTTTCAATGGAAGTCAAATCAATCGATGTTTCACGCGCACAATAGACATTATCAGAGTGTGTTTAATGTGCTTTTGAAAATTCAGGTATTGGTGTACGGGTATATAGGGTTAGAAAGAATAATTGCCTTGAAAGAAAATCGTTATCGAAGGAAACGTGTGTACAGAACAAAGTTTAATGTGGTTTTGGTGTTTTCATGTCAAGTATCTGATTATTTTCTGTTTTTCAAACAAATTTATTGTTTATTGTATATTACTAAAGATAAAAGTGATTTTAATTTATATTTTTGCATAATTTAATATTTAATTGATTTTTAAGTTGTTTTTGTAGCCCTGAAAGAAGACGCATACATTTTAAAGTTCCAATTTGTAATTTAAAACAATAATAACGCAAAATACATGATTCATTATTGTTTTACAACAGGTAGTCAAAGATAAATTTATATAAAGTAATAAAATCGTTAAATTGTACGCAATTTCATTATTAATAACTTTCTGTCTGATATTTTAAACATGCAAAATGTTTTCCCACTATAGTGACAAACAAAATATTAAAGATAAACATATAAAGATAATCTTTATGCTAGCCGAAGTATTATGTCCATAACTTATTCAGAAACTCGTAAATTTTTGCTTTCAGAGGTCCTCCAGCCATAACCATTAGGTACGCACAACATCAACCAAAGCAAGACGTAAAAAAGTGATTGGGAAATGAGGTTTGCTTAGTTCAGGAAAACATCGTAAACATTCCATTGGTCCATGGCGACCACTACAACTTAACTTATAGCCATACATCCATCAATAGCAATAAAAAAAGAAAAAACTTTCAACACGATACAAATACTAATGATTTATAGAAGAGTCAAAATGAATAAAAAGGTAAACGAGGCACAAATATTATTTCCATTGCATATAACTAGCGCTGAAATAAATAACCTCAAATTGTATCACGAGAGATGCTGAAAAAAAGTTAAGAAAAGCATGAATGTTGAGCGCGTGCCAAACATTTCAATTTTCTGATTCATGCAAAATACTACTAGCTGAGCTTTATTTTATTTAAAATCATTTAACGTCTAAATGTACGCCAACATCCCACAACTTCGCGCATATGTGCGTAACGATTACCGCGAAGTAAGAATAAACAAACAGAGCACTAAATTCATGCGTAAAAAAACACATTGCAAAATTGTCTCGTCAGAATCATTTAAGTCGTCATTTAAATCACAGGCAGAGATTATTAAATATTTTCCTGCTTGCGGAATATTCCCCACAACAACAAAACTATTTGGTCAAGTTACTATCTTGCAAATAACGTTTTCAACATGGCGACTATGTGGACACGATTAATATTGTTTTAATTAATTACGTTTAAAGACAATACGCGTGTTGTTCATAACATTGATTACGATCAACACAATGTGTGTATCTATGCGCTGATTGCGTCTTCAATTTGATTTCAACAATACAAAAACATCAATAAATAATATTTACTGATGCAACCCAATGTACACCAATGCATTTAACCAAAATTTTCTACTTTATGCATCAAAATGATTCACTAGTTTATGCCAAGGAAGTTTCGCCTATGTAAGCAGTATGTTCAAGTGTAATTAAACTCGAGGACAGTTAGAATGTGCCGTTTCCAATTCTCGAGTGCGAAAAAACTTTACCACTATCGAAGCGAAAATGGGGCTGTCGCGGTGATGGAGGTGACGCGCGCGGAACTCGACACGTGGAAAACTCGAGTCCTGCCGGAGTAGAGAGTAGTGGCCTTGTTCGTGTCTCAGATCTTGCGTTCTCAAGCATCCTGCGTCTTGCAGCAGCAGATTTCCCACCAGTGCTTTTCGTCTCCTTCCTAGATCTTATTCGTACACCTGAAACGGCCCTGATGATACGGTCGAGGGCACCCACGCCTCGTGGATGCCCTAAATATCACACACATTAAAAAAATCATTTTTAACCTAAAAACAGAGCTTTTGTGCGGTTGGCAGCCATTGTGATAGCTCTATGTTGAGGTTATGTTACTGGTTAATCTTTATGGTTTTGTTATCCTATGGGATTTTTGCAATTTATGCAAAAAATTATTTATATATAAATCAACAATTTATAATATAACGTATTTAATAGCGAGATGCAGCAAATGATCGATAGGAAGATAGAACGAGTGCGGGCTGAGCGGCGGCGAGTCCTGTTCGCCTGTGCTGCAAAAATAGGTCTCCAGGGTTATAATTGCGTGCAGCGACGGACGGGCGGTTGCTGTGACGCAATCGCAGGCCGGGACCAAAACAAACGGTTACCAGGAGCAACGCGCGTTCATGACGTCAACAGATGAAGCTGTGACGTCAGCAGGACGAGCGAATACGTGCCAAATAGTCGTTAAAACATACCTACAAACACGAATTGTATTTATATTTTATTACTGTTTTCCCGACTGTTTATGAAATATTAACACAAAGGTGCAATTAGAAAATCATTTCGACGCGGAAAAATACAGAAATATATTAAAATTTTTACTAAGGTTTTCTCTTTTCAGCTGGTGGTAGTTCAGGATTTGCGCCTGGCGATGATGCTCCGTGGTGTCTGGTTCGTGCGCGTGCAGCATCGCGGATTGCGAGCGCTGGCGGTGGCGGGTGGTGGTGAAGGGCGGCATGCGCGCGTACCACCATCGCCACCCGCCGCCTCGACGCTTTCGTTCGCCCGTGCGCTTCGCAGCCGGTACCGTTTCGCGTTCGGCGCTCGGCGCTCCGCCACACTCTCCGCAATTGTTATATATCGACGGCGTCGACTCGCTCAGCGTCACTGTGCTGTGTGCTGCTCCCGTGCGCTACTCGCGACCGTGTCAGTGAAAATAATTTGCTAGTCCATACTTTTATATTTTTCTACTTTTATAAAACATAATAATTATTACATATAAAGAAAATCCTAAATCATAGTTTGTTTATTTTTTTAATTCTTAAACAACCAAGACGCGCGCGCGACAGGAGAATCTTATTATCTACCAACAACAAAAACAACCAAACAACTAACTACTCAAAAAACATATTAAAAAACAACTACAACAACTACTTACATCAAATCTCGACGAGCTCGACCACCACACACAAAAATCACACCGGAATACTGGAAACCAGGGAGGATTATAAAAAAAAAACACATCAGACACACATACGACTTGTATTGTAAAAATTAATTGTTCAGTTCGAATTCGATGCCCTACATCAACTGAGTTTCAAACGTCTTACCAACTGGTGAGTAGGTTTTTATGAAATTTTTAGTTTTTGTGTAAAATTCAGGCGAAAACAATGTTTAATTAACCATAGACAGGATGTCATCATCTCATTTAATTTGGGCAAATTGTTGAATCGATTTTGATAGCTATCTTTATCAAGTAGCGCAGTAGTTCACACATGATTGCGATTCTGGTGTATCAATGGATCGTATGGAGTAAAACTGGTTTACGCGAACTTTGTCAGCTGATTAGGTTACGTTCGCATTATAACTACATACGCAAGCGTGTTTTTTGTGCGCTTTTTGCTCATTTTGGGTATATTATCAATATGTTTGCAAGTGTCGGATGGAAATGGAAATTTTCCAACGCGTACCACCTACTGACATACATATTACAGCACACGCCCGTCGCTGGCCCCCGTCTGTAGGTGTTATTTCATTCGCGCTGTTCGAATGCCGCGCCATGTTCCATTCCGATCCCATTTGAGGGTGGCTATTTTCGGCGCGTATTGATCTTTGATCGTCACGGAAAATGCTTTACGGCGACTAATACATCAGGTCGCCGGCTTTGCACGCGGTGAATTTCATGTTTGCGTGATGTGCAAATTGCAGTAATGCATAATTTAACGCAAATGCAGGCATCCAAGTTATTTCACCGCTGAAGAAGTCAATATATGGTTATATCTGAGCATGATCCACGTACTTTATGTTCTAGTGCGTGATGTGTCATATGTTACCAATGCTATCGATGGTGGTTGCTGTTTTATGCGTTCACCACGTACGTCAGCCACTTCAATAAAGTCGGCGTAAATATTTATTGCAAGTCGAATGGAAAGCGCGTTTTGTGCATGAATTCAATTTGCAGCCGGAGTGTGAGTTATTGAGGGCCAAGGCGAGGGCACAATAGTGGAAAATCAGGAATCAGCTGATAATAACAATATTATCAGCAAGCGCAATATCATGTGCAATGTCACATGCTCTTATCGCGTGCATTATTTCCACCCACGCACACCGTGGATAAGCAAAGGTGAAAAATATGTACTGGTTCAATGTCAGCTGTTTATGTGCTGGTATATTTTACTTAGCAACACAATAATTTTATTCACTTTTCATTCATTTTCGCGTGTTTTTAAATTTTTATTCGTAGCAAACCAATATTACACCTTGAATTATTTTATCATAGGATGAAAACATTTTAAAAAACGTAGTACAGTGTCAAGATTATTTATTATCTGATCATGTGTCTCTTTATTACGATGAAAAACATCATGCGTTGTGTGCGTACAGCAAATCTCAACAACTACCTGCACAACAACTACGAAATGCACAACATAACAATAAAATTAATTAATCACACAATACATAATTAATTAGTACATTCTCAAGGCTTTTATTTGAGTGGTTCTTGATGTATTGATTTTTTTTTTCTTATTTTTTGGTAGATTATTCTATAGATACTATTTTTACTACGTTCGTTTTCAAGAACACGTTTAATTTTAAACTTAGGTAATACCAGCAAACATCGAACATGTTCAAATAGCTATTATTATCGCTACGTGGCGAACGTGGCTCGTTGTTGATGTATTTATAAAATTTTGTTATTCTCACATTAAACGCGCGTTTGCCAATTGCACGTGACATTGGCTCGCCGTGCTCATGTTTCGCGTGCGATTTTCACGAAACGTTTAACTTCAAGAGCGCCGCAACGTCAATCTCTTAAAGTGCTTCTTTATTTGGTCATGCGGACACGTTGATGACTTCTCTCCGCTTTGTTTACTTGTTTTCATGGAATAACCTGTTTATAATATGTACATGACCGCAAAACATTATCTTATCAGTGTGTCATACACATTTTTCGTTGTTGTAAGTGTCATGCGTTCATATCCAGTTAGTTAATTTGCTTAAACGCATTCTAAGGGTATGAAAAGTAGTTGTGGATTGGCGTGCTCACCTTCATGCTCGTCGATTTGCCAAAAACTTCATTCGGACACATCGGCGAGCTCCACACGTCGCGTTGGAAGCGTCTTTTAAATTTGGAAGCGACACAGATCGCTCTATTTATATTTGTATGTATTTATACGCGCAACATATCGAGATGCATGCATATAACATATTTTCCCAGATAAATGTGTGGTCGATGCAATAGTAACACCACTTTCATCATCGACAATGCGATGACAGGCAACGCCTGTCACCAAACTGATATTTTGGTGTTTTAGGCGATTAGATTGCAGAGAATTAGATTGGGATCATATTACATTGTGATATGATTCACTAATTATCAATTTATTCCATATCTTCCAAAATGATTAATAGCCATGTGTCATTATTACGCTACCAAATGGTGGAGGCGCCTCATGTGGTAATATTATATCTAAAACTCAGAAACTTTGCATTATTTATGCTTATTTACTACAAAATAAATAAAAATTAGTATATTGTAGGTATTATGCGGTTATGGCGCCTAGAAATTTACAACTTTGCACATAAATTTATTTTTCCAACATGTGACGACGTATATTTTTACGGCGCATATCACTAAATACATATAAATGTGTTTTACGCTCATCTACATGTGTTGCTTGCGTGATTTGCATTCAACTTACACGTCGTTACATTGTTTCTTTTCAAACTCACACCGAGCACACCAACATTTGTTTATCAGGTGCGCACGAATGGTGCGAAAATTTGGAAAAACTAGATTACACTCACAACGAGCCGTGCACAAGGTGAATGAATTATACTAATTGCGAGGTAGCGTGACTACTTTTTCGACTATTACTACAATAACAACTCGAACAACCTACTACCCCAGTCCCTAAATGCGATTAGAAATAAAACATAATTAACTTGCTTTTATTTAGTTCCAGCATTGTGATAAATCAATAATACGAAAATATGTCATGGTTGGAGTGGATTAAAAGGCACAATAAAACTTGAATTGGCGAAAATCTACTATCTAGACAGTGAAAATGTTTTTCTTTGTTGGATCGAGAATATAAACTTGCGTCGGCCTTGACTGTATTGATTTTTGTGGAGTGCTCGTTTAATTCTTCTCTTTTGTTGAAAATATTTCGGGCCTTTTACATTCCAACATGTGCAACAGCACAAAACAAATTTATTTTTATATATTAAATCACGAAATCCTCCATAAGCCATTTTCACGTTATGAATAAATTCATAGGAAAAAGATGAAGATGTTCAGTGTAAAAATAGCTTGTTATTTTCATAGAAAGTGTGTAATTTGCCTCGAATCATGAAAATAGCAGATTTATCCGCATTTTTCAGACGTGCGCGTTTACATTTCTGTGAGAATTCCACGCGGCGCATGCTCAACATATTCCCACACTAAAAATACCCGAAAAAACTGTGCACGCCATTTGTTGTTACTACTATGAATGAGATGAGATGGGTTACACTGTTTACAATTCCAGCACAAAAAAAACGCGATGTTTGGTATTCTGATGGTCATACAAACACATTACATCGTTCAAACATACACACATGCAAAAAAAAAACTAACAACACACGTCTGTGCGCTGGTATATTTTTTCGCTTGCGACGCTTAATCAATTCGCGTTGATTACAAGCATTTATTTGTATTACAATTATTGTTTCGTTAATTGCACGCGTATTACGTGCATGAATCGCTTGTTTACTATTTGGATATATCAATCGATTTCGTAATCATTTCGACGAATGAAGTCTTTAGTAATGACGATTACATAATGTCACAAAAAGAATACAACCCACAGTGCAGTATTATTACAACTTCAATAAATAGTTGAATGAAAAGTCAATCTGCGTAAATTGGTATCATTAAAATCTTTTTGTGTTTTGTTTGGTTATAAAATTACTTCTACTGACATGACGCGGTGCATAATGTAGCAGAAGTTGCCGATGGTGAATTAGTGAACGCAGCGCCACCTAAAACGCTTTTCTAGTTATTTCCAAGTTATTTTCAAATAAGTTCAAGTTCATAATAATTCACACCGGTACAACGCGCATTAATTACCAATTGAAACTCGCTGGTTGCAGTTGTAGACAATTGCTTTGTACATGTATCGATTCGGACGAGCATTGTGTCTGGTAAACATGATGTTACTACACTGTTAAAACGATGCACGAGCATCGCAATGATAATCTCCTACAAATTACTAGCGCACACACATTGCTGGAACTGGAAGCGTCCAACGTGAAGCAAGGTCGTCACTTCATTACGTCGTAGTTACATCACACAGCAGCGCTGCACGTGCGGGTGCGCAGATCCACCCACACATGTGTAATAGACCTGCGTGCATTATAATAAAACACGTGAACTGTATTAAATCGAAATATAGAAAAATAGCATCCAGACGTGATTCCAGTGTTATTTTATTACCCAAACAATGAAATACAATAATTTTTGTAAAAATGTTATTTATCCTGATAAAACAAGAATAAAATATCGATTTGAACAAATAGAAAATCAAAGCGTTAACATAACTAAGCAAACAAATGCAATAAATATCGTCGCGGTGCTCTAGTTGTCGTCGTCGTTCGCCGTGATACAATTTTCGATATTTTTTCTTTTCGCATTGTATGCCACGGCCTTTTCTTGAATAATAAACCGCTGTAAATAGGACATTTTTGCTGCCAGTCGATAAATAAATTAACCGGGCATGCAGCTCTATTGTGGTTAGAAACCGATTTTTCTGTGCGCGTTTGGTGACACGAGAGTGAGCGTTAGATTGATGGAAATAACAATCGCTGCTTGCTCTGGTGCACATACACATTTTTATTTCATTGATTCGGTTTGCGTGGCTTAAAAGTTGAACCAGTTAAATAGGTTGTGCTACGCCATGATGTTTATAAATTATCAATGCTTGGCTTGATAAGTGACGTCACTATTAGTTATACGTTGTGAACGTATAGATAAGATAACGATTTGTAACCAAATTTTACTTCTGTGTATGTGGCGGAACGCTGCTTGTTTTATTTTATGATATTTTATTATTAAATATATCGTATAACATCTGTTTATCTATTGCTTAACGGTTTTAACTCATTTGCGTCGCATTTAAGCGTGATTTTCCAGGTGGTTTCGTACAATTTGCAATTGTGCATTATTTTCGACGCTTGGCGAATAAAACGCACAATTTTCCGCTCGAATTAATATATAACTTTACCTCTTGAGTAATGAATCTCGCAGAGATAATCTAAATTTGTGCAATGGAATTAAAAAAGTTTTGCACAAAGCAAAAAAATTGAACTAATTTGTTAATTAGTTTAGATCGAAGTGAAGCGCCTGAGGTGTGCGTTTAACACGATAAAAAGTTTGCCATTTTTGGCACCGTCACAAAATGTTACAATGAGGCAATTGGGCACTTCATGGCGGAATAACTGATGTGAACATTTGTACTGCGCCATTTTCAACATGTTTCCATGCTAATGCATGAGGCAAATATTCGGAATTATTTAGAGCAACTAAGCACACATTACTAGACATCTAAATTATTCTGACTTAGAATTTTGAGCGCAAAAGCACGAAATTAAATGGGTCATTTAAAATATTCATGGTATGCACACTTAAATCTATGTTTTTCGTGCAAAACGTAAGTTCTTTAGAAGTTTTTAGTAATCTCCCCTGCTTTCGATGTAATACTGGGCCGGTAATGGCGGCAGTTCAACGGATTTATTAGAAACGATTAGTCGAAACAAATTGGAGCACTGGAACACAGTAGCATTGCTGCAATGGCTCAACATCCTTTACTATTTATTATGCTTTAATGCATTTAACAGTACAATCGCAATGAGTTCAAATGCTATTGTCTGTTTGAGCTCAATAACCGACTCCGAACGCTTCGAAAACGACTCGAACTAAACCCGAAAATATAAAAATTCGCACATTTAATGATTAATTATCGAAACGGCTGCTTTTGATTGTGACTAATTTATACTTTTATAAATAGATCCTTTCATTTCCACAACACCTCGACGTTGAATACGAAAACTTCGCTGTGAATAACCAATCATGAAAAAAATAGAAACGAAGCGCGTGTTGAGCACAATATGCCAACACAGTAATAATTACCGACTAATAGAAAAGATGGAATTTATCCCCTTGACGATTGTCGCTTTGGCAATCGCTTGTTTTGATCTTTAATTATACACATCCGTTTTGTTCGCCATGACGTAATCGTAGACATCACGACTGCGCACATCGATAGAATTCAGCATTTTACTACGTTTTAAAAAAGAGCTCGTAAAATGCTCGTGTTTCACGCGCCGCGACGCTATAAATAAAAAATGACTTTCGACTTGCTATGGAATCAGCTGTTATAACCGGGCTGGCACTGCCACCACATTAACTTTACTTTTACCATGCGATGTAATATTAGTTGAGGGCTATAATATAAGTGCTGATAAACCGCATTTCGTGCGCTTATTTATCCCAATCATAAAATGGTGGTTAGAGGTAAGAGGTAAGCAGAAAACTCAAGTGAATGGTCTGAAACGGGGTCGTCGCTGGCTGTGTGTCTGCAGGATCGATCCGGTGTTGTTCAGTATCATTTCGTGAAAGCGCCGCGCATGCAAATGTAATTTCAGGCCTTTGAGGCACAGCGTGGGCCGCCCAATTTGTTACCGACGACACAAAGGGCTCCGGCGAAGTGTATGTTTCTTTGATTTCATGTCGCGCAAGTACCTAAATCTATTGAAGCAATGAAGCGATATATTTTAATGCTTGAATTATGAAAATTAATAGCAGTAGAGTTTTTTGCCAATTTGGGCTCCACTACAAGGACAAGGTCTTAGAATTTGGACCCTACTTGAAGTTGCCAAGTTTTTGCATGAATAGTCATAAATTTTATCGTTGAAGATTAATTCCATCTGAAGATAATTAATATGAAGTATGTTTGTACTGAAAAAAAGTGTATTAACACCCTATTTTTAGGTGCCAAGAATGTCGAAATTCGTAATATAAAATATAAAATACCTACCCAAACACATTAGTAAAATTGCTTTCAAAGTGTCTAAATTCATTTGAACAAATATAATTATTTGTATTTTTGGGCACTTGGGTTTATTGTAATGTTGAAACCCATAAATGCGTTCATTTAAATATAAATGTATGAATAAATAAAAAACGTTGTTTTTGTTTTTTGTAAGTATTAGCTATGAACGCATTAATAACGTATGTGTTTGCATAATAAGCGCCGTCGAAATACGCACAACGTGTTTGCCAACATTGTCGTGTATTTTTATTTCGCCGCCGCGGAAACCTCTGCGTGCTGTCGGTGTTTGTTTGAATAACTTAACGTAAATTAATGATAAGGGCCATTGAGCATCCAAGGCTTTACTTTTTCATACTTGTTATATAATCAATAACACACAGTAGCAACTAAGTGACAAAAGCAAACAGTAACAGTCCAAAAATGGAGATTTAGGAAATAGGCAACCGAATGCACAAAGAAACTATCAGCCATCTTGAAATGGCATTCATTCACAATGTTTAGCAACATTTCAGCATGAAACAAGCTTTAATTATGTTCAACTGCATAAATTAGAGGTAGTAGAATGTGTAAAACTTTGATGAATTTTCTAAATTGTGTACAAGCACGACAGCACATTTGCATTTTGGTTCAGGAACGTTTTGTCACGCGTTTAGAATACAATTAGTAACAGAAGTGGCAATTTTAATTCCCAACACATGTCGCATTTGTTTTTGTGCGTCTCAATCATAAAATCCCATATATTCTAATTGGATTGTGTTTTATTTTTACATTATCGATCGTCATGAAAACAACTTACTCCCTTGCAGTCTAAAATTATCTACAATTGCTCTTTTGTTTTCCACCTCGCGTTCAATGTTGCTCATACACGTTAAATAAATGTATATACCTTTGAACATTAGTTTATAATTATGCAAACGACTGATAAAGTAACCTATAGGTAGATACATTGTAATTGGCTTGTGTGCACTTTATGAGTTCTATTTTCCGACGCGCATATGAAAACAAATGTCTCCCGTTTGCGACACGTGTGTTAAATCCATCACATAATAAGTACACTCGTGTGGCAGCAGCAGGTTTTCACCCTCCGCTACCCGATGATTGCATTTTTATAACACCTTGACCTGTATTTATCCTTTGTTCTTGGGTTTTATCACTGACAGCGGTGGATCTTTTCATGTAATAAAAAATAACGCCGCAGTTAAAATATGTCATGCCTACTATTTTATTGAATTATTTTTAGCAAGTGTGAAATTTTAAAGTAGGTTTAATTCAATTAGTGGACGTGTGTAAATACATAAACGACTGCATATATTTATGTAACGCGACATGATACCTCGTACGCGTACAATGTGGACGACCTATTTTCTTGAGCAAACTGTTCTTTATTTCTTATTGGCATTAAACGTCATACACATTACACATTGCGACATTTTATTTATGAACCTACATACCATACCTACTTGATTTCTATTTGTTTTTCACGTTTTTTTCAAGAATGTTGAGATTTTACCGTTGCCAAAAATATTCTAATATGGAAAGGTGGAGACAACATTTGGTGATTCATGTTTCACGTGCCAAAAATGTCATAACAATCGTTGCGTAGTCCAAAAACACGACGCCATGTTCTTTTTTAACTTGTTTGGGTCCTGAAACAAAAGTACAACAAAATTAAAGATAAAATTTCAATTATGAGAGTAGATGATAATTTATTACTGAGTATACGTGACAGGAACATATTAACGCAACATGAAATATTACAGGTTTCATTTGTGAGTCATAGGGTGGAAAAATAACAGCGCCATCTTTAATGATCCATTTACGATTTCTATTTTTACGTAATTAATTAAATGTTCTCGGATATCTGAAGCTCGGTTTAAAATGTTGAGCGTATTGATCCGTGTCGGCTCGTAACGTAATGAGAAAAAGTTACCTTGACATTGGCCACGTGCGTACCGAGTTTTAATCACAGTGCAATGGCGGGACGTGCATAGCAATTGCCAATTTTGTTTTTGTTTATTTTGTGCGTTTACGATTGCCCCTAAAATAAGATGTAAAATTTGGGCGGCTTGCGGGCAGGTCGGACGCGACGTAAATTCGTCCTAGAATCGCACGAAACGCTTTTGGCGTCGAGCTTTGGGTGTGACCCAGTTTCGTGTTCCCCGCGCGAGAGCTCGTGCTCTGGTTGAATAATGGGCAAGTAGGGTAGGAGAGTAGAAAGAGAGGCTGGCGGAGAGTGGAGCGCAAAACCGGCGCGGGCGTATATTGATCGCGAAGAATCTCGCGAACTCGGCGAACACAATGCACTTATCATCGCCTACGCCGACTGCCAGAGAGTGAGCACAAACTGCACACGAATTCGATAAAAAATAAACATGTCCTGCATTCTTTCCCCCCTGATGATTTTTCTATATATCTTAAGAATATATTCAGTTGTGTCTGGAGAAAATACTGACTGGTTTTCTCGTTTGGTTTCAGAGCACGTATATTGTTTAGATTCATCGCAAACATTTCGCTAAAAACGAAAAACGTTTGTTCGTCTTCAAATCGCCGCCATCAACACGGGGGCATCCGGAGCGCATGCAACAGGAGTAAAGAATTCGTCGACAAGGATCGTCAAATAAGCAGCGGCAACGTGGAGGGAGCACGAAGACAAGCCGGCAAAATTGATCCGTTCAATCAATTGCGTTACCGCCATCAATCAGCCACGAACGATAATCACCTGATAAGAGTTACAAAACACGAAGCCAAAATGCATATTGAAGTGCAAGTTGCATTGAACTTCGTCATCTCGTACCTGTACAATAAGCTGCCCCGACGTCGAGTGAACATCTTCGGGGAGGAGCTTGAGAAAGCCCTGAAGGACAAGTTTCAAGGGCATTGGTATCCTGACAAGCCGTTCAAGGGATCCGCGTTCCGTTGTCTGAAAACCGGAGATCCGATCGATAAGGTGCTGGAGCGTGCGGCGCGCGAGAGCGGCGTACCTATTCAGGATATTCTCGAGAATCTCCCACAGGAGTTGGCCGTATGGGTGGATCCCGGAGAGGTGAGCTACCGTATTGGCGAGAAAGGTGCCGTGAAGATCCTCTTCAGTGAAAAGGCTGACCCGCAGGATGAACACTCGGCGGACAGGGAAGTCACCAAGACTTTCAATCCGGAGGCACAGTGTTTCCGGCCGATCGAATCGGTTGGTTGTAGCCTCAGTAATCTGACCCTGTCGCCCAAATCGGTGACACCGTTCGCCAGCAATCAGCCGCAACAACCCCCGGTGGGCACGCAGATGCCGCCCCCAATGCAGACCAACAATCTCAACCCGCAGAATGCTTCGAACCAAGCCATGAACCCCATCTCACCATCAACGGCACCCTCGCCTACCTCGATGGGCAACTCGTTCAAAGGCTCGCCTTCGCCTGTGCCAGCGTTCATTCCTCGAACCACCACGCCGTTGACGTTTACGACGGCTACATTTGCGCAGACGAAATTTGGCAGTACCAAACTTAAGACAAACAGTAAACGAGCCAACAGGTACGTTATTATATTGAGGAGCGAATTTTGGGCTGAGTTGTAATTGTTTAATTTGATATTCCAGAATGTCTCCGACCGAGTTCAGCAATTACATCAAACAACGCGCGATGCAACAGCAGATTCATCAGCAGCCACCGCACCACTCGCCCAACGGACGCGCCATCTCACCAGACCCATCTTACTACTACGGTCACGGCCCATACGGCCCCCAGTTCCCACCGCGCTCCATGTTTGAGTCTTCCAACCAGTTCCTCAGCCCCGATCTCTACCCGGGCAAGTTGCAGTTCGAAGCCCCAGCCGTCGGCCCGTTCTACCAAAACAATGCGCCGGTGGGCGCCGCCAATCAGCCGAGCGGCCAAAACGCGCCGCAGGACAACGGCAAACTGATGGACAACAACTGGCCGTACCCTGCCAGTGGCCAATATCAACATCTTCTCGTTGCTAACTGATGCAACTAAAGGTGCTTAATGAATAAACGACAAACCAAAACACACGCTAGCATGAAATATATACGCTGAAACAAAATCTCTTAAGTTACTTATTTACGCCATTGACGAGGGAACCAAGATTAAGCAAAGCATATTCGCCCACTTTAATATTTTTTATTATGAGTAACATAATAAGTGATCTTAAAATTTACTTCCTAGTGAGCATAATTTATTAGGTCGAAATCCTTTCAACGCTGGCGTTAATTTCGACTTTATTTATTAAAATATAAATTATTTTTGTATGTTCAATCGATTTATTATAACTGTGTATAGGCGTTAAGGGCCGCAATCTGGCTCAATCTAATTGATAGCACGTTATCGGAAATATTAAAGTGGGGCGCACGCAGAATACATCTGAACTGTTAAGATTGTAACGAAATAAGCACGGTGATGATACAATTGAAGGAAGCAAATCTGACTATGCAAAAAATACCCTTAATAAACATTAAAAGAAGATAAAAAGATATAATGAATATAATTTTTTACAAAAAAAAATGAAGATAAAAAGTAAAACGCTAACAACTGTAGATAAAATTAGATAATTATTATTCGTCGTCTGATGAACTATAAAAGGAATAATTGATTATAATAATAAAAAAGTAAATGTTAGTTTTTCAATTTCATATTACCATACATAGAATATACGATTATATTAATATATAAAGCAAAGGAAACAAAAAATAGGAAATATTTAATTTTGTTTCTGAGAAATCTTATTTAACTTACGAATAATTTGTACTATATATATAAATATATATAGAAATGAAGTGAAGTGTAATGAAATTTAAAGAAAACAAAAAATGGTGTTTAAATGTTTACAGTATTCTTGTAGATTTTAGAGTGTTTTCTAAATTTTTATATATATTATATATACATAAATGTGTATAAATAATACTGTACATGTATTTTTTATTTTTTATATCGAAGATGAAAATAATAAGAAGAAACAAGCTCAAGCTGTCATCTAGTCCCCCGATATTTCTATAATAATGTAATTTTTCATATGAGAGCGTGAAACACGAAGAAGTAAAAGTCAAACATTGCTGAGATGAAAAAGATGCCCGTACAAGAATCTAAAAATATTTACATGTTATTATAATTATTATTGAGTTTATTCCAACTCAACTCTCTCGATGGAAGTTGACTAATACTACGTAAAAGCTAGATGAGCAAATCGAAAAACTCCTTCAAAAGTGAACACAGCTGGAACACTATTAGTTGATTGATTGATTGATTTTGATACTGATTCTACTTGATAGTTGTAGGCATGTGTCCGTAGGGAAACAAATTTCAATAACAATATATGAGGAAAATGAATTGAATGATAATTATAATGATACAATAATCACGTTTTTCTAAGTGTTTGCATATCATAAAAGTAACGGAATGTAATAAGCTGTTGAATATAGGATAACCAAACCAAGCCATCTCTGAAAGTATAAACTACGTTTAGACCAAGTGAATTTGATTCTATTCGTAGGGTTTAGCCGTTTTAGTCAAACTATGCGAATTTAAGGCGTTTAAGCAACTAAGGAAGTCGTTTGTTTCAATTTATGTTCTAAGACCAATTCTGTTCCTAGATGTTTTTGATTGGTGTAGACTACATACTACAATGATAATGCCCATCACGTCTTAAACCCGTACACAAGTACAAGTACAACTACACACACGACTTGAATCTTCTTTCTATGTGGAGATATACTATTGCTATATGATTGTTATTACTTTAAACAAAATGAACTATTAAATCGTTGTTACAGTATGATTTATGTTATTACTGCGAAAATGTTATTGTGATTTTAGCGAACCACCAGTACCAAAATTTTCGATTTAGTTACATTTTTTTATGTTTTTATTGTTTGTATTTCTTAATATTGATAATTATATATTTGAATACAATACTTTTAAGCGTTCTTTGATTTATTGTTCTTATCTCTGCGCGCGCGAGCATCAATTGATGCTTTAAGTCGAGTTTATGAATGGAGAATGGAGGTCAATGAAGCTCAATAAGTCAGTATATAATCTGTGACACTTGCGAATTACAATAATGCAGTCGGCAGTACCTGAATACAGAGCAGCTGATAGCGGACGAAGATAAATGGCTAACAAACGCAACACAATACAATGGTTTTAAGTCATTATTGACGACATTTTTGGGTACCTGAACGCACCAACTAAAATCGTTCACTGAAATGACTTCCGGACAAGTTTTCTCGTATTATTCTTACACAACTAAGATCTAACTATCATTATTGTTAACATAACGCTTAACTTAACAAACTATACCATGTTACCATGCAAATTGTACTCGTACAACCCAAGACCCTTTTACACGTGATACAAAAACTTATTTTTTTAAGCTTTTTTAAATACTACATAACGCTAATGTCACTAATGTGTAATCAACAAAATGAACAAGTAACAAATTAGAAACAAAGTACAATGGGTGCTTTTGTAAGATAGTCCAAGAAAATGGAATTTACAAAATAGATGAAATTGATTCATTTACGCTTAAATCACACAATTTATGTTGAACTTTAATTGCGCACACGACAAAAACTACAAAAAAAAAACATCATTTCGACTCGTAAATATCAGCGTAAGTCATCAGACGTAATGTTAATCAAATATTGTCAACGATATTAGTGTTGTTAAAGAAAAACGTACCTACCTGTCACGTATTAAAAACCTAAGCGTAATTCCAAGCAAAAAAAACTTTAATCAGTTACCAATTAAAGTAATCGGGCAGTGGTAGTGTATTTTCATCACACACACAAGATCCAACATGATGGAAAGCACTTACTGTCCGATCGCTAGCTACACAATGTACATGAGATAATTAATTAATAATATTCTCCGCACACGGAGAGAAATTAAGTGGAAAACAAAGAGAAACCAATAGGATACTATAACATACAAAGAAAGATTACTAAACTAAGGAATACATGGAATAGTGTACTCAATTATTTTATATACTTGCTTCGAAAATAAACTTTAGCATTTTACTAATGAAACTAATTAATCGGTAATATAACAAATACATACAAGCATGTAACGAATACAAAAATGTAATAGCCATTATATAATTAACAACTTAGCGAGAAAAATGAAAAGGATTTGGGAAAATTTGAATCAAGGGTTGTAAATTTAGACGTTGTTAATGAAATTAATAAATATGTCTGTCTAAAGCATTGTTGGTCTCGATTGACATCAAGAAGAAGAATGCCGTAGATGCGTAATTATTGTACATGTGAAATTTATTACGTACATATATAATTCTATAATTGTAATATCTGGTTGTAGTAGTTAAATATGGAATTAGCTATTTATAAAAATAATAATGCCTAGTTATTGACTTGTTTAGTTCTTAAACGAATACGTTGTTTATTCTTCAAATTTCAATGTTTTAAATGTCATCGCAGGCAATATTAATATTTAAACAATGAGAAAAACACGTTCGTAGAAAAACAGGTTCAAATAGCTCAAGACTTAAGCCAAAATGTTGTGTTAATATTTTTGTAACTTACTTCAGACGCACTTAACAACTTCCAACTTCCAGAATTCGTCAGAATTGCGCAATATCAATACGATATTCTATATTTAATTACACAAAGCCAGGCAAATAGCGACAACGGACTCGTTGCCTGCGGCTTTTCACAAGTTCGCCGAAAAGCGCGCAGCAATGTACATATACAATCAATGTGATGAAATCATTCGCAGCAATGATTTAAATACCGCGATAGGTTTTAGGTGGACCTGGCCTATTCGTCTAATATGTCACTATCTGTGTTAGTTTGTTATATCTGTTATATAAAAACAAAACAAAACAAATAATATGTACTCGATGCATTCTATATCTTATATATTTGTAACTAATTGTAGTTTATACGTATTACTTTATACATATATTGATTATATAGTGATACGGAATGAAATGAGAAAGCAAATTGAGATGTTCCATCCCGTTATCATATTCGATATACTGAATACTGGAACGTAAATATTGATGAGCACTTCTGAGTCAGGTAAACTGTGTACTAACATCTTTCTATCTGTGTATAAATACGTAAAATATAATTTTACATATTGTTGTACAATTTTTAAGTTTATATTAAAATGTTTGTGCATTTATATATTGATTCTTGTTATTTTATCCCAATTTTGTCATTTGCAGAGAGTTTTGAAAGTAATCATCTGTTAGGAATTACAATATATGTAACCAAAGTTGCCTAGAAACCGTTTAATATAATTTGTAATTGTTCCTAACCATGTTCCACAACTTCCGTGGAAGATTTTGCTATTGTCTAATATTGTTCTATAATATAACTAGCATGTGCCTGTGAATCATAGATCTATACATCTATTTTAATTACAGCATCTATCTTTGAACCGTGTTACAATTAGATTTGCATGAGTCTGACGCTTCATTTGGCAAAAGCAGTCTTGATTAATCTCAACGCGTCTCATTAACACTTTAAATCACGTTCAGCCTAGTAGATTCTAACAAAATGGAGGGTTGGGGTACGTTGGATATTAGTAGTGCTTACGTACGTGATGAAATCACTCAAATGAGCTTTCGACGTCCAAAAAGAATAGTAAGTTATCTAAAATGTTAGTTTTGTTGAATGTTTGAATTTGCCGCCGCATTTCTGCGGCATCTGGGATTACTTCAAGTCAGAATAAGTTTGTTAGTGAAAAGCGGGGCGTCGTTTAAGTTATTTTAAGCCATTTCTGGGTACTTAGAAGCATTCGGAGCGCGCCGCGTTCCGTACGTCCGTAGAATAGTTTCAGCTCTCTTTTTGTGCGAAGCTAGCGGATTGATTTGTAATTGAAAAGTGTAAGCGCATTATTTCAAAATGGAGGGCGACATTTGGGGTCAAATGGCTATTGAAGCCAATCAAATGTACCTGGACGATGGTAGTTCATCGCCGTTTGCCGGCACGGTAAATACGCTCGCCTTTCACACCGTTTTAATTAGATATTTAGCCAGGAGCTGAATTTATTTTTATCATACTTGAGTTTTAAGTTTTTCACATTATAACATAGGCAACCAAACGAATATTATATCGATGTTTTGTTTACAGACAATTGAAAAGCTACCAGATAAAGTTCTACTAAACATCTTTTCGTATTTAAGTCACCGGGAGATTTCTGGCTTAGCAACCATTTGTAAAAAATGGCGTCTTGTTGCATACGACAGTCGTTTATGGAAGTATGTTTCTCTGCGACCGGAAATCTCTGGCCTTCATGTTGGATCTTTAGAATCGTTGCTTGCATTGGTTTCTGTTCGATTTGGACCTTCTTTGCGGTACATTGAGCTACCAATCGAATTGATCACAGCTACAGTACTTCATGAATTGGCTAATAAATGTCCCAACTTGACACATATGTTGTTGGACTTTTCTACCGCCATGCAACTTCATGACTTTTCTGAACTACAAGCTTTTCCTACCAAATTAAAGTATTTGTGTATCTGTTTGTCGGAAGTCATCTTCATGGAAGGTTTCATGAGAAAAATCTACAACTTTATCAATGGTTTGGAAATATTACACCTTCTTGGTACCTACGAAAAAGTTGAAGAAGAAGAGGAAGAAATCTATGAAGTTATTAATGTGCATAAGATGAAAAGCGCAACGCCCAACTTGAGAGTTATCAATCTGTACGGGATTAACTTTGTTGATGACAGCCATATTGATGCCTTTGGTTCCAATTGCATTCAGGTAACGTATAATCAACTTCAACATAACCTATTTTAAGGAAATTTTCTATTCCTGATATTTTCGTATAGTTGGAATGTTTGGCTGTTAATTTCTGCGCTAAAGTAAACGGATCTTGTATGAAGACTCTTTTTCAACGTAACAGAAGACTTAAGTGCCTGCTAATGAACGGTACCAGTAAGTATCAAGTTGAAATTCTAAGTAACTTTTAAATCTATTTAGGGGAAAGGGGGGCAAAGTGGGCCCCAAAAGCAAAAAAAGGGAATTTGTTTACATTTTTTCACTCGTTACACTATTTTTTACATTCTAGTTCAGTATTTAATATTAATAAGCCGTGTCTATCAAAATAAAAAAAAATTCAGAATATGGGACAAAGTGGGCCCCCACCCATAAAAATTTTGCTATTACCTTTGTAATTTTTTGCTTATATTATTTTCTTTTTTCATATCTTACTTCGAATTTGTTGTGTATAAGTTGTCCTTGCAACTTCATCTTATTTATCCAAAATTTTAGGGGGCCTACTTTTCCCCTCAATTTTTTAAGCCTCCTGAATTTCAGGGAGCCCACTTTGCCCCCAGGGGCCCACTTTGCCCCCCCTTCCCCTATACTATTTATATAACATAATTTAAGGTTTGCAAAGTGAACACCTCATGCAAGTTGAATGGGAAAAGTGTTCTCTGCAAGAGTTCGACATTACTGCAACTGACTTAAGTACAGAGTGTCTCATTGACATGTTGACAAGACATCCAGGTTTGAGATTCTTTAGTGCTGGACAACTGAATGGCATGAATGATTCTGTGTTAAAAGCTTGGATGGAACAAGGAAATCCTAAAAATCTTGTAAATATTCTGTTTTTATTCTATATTTTTGTTTATTGAAGATTTGTAATTGAATAATAGGTGGCGTTAGATTTGGATAGCTCTGATAATTTAACAGATGACGCCCTGTATAAGTTTTTGTCCAAACATGGAAGTCAATTGTGGGGATTGGGTCTTTCTGGAATGGCGCATATCACAGATTCTCTATGGCAGTCAATTTTACCCATCTTAAAGAATGCTAAGTTAGTTTTTAGTTGGTTGAGTATATAATAATTACTAAATGTAACTTTTATCTTAGAATATTCATAATGGGTACTCAAGAACGTCTCATTGGTAACATCTTAGTAGATCAACTAATGGAAAGCATTTCCAATAATTGTCCCTTAATGGAACGTATTGAATTACGTTGGGACCCGGAGAACTTACGTTTCTCTGATAAGAGTCAAAAAGCGATTGACACCATGCGTGTGAAATGTTTAAAATTGAAAGCATTAGTACTCACGTAAGCATCATTTACTGCACTTAGTTTTTGTATTAAATGTTTATTTTCTTATACATTTATTCCTTGTAGGGATGGGCGTTATTATGAAATTGTCAAAGCTAATTTTGAACGTGCTGACAGGATGACAGTGGTGCGAACATTGACCAATTGCCGAGTATCGAACTACTATTTATTGCAAAATTATAAGGAGTTTTTCTTTAATTAACATTTTCAATACATACTTAACATTAACATTTAGCCCTTTGCTTTAAATGAATGTTTAATTTAATACTATATATATATGTATATTTCTAATGGAAGGCACAGGTGATGACAAATAAATTTACGATCAAATATCGGATTTTTTATTTATATATTTTGTTATAGTCTAAGAGCCCGTGATGGCCCGACTTTCGTCATTTTAGAAAAGATGAAAATATTTCTATCTATTTACTCAACACAGCTAAGAACGATCCCCAATAATGAAACCTGGATAGTTAACAGCCAACAAAGATGTACCAATTATCATGTCAAATTCGTTATTTTAGCAAACTCCATTTTCGCATATTTTATTCGTAACATTATTATAACATGCGCTATATATATATATATATATATATATATATATATAAAAAGTGTGGCGTACATGAGAATTTTCATATATATTTTATATATAAGTACGCCACACTTTTTGAAACGCTTTGTATTTTCTGGAAGTACAATAAAGAATTCTCAGATGGCGCAACGATGCATGTTTTAACAAAAAATATTCCTGCGAGTGAAAGTCGACGTGACCAGTTGTGACGTCGCACGCAGACAGCTGTTACTTCGTGCGGCAGATAAGAACACTCCGTTGAGTATTCGTGTTTCTCATTGGTATTCGGTATATCGCTTAATATTTTATTGAATTTAGTGTTAATTGCCGTGTTTGGTCTTTCGGTAAATATTGATCGCGATTGCAATCTTCGGAAATCAATAGTTTGTGAGTTTATTACATTTTCGCGTGGATTGATCGGTTGTCGTCGGACGCCGGCCGGCAGACTTTGTGTGTGATTATAAATTTTCTAATGTGATGTCGTAAATACAAAGTTTTCGATTATTCCCATCTGCTCTTTGTGCGATGCTTCGTAGCTTCCCCCTCCAAGCATAGACGTGTGTATGTGTGTACGTGTGGGTTGAAGTTGACCGGTAGATGTTTTTGTTTGGAGAAGGAAAGTCGCTTTCTCTGTCTGTCCCTTTGTATGCTTAAATCTTTGAAACTGCGCAACGGATTTTTTTAAAATTGCGGACGTAGCGTTTTCGGCGGTGCCGGCCGGCCGCCCGGTGCGGCAAGAGCGTGCCTATAAATAGCGCGTCTAAGGCCGCGGTTTTCCCTGTAGCACTTTGAATTTAGCAGCGAAGATATTCCAAAGACAGCAGGAAATCTTCATGGTATAGGGAAAGGTGGATAGAATAGAATAGAGGCATTCGAAATGTGGGTCTTCCGTAGAATTTTGAAAATCCCATGGTCAAGACGGATGACAAATGAGAACGTTATCAGAATGATGGGAACAGACAGAGAACTCAATATTATGGACTTGTGCGAACCATTTTTGACTTCTGGCACAACTCGTTGGCTCAATGTGTTACCTGGTACCAATACTAATTCAAATAATTATGGAGAACAAGACGAAATTTATGGTAAACTTTGAGTTCCGCCGGAACTCATTGTCCGGAATTGTATAACTAATGTTTTGTATCTTCTTTATTGCAGTATCTACTCACATTTGATTTGCGGTGTTCGATACACTGGTAAAATTTTTATCATTCATAGTATCTGTTTTCCTTATTTGCAATTAGAAAATTGATATCTTTTGCGGAAATCTTTGCTTTAATAAATGCTTCAATAAAACTCAAATCATAAATTATTATTTCATGATTTAAATTTTAGTTCCCTAGCATGAACTAAAAATTATCAAATAGAATTGTATTAGTTTTGAAGATAGTTCTATTATCAGCGTTTGTGTATAAGCAATTTTTATATCGCATTTGCCGTGCGAGATACTACGCGTAATATTTTCGTCTATCATCGCGCTATCACACAATTTTGTTCAATTTTTATTGCAGGTACCGCGTCTATTGCAATTCGCGCACAAGGTTGCATGCCATCGACGCGCTGCCCGCTTTGCGCATCTATTGCAATTCGCGCACAAGATCGTGTGCCATCGACACGCAGGCTTTACGCCACACTTTACACTATGAAATTAATACTTTGCACTTATAAAACTTGCAGTATTAAGTACGTGCCGTACTCTTAATCGGCCCCTTCTATCACCCCGAGACGATACCGAGACGAGACGTGTTTTATCAATTTCTCGCCGATAGCGAGACCACAGTCCGAGTCTCGTTTTTGGTCTCGTTATTGGTCTCGTGAAATTTTTTTTTATGAAGATGATATTAGTAAAATGAGAAAAGGGCCAATATATGAAATCCAATATATGACCATCTGTGAAATATTTCTTTTATATATTCAAAAGAACAAGTCAGTAACCGAATATCATGACCTTTTTGCCTTTTTGAAAGTTTTATGAAAATTTTGTCTTTGTTTATACATCCGGGGACATATTTTTGTGTTTTTCTGTACTTCTTGAAGCAAATATATGAACAGCAAAAGTATTGTATTCCCTGGGCAAGGGTATATAATAAATCTTGTCAAATAAAATTTATGCTATAGTCCGGTACGAAAAAGTGTTCATGTTGACAATATTTTGTAGACAACTTAATAATATTGTGATAATTAATATTTTAACCTATGTATGTATTTTTGGAGTAATTAAATGACTAAACTTTTGAACTGCAAAGATCTTCAATGTTTTCTTTACACTTAAAACCATTAAATGTGAAAAAAAAATATAAGAACAAAGGCTTCACGGGTATCGCGAGACTTTTCTCGTATTGTCTCGGTCTCGTATCGCTTTTACGAGACAATACCGAGATCGAGACGGTACTGTTGATAGTCTCGTCCACTCTCGTCTCGTGTGAAGCCCTAATTGAGAATTTTCCAATCTTTCATAATCAGCAATTCGTTGATTGCTATCGCTTTTAGTTTAAAAGATATTAATTATCGAAAATTGTCGATAAAAATCATCAAGCACCCTCCCTTGGCAATTTTTTCTTAAGAATTAAAATTTTATCTCTCAGATTTCCGTTTTAACTGTTCTATCTTATAGAGAATAGTCTGTAGATTAAGACTCTGCGATCAGATCCTATTTACCTCTTTTAATTTACGAGATATTCGCGATTGTAGAAAATGGGCAAAAATTGAATAATGTCACTTTTTAGTACTTTTAGTCACGTTTATCGACCTTTTATTGTAGGAATTATAATTATTTTAAATTTTTATCTGATGGAAAATTTTCCAATTTTTCATAATCAGCAATTCGTGTGTTGCTATCGCTTTTCGTTTAAGAGATATTAATTATCGAAAATCATCGATAAAAATTATCAAGCACCCCCCCCCCCTTGGCAATTTTTGCTTAAGAATTAAAATTTCATCTCTCCTATTTCCGTTTTAACTATTCTATCTTAGAGAGAATAGTCCGTAGATTAAGACGCTGTGATCAGATCCTATTTATCTCTTTTAGTTTACGAGATATTCGCGATTGAAGAAAATGGGCAAAAATTGAATAATGTCACTTTTTAGCACTTTTAGTCACGTTTTTCGACCTTTTATTATAGGAAATATATTTATTTTATTATCTGACTGAGAATTTTCTAATCTTTCATAATCTGCAATTCTTTGATTGCTATCGCTTTTAGCTTAAGAGTTATTAATTATCGCAAATCGTCGATAAAAATTATCAAGCACTCCCCCTTGGCAAAATTCCGTAAAGCGATTTATATTGAAATTTGTGTGTGTGTGCCGTAGTACTCGTTGCGCTAAGAATTGTAGTTTTTTAATATATCACGCGAACGCGGTGTTACAATTAGTTCGAAATAATTTTCCTTGATGGGGAATTTAATTTAGTATCCCCCTGGATAGAAATGTATTGCGAGAAAATTCCGTAACGCGAGTTATTGAACAAAAGTGGCGATATTTTTCGTGTTTTGTATGCATTCTTATGCAAGTTGTATTAACTTTTTTGTTTTTAGAGTATTCACCGTACCATGGAGTCCGATGAGTTCTGCAGTAACACTAACATAAACGTTAACGCTACCCTTCTACGGTGCCCTAAATGGGTGTAACTTCTACCGCTACCTTCGTACGGTGCCTTGAATGGGAGTCACTTCTACCGCTATCTTCGTACGGTGCCTTAAATGGGAGTCTTTATGGATCCTGTAAGAATAATTAATTTAACTTATGAATATGTATATTTCGTTTACATAAATATTTTCCAGTTGTTGGATGAAGCATTGGCTAATCCTGAGATGGCCAAGTTTATCAATAAGGACCAACTGGACAGGCTCCGTGGTACTGGTGAAGTGCGTATTGAAGATGATGTTTTGATTACTGAAGATGGATGTGTCAACGGGACTAGAGTTCCAAGAACGTATGTTATATTTGGGCAATTTATAATATTTTATATTTTACTGTTCTGTTATTCATTCTGGTTTATAGTGTCCAAAAAATTGAAGATTGGATTGTCCGTGTTGATGATGATTCCAAATACGATTGAATGAATTTACAACATTTTGAAGCTGTTATTGATATCATTTTTGTTTATTTTGTTAAGTTATAAAAAGAGCATTATATAATTGCATACTATTATCCTGTTTTCTTGCTTGTATAGTTAAAAATGCTGTATATATTGAGAAATTGAGTTTGTGATGGGTGTATATTTTACATGTTTGAATAAAATTGTAGTTTTATATTTTAAACTATAAATTTTTATTGTTTTATTTGTTCCTGCGGAAAACATAGCTCGCAACATCGTTACTCCTTTAATCAATCCATAAATCCCCTAAACTTTAATGGAAATGCCACTACTAGATATGGAAAATAGTTCAAAATCCATTTTATATTGTATCAATATTAATTTTAAAAGATATCACTAGTGTCATCTATCTATGAGTAACTACTACGCCGCTATTAGAGATTACTGGAAATTCAGCCTACTCCATTTTCACACTACATATTCCATTTTTTCTATAAAATTGCAAATAGGGCCTAAACCGTTAATCAAAGCAAAAAACTTTACTAAAATAATCGATGTAGAATTAAATTATCGATCAGTAGCCGAAAACAGAATTTCAAAATTCCAACTTTTAATTTTCAACATAAAAAAGAGAAATCTTTTGCCTTTTTGTCCCATTTTTGATGTTTTTCAATAAGGATGCCATCTTGTCCAGAATTCTTCAAGGATCAAGAATCTGTAGTTCTTTGTTTCCTAGCCCTTTTAGTTGTCGAGATAATTACAATATGATGAAAGAATGGTCCTTTTACGATGTCAGACTCAGGTGCAAAATCCCTAAAACAAGCAAAAATTAATCATTCTAACATAAAAAAAAAGCAATTTTGGGGGTCAATTTGTGAGATAATCACAACAGTTATTTACGAAAATGATAAAGAAATTTAATACTTACAATCTGATGCAAGAATGGTCCTTCTACGATGTCAAACTCAGGTGCAAAATCCCTAAAACCAGTAAAAATTAGTCCCTGTGAGGCATTACTCGTACATTTTAATACTCAGTAACTCGAACTGCAAATATCTACCTCAGTAAGTCGAAGTTCATAAAATATAATGATTTCTTACTCGGGATTCCCGGAGCTCAAAACTCGTGGCAATAAAAAGGAATGTTCGGGGCTCGGGGCTTCTTATCTATTGTTTTTGTTTTGCACACGTGCAAGGAATGAATACATTCAATAAACTTTCTAATTTCTAAGAAACACAGATGTTATGTTTCTTCATTTTTGGTCACTTTTGGTTACTTGGCTCAGTCAGTACATATTTGTTTGGCTGTTAACAAGCAACAACATGAGTACTAAAAGAAAACTAACGACCTTAACTTTACGTGAAATAACGATAACGATAATCAAAATGACGATGATCAAACTGATCCAGCAGATTTAAAACCATCGGTGTCAAATAAAGAAGCAAGAGCAGCAATTGATACACTACGAACTTACATTGAAAGATGTAATGATATCGAGTATCATAATATATATTCGGTTCACTATATGAACTAGAAAAAATAATTGATAAAAAATCTGTAAATGACTTGAATCAAACGAAGATAACAGATTTTTTATCAATTATTTAAAACATAAAGTGTAAGTTCATTCATTATAATTATGTACTTGACTCTCATTTTATGTTACCTAATGTAATTTGTCATAATAAATGAAATTGTGCCTTTTTATGTCGAAATTTGATGAGTTAACTCTTCATATCTCGAAATTTTTGTTAAGTCGAAAACTTGCTATCTCGAATTTTTTTTGGTTTCCCTTGACATTCGAGTTATCAAGGTTCTACTGTATATCATTTTTCATAACGATATCGTGTATAGCGTACAGTGTTTACTACTTTAGGGGAGGGGGGGGAAGTGGGCCCCAAAAGCGAAAAAAGGGAATTTGTTTACCTTTTTTCCCTCGTTACACTATTTTTTACATCCTTGTTCAGTATTCAATATTAATAAGCCGTGTCTATCAAAATAAAAAAATTCAGAATATGGGGCAAAGTGGGCCCCCACCCATAAAAATTTTGCTATTACTTTTGTATCAATTTTTTGCTTATATTATTTTCTTTTTTCATTTCTTACTTCGAATTTGTTGTGGATAAGTTGTCCTTGCAACTTCATCTTATATATCAAAAATTTTAGGGTGCCCACTTTGCCCCTCAATTTTTTAACCGGTGGGTCACGCCGGCGTCAACGTGTTAATTAAATAGAATTTGTTAAAATCGTTATCAAGGTATTATTGATAAAGCTTCGTCAAGCATCGGTGGTTCAGTGGTAGAATGCTCGCCTGCCACGCGGGCGGCCCGGGTTCGATTCCCGGCCGATGCATCCTTTTAATTTTGCAACTATGGACACCCACTATAGGCAACTTTATTAACTGTAAATTCCCGCAGTAAATTTCTCCATTAGTCATACGTATGTGATATTGGTTTACTTCTTGATTGTTTATAATTTGTTAATTTCCATAACCAATTAACTGCAGTGAACTCCAGTGTTTGCCTTTTAGTGTAACGCAATTAGTCGTAATTATTGTAACCAACGTAACCAATGTGACTACCCTAACTTCTCAGATATGGCCCATGGAACAAGTGGTAACCTCTACAACATTTCAATTAAAGTTTTAACAACAAGAACAGTTAAACAGTTATGTGATTCGTTAAATACTTTGATGATATTACCTGCAGAAAATGGATTATTAAGGTTCAAATTAATTGCTTCTACAAGTTATCCAATATTTATAATGTATATTCTGTTGTAGAGACTGGCGAGGACTTTCAGAGCTTCTACATATTGATGTATCAGTGCTAGAAAAGCAGTCAAACCCAACTGAAAAATTACTGCAGCTAGCTCAAAGTGATGAACAAAAAAATACAATTGAAACATTGATATCATGTTTAGAAGCTTTAGATAGATTTGATGTTATTGATGACTATCAAGAATTGATTGATATAGATATAAGGCAATATATTACAATCAAACAGGATTCACTTGCTGCATCAATAGCACCAGTATGCCAAACTAAACCATATGATGCAATGGTGTTATATGCAGAGGCTGATGTAGATTTTGCATATGATTTGGTTGATGTCATGGAGAAGAATTATGACATGAGACTATTTGTAAAGGATAGAAATTTAATGGCTGGTGATAAAGAGGTACAGGCAACTATGAGTGTGATTGCCGACTTTAGTAATAAATTGATTGTGATTTTGTCACCTGATTTTCTAACTAGTCCTACAAATGAGTTTTTTCTAGATTATGCCCAAACTATTGCTATAGGTATTTAATTGTTGCTTTTTTATATTTTAAACTGTTTATTTTATTATTACTATTATTTGTTTGTTTATGTTTAGAACAGCAAACTAGGAAAATTATTCCGTGTATTCTGACGCGATGCCAGATACCCAAACAGTTATTGGGCTTGCACACATTAACATATACAACAAACAGTAGATGGGGATGTTTCTGGAACAAACTGGCAGAAGCCATTGTTAGCAGACAACCTGCAACTTCAAACACAAGGTTAGTTTCAATATATTATTTCAATAATTATCAAAAATAATGGAGATTATTTTTTGTAAGAATACTCGATTCAGCATTAACAAAGTTTACCACACCGGAAATTAGCCAGGAAAACAAACATCAACTGGCTAAATGCCCACCTGTATCAAATCATATTATTCAATGCCAAACGCCCTCACTTCAACCCACAAATTCTGCATGTGCATCTACTTCATCTCCAAAATTAGATTCTTGTGACTATTTAATAAATTCTATAGCAACAGCGTGCAATAGCACAGACGTTGAATCGAGAGAAAAATCTCGGTCAAAAAAGATGTCGTCGTTTCTTAGCAATGTGAAAACAAAACTATTGCCAAAAAGTGCAAAAAAGAAAAACAGCGAAAAGCAAAAGAAGAAAATCGCGGTTGCCTTATGAAAACTGTATGAATGTAAATAAACCTTATAAATCACTTGCGTACATTATTCAAAAATGTTCTTTTTGATGAGCCTTTTTGAGGCACTCTCAAAGGTTTTTCCGAGTTATATAAAATGTTTGTTGTATCAACGGGTTGTTTGTAACGTAGTAGATTATAGTAGAATGTGGAGTAATAGTATTCAACGTAGTATAATGCAGAAGTGCGCCTCCCTTGTGACCGGCAAATTGTTCGCGCCCGGTAAAGTAGGCCATGAGGCGGCGGCGGCGGCTGTGACCGGGGCCGCGTGAAACTGGGCCACTGTGTCGACCCGACCTCTCATTCCGAAGTCAACGTCCGATGGGTGGATGCACGGGTGTAGTAAAAATCATATTATCGCCGCAGCATCCTGAAGCAAAACAAAACAAAGAAGTGAGGCATAAGTTTGCGTCCGTATTTTTGTTCGCGAATAATTTGCCCTCCTTTAAATAAGCGCCGCGTGTCTCGTTTTTTTGATGGGCGGAGAGGAACGTGGCACAGATGTCGTTTTGCAGCGGTGTCTTCGACCTCGCCTCGCAGCGGCAATTGGGTCAGTTGGGCATCACCTGATACAGGTCCAGGAAACTGCCGACCAAGCCCAAACTGACAGAAAATAACTCAATATACAACATAATATTTATAGATCTTCCTTTATTTTCAATGTTACATGCTCTGGCAGTGTAATTAGACTTTAGAACATTACATATGAGGATGTGGACGCGCCGAATTCTATGCAATCGAATCCGACGCTTGCGATAGTGTCTGTCTTTCGATACGTACAAAAAATGTACCGGAATCATGTTCACCCCAAATGTTCCTCGCTCATCATCATCTGACTTATCATTTGAATGTGTTTATCTTGTTCAGGATATTTGCGTCCTAGCTAGTAGCACATTACTTCTCGTTTAATTGTAAATTAGTAATAGTTTATTGTTCGATCGATGCCCTACGCGAGCGCGTTCGGAAAATATGCGAGTGCTCTGCACCGCCAATCGCAACAAATACAATACAAATACAAATTGATGCGATCCGCGTGCTAAAACGGCAGGACACGCAGATTCTCCCAGCGCGCACGCTGGATTTTGGTATATTAAACTTGCAGTGGTAGTGTTATTTCACGATGATATTTATTAAATGGTTCGTTTTGTTCAGCTGTAATTTTCGTATTACTTTCACTATGCTTAATGCTTCTCGTATGAGTGTTCGTCTGGATGTACTTCTGATGGCATTAACGCTTTATTAAATTAGATATTCGTTCGTTTCTATTACATCGTTAGTTATATTATACGCTCGACGATGTTTGGTTTGCATCTCTTGTCTGTTTGTAAATCCCTCGTTTGTTTGTTTTTATCTTAATGTGTGTTATTTATCTAATATAGACCTACAAGTTTCTTTTTTCATAATGTCGTTTATGAAAAAATTGTCTATCATTCGTATCACAACAAACCCGACCAATATATTTATTATATAATATATATTTTATTAATATTTTTCTTTTTCCCATGAGAATGAATATACATGAATTCGAATGTTTGCCGTGTTTATTATGTTTTACAATTATAATAATAGTATATTAATGGGAGAGTATGCTGCTCATTCATTGATGGGGTGGATGAGATGGGGGTGGTAGGTGGTGAACGCAGAGACGTATTTAATTCCGAATGATTGTTTGTCTGGAACTGAAATCAGAGTGAGTGTAATGTCGTTGATGTCTTGCATGCTTGGAAGAGTAGTCGAGGTGTGTGTATGAGAAAAATACAAAAACGCAAAGTGGAAATAGGACAAATTGAGCAATGTACAATCATTTAACCACCATTTATAAATATCTTCAATATTCTAAACAACTCGTTTATAAATACTCTATTATGCTGCATTTTCGCTTCATTTTCATGGTGTAGTCGTCAACGTCCTCTCGGCTATTATTTAATTATTATATCTTAAAAATAATTAACTTTAAACGCTAAATACTCGTACAATCCACATAATTATAAAAAGTACAAAGCAATTGTGTAATAATACTTTTCTTCCAGTTCTTTACGTGTTTATCTCTTGTTTTAAATGTTCATCTTATTTGCTCAACGTCTAAATACTGTTTGGCTGCTAGTTAAAAGTCGCGCGTCAATCGGTTACGATCCATTTGCTTCTTAATAGTTAATAATTTATGTATTTCAAAATGTATCTCGTTAATTAATTATAATAATTGCATTTTTTCTCTCTCGCTCTGCGTAATTCATTTACTTTGTAAGTTTATTTCTGTCTTGGTATAGTTTAATCATTTGCTTTACGTCTCTCACATTGTTTATATATATATAATTTAACTAATATATATATTTATATATGAATTAATACGTCGTCAATACTTAATGATCATCAGTCAAATACGTTCATGTATGTAATTTTATTTAATTTCTTGTCTCATTTAGTTAATACTGCTTCGTTTTAAATAGAGTATCATATTATAATACTGATTTCATTTCACCTAATTAATGATGCGCCACACGAGGCGCCGTCGTCATCGCGCTTTTCGTCGTTTCATATTCCTTTTATAATGTACAAGAGATATCATAGTGTTTGTTTTTATTATTATTTGTTTTCCTCGTAGTTTTAAAAAATCGTGTGATTTTCATGTCAATGGATATCTAGTATAAGAGTAACAGGGTCCTAGACGAAATTAAGAGAACAATATAATTCGCGTAGGAGGTGTGTAGGTCCCCACCGGTCTGCGGATTAATTAATTGTGATTCGTTCTATGAAATACTGCATTAGTTAGGTATGTGTATCGAAATATAATCGATCCGTATGTCGATTGTCAGCGTCGCACCATCGCACTGGTATGGGCGCACTTTATGTTCATATTTAACTACAGCGTAATACTCATCTTTGGCATTCGTTTATTAAATAGATTCTTTCTCGCCACCGCCATGCTGCGCCCATTTTGTTTATTCTTATTCGAACGCAGAGCCGCCGCGGCCGCTGCGTGGCGTAACGTTTTGCGCTTTTTATAAAATGTCCACACGGCGCGTGTTTCGTTTAATTATTATTTGTGCTATTTGACGCGATAAGTAGTAGAATTATGTTATTGGTTTGTTTGTGTTTGCTTAGTTGTTGGCAGTCGTTATTAGCTTTCACAGCCGATCTTCTTCCTCCTCCTCTTCTTCGACTTCCTCGCCGCCGCCTTCGTTCTCCTCCTTGTAGCCGGGATGCTCGGATATGGCGTAGTAGTTTCCGTTGTAGATGACGCCGAGCTCGCGCAGCACATCGCCGCGGATGGTCGCTTTGATGGTCCAGTTGTAGCAGTCGTCGCTCTCGCTTTCGCGGTCGAGCCGTTCCACGTCGAGAATCTTGGAACTGAGGCGCTCGAGGATGATGCCAATGTCCTTAATGCTCAAGTGCTTTTTCTGATCGACGCTCAGCTGGTCGATGAGCAGGAGGAACTTCTCTGAAGTGACGGCCTCGTCCTCCATCACCGTGTTCTCCGTCTCGCTCTCCGAGCTCTCGTGATCCTGATGGCGGCCAACGCCACCGCCGCCGCCTCCGCCACCTTCGATGTCGAGGAAGCGCACGTGCCGTGAAGCCGGCTGCGGAGAGGTTTGCTGCTGCGCGTCCTGAATGGGCGACGTCGCCACACTCTTGTGCACCGCGATCTTGCGCCCTTCTTCGTGCAGCGCGCAGCAATGGAAGTCGCACTCGATGGCGCCATTGCTCTGGGGGCTGCCGGCGCGCGGCATGTGCGCGTGGTGCGCGCATTCCGGCGTGTGGATGTGTATCGTGGCGCTCTCCAGCGAGCTGCCCTGCTTGAGCAGCCGGTGCGAGGGCTTGACGTCGTCGTGGTTTATCACAGTGATTTGGGGACTCGAGTAGCGTGGCTGCGGCGGGTATATGTCGTTGATGACCGTCTCCTTCTTACCGCCTGGAAGGGATGTCTGGATTACGAGAGAGGGTCGCTTGCTGGGGGAAAACTTGCCTGGCGCTGGCGACGGAGCTTCTGATGAGGACGCCCGAGACGGACCCGAACGCTGGTCCCAATGCAGCACAACTGTGACGCGACCCTTGTTGTCCATGATTTTCCAGGATGGCGTTTCATCGTGCAGCTCCAAGGCGTGTATCGTTTCGCATACGATCTTCGGGATAGCCGAGATTGCTACTGAGAGGAACACACAACAACGACGGCACCGTTAGCGAATGGCCCGGGCCCCGAAGGCGGATAGTTACCTGCACGTATGACGTCCACTCCAGCGGGCAGCCAGCGTTCGCCCGGCCGTAGCAGCAGGAGGATTGTGTTGGGCGGTAGGGTGCGGAAGTATTCGGCGTCCTCGACCTGGGTGCCGTCGCTCTCGAGGACGAGCCGGACCGGCTCGCCGATGGAGACGCCGAGCTTGTCGCGGCCGCGCTGCACCAACTCGTCGAGGCCTCCCACCACCAGCCCCTTGCGCACGCTACGCCGCCCGTCCCATAGCTTAAAGGGTCTCTTTCCGCGCGACTCCTGCAACCCCAAACAGAGACACACTCCTTAGCGGCACTGCGCCAGCACACACCCACCGCATCTACAAGCAAGCCATCTACTACTCTGCCAACCTACTACGAGCACTAGACGGACGAAACACACCTACACACATCACACAAGTCCTTCCGTACCTTCATCCTTTCGGCTTCCGTTTTTCTACATTCCCATTGTGTCCGAGCGCACCGAATTTAATCACCAGCCACAAGCGACATCGCGCGCACACCCGGGATGATTATTATCGCCCGTTCATATGGGGAGTGTTTCCTTTGAAACGGGATCACCGAACCTTCCTAGTGACAACTGACCTGACCCAATATCCAGCAACGGGGAGGTGGGGATAACGCGCATACTATTTTAGCGTGTCAAATATTTTCCACCGTCTTGCTCTTCGCGCTTTCCCTCTCCTTCTCGCTGTGCGGCGGCGGCGGCGTCGTTACTGGGAACGGCAGGATCATGTATTCGTCCTCGCGATTTTCAGACACAATGCCTACCTGGCCGATCGGCACCGCAATTTGCAACCCCCTTAGCTGTGTGCTGCACCTTGGGAGACTGGAAAAATCCCCCATTTCATCACCTATATTCTATATATGTGTGTCAGTGCGCGCGCACTTGTAGTATTAATTAAATCGGCGCGAGCCAATTTTATGCAGCCCACACACGGCCCATTTTTGGGGAGCAAGAACATAAATTGCTAACTAATTACGATCGGAAAGAATGCAGCTTGCCTATCATTTGACCGAGATTGCAGGGGACGGTAACAAATTCATGCGATGGCAGCAGGTCAGCATGACCTACTTAATGCGCGCGTGCAAAAAAAATAAAACCCAATTTAATCTATTTCACTCCCTACATACATACACTGGTCCCCGAATAAGAAACTAATAATGTACACCTCGAACTGATTGCGAATCTACCGTTGGTTGTTGTCAAAAGGGTCCTGGTTTTGATTTAGGTCAGAGCTGATATTAGGTCATCTAAACATTAGCGGGAGAACGGCACTGTCCGCGGCTGCTGGTTCAATCCGCCCCACGCAAACTAAGCACGTTTAATCGTCACAGGGTGCAGGGGATAGATTTTGCATGCGATGGGGGTCAAGACGTAGGGACTGGTGGTTTTTGGGGCCAATTGGGTGCACACAGCGTACCTCTCTTGCCATTACAGCATTTCTTCGATGCGGCCGTGTGGGAGCCGCGAGCACCTCACCTCCGTGATCAGATCGCAACGACGACGATTAACACACCGACGGCACTACACCGCTACATTTTCGCACGTCAAACCATCGTCGTTTTAGCATTCTTGCCCCAATATGCCGAGCAAACTACGCGAGGACCGAATCCTGCTGAACCAAACCAACTGTCTGAGCGCCCTCTATCAAAACCGGATCGATTGTGACGAAGGCGCGGCGCCGCGCTTTGGTCCTGCTGCCGCCGCCGCCGCCGTTCAGCCAGGATGCACGCTGAAGCACTGAGACCGCGAAGCGCACGCTCCTCGCGCCTTCGAGCTTTCTAGCCCGAACGCGTCAAACTACAGTCAGAAATGGCAACAAACTAGGACAAAGTTGTAACAACACAAAAACGCAAATATAATGAAACTATTTGAGAATTTCCTTTTACCATGGAATTGAAATTTGAGGAGGCATCTGTTTTGTTACCAAAGTTTTAGAAAATGGTAAAATGGTAATGGGAAATTGGTTGTCCCCGCTTGGTCTACAATATGATAAAATAATTACAAAAATAAAAATCAATGGAACCAAATATTTTGATTGGTCCCCTTAGATTAGTTGTAGTTCTAAACTATTTAAAAATTGTTGTAGCACTCAAAATTTAAATCTATTCCAGCGTTGCCTTTAGAGCGCACCCGTACCGTTTATGCTTCCACCTCCTTCGCGCAAGCGTTTGTTGTGCGTATTGCCGTTTCTCGGGCCAGTTGTAATGTGGTTGGGGTCGGTGTGTGGTACGAGCTCCTCACAGAATGCCTTGACAGTTAATCATATGTGCATATTTGTTGACATTCACCCACTTTCAGTGCTCTGCAAGGAAATTAAAATGTGTTACACAGTTAATATCTGCATTTTAACGCGAAAGTAACATGCATTGAAGTATTGAACACACTTCCAACTACAACCGCAATCAATTGTACTTAGTTGTTGATTGCTAATGCAATATGTGAATAAATGATTAGTACAGCAGGATCGTCCGGTGTGGTAAACCAAAAATCCTACCACAAAACTAAGGTACGAGTAATTGCCATTCCGTTCTAGAAAAATGACTAATAATATTTCTTGGGTGTTTACAGGGCCCACCGTTGTATTTTATAATGATGAGGTTGAACATAAAGGTGGTATTATTGCTCTGCTTGTGCATTGTGATATTCACCACACTATCTTTATGGAGTAGATGTGGAGATTCAATAAAAGATTGGCCACGACGACCACCATACTACACTTCAGATAAAGGCAGTGAACAAGGTATAGAAGAGATTGATTGTATTATCAATGGTGATCACACAATTGGGTGTCACAAGGAGGGTGATGAAGTCTACATTCCATTTTCATTTATTCATAAGTACTTTGAAATATATGGTAAGCTAGCCACTACTGATGGTATTGAAAGATTTGAATGGGCACACAGTGTTGGAAAGATCTACCATCCAAAAGGTAAATATGATCCGCGCGGTGTGTTCATGCACTTTGAGAATTTCAACGTTGAGGCGCGAGATCGCGTGAAATGTGTTTCGGCGATCAGTGGCGTGCCTATTTCTACACAATGGGAGAGCCAAGGGTATCACTATCCAACGCAAATTGCCCAATTCGGTCTCGCGCATTACAGCAAGAATCTCACCGAGCCAGAGCCACGACGCAAAGTCATCGAAGACGCAGACAAAGACCTTGCGAAATGGATAGTACCACATGGTTCTAACGTTTTTCGTTATTACGATAACACGTTGGCAACACATGTGTTGAACTTTTCAACATTGGATGCATTTAGTACTGGCGTTAAACTAAAAATGGATCACGTACTTGACTTTGTTATGAGCGTAAATATATTGCTGTACGCAAATAGCAGTTTGACGATCGTGCTGCAAAACCGCGAGAAAAAAGATTATTATAACATGCATTACATAGCATCGGATCTATTAGTTACAACTCAGGTATTATTTATTTTTCATCAATTTCAAGGAGTTTACTTTACATTTATCTTCACAGGATGAGAATGTTTACCATGGCATCGGTTTATCAGAAACATGGAGCCGGATCACGAGAGACTTAATCATCGACCTACAAAAAGGTCTCAACTACCTCGATAAAGACAAATCGAAGCATCGATTACCACGTTCCAAGTTTAAAATTGTCGAAATTATTCTTCGTGGTAGAGGTGCGATTGACAACTTTACTCTGTCATCCTCCGAACATATCGGACAGTTCTACGACGCAGCGGAATGGTTCGTTGCAAATCAGGATGAAAGCGGCGGCTGGCCCATTCCGGTGAAACGTAAGTTAGCGGCGGGGTTTCAGGATTTAGATCCAGGTTGGTATTCAGCTATGGGGCAGGGTCATGCAGTAAGCGTTCTTGCTCGTGCATATCACCACTCCGGCGGAGACCAGCGATATCTACACGCTGCCGTCAATGCACTGAAACCTTTTAAGGTACCCAGTTGGCAGGGCGGGGTACTAGCCACATTCCTCAACAAATATCATTGGTATGAGGAGTATCCGACGAAACCGGCTAGTTTTGTACTGAACGGCTTCATTTACTCCTTGTTGGGGTTGTACGATTTACTTACTATCGCGCCAGCGGAATACGGCAAAGAAGCAGATGTGTTGTTTCACAAGGGCATGGAGTCTTTAAAACACATGCTCATGTTGTACGATATGGGCAGCACAACTGCGTATGACTTGCGGCACTTTACTTTAGGCATCGCACCGAATTTGGCCCGCTGGGATTATCATGTGACACATATTAATCAGCTGCTCTTGCTTAGTACGATTTATAATGAGCCGTTGTTTCAACAAACGGCTGAAAGATGGATTGGGTACATGAGCGGAAAGCGGGCTGCACATAATTGAATCTGAGACGCAGTAATCGCTACAATAAATTAAAGATAAAAGCTTCTTTGACACCTGCTATATAATTATACTACTGTGTAATTGCATAAGGTACATAACAAATTGCTTGAGTTATTTGCGTGAGACAGTAGCAATATACCCCTGTAAGTAATAGGCATTGTTAGACAATCACAAACCAACACAATGAGACAACTTACCAACAAAAACTACTTAATAACATGCTATTAACTGGGCTAAATCTTGGACCAAACTTAGCAGATACTCTAAACATAATCATTACTTATTCTGACATTATCTAATGTTATTTTTGAGCAGATTTGTTAATATTACGTTTTTACAGTAATGTCCTTGCTATTTTGGCTTGGTTTTAGAAAACCTCGACACAAACAAATTTCGATTTTGATATTACTGCAATATCGCTGGACGGTAGTTGCTTGTGATTCATTTATTTTTAATTTCTTGTTATTTTATTCTTAGAGTAAATTCGATTTCGTCCATTTGATTGTTAATTTCAATTGTGCCGTGTATATGAGATATATTTGTGTGCAATGATGATTTAATATTACTGCAGAGGTTTATCGAAAACAACACTAGAATTAATATGATATAACATGAACAAAAAGTCAATTATCAGGTATGCTAGAACTATTCGCCTATACAAATTCTACGAAACCAAAAATGAACAAAGAATTGAACATTATGTACTAATGACATCAAATCATTAGAATTCCCTACCTGTATGACTTATTTATTTACGAGGAAACGAAGAAACAAAAATATAGAATAACAAAAAGACTAAATTGTAAGCTATTAGAATTAATGTAGGGTTTTCTTACGACATGGACGTGCAAAGATTTGTCATTCGAACGCATGAGGCTGGTATTATTAGGGATCGGACATTAATTTTTTAGGTATTTGTGTAGTAGACGGCTGTGTAAACTGTTATAATTCTAATAGAAACAATATAGCGATTGCAATCAACGTTTCGAATGATGAATCTCACTCTGTAGCCGATTTGCACTTTTGTAAATATCAACTTTTACTAACAAACTTGAAATTATATATTCAATCACACCGCGTATTATACGGAGAAATCTCAGCGGAGTGCAAGTTCAATGAATCCAATTATTGTTGTAGCTTACTATGAATTGTAAATGACGGTAATGAGCTTAATAGTTTGCCTATTGCATACCCATTGGAAACGTTTAAAAAGACGATATGTACTTGAATTTACTATGAAACTTAATTGTTTGAACTTTAGCGACTTATAATATTGGATTCGCTAAGTTTAGATTGTATTCTTGTTGAGTTTGCAACTGTTACCTTTAGAAATGTAAAACCGGCAGGTGTGGTATTTGTACTTAGACGGTGATGATTCAAGAATGTGTATTTTATGCGAATTCCGTCGGTGATTTCACATTTCCAAATGAGAGATTTATTTTGAGACATTTCGGCGAGAGGCTTATTTGTATCTTGCCATAGGGCTTAGAATAGTGGCATTGTACCTTTTAATGTTTAAGTCAAGTCTCTGTGATTTATAATACATAATCTATGAAAGAAATGATACATATTAATGATAACGATAGGCTAGATGAGCGATGAGGTAGCGGAACGTAAATTCAAATAGCAGTACTGAGTATGTATTTACTGCCAAACTCAATCGAGGATACTTATTACGAATTAATTTGCTAGGTTCTAAAAAATTGCTGAACCTACTATTGTTTTTTCTTGTATTGAAACATTCGTTTGATTCATTTGGATGAGCAAATAATGATTGCACTGAATATTTGAACTTGTTTTTCTTATGTGATTGTGACAATAACAATTGAATGAATTATTAATAAAGTGAACATGCAACTAAGGAACTTGTAGGACAATGCATTTAACTCATAACATATTGTATTTTGTTATTTTGTCCGCGATAAGTTCTATTGCAAATATTTCTTTCATTTTTAAAAATATTTTTTCAAATATGTTTGCTATGTTGCCAATGCAATGTGTTGCTTTAAAATATTTTTGTTTGATTGTTGGTATAATAACGAATAGTTATAATACCTTATCGCGTTTCCTGCCTACAATACCCCACTTAGCAAAACAAAAATATCGCTTCAATTAACAACTGTGATTCGTTGATCGTTGCGTAACAGTTTAAAACTATTTTAAACGCAGCGGAAACCGCGATGGCGCCCGCATCGCCTCTCCCGCCTATGCAAACTGCTCCGAAACAAAACGTCAACCATCTTGCGTCAAGAGCCTGCCTCCACATGACGCTTCGTTGATGCATACCGGTTTAAAGGGCTAATCATATTTAATATCGCCTGAAATAAAACAGTAAGTGATTTGTGCACAGTACTAATTATACAGTGATCAGAAATAGTCAGTAGTTAAATTGTGGTGCCGTATTATCAACGTAGAAGCTAGAGTTCGCGGCATCACCCGAAGCCTGGAGTGCCGTTATTTATCTACAACAACAAAACTGGTTTGTTGATACTTTCCAAATGAAATGCATTAAATACCTAACTGTACAGAGAAGGTTCTTTTTCTCTGGAGATAGAGCACTTGCACGTAATGCCAGTACGCGTGCATCTCTCGCGTTTGAGGTCGCGTAGCCTTGTCTTAATTATTAAATTACAATCTCTCACTCATATCGTGGAGTATAGCATGCATCGTGTGTTAGCTCCATTACTAGTGCTGCCGCAGTCACTCACACTAGCCGCGCAATAATCAAAACTTTGTTTTCTTAGTGAAGTTCGTTACGCTCGAGTGCGTATTTTGTGTTAGTGAAGCATAGAACGCGCGACGCGCCTAAATTTAATTCAAACTATTTTTAAACAATGGTTGCAGGAAAAAGATGAGCTCCAGGAATGGAAGAAGACACCGTAAAAAGACTGTTGACGAAAGCCCACCTTTCAGGCCTCCATCAGTTAGGAAAGAGGAGTCTTTGAAAGTAAAACACTTTGAGCCAGCACCAGTCGCTGTTGTATCATTGTCAGAGGAAAATGGAAAGGTGGAAATCAAAAGACCAGAGACACCAGTCCAAGTTGCAACTGAGATAAACAACACTCCAGTTACAGTGGCAATCGAATCAACTGTTGATACCACAAATGGTAACAATGGAAATGATCATCAACAAAATGTTGTTGTTGTGGAAGAAGCTGATATTGAGTTAGCTGTGAGTGAACCTGAATTAGAACCACTTGTTGTGGACTCAGAGGAACAAGAATTACAGTTTGATGACAATTCGGATATTGATTCACACAAAGGTTCGCCGGTGTTGACCAACCGGTGCGCGACTCGACGATCGCAGACCAGAAATATTCCTACGCCAAAGACACCTCGAGTAAATGATCAAAACGGTGAGGAGAAAGAACAAATTGAAGTGCCGAATGAACAAAATGGATGCGTTGCAGAGAAGCAAGACGCTATTGACAATAAGGAACATCACAAACAAGAGGATGCCGAGAGCAATACTCTAGTGTTAGATGCAAACATGGAAACGCCGCCACCGACTGAGGAAAACTTGAGCGTTCACTTTCCGGATGGTGAAGTGAAACAATCTGAAATTAATGATAAGAATAGCATCAACTTGTCTGTGGAGTCTTGTGAATCAGCACTAAGCACTCAAGTGAATGTCGGTGGTGATGTTACAAGAGAGGTTGATCTCACTCTGCCTGATGAAAACAGTTTTCTGAACACTGCCAAAGACTTGACGGTGGTGGAAACATTGCGTCGCATGTCTTCACGTCGTGGAATTCGCTCAGGTTCGTCAGATTATCGCAGGACGCTGCTAAAATCTCAAGCGGAAAAATACGATAATCTTCTGCAGCAGCAACGTGCTTCTATGGAGCGTATCACGTCGACGAAACGCAAAACACGCAGCAAGACTCCCGAAAATCCGAAACGTTTCAAAACTGAATCCTCACCAGGCTTTTTCTCATACATTTCCAGCCCGCTCTCAATGTTACGCAATCGTTTCAGCAGCGGAGAGTCGATGTCCGCCAGCACGCCCAAATTGACTGGGTACAGAGAACAAGAAGCAATGGAAGATCCGGAACTCAGCAAGATTGAAGACTCCAAGGCGCCCGTCGACAAGAAGCGATGCGTTATTATGTAAGCCCTACTCGTATCGTAGTTGTGTGACTTAAGGAAATATGATGATGCAGTTTTATTTAGCGATTTTGAGTTTATATTCTAAGCACTTTTTATTGCAAGTAGACTACATTTTTTATATATATAGAATTTCCCTACATCATACTTGTTCTGTTACATATGTGAATTGCATCCAGTTTTGTATTTGTTAAATATCATTTGGAAATCGATCTATTTTCTATAAGTAAAGTTGTACAAAAATTACAACAAACGATGTATATCATAACGAATTGAAATGTAACGTATGTATGTATGCACTAGTATTTTAATATAAGTCTGAAGTATTAATTTACTCACATACTGCATTCAAGTATCATCTCACTGACATGTTTCAGATCTATATTTTTAAGACGTAAAATAATTACGATGTAGTTATGCAATTTACTCAAATAAATTTTAAATACAATAATATTGCAACTTTTAAGAAATGCCTCAATTGGAGAATGATACATGTAATAGGATTCAAATGAGCAGCATACAAAAATTATGATTTATGTAGGCTATGATATGTCGTTGTCATGACTAGATCAAATCAACAGCGGCGGGACTATTCAGTTTGAAAATCTTCCTGTTATAATAAATTCAAAATGTTCAAAACACAAAAAATCCTTCTCTGGTTAGCGCGGCGATGTTACGCGGATTACGCTAAGACCATAAAAAATTTAGCGATTAATGAAGATACGAAGGTGATTGTCCAAGGATTTACCGGCAAGGCAGCCACAGTTCATTCTAGGCTAGCTTTGGAGTATGGCACAAAATTGGTCGGCGGCGTATCGCCGAAGAGAGCAGGGCGAGTCCACCTAGGGAAACCTGTTTATGCTACTGTCGCGGAAGCTGTGCAATATACCAATGCGGATGCATCCGTTTTGTTCGTGCCAGCTCCCTATGCAAAGAAGGCAATCGAAGAAGCGATAGAAGCAGAGGTACCTTTGATTGTCGCCATTACTGAGGGCATACCAATTCAAGACATGGTCCGCGTGAAACACATGCTTATGAGTCAGGAAAAGTCTCGTTTACTTGGACCTAATAGTCCTGGGATAATCGCACCGGGAAGGTGTAAAATTGGCATCATGCCAAGTAATATCCACAAGAAGGGGAATATCGGCATTATTTCCAGATCAGGTACTCTCACCTATGAAGCGGTGCATGAGACTACCGAAAATGGTCAGGGCCAATCGATGTGTATTGGCATTGGCGGAGATCCTTTCGTTGGAAGTGGATTTATTGACTGCTTGCAACTGTTTTTAACTGATCCAAATACTGAAGGTAATCCGGACGGTTGAATTTGACTTGTTTGTTATATTTGACTTGTTTGTATTATAGGCATTGTTTTAATCGGCGAAATTGGCGGGAATGCTGAGGAGAAAGCTGCAGAGTTTCTTCTTGAACGCAATACCGGAAAAGATGCAAAACCAGTGGTCGCTTTTGTTGCTGGTTTGTCAGCGCCTGCTGATAGACGCATGGGACATGCCGGAGCAATTATGTCTGGTACTACGGGCGGCGCGACCGCCAAGATAGAGGCGTTGGAGAAGGCCGGTTGTGTCGTAACACAAACATTAAGTAACATTGGTGCACTTATGCTTGATGCATGCAAAAGTACACTCAGACACGATAACTGGTCTCCTGCCAAAGCTAAGTACCAAATGAACATGAAGTTTGGAAGAGCCAATTTGCGAGAGAAACAAAAACAAAAGCAATAATGTTTCTCATGTGTTTTGACACATTGTGAACAAGTCGTGCATAAATTAAATACCTTTATTAGATCAGAACTTGTCTTACAAATGGAATTACTTACTTTTTTATGAACAGGAACAGTAACAAATATTTTAAAATATACTTAAAAATTACACCCGACATATGATGTCGGTGAGTGAATTTTTAATTTTAACGAAACGACGTTTAAATTCGATGCCACAGCCTTTCGAGAGCCTAAAATCGACGAGAACATGGTCGTCCATGTCGATCGTACTTATTTTAAAAACTAGTTGCAGCTTGCCACTATCAACAGTTGATACAGTGATCTGAAATTGCAGAAAACCACCGTTAATACTCAGTTAAAATTAACAAATATTAAAATTTCGTACAATGCTTGCTGGGTCAATGCTCCAGGGATATTCAAAGTAGTCCAGCGCTTTGCATACCCGTAGGACAGTGCTTTCCTGGCTTATTTTGGCAGTAAAACGCGTCATGCGCTTAACCAGCCGCTTGAATTGATTCTGAAATAATTTTACACCATTTGATTCATTGAATAGCACGCAGAATAAAAATATATTTACTTGTGTGAGTTGACTTTGGGTGAATGAAATTTGTGAGTTCAACAAGAGATCGTCGTTCTGTGTCGGTTGAGAGAACGAGATTTGGTTCTTATTCGATGTAAGAACCGCAGTGAGACTTGAAATATCAACGTAAGGTACACGCGCAGTTGGTTGCGATGAAGGAAGTAAAGGTATTTCTTTTTTGTTTTCGGTGTCTCTTGGCAATGCGATACGTTTGCATTGTTGTTCAACGTTATCGGTCACATCTTCTAAAATTTTAAGTAAGTAATGACACTTATAAGTTTAATTTTTATTGTTTACAATGTTGGGATGAGCCTTCTGACACTTTTTGCTTTGGTAATTTAGCTTTATGAGTCAAATACATCATGAAAGCTAGAAATTGCCAAAGAAAAACACGCAGACGAATAATAAGCACGACATTTTGTAGTGAAAAACAAAAACGTACCGTTTAATGTAAATTCAACCTTCATCCAAGTATGCCCTAAAATTTCTGGTAGTTTTAAGCGCTTCGCTGGTTCCGGGTTCAGAATTTTTCTTGCCAGGCTGAATGCCATGGTGCTTAACTTCTTCCATAATGACTCAGTTATACATGTACTTTTAACCCAGCGGGCAAATTCTGGAGACTCGGTCGTTGGTTCATTCCACGGCAATTCTTAAAATTAAAGATTAAACTTTGAAGCGAAAACATATATTAGTGATATAAGCACCTCCAGTTAACATGGCGACAAAAACAATCCCACACGACCAAATATCTGATGGCTGAGCGAAATAAGGCCCTTTTAGGACCTCCGGAGCAACATACGGTAATGTTCCACACCTGAAAACAATATTTGAAACTATGTATTATTATGATAAGAGCAGCATGCCTTGACAGAGTTTGCACAATTGATTGTCATCAAAATTAAAAAAATGGCTTGCATCATTCCAAAGTTGCGTTATCATCTCGCTGTTTCGGGGATAGTGAACAGGACTAAGCGCAATTATGCCAATTACAGTAAGACGATACCCAACTTGCTCATCACCGAAGAAACGCGCGTAATTGTTCAGGGCTTCACTGGCAAACATGGAACCTACCATTCTCAGACTGCCTTGGAATATGGGACACTCATTTGTGGTGGTGTGTCGCCGAAGAAAGCAGGAGAAGAACACCTCGGTAGAATCTTCTACAAACACATTCGATATCAAGAACGTTAATAAATCGTTTGTTTGTGCTGTAGGTTTGCCAGTGTATGGTTCGGTGAAAGAAGCAATGGACGATAACGAGGCACAAGCGAGTGTGATATTCGTCCCACCACCAGTAGCAAGTGCTGCTATTGAAGAAGCGATTGAAGCCGAGGTACCGCTGATTGTTGCTATCACCGAAGGCATACCCCAACATGATATGGTGCGAGTGAGACAGTGTCTAATGTCGCAAGACAGGTGCAGATTATTGGGTCCAAATTGTCCTGGCATTATTGCGCCCGGCAAGTGTAAAATTGGCATTATGCCGAGTAATATTTTCAAGCAGGGCTGTATTGCAATTGTATCCAGATCGGGTACCTTGACATATGAGGCTGTGTATCAGACCAGTTTAAGCGACCAAGGCCAATCGATTTGTATCGGGATCGGAGGTGATCCTTTCAACGGCACAAGTTTCATTGATTGTCTCAAACTAGCATTAATGGACAATAATACTAAGGGTATAATTATGATTGGTGAAATTGGTGGTAACGCAGAAGAGCAAGCCGCAGAATATCTCCGGGAAAATAACACAGGCATGGAAGCTAAACCTGTGGTTGCGTTTGTGGCCGGCATGACAGCACCGCCAGGTCGGCGGATGGGTCATGCTGGTGCTATAATTTCTGGTGGGTCGGGTGGTGCACAGGGTAAAATTAAAGCATTGCGTGAGGCTGGCATCCTAGTTGCGGAATCACCGGCGAAAATTGGAAAATTAATGTGTGATGCGTTCGAATTGCATGAAGCCAAGCGTGATTGGTGCATGGGTGTGCCGGTCAGCGCCGAACTTTTAAGAAAGGGTTATGATTTAGGCAAAGAAGAGAAAAAGAAACCATGCCCTTTATAACCAGCAATTAAAATATTGTATTACCTTTTATCCAACTGTCTTTCACGACCTTTCAAGCGGAATATAGTCGCCATTCCAAAATCACTGATTTTCAAATTATTTTCTTCGTCCAAGAGTAAATTCTCTGGTTTTATATCTCTGTGAGTAATTCCTCGCCTGTGTAAATATTCTAATCCATCTAGTAACTGTGTCATGTACTTTTGTGCTTCACCAGAGTGCATTCCCACATCAGGTTCTACAAGAATTTTTATTAATAGTCATGAATGATTAAAATGTTGTTAGGTGACCATGTAAACTTGATTATTCTTTAAATACTGACCTATTTTATCAAACAACTCTCCACCAGAAGCAAATTCTAAAAATAAATAAGCCACATTTGACTCTTCCCTTTTCCCCAATAATTTGATAATGTGTGGATGATGGAGCATTCGATGAATTCTTTCCTCTTTATATACACAGTCTTTTGCATCACCAGCCCTTTGTAGATCAACAATTTTAAGGGCCACTGCATCATTGGTTTTTTCATTAATTAACAGCTTTACTCTGAATGTTACAATGATATGTTATAAGAATGAATTGGAATGATACACAAATAAACTTACTCCCCAAAGGCACCTTCACCAAGTGTTTGTACTATATTCCAGCCATCCACAAATCTCTCCATTCTGGTAAATTGAACACATCAGTTTCGTTGATTAGTAGATATATCTATTAATAATTTGTTTCACTGATAATCTTATAGAAACGGGTAAAATTAGGGTTTGCTTACTGTTTATATGACTATGTTACTGGTGAGACCATGCTGTCTAATACAAAATATATAAATTGCAGTCACTGCTGAGAGGGAAACCAATAAAATAAATTAGTTTAAAAATAAAACAGAGATTTGTTGTGTTTAAAATAACAAAGTGAGAAGAAATAAAATTGTAGGTGAATTCATCACGGAAATTATTGATTTGCCGACGACGAGGTTGGGATTTGAAGTGTTTTGTAGGTCAAGGAGAAGAGGAGTGGGAGACAACGAACTGTTTAGTAATGCTCACCGGAAGTACCCGAAGAAGCTTTTGCAAAGCTTTTGAAATTTAAAAACTATAATGTATAATCTAAGTAAAGTTAAGTAAACACTTACTGTACGCTATACGCTATAAGTGTTTATTTAATTTTACTTAGCTTATACTCACCCTCTCGTACTACCAACCATTGTATTTCAATAATGTATAATGTATAAAAATTGTGAATGTAAATGTTTAATTCTGGTAGGAGTAATCGAGTGAGATAAAGTTACCCAGTCGTTTGTAATTCCCCTACTTTCGGAATGCAGCGTCTGCATTTTCCTGCAGTGTAGTGTCGGTACTTGGTTTGACCGTTTTCTGCGCGCAGTAGAATTTTTCTTTTATTCAATACTGGTTGACTTCCTGGGAAGCTTAATACTTTTTTCCTGCTTAACTAGGTGAGTGTTTTTACTGACTTCTTAATAATACATAATATGAAGCATGGCGGTCGGATATTAGAATAAAGATAAGCAGCGTTTCAACTTTGCGTGGTAATCTAAAGTTGTTAATGTATCCATTGTATCATTTATCAATGCGACCATTCATACTTCCTGCGTGCTCTTTTGAGCAGCAGAGCAAGACTTTAATGAAATTGAATAAAATTATTACAGTTTGCACATATAGTCCATTTACTCTAATGCATTAAATGAAATTGAGTATCTCATAAGATTTTTTACCACATATTTTAGTTGTTATTGCGCCACTACACACAATGGGTGAACATTGGGAAAGATTTCTGCAAATGAATCAATTTTGCTTCAATAAAGATCAATTACAATGCAATAATTGCAATCAACTACTTTCTGCACCAATATATCAAACTGCTGATATGGGAAATATTTGCCACACTTGCAAAGGCAATAATATGATCGATGCAATTCGTAATCACTCCTTGGAAAATGCCCTTACCAACGCATCATTCCCTTGTAAATATGCTGCGAACGGGTGTGACGAAAGTCTTGCAAGTGCCAATATCTTAATTCATCAGTTAACTTGTCATTATGCACCAATGCGGTGCCCCATCTGCAAAAATGGCGAATTTACTAACGAAAATGATATGATTGCGCATTGTGAAGACATACATGGACTAGAACATGAAAGTGTTCAGCGTCAGATCTATACAGTGGAATTAGCGGAATATTCTGAGAGTGAGGGAATCAGAAATACGATACGCAAGGTGACTCTGAATAATAATGAATTTATTATCAAAGTTACTCAAATGCAATGGAATGCCTTGCAAGTAGTTGTATGCTATCCAAATGGGCTTAAACTCGGACAGAAGTTGAGTATTCGAATTAAAACCGATAATCAAGAAATTCTGACTCATGCGAAAATGGTCGAGTCTTGGAACATGATGACCTCAACTGATAATGATCACGTTACTACAATTCACCTAACCGAAATGCAGAAAACTCCTCATGGTACAACTTGCAAACTTTTTCTGGATTTACTTTTTAATAATAAAAGTACTTTTTATGAACTGCAAGACGTCGAAAATTTTCGCAAAGATATTCAATGCCCAATTTGCTTCAACTATTTCACCGAACAGATATTCAAGTGCCGACTGGGACACAATGTTTGCCAATCCTGCAAAAATCACATCACGACCTGCCCAATATGCCGCGAAGAAATGGGAAACACTCGCGATATTCGCATGGAAAATATCTTGCCGCAGATAACAATGTTCTGTATCAATAAATCGTTTGGTTGTTTATATGAGTCGGATTTGAGGATCTTGAAGCAACACGAACTCGAATGTCGTTATCATCAATATACCTGCCATATTAACAATTGCACTCATGAAGCTAACCAATGGGAATTGATTAAACACTATCAAGAAAAGCATCCTATGTATCTGAACGGTGCTATTTTTGAGCTGGATCTAAATAAACAAGTCGAACTGAGCTTGGTTTATAAAAATAATATTTTTTTATTGGAGAGCTCATTGGAAGGCAATACTTATGTCTGGAAGGTGTCGCTTGTCAACAGCACATCATGTGAATGGCAGTATATGTATTCGATTCAGGTAATAAATTCGGCTGATAAACGATTGCAATTTAGCACTGTTTCTGGAAGCAAGTTGACTGTTGATTTCAATTTGATTAAGAGTTTTTGTAATCTTGATAAAACTTTAAAAATGAAATGTTTCATCACGCAGTTAGTCGTTGATTCTCCAGGCGAGTCTTAGTTTGTTGTGGGTGGATTATCGCTGTTATACATTTAGTGGAAAAGATTCCATTTTACTTCTTTACTGCATTTTATTGTTTCTTGTAATCATGAAGATTTTATGTGTTTATGTAAGATTTTTTGAATGTTCACGACGTTATATTCACTTGCCATACAATATATTTTATGTTTGAATTGCGTCTCTGCGCGTTGTTCCAGACTAGACGTTTAGTATGTAGTAGTTTGTTAATATGTTTCAACGCTATTTTTAAATTCCGTGTTTCACTCTTTCTCCCAAATAAAGTGAAATTTGACACCGTTTGATTATTATTAATTTATTAGTAGTGCGTGAGTTGTTTTAAAAGTTGTACCAAATATCGTTACAAATACCTTAAAGTTGTTATCCAACACACGATTTTTATGAATTTTGGAAGCACGCAATTGGAATACGACGTTTAAATAATGTGTACTATGGGTTGCCTATAACTTTTATTGTGCTCATTTATTCATCAGAATTTCACTCTATGCTTTCACCTCTGCCTATGTCAATGTCAGGGTTTTTAAAACGTCAGTTTTGTAAGCGATGTTCTTGATGTTCTTGCTCTCGGATATCTCCAGTATTAAAAGGTAAATAATAATATCTTACAATTTCTAATAAACATTAATTACTAGTTGCTCATACATTCTTATCAAACAGTAGAAACCCACGCTTTTATAAGTGCGACACACCTGCCAGAAACAAATGTGTATCTTGCAAATACAACTGCTTAAAGGAATTATGAGTAACTATTATTTGATGGCATGCACAAAGTGTGCCTATAAATAAATGTATTTTCAAGTGCTGGCATTTGGGATAATTCTTTTTTACATCAGTGTGTTAAATGTGTAAATTGTGTTCATGGATGCTTCCTACATACATTTCATAACCTTTGCCCTATTAACAACAAAATTAGGATTGCATTTTGATTTTGAAAAATGTTTTAGGATTTGACAACATTATGTTAGTGGCAGTTGGCAGAGGAGAATTAAAACATGTTAGAAGGCCTTGTTGCATGGGTGCTTAACAATTACTTGGGCAAGTATGTTGAGAACTTAAACACAGCCCAATTGAGTATTGCATTATTATCAGGTGAAGTTGAATTAGAGAATTTACCTTTAAAAAGAGATGCATTACGTCATTTGGGTTTTCCTGTCCAAATCAAGGCTGGTTTTATTGGCAAAATTAAACTACAAATTCCTGTCGACAAATAAAATCAGCTCCATGGGTTGTGCAGATAGAACAATTATTTCTTGTTGCTACTCCATTGCCAGTTCAAGAGTGGGATGATGAGATTGAAAGATTAATAGCACATGAGGATAAGCTAAGTGCCCTAGATGGTTTGGAGGCACAATGGAGGCTTGAAAATGACACTAAGGACAGTTCAACCTACTATGCCAGCTCATATTCTTCATGGTTAAGTTATGGAACGGGATTTATTACCGACATTATCGAAAACCTACAACTCAAAATTCGCGATGTGCATATACGCTATGAAGATAATATTAGCATTCCAGACCACAATGTGGCTTTTGGAATTACCATGGAGTCACTTTCAGCCCAAAGCAGCGATGCAAATTGGCAGCCAGGCTTCTCCCACTGGGATCAATCACATGCATCATTCAAACTACTGGAGATGCAAAAATTGGCAATGTACTGGGTTGAGGTGGACAATGATGAACTGTTGGCCAAAACAGATATTACCCAATTGGCAAGTGCAATGACATCCAGTGAGTATAAAAACAGCAAACAGTGTATTCTACATCCTGTAAGTGCACAAGCAAAAGTAAAGCAGGACAGATCTGAACAACCTTTGAGGTCGGATGAACCACGCATTACGTTTGATTTGGAATTGGAGGAAGTACCAATGATCTTAGTAGATTGGCAATATAATCAAATTATTAAATGTATAAAAGGGTTGGACGATGTGCACAGATTTCGAAGGTATCGCAGATTTAGACCGCCCTGTTCAGTGAAAGAGGATGCCAGAGCATGGTGGATGTATGCTATTAGTTGTTTGTATCCCGGTAAACAGCCAGAAATTTGCAAGCCAAAACTAACACTGGTTGAAGTGCTTGAAAGGTGGAGAACCAACTTAAAATATGTTGCCATCTACAGTAAAATATTGATTACACCAACAATTGCGTTGCCAGTGGAGGAAAAAACAATAAAGGATGATGTGGAATGGTCGAGAGAATTTGAAGAATTGAAAGTTCTTCGTGAGATTGCAATGAAATCGATCCCAATACAAAATCGAGGATCAACGTGGAGTAATTCAGCAGGAGGTAGTACTTTGATTCGATGGTTTCCTCAATGGATGGGTTGGTATTCATCGCCACCTCCCGAAAGCGTACCTGCTCAGGAAACAACTCAACTGGAAGGAGAAATTCTTCAAGCACTATCCGATTCCAACGAAAATAACACAATGCTTAAACGTGATGCGGTGTTTGGTAAGTTCAGCTTCACGCTGAAAAGTGGCACACTCAGTTTATGTACAAAACACGAGGAAACTAGTGATCCGTTCACCATGCTCGAGCTGCAATTCAAAAACTTTTCATTAAGTTTAGTGTGCAAACCACGAACATCTTCATATTCCGCTGAGTTATCTCTTGGTGCATTGTACCTATTTGATAAGGTCACTCCAAAAACATTGTTTCCTATTCTCATTGGCCCCCCTGGTAATGATAGGGGTGCAGCGGTAAGAACACGTGGGCCTAGTCCACGTGTCAGTGTTGCTTCTAAATCGGACGCCTATATATTTCATATGGTCTATGAAAAGAAACTGGAGGCCAACCAGTATAGATTGACAGTGAAGACGAACTCTTTGGATGTGGTTTACCAACCTACGGCAATGCGTTGGTTGATAGAGTTCCTTTGCCTTCCACATCAGCGTACAATAACCCATCAACACATTGAAGCTATGAAGACCCGCACTAAGCGCGAATTTATTAAAAACTGGGAGCAGATGATGGATAGTCGAATGTCCGCGCGGAAGTGCTGGGATCTTCACTTGGACATCAGCGCTCCGCAGATTTTCTTTGTTGAGCAATTCCACGACCCTAATTCCGCAGTGGCCGTCATTGATTTCGGCCGACTACAACTACGTAATAACTATGATCATCCGGAGATCAGCATTGCTTCGCCTCAACCTGGGGATTCTAACTTAACCAGCAATAGTAAAGCTGAAGAAGAAGACGACATGTTTATGACACCTTGTTCCACGCCGCCCGCAAGCGAAGAAAGTGATTTAGAAAGTGATATAAACCAACAATTTTCCAAAGACCTAGGTGATAATACTAATTATAATTTAAATGAAGCTTCGCTGCATATGAAAATCTACGATCGCTACTCGGTTGAGCTGACGGATATGCAGATATTGGTAGCGCGTGTAAAAGACAATTGGCGGTATGCGCACAATAAGGGTACGTCTACGTTGCATGTTTTGGATCGTTTTAATATTTCACTACAAATTGAAAGGAGAGTCGTGCACACCTACGACTCTAATTATCCGAATTTAACCCTCAACGCTAATCTTCCAAAATTGGTCGCCCACATCAATGAGCACAAAATTGCGGCTGCGAGAAAATTGGCACAGATTATAACTGCAACCGGGCTTCCATCGCCTTTTAATTCGCCTAATACTACAATTGAAGATGAAGTGGTATTGAGCACTGAAGATGACGACACGCATAGTATTGAGACCAGTATGGAACTTTCTCGTTTGATGATTCTGCAATTCACTGTTGATCATTTGGCGCTTGAAGTACAAAGTCGGGGCAGGTCCATTGCCGAATTACAAGTATCCGGCGTCAAGTTCTGCTTTACGCAACGTCCCAGTGATATTAATCTAACGCTGTCTGTGCATAGCTTGTTACTTGTTGATGCGTTACAAACATTTGGTCGAGACTTTGAGCTCCTAATCGCTAGTCATAAACACGTTGGGATGGACTCAATGTCAGGAAGTTTACGAAATAGCGAGCCCACATCTCCAACATCACCTGGTAGTCCTGATCATGCAAGAATAAATACCACCTCGCCGGTTGCCTTAACTTTAGCGTTGAGTAGTTTAGCGACATCGCCTCCACCCAATCAAACTTGGAACAATAAAGTGTTAGATTCGGAGGAGTTGATAAGATTGGACTTACTTTTAGTGTTTGGAGTTGATGCTATGCAGATAGCGAATATTCAATTCAACAATCTTGATATTATTGCTAATCAAGAGACTATCGTCGAATTGATGGGATTTATACGTCGTGTTTTCCCCGACTTAAAATCGCAGAAAACGTGCAATCCTGTTGGAAAGCCTATAGTTCCAGAGGCTACCCGATTATCAAGTGAGTCCCTTGACAACATTGATGGTAGTGAACCGAGCGAATCTGCGCCAAATATAGGGAGTACCGAAATAACATTTGATTTTCATCGTTTAAATGTTTTGCTATTGCGAGGGGTAGTAAAAGATGGACAAGTGTATGGAAAGAAGATTTGCACCTCGACTATGTCCGATGCACGAATTCAAGCTACCGTTGGTAAAACTGTAACGATTGAAGGGTCTTTGGGTGGATTACAAGTACATGATTTGACGCCTGATGGATGTATGCATCAGCGAATCGTAAGCGTGGGTAGAGATATCCACATGGAAACAATGCATCCGTTGTATCTGATGGCTAACAATTTGCCTGCCGAAGAGAACACCGCGTTTAGTTTCAAAATTGTACGAACCTTGCAAACTAGTCAGACAAACGACAAGGCACAGATTACGATACGCATGGCGTCTTTATGGTACACGCATTCTCCCCATTTTGTTATGGAGTTGCAATCGTGCGCTACAGAATTCAAACAATATTTAGCTAATTTGGCTCGGTCCATTCGCGTCGCAGCCACGGATATGGCCCTTGGATTGGTACATGCTCGAGCTGAAGCTTTGGCGCAATCAATTTATATGAATTCCCGATTATCCGCATCCATTTATGGAAGTGCACTTTCGTTTACGGAAGTTTCATCACCGCGAAAACGTAGACGAAGTTCTAGTATGGAGTATTCCTTTTCGGGATACTCTTCAGGGCGTGACACGTGTCCACAAACACCGTATACACCAATGGATGATGGTAATTTTAAAATTGACATCGAGCTGGACATTGTGCTTGATAGCCCTGTACTGGTACTGCCGCGAACTTCCAGTAGCCCGCAAGTATTTGTTGCCCATTTGGGCAAGATCACTGTAAATAATAACAAGCCAATCGAAACAAATGGCGAGTGCGCAAATAATGATTCTTATATGGAGAATTACTACATTGAGGTACGGGACATGAACTTGTTTTCGTTGGATACGTCCACGCGTCGGGTACCTGGACCTTTGACGTCTCGACCGGAGGTTTTATACGCTTGTGATACTCTAGCAAAACCTATACTACATGACACCATTATCGAGTTGAAGATTACCAGAGAAATATTTTACAAAGATCTTTGCGGCCAGCAAAGTTTATCTAATTTACTTTTGGATGAAGATGACGATGATCCCATGTCAGGTTCACAAAACTATCAAGAAACCGAAAACATTGAAGTTTCAGGTGTGGTTGTGAACGCTTTAAAACTATCACTTACACGTGCACAATATGAACAACTACTGGATACAATGCAATGGTTGACAATTTCTGAAGAAAGATTTGACGCTACTGCATCTAAAAATCCTATGTCGACCCTTGCCGATATTACAGAAGAAGACACGGGAGTAACAACTCTAAATATGGATCCACAGGTGCGGGCGAAATTGTTTTCAAATGTACCAATCACTAGGCAAACCAAAATTGATAAAGGATTTGTCTCGGCTAAAGGTAAAAATTCAATACGAAAAATGTTACTCTTGCATGTTAAATATATGAATTTCCAGTTATTTTTGAACTACCCGATTTTACAATTGAGCTTCGTGGCGATTCACCAACTGGGGAGCAAGGGCTGGTGGACTTGTCGTTTCGTGACTTTAATTTAATTTACGACCGAGGACATTTATATGAAACTAATATTCACGTAAGTTTGCCGTATTTTTTGACCTATGATCAGAAAATGGTGTTAATTATAATGTATTAGGTATCGTTACGATCGATATACATGGAAGATTTACTTCAACCTGAAGGGTCAAAGCAACGTTCTATGGTCATATCCTCTAATGATGAAATACCGCCTGGAACTAACTGCGTATCGCGATCTTGTCCGGACATCTATACAAATCCTGATAGGCCTGGGCCAGTTCGTGGTTCCTTACCCGATCATTTGGAAGCGTATTCCGCAATGGGTATAAATCGTTCGCACTCTATTTACAAGGAAGCCCTACTGCACGAGGTAAAAACAGCTAATATTTGTCCAAATACTCCTCCGCCAAGCCCGTCACGATCAAAGCCTGTAAAGAATTTAGTGTTGATATCAACTTTGCTGGTTGATCCGAAAGTTCCCAATTTTGACACAAATTACCAATCTGTACAACGTTCAACTTCTGTCGACTTTAACTGCCTTGATTTGGTAATTAACGTTGAGTCTTGGGTGGTGGTTGTCGACTTTTTTGGTGCGTCACCTTCTGAAATAACAGCGAAACAAAATCGTAGATCTCAATCTCAGAAAGATTTGATCATAGCGGACGCGATTGAGAGAACCAACATAACTGTGAGATCTTTAACCGTTGTCTTAGTGAAACCGGACAGAGACATTGCAAAAGCCAACATTTCTAATATAGAGGTATCTGTTATGAAAAAGAATCGGAGGAAGGAAGTGGAGGGCAAACTTGGTTCAATGTCTTTGCTTGACTTGACCTCTCATGGAACCATTTACAGAGAGCGTTTTATGACCTCTGGAAAGCAAGCGCTTATCTTTAAGTATGTTCGACATGGTTCGGGGGAAATTACCGAATTTGATTCACAATTGACTTTGGATATGTCTTCTGTAATTTATGTACATACGAAGAGATTTGTTGTTGAGTTGCAATCATTTTTTTACCATTTTACCCAATTGCAAACCATCATGGCTGGTATTCGAGCGGCAACTAGTGGACAGATTATCAATGATGAATTACATCGTTTTTCGATTATTTTGACGGCACAGTCCCCAGTAATTGTACTACCACTGAGCTCGAAGAGTTCCCAACTTATAATTGTTGATCTGGAATATTTGAAAGTGACAAATAGTTTTAAGCACAGTGGCGAAGCGGGCACGATCAGTATGCAATCGAATCTGAACAGTAGCACGCGGAAATGTTTGCTTGACGTGATGTACCTGGATTTGAAAAATGTGAATTTACAGGCGGGCGAAGCCACAACCGAAATGAACAAGTCGAATATAGCTTATCGACTTGGCAATTACAGCATTACACGCTTGGGTGATTCATTACTTACGAATAAATGCCATTTGAAGATTCAAGTCGAACGAAATTTAAATCACAATGTTTGCCACAATGTTCCTGATATGAGTATTCATGGTGAACTGAGCACATTAGATGGTACCCTTGATTTAAGTCAGTACAAACTTATTCGAGGATTTTTGGCTCACAACTTAGGAGAAAACACCGAGCACATTTTACCATCAGTGCAAGCACCGCTTGTAACCGCTGAACCGAATATTCGGGAAGTTTGGACCCTGTCGTCACTTCGATTGGATTTACTAAACGTGACAGTCCGTCTGTTACAGAGCAAGAACACTGGGCCATTAGCCTGTATTAACTTTATTAAATCACGGTTGACCGTCGAAGCGTTCAGTAATATGTCGCAAGATATTGATCTTGTATCACAGGAAATTTTAATTTTGGATACTCGCTTCACTAAAGGGCAAAGAGAAAAGCGTTCTAATGTTTTCTCTAATATTTTAAAACCGATAAAGTCGGCTAAGCAGGATAATCTAGTACAAGTTGAGATTCACAGTCGCAAACGCCATGACAAATCAAAGTTTACAATTTTATTGAATAACATGCGTCTTATGGCCGTCTTTGACTGGTGGGCCATGGCAAAAGAGTTCATATTTCAAGAGATTGAGGTAGAACCATCCAGTCCGAATAGACAGCGACCTCACGTTCAGGAGACGAAGGAAATTCCTGTAAGCGAAGAACTTCCATTTGAATTAAAATTGAACATTACGGATTCTGAAGTAGTTGTTTTGGAAGACGCTTCATTGTGGGAAACCAACGCTGTCATTTTAAAGAGTACCACCGTGATAACTTATCGCTCGGCAATGATAGAAAAACCGCTATCGTGTAATTTGAATCATTGTGAGGTTTATTCTTGCGTCTTTGAAAGAGCTGAAGAAACAGCGCTGTCGATTATAGATCCCGTGACCCTGAACATGGAGATTAACATAGATCGGGTCTTGGACATCCAGCTATCCACGCTCACGATAAGACTTTCATATTTTGACATGGTCATGTTTCTGCAAATTTTGAATTCGTTACCTAATCAGTTGTTCTCGACAAGGGAAAATGAAAATAATTCTCAAGAGGACCAAAAAATGACTGACAAATTAAAGGCGTTGGGCTTCAAAGAAGAAGATTGTTTAGTCGCTTTGGAAGAAAGTATGCACAGACTTGACGATGCGGCACTTTGGTTAACACAAAACGCACAACCGAAGAGTGAGGCAGAAAGCAATTCGAGTGTTCATGCGGTTGAACTAAAGGCAAATAGAATATACTTTTGTATTATTGATGACTGTGGCGATTCGGACGTACCATTGCTGGAACTTACGTTATCAAATCTGTTTCTGAAACAAGATCTTGCAGAAATGCACGATCACGAGTGCAAAGGTGCTTTGGAGTGTATATTGGCGGGTGATTATTATAACCGAGTGTTGTCAGGATGGGAGCCTATTGTTGAGCCATGGAAATGTTTAATTACCTGGGGACGTACACTTTCTCAAAATTTGTCGAAAACTCGGCTGGAAATTGCTGTTGAATCGAACGAGATTTTGAATCTCAATATTACATCGACGTTTATTGAACTCTACGGACAAGTACGTGACAGTTGGTTGCAGGACTTCTATTCTCCAATCAATCGAAACGATCAGGCTCGACAAGATAAAAGACGGTCACCATTTGTTCCCTTTGCAATTAAAAATGAAACCGGCTCGCCCTTATACTATAATACGCTCATTGCTGCTGCAAACGATGATCCAAACCAAACCATAAGACATAGAGAGTCGGAACGTCAGTTAGTGGCACCCGGCGATGAGGCACAGTTCTCTTTTAAAACACGAGACAAGATTAGGCACAGCGATACCCATAAAATGAGGCTGCATCAATTAGCTGTGCAAATTTGTGGGTATGAACGCATATCCCCTGTTACAGTGGATCAAGTTGGTGTTTATTTCCGCCATGTTCAACCCCAACAGCAGATTACTTCCGAAGTTCCAATAGCAAGGGTTGTATTGGACGTGTCCCTGGCTGGTTTTGCTAAGAAGTTAGTGACAGTGCGATCAGCCTTGCAAGTTGTCAACAAACTCACGGATACGATTGAATTAAAGTTGGAAAGTTATTTACCGCATGATGTGATAACTCTTTGGTCCGCTACTGAGGTATTTCGAGTGGAAAGTGAGCAAACTTTGCATGTGCCTATCGTTCATGCTCATTCTGTAATCAAAGTTAGACCCGTCATTCCAAACCAAAAGTTCACATATTGCAGTCCTCCAATTCAGTGGGAGCAATCGTACAGGAGTTTGGTAAATGGGGTTGTACATGATATTAAAAACTGTCATACACATCGGGGTCTGATATACAGATTTTGTACGGAAATGAAACGCGAACGTTACCCAAAAGATCGTACGTCCCAGCGGCCGCAACCAGCGTACACTATAACATTATTACCAAGCATATTGTTGGTGAACTTATTACCACAAGATTTAATGTTTTCTATTGGGACCATCAAGGATCGCATCAGTGCAGGCTCTCAAACAGCTTTGTCTCATGTTGACGCGGATAGCAACGTTGAAATCAAGTTATTATTGGATAACTTTACGAATAGCAATACTCTTGTGGTGCCATCAGGCACAACTAGTTTTACCTGCAGAGTACGACTTGAGGATAGCAACGGAAGGAAAATGTTTGTAATGGCACAAGTAAGTCCACATATGGACGCGAAAATCAAGATCACAATTACGTCGCCATTTTGGATTATTAACAAGACGGGATTACCTCTCGTTTTTCGTCAACATGGTGTGTCCTCTGATGCCGCAGGACAATTTAGTGAGCATGAGGTGGCTCGAATGATCGCACCACTGTTGTTCAGTTTCTCTGATCCTGCTGCTAGCAATACAGTGACTGCGCGGGTGGGACTTAACGTGGCATCAAATGGATCACCGCAGTGGTGCCAAAATTTCCACCTGCAGCGCGGAGTTCAAGTTAGGAAGTTAAAGGTGTCACTCAAAGATAATCGTCCGGATGTGGTATTTTTAGTTGGCATTGAAATTAGGCAAGGGCGTGGAATATACCGGAACACGAGTATAGTCACAATATCGCCAAGATATCAATTGCACAACAGAAGTTCATACAAGTTACAATTTGCGCAACAATGCTTTGCTCTAAAACAAGATCGAATGAATTATATTAAGGCGATGCCCAATGCAAATATGCCATTTCATTGGCCTCGGCCTGATCAGGAACTTTTGCTGTGCGTTCAGATATTAGACATTGAGGAATGTCAATGGTCTGGCGGTTTGAAGATAGATGCGAACTATTCAATGCATGTCAATATTCGAAACTTTAATGGCAGGATGTATTTCTTACGATTGGAGGTGGTTCAACAAGGAGCAACATATTTTGTTATCTTTACTGATGCTGACACCATGCCTCCACCAATCCGAATCGACAATTTTTCGGAGGTAACTATGAAGTTTGCTCAAACCTGCTGCAAGGAATCACTTACCAGCATGGTTAGAGCCCACTCAAGCGTTCCCTACGCGTGGGACCAACCAACGAAGCAGTGTCTATTAACGATCGAAGCACCGGGGGGAGTATCGCACACCTATGACATTACCAAATTTGGAATTGCTCCTCAACTAACTTACGAAAATTTTATTTACATTGCGTTTTCTGCAACGTTTCGATTGTAAGTTAATATATATTTTTTAAATTTATTTTATTGTTAATTTAAAACAATTATGTTATAGAATGGTCGGATTGGCGGATTGTACTGTGGAAAATCAGGAATTAGTTTTGGACGTAGACAATACCAAGCGCGTTATCTTAGCTCGCAAAGAACAAGGTAGCCGATCCCAACTTTGGCGCATGTCCAGTACCGGACAACTTCAACACGAAGGCAGTAGTCCTCCGTCTCATCCGAATCAACCACGCACCGATAATATTCTGGTCCTTGATATTGAAGGACCTGCGCCTCAGCCGAATACATACACGCGGTTGGCTTTGCGGCGTCCGGACCCACGTCGCAAAAGTACACAAACATGGCGGTTTACCGAAGAGGGACGTTTATGCTGCGTGCATCACAACATGTGTGTACAGGCGCAAGATGGCTTTTTCGGACTGCGTCAAGGTATGCATTACATTCTCACAACATTTAGTAGTTGCATGAAAGTGGCGTCATTGTTATTTTATTGCAGGTGGCCGCTTAGCGTGCTGGCAACCGTGTACGTATTTCTTTATTTCATTAAGCTTGACTAATTCATGCTTACTAAAACTCCTCGAAATCCCATTTGTAATATATTCGGTTAGCGGGCTAACGGGTGTTTAATAGTGACGGATTTTATATCTTGTGTGCTTAATTTCTTTTTGGTCAACAGGGAATTCGGCGGTACTGGGTTTACCACAGCCAGTATGTCATCGAACAACCGACAACGGTGTACCTGTTGAACAAGCCGTCGAACGACAGAGATTAAGACCTGGCAGTGGTTTTCTTGAGGTGGAAGTTACTTCTGATGGTCCAACGAAAGTATTAAGTATATGGGACAAAAAAGAACGCAATAAGAACAAAGAAGAGCAAGCGCAGGAATTGGGAATTTTCTTAAAAACGACCAATTCTTAGACATGAGGATGATGAAGAAGATAAACCAAATGAATACCAACTGAACGTACGATTGAGTGGTTTAGGCATTAGCTTAATATCAGCAAAGCCGCCTCAAGAATTACTTTATGCATTATTTAGCAACATTATTTGTGAAGTTGTGTCCACCGCCAAATCCAAACGATTGTGTGTTAGCATCAAAGATATTCAGATAGACAATCAATTATTTGAGGCACCAACATCAAACTTCCTATTTGTGACACCTTCCAAGAGTAATGTAGATGTTCAATCGAAATTGTCGGCGTTAGAGGTTCTGGTCGAAATGCAGCCCATTGTCAATCAAAACGCAGTAATCTTTGATGTAAGTACTGTAAGTTGTTATAAATAGCACAATTCTAATTAGATGATTATGTATTATAGCATTTGATCGTTCGCTTGAAAAAACTGACCATTCTGCTGGAAGAACGATTACTGCTGAAATTATTTGAGTTTATTGGATATAAGAATAAAGATGAAGAGGTACATCAAAATGTCGAAAGTGATTACGAAACGCAACGAATTGTTATTGATGTGACAGCAGCACACGCCAAGCGTTATTACTTTGGTATTATACAATTAGTACCGGATCAAATTCGTCTTAGTATGGTTACCGCGTCAAAGTTACCACAATCTCTGCAGGTGATCAAACGGAAGGTTGGTTTGACGTTTATTAAATTTGAAGATGCTGGCGTGGATTTAGAACCATATGTTCGACAGCATACGTTTGAGACAATTCAAGTATTAATACATTCGATAGTGCAACATTTTAAAGACGAATTAATATGGCAAGCCGGTATTATTCTCGGGTCTGTGGACTTTTTGGGCAATCCATTAGGATTTATGAATGATGTGACTGAAGGTGTGTCTGGCTTAATTTATGAAGGAAATATTGGGGCATTAGTGAAGAATGTTACACACGGAATTTCAAATTCAGCTGCCAAAGTTACCGAGTCAATATCGGATGGTTTGGGCAAAGTTACCATGGACGAAGAACACGAGGAGTTGAGGCAGAAAATCCGACAAAACGTATATGGCAGCAGTACTGGTCATCTATTAGCCGGTGTAAAGGGGTTTGGGGTTGGAATGTTAGGCGGAGTAACAGGCATCTTTAAACAAATCTATGAAGGTGCTTCAAACGAAGGCATTCCAGGCGTTTTTAGTGGAATCGGCAAAGGTATTGTCGGAGCAGTTACCAAACCCGTGGTTGGTGTACTTGATTTGGCTTCAGAGACCGCTAGAGCTGTAAGGGATTCAAGTAGAAGGTATATATTTTGTTATGTATTTCTGGGTAGTAAAATGAGTAATTTTTTGGCTTGAACTTTTAGTCGGCAAACTCCTGACCAATTAAGATCACCTCGTTGCGCTGTTGGTCCTGGCGGGTTGCTTCCACGCTACAGCGCGAAACAGGGTTTGGGTCAACAGTACTTGTACGCTTTAAACGATAGGAAATATACCGAGACGCTAGTTGCGTATGAAACATTACGTAGTGGTACTGAGGATTTACGGGTAATTATCACGAATTTGAGGATATGCATTGTTACTAACGCCAATGCACCGCAATTGACTACTGTGATTGAATCTTCGCTAAGGTAACTATAAGTAAACACTTAGTGCGTGATATTGATTATCAATTGTCGTTTCTTATTTTAGTGAATTTGAGGAATGCAGAATTATAGTCGATCAACCCGATGGTGGCGTATATTATATCGAATTGATTGTTCGATTAAATGGCGCCAGCCATTCGACATTACCGTATCAGGATGCAGTTCGGCGGCCGAAAGTGCGCTGCGACTCGTATGAGGTAGCAAAGTTAGTAACGCGTCAAATAAATTACGCTAAGCGATTGTACGACGAACGCAAACTGACGCTATCCAGCGACAATATATCACAGAGTGAAGACTGAGCGTAATGTTCACATTATTTACAACAAATATAGGCGATTTGTTTTAGTGCCTTAATTGGTTTGAGCCGTTGTTTTAAATGTTATTTGCATTTTTTGTTATTTCATTGTTACTAATCTTATTTGAATTAAAGTTAGACGAGTACCAATAATTCACATGTAAATATTGTACCATACCGTTTAGTGTGTAGCCGGGTTTTTATTTTCTGTACTTTTTTTCTTAGAAAAGTTAATGTTTGAGATGTTTAATTTTTTACTCTGAACAATTAAATAAACAATATCTACTTAAGCATGAAGAAGAATTTTTTACAGCTTTACAAATCTTACTTATTTTCAGGTAGCATATCACATGAATGATTTTACTAACATAAAACATAATTATTGACTTTTTTAAAACAATAAAAAATTATAATCTCATGCATAGTTCATTATGGTATCCTCTTTGTCGTTTTCAGTATTATCGTCTTAAGTCATATTGCATATAAATCTTATCCGTGTGGAGCGAGTGCAACATAGTTGTGTTGTTTTTAAAAATTTGATTAAAGTAGAAACATAAATAGAAGAATCAAATATTAATGATAAAAACGCTCGGTGGTCGAGTGGGTACGTGCACCTGCTAGCATGCTAGTAGACACGGATCGAATCTCGGGTATAAAAGGCATTTTTCTTAAATATAAAAATATCAGGTGTAATTTGGGTTGCATATATGAATTGCAACAAAATATAAGAGAAATTAAAGTACAAGTGAAGGCAACAAGTAAAAGTAAGAAAGTAAAAGGAGAACGGGAGAACAGAGAAATAGAAGAATGAGAGTAGTAGAGAATAGGAGAAGATAGAAGGAAGAGAACAGAGAGTAGAGTAGAGAAGAGGAGGAGATTGAAGAAAGAGAACAGGGGAGGATCAGATTTTTAAATTTTTTGGCCCGTGTCGTTAGACAGTCTAAGGTCGATGCGTCCATTGCTCCCGGCCCAACCTACAGCTACGATGCCTCTGCGCTTCATCCCCGGAATTATCAGGCATATCAACAATTTTTATGGTGGGGGATCATCCCCAGAGAGAGGGAACTCCTTATAAGGTTTTGTAAAAATATTTCTATATTTCTAAGTGTAGACTCTATTAGAGCCAACACAAAATATAGAAATATTCTACAAGTGCTGACCTGTACCTGCAAATGGTAGAAGGGGTGCACACAAATAATACAAGTCACAATCCTTTTTGACATTTCTTTATTAACAAATGTATTGTAATTATGAAAGTACAATAAGTGAAGCTACGGAAAACCAATATACAGGGTGTTACAAAAAGAAAATTGCTACATCACAAAAGAAAATGCCAAGTTCAAGAAGGAAAATATTAGGAAACATTAAATATCGACAATTTTTGATCGGAAATTAAGGGAAACAAATATACAGGGTGTTACAAAAAGAAAATCAATAGTTCAAAAAAGAAAACACTTGGGAATAACACATTTAGAAAACTTATAATAGGAAATCGAGAAAAACAAACATACAGGGTGTTACAAACAGAAAACTTATAAATTTAAAAATAAAATACAAAGTTTAAGTAGAAAACTACCCAGAAACGACAAATTTAGTCAGTTTTACATTAGAGAGCAAGGAAAAGTATACATAGGGTGATACAAAAAGAAAACCGCTACATTTAATAAGAAATTTCAAAATTTTCTATGCATGGAATTAGAATCACAATTAGAGAAGGTGACACAACAAAAATACAATTACATTTTAATTTAAGAATAAAGAGCTACAGGAAAAATCCAAAAAATTATCTATTACCTGTTTTACTCAGAATATTAAGAAATGGAAAGGTAGGGAAGCTAGAGTTAGGCATAAATAAAACATCAATATGAATTTTATTGCGATCTTGAAATTTTCTTTGCGACGGATTCTCTAGATACGCCACAAGCAAGGCAGAATGTGTCTGCCGACGGACACACGCGGTTCGTCAAGTACACACGCGGAAGGAAATTTAAATCGTCTTTTACAAATATATTATTCTCAATAATTAATTGCCAAACTTTAAAAATACGTTAACGAGCTTGTTGATTTATGAAATAAATAGAAAATACGAGCAAGGAAAAATTCACGTTATTAAACCGATGATTGATATGACCATACTCTGCGGGTAGCTCGAAGTCGCATCCGACGGCACGTATCAATTTTGTGTTATTACGGTACTCACGTTACATGCGATTTAAGATAAATATGTAATTGTGATGTAATAACGTTTACAAACTTACCAGTGCATCAAGTAATCAAAGAAAGTACTGAAACAGAAAAAAAACACGGGTGTGAGAACTCGCACTATGATGCACACTTATTTAAATTCATTTTGTCGGATAATGAACATGTACTATTTTAACACACAATTTTCCCTGAATATCCTGTCAAGGACAGCCGTTAATTACACTTAAAATTAAAATTAAAATTACGAATAGGATACATATTTCTAATTTTCCAATTCTCAGCATCGAAATAATCCATTAGCCGACACTCACATGTAAACACGAGTTTTATAATCATTTTACGCGCAAATCATCCTTAGCAAAACACTCTGCATGTCTGTTGTCATTAGGCGCCGTAATTAATGCTGATTTTTAATCAATAATAAAATGTAATGTAATTGGAATGAATGAAAGAATGATGCCGAGCCGTGTGCAGGTAAGAACAGACTGAAGCGGTCGAACGTTCGTAGCGTGAGAGGCAGCATTGCGCAGCGCACGTTTATAGCGATATAAAAACTTGTTTTTACACAAACCCCGATAAGCGTGTAAAATTGAAATAGAACATTTCTGATGTGCACTAAAATAAAATAAAATAAAATATTTCATTACATCAAATGCAAATTTCGGCTAAACTTTACAAAAATGATAAAAAATATTGCATCAATAGTTCCCGAGACACGGCCAAATTTCCACGGCGTGTTTTGAAAATTCATGAAAATAGTAAAAATTTCAGAGCAATTTTAAGGCACTTCTAGCGTGATTTCAAGGGGCAGCAAGGGCGAGTCATGTAAGATGACTCTCAGGCTATGCACATTTAAAAAGATCATTGAAATCGCACAAGCGGTTTGCGAGATATAGCCAAATTTCCACCGCGTGTTTCGAAAATTCATGGAAATAGTAAAAGTTTCAGAACAATTTTAAGGCATTTCTAGCGTGATTTCAGAGGGCAGCAAGCGCGCATCATATAAACTGACTCTCACGCTATGCAAATTTGAAAGGATCATTGAAATCGCACAAACGGTTTGCGAAATATAGCCAAATTTCCACCGGGTGTTACGACAATTCATAAAAATAGTAAAAGTTTCACAACAATTTTAAGTCACTTCTAGCGTGATTTCAAGGGGCAGCAAGGGCGCGTCATGTAAGATGACTCTCAGGCTATGCACATTTAAAAAGATCATTGAAATCGCACAAACGGTTTGCGAGATATAGCCAAATTTCCACCGCGTGTTTCGAAAATTGATGAAAATAGTAAATGTTTCAGAACAATTTTAAGTCACTTCTAGCGTGATTTCAGGGAGCAACAAGCGCGCATCATATAAACTGACTCTCATGCTATGCAAATTTGAAAGGATCATTGAAATCGCACAAACGGTTTGCGAAATATAGCCAAATTTCCACTGCGTGTTTCGAAAATTCATGAAAATAGTAAAAGTTTCAGAACAATTTTAAGTCACTTCTAGCGTAATTTCAGGGGGCAGCAAGCGCGCATCATATAAACTGACTCTCATGCTATGCAAATTTGATAGAATCATTGAAATCGCACAATCGGTTTGGAAATATAGCCAAATTTTCACCGCATGTTTCGAAAATTCATGAAAATAGTAAAAGTTTCAGAACAATTTTAAAACACTTCTAGCGTGATTTCAGGGGGCAGCAAGCGCGCATCATATAAAATGACTCTCACGCTATGCAAATTTGAAAGGATTATTAAAATCGCACAAACGATGTGTGAGATATAGCCAAATTTCCACCTTATATTTCGAAAATTCATGAAAATAGTAAAAGTTTCACCACAATTTTAAGGCACTTCTAGCGTGATTTCAGGGGGCAGCAAGCGCGCATCATATAAAATGACTCTCACGCTATGCAAATTAGAAAGGATCATTGAAATCGCACAAACGGTTTGCGAGATATAGCCAAATTTCCACCGGGTGTTTCAAAAATTCATGAAAATAGTAAAAATGTCAGAGCAATTTATCCACATTTGGTTGAATAATTGGTCGATAATGTTGATAGAATATAGTATATAGTATTTAGTATTTTCTTACGTTTTTGCAGGTAAACTATTCCACATGGGACACGAAAGATCTTGATTTAAATTCACTCTTAAATGAATGCACCCAACAAAACCACTAAGAATTTTTAGCCGACGGAAGACATCCGACAGCCGACGGCAAACACGTGTATATCTTGTAAAACCATGCTAACTTATATAATTAACTTATTAACTATACGCGCCTTGTCTGTTAATTCTAAATCTTATCTTTGCGGACCGATTCTAATTCAACTACCGACTTAAAATCACACGAAACGCCACGAAGGCCGCCGCGCAAGTAAACGCGTCCACACCACGCCGCAGCGCACGATCAACTAAGTAAGCAATAGCACACACAATGCTGAGCGCGCCGGATGCGCTGCAACGCGATGAAAAAACAAGATGTTTGTACACAACCACCGATAAGAGTCAAAGGTGAGAACAATGCATGTTGCGAATACAGTCTAATGCAATGAAAAGATTTGATATTTCATACTTTCTTATTCGTAGGAGTAATCTATCCTAAAATCCAGAATTGAATGCAGTCTATATGAAAAGGCAGAATCGAAGATAATCGCTCCTCTTAGCACTTTGAGCAACTATTTTTGAACTTTTACTTTAGGTAGTTAATATATTTTATTAACTTGTTCTATACAGAATTTTCGGAAATTTTATAATCTTCAATCACGTTTCGAGGGTGTCTTGTGACTCGTGTTCATGGCACCGTACGAGGCTAGCGGTGGAAGTGACTCGTGTTCAGGGCACCGTATGAAGGTAGCGGTAGAAGTGACTCTTATTCAGAGCACCGTACAAGGCTAGCGGTAGAAGTTACTCGTGTTCAGGGCACCGTATGAAGGTAGCGGTAGATGTGACTCTTATTCAGGGCACCGTACAAGGCTAGCGGTAAAAGTGACACCCATTCAACACTTGCGCTAATTGAATTCGAAGAAATTCCCGAAATATGACCCGTTTTTCGCCGCATGTTTTGATAAATTACATTTTATTATCAAACTAATAGTTTAGCTAATAATCTCCATATAAAGTCCGATAATATAGTTTAAAAGTGCAATAGGGTTCCACCGTTAAAGATTCAACTAAATTCCAGCCAAAAATTATTTGAAAAAACAGTTTAGCTATGCCTTTCAAAAATTTAAATGTGAAACACAAATTCGGTTTTGTGTTTTGACCAAAAAATGAAAAACATAGTGATTTTCAAAGGATTATGTGGTTTGAATTTACGCACACTTAGTGGAGGAAATTGTTATCTATTAAAGGATACTATATTTGGTGGTAGGATTTAGGTATCAGATTGCCTATGTGCACTAAGGCTGTCATGATAATTCCCGTCCTTCCTGGAAAGTGATGTATCATCAGCTTTGCTCGAGGATTCGGATCCGGGTGATGTTCTCTTCTGTGTAATCCAAACTTTGATTGCAAATTTAGATTCATTAATCAACGCTTCTTTGTGAGTTATCTACAATTTAGAAATTATCTCAACTAATATATTATTTTTACACAAAAATAAATTACCTTTTGTTCCACTGCAACTGTATGCACGTTCCAGAAAAATTCAATGATTGAGAAAATGAAAGCAATGGAAACGCCCACACCTAATACGAGAAACACACCACCAACATTTGCTAACTTTAAGTCTGCTGAAGAGCCTCCTTCATCTGATTCCTAAAAGTATATTGATAATAAGCTATGGTTAATATATCAAAACCAAATCTAATAAAGTACCTCACAACCTCCGCCACTTTTTTCTTTCCACCATTTGTTTTTGAGCAAATTTAAAGTTCCGTCTTCTTGCATATTTAGAACTGCTTTGTTAATTGCGCTTCTATATGGTGAATCTGAATAAATAAGTAGAAATTGCTTACAACTATAATCACATGGTAATTTTTTTATGCTAAATCCAAATTTAAATCAATACTTACTCACTGGCATTGCAATACCATATCCTTTAGAATCCATGCGTCCGCCAACTTGTTTCAGTTCACAATTTCTTTCCACTTCATATTCAATCTGTGAACTTTCCATTAAAAATGCGTATAATTGATTCTTAGTAGTAAGGACTCGTTTTACACCATCTGCATTATTTTTTTCAAATACACTGGGTTTTGCAGATGCCATTTGGGTCCACATTCTTGCATACGTTGAAAAATTCGATTCTCTGAAAAATGTTTGAGTGGACCCACCATCAACTGTTCCATATTTTATTTTAGTTTGTTTGGCGAGAGCTTCAGCGTTGTCTATACTCGGTGCCATTTTGTCCATGGTTAAAAACGCAGCTAAATTTGCAGTATATGATGAAGATATAATTAAAATAAAAAACCACCACATTGAAGCAGCCATTCTTGATGATATTCCCCTAAAATTATTCGCGTGATAATAAACGCGACATAAAAGTATTATATGAACTGACTTTGGCAATATATCACAACCCTGCGACATAGTTGAACCCAACATTAACCATAAACAATTTTTCATATCCCATATGTTTTCCAATTCTTCTGGATTCTGATCACATGGGTGTGGATTTTCCCAGTCCCCAGGCGCCATTCTATGTATTCAAAATATTTTAATAATTTAGTTTCAAATAATAATGATATGCTTACCTGGCAATTAAATAAATGACCAATGCCACAGAAATATAAGCAGACACGATGTACATCCACACGGTGGTATCTAATGGTTCCATAAACGCAAAAATATTTCGTTCTGACGGTTTTGACTTGCTATACAAAATGCTTACGCCGAGTGTCATAAATGGAAGACTAAAATCCACAGCACTTCGTCTCGAATGCGTTATAGTTAAATCACAAATTGCCAAATGGGCTCTCTAAAAAACGTCAATTTAAAATAGCTGAGTATTTAACAAAGACTTATCTACCCTTTCTAGTAAATCTTTAATTAGGCCGTTCCACTCCTTAGTTTTCTTGTTATAGGTTCCGTATGCACCATCAGCGGTTAGAAAAAATCGATATGTAAAATTTAGTTCTTTAGAAACAGCATCGATTAAATCCATAGAATATCCCTCAAACCTTGCATTTCCTTCCAGAACTTCTCCTTCATATTGAGGTTTGCGGTAACTTAAATATGGTGGCCCTATCCGAGAGGATACCATAACAATAGTTTTCTGAAGATTCTCGACAATCTGTTGCATTTGCTCGTCGGCGCTTCTTGTAAAATTTAAGTGATCGGCATTTTCTGGATACCAGGTTGCAGTTTTTTCAATACGCTTGTCGATTATTTCGATAAGTTCGACTGCAAATTCGACACGTTTGCCCCACTCATTAAATTTGACTGTTCCGGTCAAAGCATTCAGAAATGGACGCTAAAATATGAAATTAATAAAAACATTATAATTATATAATAAACACTTACAATTTTCATATATGTTGTTATCCGAAAGCCGCCCTCCCATTTTTCATTCTCGCCACATTGAACCTTATTGGCGACAATTGGCTCAGTAATATGCAATTCTTGAAATGCAGTTGTAAAAAAATTTACTGCATCGTGCATTAGTGCCGCCTCAGTAGTGACTTCAGTAGGTGGAATACTGACAAACTGCTTTCGGTTCAATTCACCCATTTCCCAATCTCGGACAGTATTTTGTAAAATCGGATTGTTTGGATCCACAAGTCTTATAGTCGTAATGTTGGCATTGGTTCCCAATACAGTAAAATCCAAAGTATGTGCATCCTAAAATACCACCATTTAGCAAATAACAAATTTTTTTCACTATTTTCAATACCAAATCTGTTAAAAAATAATTGTGAAAATATTCCAAAAGGTCTACTTCTTTTGCTTGAGCCAATATATCTAGAATTCTATGTGTTTTGCATTCTAAGATAATGTTGCTTTCGCCAGATTGCTTGATCAGTTTAAAAAGTGGCCGTTGATCCTCAGAGCTATCCAGTTGCCTAATTGTAACCGGAGGAGAATCGGCTTGAGTAAGTTTTAAAACATCTTGAAGTTTGACTAAACTCTCATTGTCTTCATAGATAATCATATAGGTTTTCCAATCCATATTTTGCACAATAGTTGCAATTGCCGTTGCCAACATTTCATAGTCAGGATATATATTTAATGCTGTTGTTGACACATATGTTGTTTTAGTCAGATAATGAGTAGAAATATGCGGAATTTCTAAATTTGCTGCAACTGATTTTACCATAGCATCAACCTCTTTTGACTCGGGTCCAAAAATAGCAACAACACCTTCTTCAGAAGATACCATTGAACACACTACAAATAAAAGTTGAAACATTTCATATATTTTAACAATAAATTGCGCACAATATTTGCATACCCAGTTTAGAAACTGCAAATGGATCTGTCTTTGTTACTCGTTCAATTTGAGCACGAAATTCGATGTCATGGTTGAACATGTTGTATCGTTCCAACGCGTATTTAAACGCCATTTCAGCTTGGTAGTTGTCTTCGTGAAAAAGTCCACCTGTAGAAAAGAATATCTTTCACAAGCATGTTTTGATTGTTTATTTGGATACTCACCGATTGTAAATACATCTTTGGCTATTGTAACATTCAGTAGGACAAGCAAACACAATATTGTGATCATTCTGGTATCTCATAGGCGAATGAAAGAGGAATCTTAAAACTTCGATACTATATTTAAACGCACACGCGCATAGAATACTGCCTGCCTCACGCGAATGTCTGCTTCTCCCTAACTACACTGAAAGTCTAATTTTATTAATATAATGCTTTTGTTTCTCTGCCAAATAAAATATGCGTAATGAATCCACTTAAACTACAAGAAATTAACATAAACTATGAAAATATTGAAGAATGTATTATTAATTCATCAATACAATTATTTTGAATGAATTTTACCTTACAGAAAACAACGCAATAAATATAATTTTCTTAAAATAGTTTCTAAGTATTGTATTGTGCGCTAAGACCCTTTTCAAAACACTCGTATATGATCAAGCTCTACACGCTTTCAGAATAGAAATCTAGTTTATAAAATAGAACTCGCTCCTTGCAGCATCTTGGATTCAGTTGTTTCATTTGGCTAATACGTATAAGACGTGTTGAGTTTCTAAAAGCTTTAAAAGTTGGTAAATAGTTTAGTGGTTAGTAGTGATAAATACTGCAATAAATAACACTCTGATAATGTTAAATATTTTAAACTACTCAAATCTTAGTACGATTAAAACAACCTGTTCATTTAACTTTCGGATTTTTCTCTTTGATCAATACGTAAAAGTGATGCACCACTTTTCAACATCTTATCTTTCAGTCCTTTCTTTTCATCTTTTGATTCATTGTCTTCGCCTCCCGTTGATGAAGATGATGATGATGAAGATTCAGAAAGTTCAGGCTTGACACGTTTCTGAGTAATCCACACTTTGAATGCAAATTTAGTCTCAACTTTCAAAGCATCCAAATAGGATATCTGCCAACAATAATAAAAATAGTACAGTTATATTATTGGTAAACAAATAATTATAGTGAAAAAAATGGAACGCACATGTTCTTCAATGGAAACACTTCGCACATTCCAAAGGAAATCAACAATAGACAAAAGAAATGCAATAGCTACACCCATTCCCAATGCGATAAAAATACCACCAACGTTCGTCATTCGTAGATCAGCACCGGAAGCACTTCCTTCGTCCTACAACGCAATTATTGTCATGTATGTATCATAGTTACACATGTAACACACAGTATTTACCTCACATTTTACTTCAACTTCAACTTTTTCTTTCCACCATTTGTTTTTCAACTCTGTAAGCCTTCCCTTTTCCTGAAGTTTAAGCACTGCGGTGCTAATGGCACTTCTATATGGTGCGTCTAAAATTTGATTTATTATGTTCAATAAGTTTACCCAGATTGGTTTTTGAATTTACTCATTGGCATGGCAATTCCGTAACTCTTGGAATCCAAACGTCCACCAACTTGTTTCAGATCACAATTTTTCTGAACTTCGTATTCTATCTGAGAACTTTCCATCAAGAATGCGTACAATTGATTTTTGGTAGTTAAAACACGCTTTACGCCATCAGCGTTTGTTTTTTCAAATACACTAGGTCTCGCGCCCTCCATTTGAGTCCACATGCGGGCATAAGTTGTATAATTAGATTCCTTGAAAAATGTCTGGGTAGAACCTCCATCAACTGTTCCATATTTAATTTTAGTCTGTTTAACTAGGGCTTCTGCACTGTCAATTGTAGGTGCCATTCGATCCATTGTCAAGAACGCAGCTAAATTAGCTGTGTAAGAACTAGTCATAATCAATGAAAAGAACCACCACATAGAAACACCCCAACGAGTAGATATTCCCCTGAAATATTGGCTCATTACAAAATACGTGCATAGATATATTTGTCAGAATTACTTTGGTAGAATGTCGCAACCTTGTGTCATTATAGAACCCAGAGTAATCCACAAGCAATTTTTTAAGTCCCATATATTTTCGTACTCTTCAGGATCTTGATCGCATGGATGTGGGTTTTCCCAATCTCCAGGTGCCATCCTGAATAATTTAGTAATAAATATTTTAGGAAATTAAGACTTAATTACATTTACCTGGCAATAAAATATAGCAGAACAGAAACACTGAGAAATAAAGTCAATGTATAAAACCATACTTCCATTCCAAAGGGATCTAAGAACGCAAATCTATTTGCGTCTGCCTTTTTTGCCTTACTGTATAAAATACTCACACCTAAAGACATAAAAGGCATACTAAAATCAACAGCTGCTCTACGTGAATGTGTGATGGTTAAATCACAAATGGCTAAGTGAGCTTTCTGCAACAATCAATGCACTTAGAAAAATAGAGTTTTAGTGTTTATTTGCTATTCATACCCGATCCAGTAAATCTTTTATCAGCCCATTCCATGATTTTGTTTTTGGAACATAATTTCCGTATTTCCCATCAGCAGCTAATTCGATTCGAAAAGTGAAATTCAAATGTCGGGATATAAGATAAATCAAATCTTTAGAAAACCCTTCATATCTATCATTTCCAGTGAGGATTTCACCTTCTTTTGGCACAACTTCTCGTAGATAAGGTGGTCCAATACGAGACGAAACAATGATTAATGTTTTCTGTAAGTTTTCATATATTTGTTGCATTTGTTCACTCGAACTTCGAGTAAAATTTATTGCATCTGGATAAATTGGACTCCATATCCCAGTTACATCCAGCTTTCCCTCATTGATCTCAACAATTTGCAGTGTGAAGTCAATTCGTCGTCCTTGCTCGTTAAATTTTACTGGTCCAGTGATTGAGTTTAGCATATGTTTCTGTAGAACAAGTTTTAATTATCAATTTGAAAGTTATATGAAGTGTTTAACTAACAATTTTCATAAAATTGCTAATTCGAAAACCACCCGCCCATTTACGTTGTTCTGAACAATCCATAGACTCAGGCTTAATTGGTTCAGTAAGATGCAATTGTGGAACAATAGACGTGAAGAAATTGACGGCATCGTGCATTAGTGCGGTTTCAGCCTACAAATACACATTTTAGAAGTAGCTGCAATAAATTTGCTATAAAACTTACTTTGACTTTCAAAGGAGAGATAGTAATATAATTATTTGTATTTGATTCACCTTGTATCCAGTCTAACACTGCGTTATTTAAAATTGGACTGTCTGGATCCAAAAGTCTAACAACAGTTATATTTGATTTTGTGTTTAGGGATTCAAAATCCAGCATATGTGCATCCTACAAACATTGCTTAAATCGAAATTCTTAATGTCGGAACAAGAGCTTACAAGTGAGGTTATGAAATAGCTATACAGATATTCCAACATTCCAACTTCTTGCGCTTGTTTTAAAATACCTATCACATTCTCAGCGGCGCAATTTAAAATGATTTGAGTTTCAGATGAATTTTTCACTTCTTTAAGTAAGGGTCTAATAAAAATGTTTACAAAGTAAATAAAACCTTAAAAATATATGATAATACCTATGATCTGCACCAGGTTGAGTATCCAGTTGTCGTATTATTACAGGATCACTTTTAGGATTGGCAAGTTTCAATACTTCATTGAGTTGAGACAAACCTTCATTAGTTTCATACAAAATTGCATAGGATCTCCAATCAGTATGCCTTACGATTGTTGCATATGCTTGCGCTAATAGATCGTGATCTGGATAAATGTTTAAAATTGTTTGATGTTGGAACGGAAGGTTGGCTTTCCACGAAATTTGTATTTGCGGAATTTCCAAGTTCGAGCACACCGATTGCACCATGGCTCCGGTTGTGAGTGACGGTGGGCCAAAAATAGCTACCAAACCATCTTCAGACGCCGTCATATTGCATACTATGCATGTTGTGATGAAAAACATTCAAAAATATTAACTCTACTCTCACTTTTGGATATAAATGACACCTTACCGATTTTGCTGGCTGAAAATGCATCAGTCCGTGAAATCCGTTGAATGTTTGTTCGAAATTTTACCTGATTATTGTACATGTTATGTCGGGCAATTGCATACTTGAAAGCCATTTCCGTTTCGGTATTTTCTTCGTGAAATAAGCCACCTACATTTGTGTATGATATACCCGACGTTATAAATTTCCTACAGTCAATATTTGTACTCACCGATTGTAAAATACACTGATCGACTTGCAGCTTCATGTTTTGAAATGATTAAAATCAACGACAATATCACAAGCATACGATGAAACATTTTTGACGATTTGGCGTCTATGATGCACAACGCACTTCGACCGATTCATTAATGAGACGCATTGGTTTGTAAATAAACGTACAGATTTTTGGTCCCCGTCCAAGCGTCGAAGTAATTATATGTGAAAATATAAATAGCAAAGACTAAATTTGGACCAACCAAATATCATTCGATAGATATTTTTCAATAAATTTAAAAAATCAAATTGTTATGATTGAAAATTATTCTACAAAGTTGCTAATTGAAAACATTCCCAAAATAATTAAACTGTTTTAATATTTTATACGAAAATTGATGTTGATCCTTTATCCATAAGTACACAAATTGAGGATAATGGTGTTTTCCTTAAATTTTGTTTGTAACGAAATTCAGTACAAACAAGAGCATATTATACCATTTGTTGGAATAATATTTATATGACATTTGACAATAAATAGGTACTGTATACGTAGTTACAGTAGCTTGTTGAACAAAATAAATACATAAAGCCCACACTTGATGCAAAATGTGGGCATACAATGGGACTACGCCGCCGCCACCTCCGCCGCCTCCGCTTCACCTTTCATTCATCGCTTGCCGAAATCGTGGAATTGTTACGCGCAGCGCACGCGGCAACCGACGCCGACGCTCCGCGTATCGTTGCGCGGCGGATTATCGATCTACTACGACATCCTGGAAATATATTTCATAGTATGTATGTATTAGGACTTTAGTGACGCCAGCGATAGCGAATGCATCGCGTCTGGCAAGGATAACTCGTTCGCGTTTTGTTTCAGTTCAGTGCAAAACCTTTCCCATCTAAATACTTCGTTTGAGTTTTAAGTTTTCGCTCGCCTTCCGCCGACCATTAGCACTATTCGCAGCCATACGCGGCACAACCAGTCAAATATCACGAACAGTCAGGTAAGGTGCATAAGAATTTTTTAAACTTAATAAAAACATCAGCGATAAATAATTTTACAAGCGCATCGGCTAAAACAACATCGTAGTAATTAAGCACCCACACTTTTCCGCGGGTAATTTCATGTTACATCATACGCTCATTTGTAGATCTGTGTGTTCGTATTATTAACCTTGTGTCTAAAAAATTACAGAATTCGCCGAAGCAATTTATGTTTCCATGACATCTGCTGAACTGTTCGAGGTAAACGCTCAATATGCAGCCGTGCAAATAACACGTACGAAAGACGACAATGTGTCCGAAATTGGAGCCAAAGAAGAATTTTGTCAAACCGCCTCAATTCGATATACTGTAAGAGGATCTCCATATATGTAAAAAATGCAAATTCTCTAAAACGTTTCCTTTTTAGATGGCTACCAAGGGCTGCTATGAGGTCGGTGGAGGGCGACCCCTCCGACTGTGTGCTGGTCGTTGGTGTATCGCGACCGAAAATGGCGATGGCGATTCTGGTCGTTATGATAATCTCGCTATGCCTTACCTTTCATTTGATATATGATAGTGCATTGAATAGTCTGCAGCGAACCGGTCACGATCACTCGCGGCCACCTTTATTACTGCTATCGAGATCGTTATATCCTTCTGCCACTCGAAAACTACCACAAGCTATTATAATAGGTTGGAATTAATGAATATAAATTATGTGTTAAGTACTCATGAGTGTGTATTATTCATTTTTTTAGGAGTTCGAAAATGCGGTACCAGAGCCTTACTAGAAATGCTATATTTACATCCTATGGTACAGAAAGCGGCCGGGGAGGTTCACTTCTTCGACCGCGACGAAAACTATAATAAAGGTTTGGAATGGTACCGAACCAAAATGCCGGAGTCGTACCCCGGACAGATTACCATCGAAAAGAGCCCCAGTTATTTTGTTACACCCGAAGTTCCTGAACGAATTAGAGCAATGAATGCGAGCATAAAACTGCTGTTAATAATACGCGAACCTGTCACAAGAGCAATATCGGATTATACGCAACTAAGAGCGCATGCCGCAACGGCCTCACCTGCTGTTACACCACCTCCGACACCCAAGTCCTTCGAACAGCTGGTATTGCACGCAAACGGCACGATCAACGAAGGATATCGTCCACTAGCAATATCAATTTACCACCATTACGTGCATCGCTGGCTGGAGACGTTCGGCCGGCAACAGATACTCGTCGTCAATGGCGATCAACTGATTGAGGATCCAGTGCCGCAGCTGCAGCGCATCGAACGCTTCCTCGGCCTGGAGCAGCACATAGGCATGCGCAACTTCTACTTTAACGAAACCAAAGGCTTCTACTGTTTGCGCAACGAGACCTCCGACCGCTGCCTGAAGGAAACAAAAGGCAGGCGGCATCCGCGCGTTGATCCAGCAATAATCGTCAGGCTGCGTAAGTATTTCGCCGAGCATAATCAAAAGTTTTACGAGTTGATCGGGGAGGATCTCGGATGGCCAGAGGATTAGGGTTGATCATCAAATACATAAATATTTATTTTTCGATGCTCAAATAAGTTGATTACTATAAGTAAGTACGAACGAACATCATTGAAATCTTACATAATGCTTTTTTATAAGTTGGGAGCATTGCTGAATTGAAAAGATATTGAATGAATAATCAAGTAACATCAAGGGAACTTAATTCATTAATGAAAGAAACTGAAACCTAAACGGGAAATTACACATATCGTAAACATATCAAATATTAATACTTATACATATCAAAATTGTGATTTCTATATACATATAACTCGTAAAATGATTATTATATAAAACTAAGCATATACTGTTATTCAATGTCTACTAAAATATGTACTATACATTCGTGGTATGTCTGATACCCTTCACATTGCGTATATAAATGTAAGAATTTACATTGTTCAATTTTATAAAGAATTTTTAAAGATTTGTTATCAAAAAACACTAATTAATCGGCTACGTGTGTGTTTGCGTGAATGTTAAAAATGTCTAACATATACGATGGAGTACATAAAACGACATATACAAGTAAATGAAGGGGAAAAAAGTCGCAATGACGTTTTGAAGTTAGTTTTAGTTGTGGACTTTTATGTTTACCGTACTTACGTTGGATGTTAATTGATTTAAAATCGATTAGAAGTGCGTAATTACTGTTGCGTATTATTTTATAAGCTATAGTTAAATGTACATATAAAACATGAGTTTAGTTACCTTGTTACTAGAACAATTTGTTAGTGAATACCGTTGAAAGTTTGTATCTCAAATTCAGTTAGCAATTTGAAGAGCTTCAGAAAGAATTTATGGAAATAATTTATCATTTGTTCTAACTAAACACTTTGACACAGGTTTACATATCGTTATATGAAATGATCAGAATTCGATTGAAGTTTAACTTGCATTGAAACCAGAAAAAATGTATTTTGATATACTTATTCACGTTTACGGCCACCATTTATAAATTTATTCCGGATAAGATACAATTGCTTTCTGAAACAAACTATATTATTGTGATAATAATACATATTAAGTAATTGTTCACTTGTTGGGAATGCGATTCTGCAATCTGATAGGAAGGCTTATTCGCATCAATACATATCACAATATTACAATGATTTGTTTAAAATTTAAATCAAAAGACCATTGTAATAGTAATACCAAAAAGAATCACGTTCCTATCACGTTGTAACGATTTTCATCACCACATAATTCAATCATATTTAACTTCACATTTGTTATACCAATTAAGTAACAGGCAATAATTAATTCTGCACAATTTAGAAGAGGAAGATTTATATGAACGTTTTACTTAGATACAAAGCCCGACTTATGTTGAGATCTCGTTAGACAGAGAATTTCAGTTAATTGTATATCTTTGGATTCACAATAGTCCTCGACACGGGGGTATAGAATTATTTAGCTCGTAAATAATAGAATATCAAATGAACATATCAAGAATAGCACAGAGAAGTAAACACTAAACACGAGGATAGAAGAAACCAAATGGGAAACAAAAACAAAATTTAAACAAATGCCTATTAAGATAGACAAAATGATATTTTGAACATAAATTGTACGAAAGCTAAACGATGCTGATCAGTGCGTAGAAACAACAAGAGAGTAAAACGTAGAGAAAAAGTGGGTATATAAATCGCGTGCGCAAAGATGAATATTTTTTTACGTAACGTACGTGTAATTACGTTAAATTAAACTTTTAAATGATAAACTATACAAAGTACATATCATCAGAGAGATATTTCAAACCCACACGATTTCTTCTAGATCGTAAAATACATATCATGACAGCTAATAGATTCAATTTAATGCGAAAGATACTTCTTTACATATCATTACAGAGGTGTAATAATACAAAAAAAAGTGAGAACATTTTACAAACAAACACAAAACATTATACTGATATTACATACACACATACATCACGTACACGTAAGATTAAATCTATGATCTCTTAAAAAATGAAGTAAACAGAAGGAAGAAACGTAAAAGTAAAAACATATCATTTACTAAATAAATACTGTACACTCTATTGCATGTTATTATCTATTTACCAAACAATGTCGGTAGACAAGCTCGTAAACATAGTCCGCAATTTTAGTCAATTCAGAAGTCAAAATAACTTGTCTGCCGACAGTTGTACTCTTATCTATTCTACGTGTAGTGTTAATTAAAAATGTTTAAACACTTTTCAACCTTTCCTTTAACATGTCGTCTGTAAATAAACACAGGAAATGTTATATACCAGTAAGAAAATCAATTCTAGGCAATTCAACAGTTTTCTGCGTTTACATATTAAAATGCGATCGAACCGATCAAATATAAATGTCGAAACGTTGTTCACTAAAACGATAATAATAATTTATTCTATTTTGTTGAAAAAATTGTATTTTTATTCTCTAAAATATATACGAATATCCAAAACTCTTTCCACCTATCATCCAATAGATAAATTTTAATACACATTATTTCTGTTTACAAAAATATTCATAATATGTAATTATTTAGTGATTGCATTAGTTTTTTTTACAACATTCATTATGAAAAATTATTTACTTACATTTAGTTTAAGGTACATTATTGTTTATGTACAAAATGCGCACCCATTATGGGCCAATCGTAAAATAACAAAGAGATCTTGGTAGTAGATTCCGCAGTGTTAATTCGGGACATAAATTGATCATTGAAACTAAATTGCATCTTTATAACATTCGCTTTCTTTGGTTTACAAGGATACATTGATGCACAAACCCAAGACGTATTCAAAAGCCACCAAATTAAGAATATTATTATGCATTTGTAAAAAAATATTACTTGTGCGGTGTATTTGAGATCTATCAGTATTTGCAAACCCCTGTTATCATGATCTCATATCTCATCACTTGTTTATCAACAACAATCCCTAACATCTAGTCTTAAATACTGTCATGACTAGCTCAATACAAAGGTAAGGTTTTTGTTTTATCCTAACAATATTCTTTTTATTGTGATAGTTGTAATAGTTTTCACGCTCAGTAATTTATTAATGTATCAAAGGTAAATTGCCTTTTGATGGTCTACTTCGCACCGTCTTTGACAATCTATCAATCTCATCTTGGCTGTACGTTGGCGCAACGCGCGATAATTTTCGATGTTTCTTGTGATGCTTCCGCACCATGCTGTACGTGTTATTTGTACACAAGTAATCGTTTTGCCAATTGTTTATGGGAGTACCCAACCGGCTGCACTCTTGCGCGTACGCCGTCAAGGCATCGCAATAACACTTGCCACTTGGGCAATCACACATGTCATGCCAGCATGCCAACTGGTACTTATAATAATTAAGCTTTTTATGACAAGCGACGAATATCTCCGATGATGTTAGGAATGAGCAGACAATATTCTTGGATTTCAATGGACACTGCTGGATTTGCTGCATTCGTTTAGTGTCCTTCAGGCATTCCTTACCCACACACCAGGAAACACCGAACTTCATTAAGTCCGTATCAGTGACTACGCCACCTTTACGCTTTTTCAAATCGTCTTGTACATTGAGATTGAAATTACCGCACAGCCCGCATACTTTATTCTTGAATTGCGTGGGTATCGTCACCTCCAAGTAACTGTGACAGTTCCAGAGAATTTTAATGCTATTTTTTAGTACCACTTTGATATCATGCTCGCCTTTCGTGATTTGGATCAATGTTGTGTTTATCGATGAAGATAAACGACTACCATTCAATTTAACGCGACAGTTTTGTCCTAAGTTTATGCGAATATCGCCGAATTTTATGCGCACCCGTTTTGTCATCACGGATGATTTGTTTCTGTTTGTGAAATCGTTTGTTATACGGACAGAAAACGAATGATTATGGCAGTCGGATACAAACTGGTACTTGCCGAGTCCTTGAAATGTGTACATTTTACCGTCGAACGTTCGGTAATGTGAATTACCGAAAACAACGCAGGTAGCTTCCACTAAGAGAAAATGTATTGATTAGGAATATTTAAAAATTTAAAAGACAAAATAATTTACCTTTATTTTCGACGCATTTCTTGCAACACTCTCCCTTCTCGTGGACAAGATGGCTGCCGATGGGACATACAAGACTCTCATTACACGTTGTTTTCAAGCAAATAATTTTGCCCTTACAAGCGCATTTCGTACAAGAATCAAGACTCCACGTTTGGAACTCCTGCCTAGCGAAAATACACATTAAGCAATTTATAACAACAAACACTGGATGTGCTAAAATACTCGCCTCATATGCTTTGCCATTGAAGATGCATTGAGATTTCACTTCGGATATCAAATCCTGTTCGTCGTCAATACATTCCTTGCAGCATGCATTCGGACGCTTCCGGAGTCTACTTGAGAACAATCCAACGGCGGGCATGTTTCCCGCTCGCATATACTTGTTTGGTTTGAACACGTGCACTTTGTGCAATGGTCATTCGCAATGGTCGCCATCCCGCCTTCTCCGTAGAGCATGTTTTGCAGCATACATTTCTGCGCCACCTCCATACGCGCCGGACGATTTCCTTTACAGGTGGGACAACATTCCCCAATCGTGCGCGTCTGCTCGCTCAAAGGACATTGCAAAACAGGGCAAGCCTTTTTAATGCAGGTAAGATGTCCTCCAGAACAACGACACTTAACACACAAGTCACCTGGTGTCACATCACGATCATCAGTAGCTATATAACCGTTCAATTTACAATCTAAACAGAAAATAAACAAAAAATCAATGGTATTACTTGAAATCCAAAGAGAAACCGACATATCACATACCCGGGCATTTTGGACAACATTGACCCGGTCCAGGTAAAGTAGGACTATCACACGGCACGTGGCAATGAATGTCGCTCTTTGTTATGACGCCTGCCTCGCATTGCAGCGACGTGCATGGTTCATCTTTCGATATCCATTCCTCACCGCTTTCATAGTACGTTCCGTTGTAATAACAACCTGACAATGATAAACTCCTTAAAGAAATGCAAACGCTTCCGAATACTTAAGCGCTGAGGAGACGTAATACTATGTTCTAGGTTTTCAAATAATAAATTTGTCTCTCGCACGCTTTACAGTTGATGACAATGATAATTACCTTTGCATTTCGCACAACAATGCTCGGGCGTCTTCTCGACTATCATGTGGCATCCTTTAATCTCCGGACAAACGGGATTCCTTTCACATTCGACGTAGCCGTTCTGTAATTCATATGCGCCTCATTGTTAACGCGCATTTTGCAACGTCGCTTAAACAATAAGCATTGAAACGCTAAGCGGAAACGATAATGTGTCGCGGAAATAGTTAGTTTACTACGCCTCTCCGAATATCGCGTCTTGCTAATATCCCACCGTATAGCGTACAGCGCCGAATGTAACAATTATTTATCAACGCTAATTCGCGCGCTATTTATACATGCACGCATGTGTGTATCGCATATATCGGTTGATGATAATTTAGAATGTCAAATCCACGCGGCAAAAAAATGCTGCAGGCAAGGTTTTGGGATTTTGGCTGGTGTGTTAAGTATTCTGATCAAGCATTTCGATTCATAATAATGAACAAGTCCTACCTACATACAGCATTTAATCAAAGACAAAATCCGTCCGAACAATATTTATTGCAAAAATTATTGACGCCACAAGAAAAAACACTGTATAACAGGGAGCGCATATAGAAATTCCAAGAACCGTATCGTTGTTTTAGCTCTCCTTAAATCAACGTTTAGACGCCATTAACATACTCGCATTATCTTGTTAGACGGACAGACATAATATATGTTCGAAATTTGAATGTTATGGTCGTTTAATTTTGCAGAGATTTATTCTAGATATAATTCGAAATTCCAGCGCGAACGGTACGCCTATCCCGATGTTAGCGAGCGCGCGCGTTTGTTCGATGAATTCTTTTATAATAAAATTCACTCTCGAAATTTGAATAACTAATTTCACGCGCCATGGTGACGCAAAGCGAAGCGTTTTCAATAAATTTCTATAATAAATTACTCTAGTATATTGAGCTCCAACTTACCCGGCATATGCAAAAGTAACATTTTTGTTTATCAATTTTATCCAAATGAACCTGTTCGCCTTCATTATCACATGTCTCAGTCTTGCCAACTGAAACAAAAAAAAGTTAAACGTTAATATTGTTATGGTCCACGCTCAAAACATGAATCCTAACGGAATTTAACCAAACTTTTCATCTATTCCACTTTTGAGGTTGCCTCAAGGTCATTGTTAAAAAAATAAGAAATAACATTTGTTATTCATTGGGAGTCATTATCATATAAAAATAAATCAATAAATTATTTATTATTGTAAATCATAAGCAATTAGTAGCGCCACAATATTGAGTAACGCCATTTGTTAGTAAAGAATAGCGTATCGCCTCTTTACATAATCGATTAATAATCAATAATGTCCAATAAATTAAATCGAAAATAGTTAACCTAATTGTGAATTAAGCGCATAAGTTAATGCGGAATTTAGGCGTAGCGTGCCGCCGGCCACTGGTCACCGCGCGTATCATATGGGTGAAATGAAAACACCTGTGCATTGTGTACACACGACCTTGGCCTGGCTATTAAGAGTTCTCTCTTCTCGCTTCTTTCTTGGACCGCGCAATCGCAAACGCCAAGCACAACGTACCGCGCAAGCTCTCGCTACTTAGATACCGATCTGAATTTACCTCAGATTGCCGATTGACGAACTTATTGAGGCAGACTCGAAAGTACACTTAAAGTGTACGATTTGCATTAGGCGTAAGATGAACGCCGCTTCAAAGAAACGGCAATCAAATTGCCGACAACCGCGGCCGGCGAATGTTGAGTAAGTAAGAAGTACTTGACCGCGTGCGGGCTCGGACGATTCGACTTTACGCACATATATCGGAATGTCAGGTGTATACTAGTAGAGAAGAGTAGGTATTGATGCATTGTTTAGAAAGAATCCAGAAATCCGCGGAGGTTAGTGAACCATAATCTCTCCCCGCGGTTGTACTAACGCCGCGAAGAAGATGCTTAAAGCGCCGACGATCACATTATCATTTAATAAGAAACGCGATATTGAAAAAAAAACAGCTCTTTGCTGTACCATCGCGACCTTGAACTCGAATTTATATCGCACGAGTGAATCTGTATACTGTGGTACTGCGAAGACAATACGAAAAATGCTGACCCAAATTAAGACGAAATTCACGCGAATAAGACACCGCGTGTGTGATTTTCGCGAACGAGCGGAATGCACACACACAGAAACAAATCGCGGATCCTATCTAGTCGTGGCCGCAACCAACGGCTGTTGGGCGCCATAAAATTATACTACGTTTTGTTCAACCGGAATGTTATATAACGATGCCATTATGCATGCAATTATCATTTTCCCCGCCAGGCATTAAGTAGTGCATTTTCGACGCGGCGCGCAAACACACGTTTTGCGGCATAAACGAATCTGAGTGAATGGCGAAAGAATACAAAAGTATCATGTCAATATAATAATCGAATCCACTGAGCGCGTGCGCGCGTAAAATCAACTAAAACGCAAGAACACTCACGTGGATTTCAGTTATGTTAATAATAATTGCTCTGCCATAGCTCGGCGCTTGATGTACCTATCGAGAGCGTAATAAATAATTGATGAATCGATTGTTTTACCATTTTAATACACGCTTGTTCATTTGCATTGTGCGAGTGCGCCTATTTTATGTTTTGTCCCCGATGATAATTACGCACGCACCCGGTCATGACTTGAATATAGAATTGTTTCAATTTTTTTTTCAGGACCGTAATTTGTAATTTTTTTAATTTACAACACCTCACAATAAAAAATAAAGAGTAATTTAGTAATTTATTACTTAAATATAAATACGGTAAGTAATTTTGATCAATTTTTCTTTTTCTACAATGAATATTTTAAAAATTACAACAAATTTTATTTAATATTACATAAGTGCATCCCTGACTGTAAAGTAAATTGTAAGTCACATCTTTGGCACATTTCCATTTTATTTATATCTAAATCATGTTAATATGATTAGTTGAATAATATTTATGAGTGAAAACAAAGCTCAACGGATCTTGTTTTTAACCGCAGGTAGAAACTATGTTAAAATATTTCTTAATGCACGAAAAAAACAAACTTGATGGCACAACAAGATGGCTTATTTACTTTTGAGGAGTAATTTCCGACTCACGGCATAATCAGACTTCACCTACAAATGGACGCAACCGACAATTAAGTGTACTCAAGTCGTGGTGCGGTCTTTCATCGGGAGTTTGTGTAAACATTCCCACACCAACCAAAAAAGAAAACGAACGCAATCAAATTCATTTGTAGCCGGTCAAAATACACGAACGGGCTTTGATTTAAATGCCCGCAGCACTCTCCTCCGAGGAGGGTTCATCTCGTAAATCACTTCGTAAATGGGCGGACGAAGGTCCCAAGACCACCCATAAAGATTTTTTAGGACCTTTAATTATCATAATTCGAATTTCACTACCACACCTAACCTATAACCGAATAGGTAACTTTTTCTATGGTATACCGATTAAAACAACAAAATTACAAATTTTATCCGATTGTCATCTCATAATTTATACTCACTGACGTCCATGCAGGAGATGTACGATATTCGCCACGTCAACACGGTGAAGATGATGAGTAGGAACGCACAGTAATGTCCATTTGTCATACTGGAGTCCTGCAATACAAAAAACATAAAAATAAAGAAAATTTGTATGCGTGTTTATCGCGATCGCAGACTGTGAAAAGTGGCGAGTGGATGTTGAATAGCCAATGAGTTGTGTGAGGTGCACACATATCCTTTCGTCAATGATCGCCGGCTGTGTTTACAGTAACGTTTTTTTTTTTCGTTAGAAACTCGAAACGAGCGCCATACATACACACATTATACGCAAAATGTGTTTGGCGTTCAGGTACAACACTCTGTCGGCGTATGCATATGAATTACACTGGAAAATCCGCCGGTTTTTAAATAACTGCAATGTTTAATCAAGTGTCTTGTTAGCATTCTTGTTACCATAGACATAGACCATTTAATGTGAATACTTTCGCGGGAAACGTGAAAATGCGAAAATCGTTCTTGGTACCTCCGTATTGATTTTTTTACAGTAATAAACATATCTATTGCCAGTTTTGTTTACATTTCACTTAGGTTTGTTTAAACATTGAATTAAAGTGTAACTTATAAAGTTTTGCTAGAGTACACACCAGATAATATAGTGGAAAAAACCTCTTTCGGAAATAGAAACAAAAAATGGCCATTTTAATTTATCAGCTTAATATTCGAAGCATTAATAATTATTATGTCTAGAAATTAGAAGTGAGATTAAATTGGAATTTCATTATTTTACGCATTGCGTGGCGCGCTAATCGCAGATCCACACAATATTGGTCAGAAGTCGTGACCCAACGTATAATTTATTAGCATCATAATGAGAATCCAATTAATATCGAAGTGCGGATCGAAATCGAATCCATCAGCGCATTCGCCATACATTCTTACATCAAGTCACATGTAAGTGTATAAGACGTCAAATGGCATACTCAATTTCCGCATTTGCTTCACAAGTGAGCGGCTTTTGAATAAAGTTGTCCGTGTCAGCATTGAACATTTGAATTGCTGTTATTTCGAGAATCTCAACAGCACACATCAACATAAAACTTTTTGCGAACAGAATCTTCGTTCGCACACAGTGCTTTTCTAAGAATTAAAAAAAAAACTCGGTATTTAATCAAATTGATAAGATATAAATACCTGGTGTAAGTTGAGTATCCGATTCGAAAATCAACAAGCGCACACTTGCTGTCGCAGTTTCAAACAAATTTCTAAAAAAATAATTTTGATTCGCCGCGACAGCGCAACACTTGCGCGAGCGCCGTGTAAAAGTGGCTCAAACAACTTTTATTTTCTCCTCTACTCTTTCACAGCGTCCTCCGAGAGCTCGCGCACGATGCACCACACACAGAAACTCCACGAGACTACAAAGTTCCGTCTCGGCGATAAACCAATACGCTCGATGCACGAACTCGGACTGACCAGAAGCGGCCCGTGAGCGAACGAGAGCCTTCGTCCCCGCACAATAAACACAAAACGTCGTCCACCGCACACGCCGCTTCTCGGACGCTCGGACGCTGCCGCACAGCACTCCTAGATGCTATTTAACCCACTCTCGACGCCTCCGAAGGTAGGGGGCAAACGTGCGTGTGGCGTTTGCACGTCGTGAAAAACACGCTTTTGTCAAGTTCAGCGGGGCGATCCTGATTTTTCGACGCTGCGCTACTTGCCATGCGCACAACGCGTCTCTTCGGCGTCCTTCCTCGAAACCAGCGTGGTAACCAGATAGTGCCCGATTATTAAAACAAATGAGTGCAATAAATAACTCGTACTTTGCGAATGGTTCGACGGAATGTATCTAACAATAATTATATTTTGCTCTTCGATGTCTGCTCCGTAGATAGCACAGCACGTTTAAGTTTTATTTCTTTTTACTCACTCAATCAGCACTTTGATTTATATAGAGAGTCGCGTTATGTGAATTCGGTCAGATAACCTTGCGAACCGAACCTCGCACTACACAAACACATGGTGAGTGCGCGCGGGCTCGACAACCCGAATTTAAAACTTATTATTTGTAATATATGGAACATATTCGACCGCAAATCACTATAACACAACTTGATATATGCTTCACTCGCCTAAGTCTGATTTAGGATTCATTTTTTTTTTTGCTTTACTTAATCATTTCATTAACAGTCTTAGAAATTCAACACTCATTTTGCGGTTGTAATATTTACATTGTAATATTTATACTTAAAAAGCAAAAAAATAAGGATAATTTTATGTTCCATTTCATTGCGGTGTTAATCACATGAGCTTCCATGATTCATAAACATTTCCAGGATTCCATTCCTGAAAATAACTTTTAAAATTGTCTTTACTATTATTACCTCAGTGCGCAGTGTTGAATGAATCACCCGACGTCATGTAATCATAACAACCGAGACATCTCTTTACAATCCGGCGTCAAAGTAAGAAGTACCTGTACGATGAAATAACGATTACCATCAAGTGGTGTACCAGTCATGGCGCCACACCAGGTAAATCACAGCGGGGCGGATGTGTCGAGAGAGTAAAAGTTAACTGAATTTTCGGCGTAGACCAAACAAAAACCTCCAGACTATTGGCGTAAAAATAAGTAAAATAAGTGTCTCCATGCATAAATCATTATAGGTAGGTACTTGCAATGTGTGTTACGTATTGTTACGAGTTGTTACACATTAGGATGCAACTTTCGTTGGAATAATTAGTCACTTTTAACCTTTACATTATCAACGCCACTTTTCGCGCCATTTGCATGAATAATCATGTCGCGTTTTTATGCGTTACTTGTTTGCGTACAGTTTTAACCGCAAATGCGAAAAGCTGTAAGTAAAAATAATGGTAGGAGAGAATGTCGGTCGACAACGCGGCGAGACATTAAAATTTACTGATGGTTTGTCATAAATTATATTAGTACGGCGACAATATGTTGTTTACCAAATCGACAAGTGGAAGCAGGTTCATGCAATGCTAAAATAGACTAAAAACTTATATATGATTCACACATTAATTATTAAGAAAGAAAACATTAAAAGCAAATAATTTGTGCACACAAGTCGAATTGCGTTGGAAGATTTTTTTGGTGTAGATGTAGTTGGAGAAATGAATTCAGAGACTGCTTTTGTCGTAGGTAATGTTGTAGAAGTGACATTAGAATCTTCAATAATATTTTTGGTTCCTTGGGTGCTCTCATTTTTCTCGGTGACTTTTTTTGACATTTCCAAATGTAAAATAGTTGCTGACGAATTATTAACACTAAATGGCACGCTCTTTTGTATTGTATTGTTTTGTATAATCTATAAAATCAAAATTCATTAAATATATTTACTATAATTTACCAAAAATTCTTTTTCCTACCAATAAAGTGTATCTTCCAGGTAAAAGTATTCTCCAAAATCGTCCCATTGAATCCGGATAAAATGGTATATCTCGTCCTTTGATTTGCAACTTCATGTCAATATTATAATCGACGATTGTGCCCCGAACCCCTCGTTGAGCTTCCGAAACATACGCTATCAACGCCTACAAAACAAAACCACATGTGGCAAATATTATATATGATGACATGCGTCGTTGTGAACGTACTGCTTTATTTTCGTCGAAAATCTTCCCAATCTCTCTTGTCATCGGAAATTTGCAGCAGGATATTTCGAGCGTCAGCTCCATGACACCACCAAATGCGTAGTTGTAATCTCCCATGCCGCCTATAAAAGTGTCATTTTCTATGCTGTCCAGTATAGATAAACACAAGTGTTATATTTACCTTGGATTTCATACCATTTGGCTCCATTGGTAATTCCATTGACGAAGCCAAAGTCATCACTGCACTCGTTAGGATTTTGCATGCGAGTGTGTGATTTTGCATAAACAAGAGCCAAATGTTTAAGAATATCATCATCCGGTGCTATTGACTCTTCAGTATCCATTCCAGAGTCTACATGCTTAGGAGAGTCGAATGGATAGTTTGCAACTAAAGTTCCACTGTGGAAAGCCGCAGACAATGCAAATCTCGTTGTGTTTAACCATTGTTTAATCGCGAAAGTTTCCGGCTGTTCGATGACTTTGACTTTGGTGAAATAATCTGGGTAATTTCTATTTAAGTCAACTTCATTTGCGTTGTCTCTGCCAACGGAACCCTGACACAAACCAATCTGCTTACGACTAAATCCATCCGGATTTAAACTCGGAAGAATATGGAGGATAGTCGTGTTTAGTAATGTTGCAAAAGTAGAATTCACATTATAACTAGTTCCAATTAACTGCAATAATTTAAAAAATATTAAATAGGAAAATAGTAAATACTTAAAAATAGGAAATAAATTTAAAATGATTACTACCTCAATGAATTGTAATAAAACTTCCCGCGATATTGCTTCATTTCCGTGAATATTCCCGACAAGTTTCACATTCGGTGCTAATAAATCTTCTGTTGTAGTGAGTTTAAGAACTAACAATTCAACACCTAAAAATATTAAAATAACAAATTACGGCACATGTAAATTATGAATCTGTATTTATATTCTTACCTCGTACTGATTGTCCAATTGAATATACTGTAGATATATATGGAAATCGAATAGTAAAGTTAATCATATACTCGTGTAATTCTTCATTTGTGTGGTACTTTGCTTCAAGTTGAGCGTTAACACTAATTAGTATGAAAATACTTAATACTAAAACCAACGATGTGAACTTCATGATTCGGCGGTCAAACAATAATAAAAACAATCCACGATCGCACACAAGCTTTTAGGTTTGATAAAAAGTTGATAACATTGGTCACCACAAGAAATGGCAATCTAAAATTTATTTCCTGGGATATGTCGTACAAATCCACATTTAATCACAGAAAAACATTATTTCTGTATTTACAGATAACAATTTATTAGATGTTTTTGTAATATACTGCATAAAACTACTTATTTAACTGTTGCTATGTTAAGAATGGAATAATATCAAAATGCAACAAAAAAATGACAATTTTCTGTGAATTGTTGACATAATTTAGTCAAAAATATGTCAGATATGAATAAAATGAACTTTTTTACCAGTGAACTTTATGAACTAAATATGCTCATATTGAATCTAAAATCAGTTGTAGACCTTAACAAAGTAATATCTTGGGTAAATCCTACCAAAACATACGAGGATATTAATTATTGTTGTGCCTTAAATTCTTCAAGTTATCAAAACGTTCTAGAGAATATTATTGATAGGTAATTACTATAATTTTACACATAACTATTTCTTTACATATGTTAATCTTTTAGAGTGTATTTAATATTGAATATTGTGCTCATAAAACTTGAAGAATTTACTGAATTGCATTCTAATTTGCGTAAACCAAAACGACTTACTATGAGCTCATTGAGCCGGATTATCATCGATAAGTTGAGTGCGTTCAAGCTCTTTCAGAATAAGAAACAATTCATAACTCGAGACGTCCAGACACAGACGGATTTACCTGAAGGGAGTATACAACTGCAAGATGGCGACTGTCAGTCTTGCATAGTTTTATTTAAACATTTAAATACCATAACAGATAAGTTTGAAGAATCAATAAGTTTTATAAACTTAAAAAATGCTAGGTAGGTACAATTGTGCTATATTTGCTACAAATACAAATTGCGCTATGTTATTTTTATTGTGCAGATGTAAAGTTAGAAACAATCTTTCCACATTGAACAATTCACAATCTATGAACATAATGTGCGATGCAATTCACGCCGATCTCCGCTTATTCCTTGACGATTATCAAGCGTTGAACGAAAGTCACGCCTCATTACAACAGCAATATGACAAGCTGATGAACGACTTTGTAAATTATATAGCAGAGAGCGAAGCTAACTTTGCGCAAAGTAGGCGCTAATAATTGCTTTATCTATTAGCATTCTTCTTTATTTCAATATTATAGATGAAGCTGCGTTAAAAACGCTGACAAATAAAGTGGATGTATTGCATGAAAGATTTGTCAGTGAGTTGCAACAGTTGCTTGAATCATCGGCGGCCATTTCGGAAGCGTGCGATAAATGTGAACGCTTTTTATCGACCATCAATGACAACCTACAACAGCAAGAAAATCAACAACAAATCAACGCTTTGCAAACTAAATCGCTGCAAACTCTAGCACAACACTTGGAAACATTCAAAGAAATCGAATCGAGCGTGGCGCAGCAAATAATTACCTCCATTGATATTTGTGCGCAAAAAATGACGTTGTTGCAATCCCGATCGCGCTTGCTTCAGGTGTAGCTAATTGTTTAATAATGCGCAGACACATAATCGGCTTACCATCAATCTAACCACGTGCGTGTTTATTAAATTCCAGCTTAATGCAAGTAATTTGAAAGCGTGTAACATGATGCTTGCAGCAAATGAAAATATCCGTTCTAAAGAGCATTGTAAGTGAATAAACAGTTATTGTTCACTAATTTATTATATAGGCGTGAAGCCTTTATTACCCACAGTATTACCTTCATTATGATGCAATATCTATTTGTATTTTTTAGGTGGTCCATGGACTGGAAATAAACCTAATCCTATCGAAGATATGTCGCAACACATCGAATCAAACAAATTGAAAATTGACTATTTGCAAAGCGAGAATATTGCACTTCAACGCACCATCGAACAAATTAAGATGCGAGTCACGTATTAAAGCTTTGCCTTTGTGCCCACGTTGTTATTATGTTATTACGTTTCTAATTAACATTCTATGAATTGTTCGCTATTTTATCGAATGCCTCAAATGGCGCTGGTAAAATATTGAACATTAAACTTTTCAAAAGTAGGTTGAGTTGATTATAAATATTCTACAAGTAACGATAATAATAATAATAGGTTTACACAAACTCATTGTCCAGATTTATTAAATTCATATAAAAGCACATGACAGTCAGAATTATATGCAACCAAGCATACAAATCTCAGTTAACGAAATACTTAAATTCCTGCGATGCTTGCACACATATTGAAGGTCGATTATTCCAACCATTTCCAGCAACGATATGAACTTGTTTATGTTGTTGTGAGTCACATATATGCCTCAACGCATTCATGCTCTATTGTAGATTGAAATATGTATGCTAGCATGACCAGCACGCATCGCCGGCACAGTGTAGTGAGCCGCTGTTTGTTTTCCTAATGCTAACGCTTCTCTTCTTACAACGTGACATTGTGTATTGCATGCAACGCTATTAATAATTTTACAACTTTCTCGTTTGAAGTGTCATAAAGTCGGTAAGTCTTTCTTTGAATTCTGAATTTAAGTGTTGAATGGTCAAGGCAGTGTGATTGTTGTTTGTATTCTGTGATTGATCAATCTGATACGCGGTATTAATTACTATGGTTTACACCCATTCCGATTTCGCTGACTTCCTGGCGGGCAATCGTTAGTTGGTAGAATCATAGATATACGATCAGCGCCTTTGATACAACCCAGTGATAATGTTGAACTGTCCACCCCGAAAACACCATCGCCTTTTTGCAGATTACAAGGTCCACCTGGTTTATTAAGCTGGTGGCATGTATTATTATATCTAATACAAAAAAGAAATTAGTTTTATTCTTATAAATTGCTTTGGAAAGTACTTACAAAGCGTATCCGTCTGTTTTGCACGGATTTACTGTACATTTCGGATTGAATTCGCCGCTTGGAAGTGTCAGGTACTCGTTGATCGCGCACGGACCTTGCCGGAATGCCTCGTAGCAGCCGTCCATTGGTGCATAATACAAGTAACCTTCAAATTTAGTTAGTATACACGTTCGGAACGAAAGCTAGATGCAAATTAGCTCACATCTTGATTTCGCATAAATATTGCACACTTACCTGGCTTACAATCGCAGATCCAATCCGTTTTTTGGTCACCAGGATAGAGCAATTGATTGGGTTGGCATTTTCCGGGTATGTAAAGCGGTATTCTAGTCTGGTGTGCAGAGTGATATTTGTAGGAAGTGATAATCAGTATATATTAGGGGTTTGTTTGTGTCACTTACTTTGTTGCGCTCTATGTCGAGATGTTCTTGTTCCGGAAAGCCCAAGTCCGACTCTAGCCTCACATGGTACGGCAGTATAACCGCGCAGCAAAGATACATAAACAGTTTCAACATGTCTGGCTAGGTAATGAAGATGATTCGGTACAAACAAGGTGGTTCACTCCGTGGTTCGTCGCAGTTTATTCGATTCTAGCATGGGAGTCATGGACGTGTTCGCGTTGTGGCGCGCGGGACTCTTTCACAGCGGTGGCAAGTTGTTGTCGTGTATCGTTTACACAACCGCGATAACGGACCTTGCTTGACCGGATGGCTTTTGATAGGAATTTCCAGTTGGAAAAAAATCACAAGTTTATACCTACCTTCCTAATTCGATTCTTATTATTCCTCATCAACGCTCCTTTTTTTATTGAGGTATAAATCACCATCTCAACCTTGCTTTGAAAGAATCGTAATACTCGTATGTGTTTGAACCAGAAGCTGTATGTGGGTTTTTTCGACTTTCTTCCTGATTACTAGTTGTATATAATTTATTAATAGACTAGTTATATATTGGCGTAGATTCATAACGATGTATTGCTTATTTTCTTTATAACCACAGCCGCAGTTTGTACAATATTTGCTTTTATTTCCGGAATTAGTAAATTATCTTGTTTACTGTGGGCTGAAGTCGCCATTCACGGAACCAAATATTTTCACAAGTGGCGATTCTAGTGATATGAACGACCTCGATGTTTTAACAATGATAGTGCTGAAAGTCCAAGGAGTTTGCTATTTTTGCGCACTATTAATACACTTTTACGTATTTGCGAAAAGATGATTCGAATTAATACAGATTTGGGAAATCCTACTTTTTTATATTAACCATCGCGTGCAAAATTGAAAACAGCAAATTTTACGACATGTATTAACGTGTTAGCGTGTTTTTAAATGTAAATTATGGGTATTCCCGATTTGGCATTGTATGAGGCGTGAACAGGCGTAAACAGTTGTGGTTTCGGAATTTATTGCGGTTTTTAGGACCAATCCGCCATCTATCACTTAAGTCGTGTATTATATACACTACTTAAGTAACGTTTTACTTTTTTGTGTATAGTCAACCAATCATACACCTTAATTCTGGTAGACCTGCTCTATTCTTATTTAACAAATTCAAATGAATCTAATCTGTTTATGTTGTGTTACTAAAAATATTCATAGCCGTTAGTAGTACATACGCGTACATATAGAGTTCATTTTTAATGGGCGACCGACAATTTAGTTATTTGAAGGAGCAAGATCCTGACCAATGAAATTACCTTCATTCTCATTCGATTATGCGAATTAGTGACATCCTGACCCAGATGTGGCCGCTCTGGACGAACATTTTGCGCAATTATGAGCTGATTGCGGACGTCAATTTATTAATTACTGTTTGGTGCTGCGTTCGCATGCGCCCGGCGCAACAAAAGACATCATTACGAACGAATAAAATTTCCTCTGTCGCTTCGTAAACATACGTCATATTTGTTTTTTACGTGTATTCATAATAAATTACCTGCACAAGTGATCCGTTTTCAACCGATTTTATTACACAAATCCACAAAACAACAAACAATGTGGTCATCCCCGAAAATACGCATATAAAGACCCATATTATACGCGTCTTACATGCTGCATATATTATACATTTCTAACGTGTCAGTAAAAGAGACCTAAGTGAGCATTATAAAACTAACGTAACATTAGTACGATTAATATAGTCGATATTAATCTCATTGATTCGCAAATAAATAACTGCATAATACAATATATCAGCTACTATTGTGCGTGCATGGAACGAAGAAACAAAGCGGTTTGTCTTTGAGTCTCGTTGCACCGCAATAGCAATAAAATAAAATGATTAATAAAGTAATTGATAACGAGGCCCAACTTTTGTCATATATGATTACCGGCGTCTATGTTGACAGCCACTACGTGATTGTCATTTTCTTCTTGTTTTTCTTGTTTGATCTTGGTGGCCGAAACCATTTGCACGCCATTTTTGTGCTTCTTTTCGCGTTCTTGTTGGAAGATAAGCCGCAGGTAGTAGCAGGGAAAGACGACACATTTCCCAGCTGGTTCTTCAGCGTCAATGTAGACACCGCGCACGAGCAGTGAATTCGAGCAGCCGAGCAGAATCAACAAAATCAGACTCACCCAATGAGTAATCCAACAACTTAATTCCATATTTTCTGTTTTGAAGGTACAAGATGTAATCACAGTTATATTGTGTTAGTTGCGTGACGTGAACATACCTGGTAGGAAATAGATGTTTAATAAGTTCCAAATTCCGCGCCATACATTGACGGTGCCTAGCAATGAAAAAAGCAGGAACACATCAGCAGCCAAAAGTCGCATAGCTCCGTTTAAGCGATCGCAAAGCCATCGCATTACTGGTTGCAACAGGAAAGCAATGGCGACTACCATGTAGCCTATAGCCTGAAAAATATGAAATTTTTAGAAATTTCCTCCGAGGCTATTGATCTAAATGTGTCTAAATTCATTTAATGGTGTTGATTATGCGTACGTTCTGGTACGTAACTCTTAAAGTGGTTAGAATGGCTTCAAGGCGATTTTTTTTGCTAGAAATGGCGAGTTTCCTATTTTGCGTCTCGCCAACATAATTGTGCACGTGATTATGATCTACAATGAATGCTTGACTGCGTCTTGTATTTTCGATTTTAATAACTTAATGATTCCTGGAGACATTGAATGTGAGCGTCGTTTTGCGTGTGGATGATAACATAATAATTGATTACTTCCTCAATACACGAAATTTACTTTTTACACGTGTTCCATCATTTTTATAGTCGCGAATTTGAATGCTTTAAAATTGCTACACGAATGTTTTTTTTTTGCGCAGATTTCATGTATGAAAATAATATTTCATCTTTTGACAGTTATTTTTACGTAACATAAACAATAAAAAAAATCGGTGGCATGTGCTCTTATTATATTGCAATAAAGAGGTTGACAATGGTGTGTTGTTACCAATTTGATAACAATGCAAATTCGCGCATGAATGCGCGCCTGGACCAGTTTATTCAACGATTGTGTGGTTAATGTGATAATGATAATTTGGACACTTACCAGACTGGCCCACGCTGACCACGCTTCGTTTTCCGGAAATAGGTAAATGTCGATGAGCACCCATGCGCCGCGCCATACGAACACCACAAGAGTGCCCACAATTAGCACCGAGAACAAACAGTCTAGAATGTACAGCGAAGTCTTCTGCACCAGCTGGAATTAAAGAAAAACACACTGCGATATAATAACAGTTTTTAATGTTAATTCACACGTGAAATATTAAGAAATATTTAACATGGCGCCTAAAACACTCAACTGTGACGCGAAACATCGTGACCACTTTAAAGTAGCCCTCCACATAATCGGTGGCGATCGCGAATGGCGGCGCGGTGACATTCCGAAGCGCTCTAATTGCCGCAAGCGCAATAACACCAACAAGGGCTGTTGCCGCCACCGTACCACCTTCGGTGATTGTCACTTGATCAAGTAGATTCCACGGGCCGCGCCATCCATTCACGCCGATGAATGCGAAACAAAATGTATACGCGCGGGAAGTCGCATAGTACACCAGACGATTCTTATCAGGATGCAGATGCTCGAAGACATGCTGTGTGAGCGTGAAGAATAGATGACCGATGATACCGATGGCGGTGGATGCAATCGCGCTGTAGAGCTCGTCGTCAGGGAAGACGTAAATGCTCATCAGCACCCACACGCTGCGCCAGTAGCTGACCACCGCCGGCGTGAGGATGAGCGACGCGAAGAGTCTGTCGAGGACAGAGAGGAGCGCATCATGCGACGCACTGGCACCCCGCGCGAGGGTGCTTTCGATTCCTGCCGTGCTGCCCCGCATCGTCGTCGCGCATTACGGCCGTGCCGCTTCTATCAGCAGCCGCAACACTTTCGCACCACACCACACCTCATCGCTGTCCATCACTCGTGAATTTGTTAATGTCGATTTGGATATTCGTCTGCGTATATAGCGGTGCACGCGAGCCAGCCGCCAGCGCGGACACCCTCGTCGTGCTGGAGGGGAACCCACGTGATGACAATCAAATACATTAACTACTATCAAACAAACACAAGCAATGCGCGGATCGCGCGATGTGTTTGTTGCAGAGGAAAAGTATTGTCATTCCGCATACGCTGCTCAAGATGATAAAGCGCACCACAGTGTTGGATTAAGATCAAAATCTTTCAACGCGCTCATGTTACCAAGACTTTACTAAACCCAAAATCATGTTTTTGCTCACAAATGCATTTTTGGCCGCATTCCAACCCGTTAAGTATTAGTATACGATAAGAAAACAATTGACCATTATAAACTCTTGTAATCAACGCATAAACCTGTATTGATTCATTCCGGTTTTAATTATTTGTACTTTTCGCATTCTTCATAAATATTTCATGCTTCAGGTTACTTATTACATAGTCTGGTCCTGTTTACGGTTCACTTCATTCAATATCGCGAATTATTTCTTGTCCCCGCCGTGTTAATTCAATTTCATTTACTTCAATAATACGTTTTTATTGTGTGCGCAACCGACTGGCAATTTTTGCTCGGCGACCGTAATTTCTGGGATAAATAAAAACGAAAAATAACTTGTTGAACTGTGAATGAGTGAATGAATGAGTAGACGAGTGCATTATTCATGGCGCGTTGTGCATTCATAAAGAAAGTTATCTTATCTGTGCATAACAAAGTTACTTGAGTCATATTAATGTTTTACTAAATGCAAGTGGCTTGTAAGGAGGAAATTTTCCACTGGACCTCAATTATCTTTGGAAGTCTTTGGAATATATTTGTATACAGTTCTATATTTTCTGAAAATCAAATTGTTTCGTGTTGGCAGAAGTAATCAATGTTTTTAATGTATGATTGTTTTATTTTTTTCGGATGTTTTTTGTGTTTATGTGCGTGTGTAATTTAAAAATAATATTTATTATACCAAGCAAGTTCAGTGCCATTCAACTCTCTAAAACAACGCGCAAAATACAAAGTGTTTGGATTAATCCGTGGCATTTTATATTCATGTACTTAAGTATTAATTTTTTATTACTTATTGTAAATTAAAAATCTGCATGTAGTTTTAGATTCGCAGAATAAAATTTAACGTTATTTCGCATATAAATTTAATTTGAGGTCAACTTAGGCCCACTGGTCGCGGACGGGTCGTTTGACGAATGCGTATAATCTTAAAATCGACAATTGACGATCCTTAGGTAAAAATATGTTAAAAGTCAATCACATTGATACAGTAACAGTACACGAAGAAAAACAATATATTAATTTAGTATTTATGTAACAAATATTGGCTAATGATGATTACTATTTGCCAATGTGTAATAATTAAACCAATGTAAACAAAAATTAATTCGATACACGTCTGCACACGCAAAAGAAACCTTCAGATCCAAATTTTAAATGCCAACTTTTGCAAATTGCTCCAATGGATTAAGAATTATCACGTGACATTTAGCAATAGTGCCAAATTTGTATAACTATAAGACCATCACCCACTTTTCAACACATCAAAATAAAACGTTGATTGTTTATTAATAGGTGTGGTACTTATATAGCTCTAAAAGTATTCGTGCAGGTATTATGTTTATATAAGAAGCCTCAGTCAGCTATGATTTATTGCCACAATCACAAACATAATAAGATAATATTTGCCATTTCATATATCTACATACTTAATAAATTCACGGTTTCTAAACAACATTTTATTGTTATCATTATAATGACAAAGGCATATTATAAATCAAGTGGTCTATTTGTAGAAATTTAATACGAATGCATCTTTACTTAAACTTTTACTTGAAATTAATAATTGAGCTCGTGCTAGAGTTGCAGTCTTGTAATTTTCAGAGATAATTGTCAGAAGTCGCAGTCTGATGATCAATTGTGTGAGATGTTACTCAACAATTAGATACACTTCAAATATGCGCTACATTTTGATGCTCACAAAAGGAGAACAGGTGTACAAAGGTGTGAAATTAAACCATGTGTCAAATAATATCACCATGTTCAAAATTACTCCTTAAAACTTTGATTAATGTTTTATATTCTTGTTGAGTACTTGTTGAAGGCCATGCATACTTCTTTCGATCAGATTCCTCTCAATTTCGTAGTCTTCATCAGCAACTTCTTCTCCACGATTTAACAACTCGTTTTGAAAAAGATTTAAGTGGATTATCATTTTCCGTTGCATTTGTTTATTAACCATATTGTTGGGCATCATATTATTGGAGACGGCGTAAAAGTGTTCTCTTCTTGGATCGTTAGCCATTGGGAATACGTTCAGTGTCAAGGTTAATGCTTTTGAGTTTTTAGTCGCTTGAGGTTCGTAAATGGGTGATTCTTGTGGGTGTATTGATGATGACGAAGGCGCCGGGTTGGTATTAATTTCTTTCCAGATAGGCGGTGCAAATCTCAAATTAGCTGTCGCTAGCAGATTAATATCACTTGGATCTTTCGGTTTGTATGGGTAAAATGGATCATGCGAATTTGTATTCATGTAGTGCGAGTGTTTTTTCTTATCGCTGGGTACTATAAATCCAATTATGTCTTGTATATTATGAGGTGTGCGTACTTGTGACCCGAAATTGTAGTTTTGTAATTGTGCATACGTAACTCCAGTTGGTCTTGGTCTCGTCGGATGAAAACTAGCGGGCGATGGACCACGAAAATTATTTATAAATGGTCTCGGTGGATATTTGCCAACAGGTGATGTTAATTTTTCTGCTCTCGCATTTTCCTCTTTAATTTCGGTGTTATTTTTAGTGAAATTATTAATTATTTCATTTGTTGTCTGATTTTCATTTGGTTTTAAGATTTTAACTTCTCCATTCTCATGATTATCACTTTTAAGAATAATGATTAAATATAAAACCTATAAACAGGAAATAAATTATTGTTGTTTAAAAATTTAAATAAATATTGAATATATTCATTAATACTTACGATGAAAAAAATTATTCCTAAAATTGTCACTACAATCACAAATTTAGTCGTAGCAGTTTCCGAATTAGAATCATCAAAATCCAAGGCGAATTTTGATACTTTTGCCGGTTGTACGCTTGCACGTTCTTGCATCTTGCAATGCGACAATGACACCCGAGCGTTATGCGAAAACTAAATCTTTACTAAAGAAGTTGCGACTTGTGACCAAACGAGAGTCGTAAGTACCTAGAGCATGAAAATCATGACAATGGAGTGAATCATTTACGGTTTCTAACTTACACTGGCATACTAAGCCAAAGACATTGCCTAGACAAGAAATTAATTATTTTCTGCCATTAAATCAATTATTTACAGTCCTTTATCTAATGTATGCACAATTATAACTATTAACTTAATATTTTATGGCTAGATGGCGCTAGCAATACTGAATTAGCATGTTATGTTCTAAGAAGAATGTTATTTGTGCATTTATTTATTCAGAAATAAGTTTTTCATAGCTATAATAAGCATATTGATAGTAATATGCCAAATTTGATATCTCGCTAATTGTTATTGTATTTTTATGCACAGTTAAATTATAGTCGCGACATTACGCCATCAACAACCATCCGTGTATGTTCAAGTCATTCACGTGACAATGATTTACTAACACCGCTTCAAAGCAATTTAGCACCAATAATTCATACGTAATTAGTTCATTGAAATATAATGCACTTACGTCTGTCCGAAATCGTGTCGGATAGAAAAATATTTTATTCGACTTGTCCAGCGCGATGATAAAAGGCACGGCCAGTGCATTTCGCAAACTCTGCAGGAACAGCAACCAACCAGCGCTAGTGACTGTTATCAGGAGGGTTGTCCGAATTGAGGCACTTGTTGCAACTCCAGACTGGTTTAGTTTCACGCACGAAATCATATCAAATATAGTGAACGCCCCACGCCATTGCAACACCAGCATCATATTGTAGTTCAGAATATACACGGATTTTATAAGGCGACATAACAACCAATTTTGATACTTTTGCTTGTATTTTCTAAATGTGTCTTGAATTATTTCTCGGAGGAAGGTCCATCCGATTAAAATACAGTTTGCAAACGCGAATGTTTCGTAAATGGGGAACAAATCACCGTGTATATCGTATAAGAACCAAACACTCTGCCAGTTGGCAACGCACAAAGGTGTTATAACAAACACTGAGACAATTGTATCAAATGATTTAATTAGTGTTAATTTCTTTTGTGTTTTAGGGTCTTTAAAATGATCGTCTATCGATGTTGCACTAAAATAGTAGGTTGTTCCGAACTGTATTAAGTTTTCTTTGGGTTTGTCTAGTAAAGTTTTTACTTCTTCCATGACAATTTCTTGAATGCGTTAGGCGTAATAAATTTATACTTATATAGACTAACTGACAAGTAATTATATGCTAATGGGTAAATTATTTATCTTTGGGTTTTTGTCATAGTTGTTTTTATTGATAATTTTCCGACAAAACGTGAAGCAAACACATTTTTAAGTCGTATGTGTTGCGTTAAAAATGTTAAAACAAATTGTTATTTTGCTTATGTGCGTTAACACGTCAGTTTACCTTGTTGGTAATGAATAATATTAAATCAACGTTAATTTAATATGTATTTAAATGAACTTATCATTCACGTTGCAATTTACAGGCAACCAGCAGTACGCATAATAATTTGAGGTTTAAAATTCAAAATGGATGTTATTTGGTTATGTATAAAATATTACCTGCGTACGAAACCGTGTTGGAAAATGGAATACTCCTGTGGGATGATCAAGTGCGAGGATAAAAGGTACAGCTAATGTATTCCTCAATCCACGCAATATGATCAGAGCTATTGTTGATATAATTGTGAAGACCCAGACCGGCATGGTGTCGTTATCACCGCTCGCACCCGCCGGCGTCATTTTCAATCCCGTAATGATGTCGAATATAATAAACACAGCCCTCCATTGCATATTCACCATAACATTAAAATGTACGATGTACACTTGTATAAACACTTGCCAAATGTAGGCATTCTGGTAGCGGTCTTGCAGTTTATCAAACCACTCGTGTAAGATTTGTCGGATGAACGTCCAACAAATCAAAATACAATTCGCGAACGCGTACGTTTCGTAGGGCGGAAAGAAATCAGCGTGTAAGTCAAACAATGTCCAAACTCCATGCCAGTTGGAAATCACTAATGGCGTAATAACACAAACCGAAAGGAATGTATCCAATGATATCATACACGTATACTTTGATTTCGTATTCACATCGTCGTCTTTATTAAAATAGTAAGTCGTGCCGATTTTGATAAGCTTTTCTTTTTGCTTGGAAAATAATTTCGTTTGGTCACTCATGGTAACGCCAGTGTCTAGGACTAACTCTGACGTTCAAGGTGCCTCACGACTCTGTATCTATCGCACGTAATTGTGTTCCTGTTAATTCTTGTGTGCACGTAGCTATTTGTCCACACTTCAACTTATATTATCACGTTTCTATTAAAAATTCGCTCTATTAAGATAACAAATTAGCACTTACCAATTCGAACCTGAAGCGTGTAGGAAAATAATACGGCTCAATGTCATCCAATGTGAGCAGAAATGGTGTACTCACGACAGTGGCGATACATTTCATCGAAAATAGCATAGCTATACTGCCACACCCCATAATTAGAAGTGATTTCAAATTAACTCCGATTATTTTGTCTTGAGAGTTGTATTCAACGGAGGAAATATCATCTATGAAGATCCAATAGTCGCGCCATTGTAAAATACTAAAGATGGCGTAGGCATATACGTAACTTAGACGTAATATCCGATAATAATGCAATTTTGGCAGGTAATCCGCTAAGACTGGTCGTAGGAGAGTTGCAGAGAGTATAAACACAGTCGAAATAATAAAAGTTGATGGAAATGAGAGATAATTATCGTAAATTTCCAACAAACCCCAAGTTCCACGCCAGTAGGATATTATTAAAGGGCTTATTATAAGTGAAGAAAATATTGCATCGAAATAGTAGAATTTATCTTCTTGAATTGGATTTTTAAATATTTTCTTTTTCCACCATCTAAATGAATAACGTACGTACTATTTAATGTAAATTGTCAACTAAAACATTATAATTCATTATTTACCTGTGAGATTGTTTAATTCTGTAGGTTCTTCTTCTTCTTCTTGAATCATTATGTTGCATAATATATGTCTATTTTATGAGTGTAAAATCGGATGTTCCTTTTGACGAAAAAATAAAAATATGACGCCAATTTAGCACATTACAGCTATTTAATCCTTTAAACCTGTATAAAGATGACTGTATATTTAATTGAAGGCACAGGATTAGCATAAAAATGAGGTTGAGGTATTGTCGGAGTAAAAATGTTGCTCATAAACTGATTCAATTTAGGCAAAACGACTTTAGGCAAATTTAATTCAACAAAGTTGCCTATTTTCACATTGAGGTTTTGTTACGCAGTTCATGGCTACCCAGCATAATAAAACATTTTCTTTTCTTTCAATTATATTTATCTATTCACCCTGTTTAGTTCAATAATTACTTCGGGTCTAGGCGTTGAAAGATGAACGTGAAGTACACCATTAGTCACAACAGTTTGTATTGCATTTTTTAAAATTATCTTATCGTATTTCATTCTATTTGTACATAATTTCAAATGTGCGCATATCATAACAATGTAATCACAATATCGTTTGTAATTTTAATTCGCCGAATGTTTTATTTTACAAATTTAGTGCCTACTGTATATATTATCATACGATTTGCAAAAAAAACGAATGTATTGTTTAAAAATTCAATACAGTTATATGTAGAGTTATATGATAACATTTAAATCACATAATTAAATAAAACCGGTAAATAATTTGAATAGGAATGTATATAGATAGGATTGTAGGTAATAATACTTTTGTAATTATTTGATTTTTGCTGGTGTTTTCATTTGACCATGATGAATTTACTCATCTTCACTATCTTGATCGCCAGTGCCGGATTTATTCACGCACTGTAATAAATATACATTTAAATAAATAATTATTTTATTAGTGTTGGAAATGTATTACCTCTGCTACATTAATTCTTTTCGAGAGTAATGTCTGTTCCGGATAAATCCACGGTTTGAAATTGGGATTAGGCTGCAATTGTTTCCAATTTGTATAACCTTCAGCTGCTTTTTCTAATTTCCGTATCGCTTTCGGCGCGAATTTTTGCGTTAGTTTATTTATCAACCAACTAGGCAGTTTTCCCTTCGGGTCCGTTTGCGTAATATATCCTAAAAATGTCCCATGATCCTTTGGCCTCACCACGAAGCCAGTAATCAACGAAACTGCTCTGCGATAAGAAACATTTGTTCTCAACAATAAATTGACAACAATATATCACACGCTGTTTTTATCACACGACTGTCTACGTACACACCTTACAAATCCCTTTTTCGGCGGATAGAGCGTATGGTTCACAGAATGATTAAAAATTAATTTCTCATCGCCAAAATCCAGCCACGAACGCTGCAATACAAAGTCTCTGTTTTTTACTGGTGCAGGACACGACACTAAAACATTCAAGGCATGCACATTAGGAAAGGTACAACAATTTAATACAAATACTAATTAGAGTCACATACATGCATAGTACCCAACGTCGTTGTTGGGATTCAAATAGCCGATCTCAATTGAAGCCACCATATGCTCATCCCACTCTTTCCGATATTCAGGATCGTGCAGGACATCAAATAGTGTGTTTGGTGTTACATTCGGGAAGACGGTGTGGACTTTAACCATTTTGAAATTGCTATTTATCACTTGTTTGGTCCATACCTAAAATTCATCATATTTTATTTTGTAATTTTTATTGTATTTGTAGCGCGTGTTTAGTCCTTGTAGGGCGCGCGTAGTTATCGAGCGTATTCCGCATGGCGTCGCGACGCAGGCGCTCTTTATAACTTTGCCGGATGTAGGGAATTGCAAGCAAGAACCCGATTAACCTGTACACCGATAAATACGCACCTTGGTGGTGGCTCCCTTCTCGTACTCCAATTTCCAGTCGGCATCATCGTCGACCAGCCGCTTTAATTGATAAAAGTCACTGTCTTCCGCCACCTTCACCTGCCCTATTTCCATCTCGAGTGCGCGCCGCCCGGCAATGAGCGACGATCAATTCGTACGTGGCAGCGACGGCGACAACGCACGTTTAATTGTTCATATCGGAGCGTAGGCGCGCGGCAACACTCGAGGAGCTTCTATCAAAGAACGACGTGAGTGCAAATATATACTAATTATAGGTGATAAACGAGCGCTAACTTTGTAGCGCATTCAAAAATAAAATAATCAACTCACTCGCACACGCATACGTACTGCGTACACACAAATTTCGAACGTCAAAACTGTCGTAATACGTACAGAATGTCCGCTGATAAGAAAACTCGAGTGGTGGTGGAAAACTCGCCGGTTACGTGCACCGCGTTTCGTCTGCGGAGTGTGCGGAGTCGATTTAATTGATTACGCGTTGTGATCGCGAACACATGTAGGTAGACACCGGTGTATTTGTTGAATACTTTATCTTGTGACAATAAATCCGAATCAATATTGAAGGGAATAAAAATGGTGACTTTTTTTGTTTTTGTTTGATAGGTTGTTACTGCAGTTACATCGTGTAACAAAGGGCGGCGTGCGATATGGATTATTTCAGCGAGGAGTTGCGCCAAAAGTTGGACGAGTGGTTGGCATGGGATCAAAATAAGAAAAATCGCGCTGAGGTACAGGACCTTGTCGACAGGCAAGATGCGGAGGCAGCGCAGAAAATTATGCTGCCGCGCATTTCCTTCGGGACCGCCGGTCTGCGGGGGCGTATGGCTGCTGGGTACGCGTGTATGAACGATTTGGTAATTATTCAGACCGCACAGGGGATTCTACGCCACCTGGAAAACGAACATAATGAAATTCTGAAAAGTAACGGCATTGTGCTAGGCTACGACGGACGTTATAACAGCAAAAGGTGATGACCTTATTACATAATCATTGATATATTTTGTAATCACCATGTTATCACCACAGATTATTAACATTTTACTCACAATATTTCAGATTTGCTGAGTTAACGGCGGCAATCTTTTTAAACGCCAACTATCCAGTTAAACTTTTTAGCAATTTAGTCCCCACGCCGTTTGTACCCTTCGCTGTGAACAAATGGAAATGCGCTGGTGGTGTAATGGTAACCGCTTCGCACAATCCCAAAGAGGATAATGGATACAAAGTAAATTTACTTAGTCTCTTATCAGTCCTATTGCTAAATATTTGTATTGCAGGTGTATGGATGTAATGGCAGCCAGATTGTATCACCAAGTGATAAAAACATACAAAAATGCATCCTTGACAATTTGGAACCATGGCCTACATCATGGAACACTGATATTTTAGAGGGCAACACTTTACTTAGCGATCCCCTCGCCGAAACCATGGAGGATTACATGTCAATTGTAAAAGGCTCTATACTTAACGAACATTTTACGCAGAACGACAATACAAATTTGAAGTTTACTTACACTGCCATGCATGGCGTCGGCTATACGTACATAACTGAAGTCATGAAACAAATAGGTTTAGAAATAGTTCCTGTGAAGGAACAAATTGAACCAGATCCAGAATTTCCTACTGTTAAGTATGTATTACTTAAATAATTTTTATTAAGGTTAATATTAAATTGTTGCAAATATTGTAGATTTCCTAATCCTGAGGAGGGCAAAAGTAGTTTGGATTTATCATTTAAAACTGCTGATCAAAATGGTTGTAAAGTAATATTAGCTAATGATCCGGATGCGGATCGATTGGCTGTCGCTGAAGTTAACTCCAGTGGCAAATGGACTGTTTTCACTGGCAACGAAATTGGCGCACTGCTTGGCTGGTGGCTTTTGCAATGCTATAAAATGAAGAATCCTAACAGTGATTTAAAAAATGTTTATATGTTGGCTAGTACTGTGAGTTCTAAAATTTTAAGGTCAATGGCACGTGTTGAAGGTTTCAATTTTATCGAAACTTTAACAGGTTTTAAGTGGATGGGTACGTTGACACAAAATATGTGCAGTATTTTTAAACTTATCGTAAATTATGTTTTAGGTAATAAAGCCTATGAATTATTAGGCGAAGGTAAGGAGGTAGTATTTGCATTTGAGGAAGCTATTGGTTTTATGTGTGGTAGTTCTGTATTGGATAAAGATGGTGTCTCTGCCGCTGCGCATTTATCTACACTTGCGGTGCACTTGTATGCACAAGAGCTTACTTTACAAGATTGCTTAGATACTATTTATAAAAAATACGGCAATCATGTTTCTAATAACTCCTATTACATATGCCATGATGGACCTACAATTAGTAAAATTTTCGAGCGTTTAAGGAACTTTAATGGCTCACGAAGCGTACGTATATTTAAATAAAGTAGTAAATTATTGTTATTATGCATATTTTTACATTTTTAGTATCCAAATAATATACTCGACGGAAAATACGAAATAATGAGTGTACGTGACTTAACTACGGGTTTTGATAATACTCAGCCCGATATGAGGGCCATCTTACCAGTATCAAAAAGTAGTCAGATGATTACTTTTGAATTTAACAACGGTCTAGTTATTACCATAAGGACTAGTGGAACGGAACCAAAAATTAAATATTATTCAGAATTGTGTTCAATGGCTGGAGAATCGTAGGTTTATTCGTGTAGGGTAAATATTTGGATTTTAAATTGTTGTTTATTACAGAGACAAGGAGGAATCAATTGAGCTTTTGAATGAAATGGTAACTGCCATAGTTGAAGAGTTCTTACAGCCAGAAGTGAATGGATTGATCCCTAAAGCTGATTAAGATTCAGCAGTATATAACGAATGTTTATATGCGATTTTACTATATTCCAATTTAATATATTTACATGATGTTTGTTTTTGTATTCGATTTAAGAAATAAACAATGAAGCAGTTTTGCGTATTATTGTTGAATTGTTCAACTTTCGGCGTAGTTATGTGTGTTATTTAGAACATATGAGGAGCATTTTCAAATACAACTCTGATTTTCAAATCCAGATGGTGCTAGGATGCACATTTTGGCATTAAATCATCCAAGGCGACAAGATTCGACATGTTCGCTTGCATATTTGTTGTGATGCGACTACACTGAAGTTACCTGGTGTGACTGGTGTGTGTGTGTGTGTGTGTGAGATCACGCGATTCGCACCGATCTATCTTATCAATATCACGCCACATCGTGTTTATTTACATTTTTTTATGCAGCGTTACATCTTTCAACAGCACAAAGTTGAATTTAGCATTGGTATTTCGTGTCTATGCCTTTATTCGTGAATTATTTTATAAATAAATATTATTTGATGCAGCAATAGTAACACATTGATTATGAAACTTAATTTAATTATGTAATTACTTTGTTTATATTTCCTTCTGTTTTTTAACATATTGTTACAGCAATATTATTAGGTATATCTTTTTAATGTTTTTATTAAAACAATACTCTTTAACAAATGAGTTTAGAATGTCAAAAAGAAACCTATAAAACATATGAACATTCAAAATATGTAGTTGCACATGATTAAATGTGCATTGCAGTATGTGCATACAATCGTATCTGGGCGAGTAAAGTTGTAACTTGCATTATACTAATATAATATTATAAATTGCGCCTAGATGACGCTAAGAAGCACATTTTTGCATTAAATATTTTGGTTTGCGCTGTTTATTTGTATGGTCATTTTTTCACACTTGGAATTTTCATGATTTGAATGTGTTATCTTATACACATTTTTCTGTAGATTAAGATTTTTCAAACTATTCATTCATCGATGGTAAATAGATTGTGTTTGCATTTACATTATTTACATTTTTATGTAGCATTTCTTATATCAACAGCGCAAAGTTGCATTCAAGATACAAATACCATATATTATTATTATTTGATGTATATATCGTAACACATTGATTGTGAACCGCAAATTCAATGTAATAAATTAATTTGTTTGTATTTAATATATTAATATATATTTATTTATGTATAGTTAGGACAATATTATTACTTTGCACAATTATTTGCAATTAAATATTCTAGTGGTATGAAAGATTGATTTAAATTATAGAAGAGGACATACCTCAAAAGATTGTATATCCGTAGGTGCGAGGTCGAGATGATAATTCGTGGCGTGTAATTTTACGCACTGCTTGCGGCTTACTTAAATATAACTTTTTATTCTACGCCTAGATGACGCTAGTATGCGCTTTGTTGTATTAAATTAGTCAATGCGACGAACGGCGTGTTGTTTGTTTGAATCAGTGAGATCACGCGATGTGCGATATCGCGTTGGATTTGTTTACACTTTTTATATAGATTTTATTGTAGTACGAACACAAAATTTGCCAGTTTTAGGGCCATTGTACAGACAAAAATTAAATTTGTAAGTTATAATGTTTTACTAACATTTCAACAATTTTAAACTTTTGTATTTTACCACTAGTTGTTTTGGGATATTCATCTAAAATGTGAATTCTGGACGGAATCTTATAATGTGCCATGTGCTCCTTGCAATGATCGATTACTTCCTGTAACGTAATCTCTTCGCCTGGTTTTGGACGTACACAAGCGCACACTTCTTCACCTAATCTTTTATGTGGCAAACCAACAATCTATAAATTAATAATTTATAATTAGTAATCTCAATATGTAAAACTACTACGTAATAATATTTATTATTTACTCACTTGACAGTCTATAAGTTTTGGATGAGAAGTTAAATAATCTTCAATTTCTTTAGGATGAATATTTTCCCCACCACGATTAATAATATCTTTGATTCTTCCAATAATTTTGCCTGTACCATCTTCGGTTACTATAAATTTATCACTAAAAATAAAAATTTTGTATTATTTGTATAAATATTCGAATGTCATTATTTTTACCCGGTTTTAACCCATCCATCTGGCCCAATCATTTCGGCCGTTTTCTTGGGTTCATCTAAATATCCCAACATACCCATGTATCCACGAACACAAAGCTCTCCAGGTTGTCCGAATGGCACCGTCTTACCATTTTCACCAATTACTTTCACTTCGGTATGATCAGCAACACGTCCCACAGAGTTAGCTACATGTTCAGCGTCTGAATGTAAATATGATTGAAAGCAAACTGCGGTAGTTTCCGTCAAACCATAAATATTCTGTAAGTAACCAAAGCAATAACTGATAAAAAGAAATTAACTTTGCTATAATAATTACCATAACTGAATGGTACCCTAAATACTTATACATATCAAAAATTAATTGTGGGGAAGTTGGGGCACCTCCAGTTGCAGCAACTTCAGAACTGACATCCAATTTGTGTTGTTTTTGTTGTTCAACTAAGTCAGTGTGCATTGTTGGCGTCCCATAAACAACAGTACATCTATAAAAAACATGTATCACATAAGTTTGAGAAAAATTAATTAAGATAATTAGTACTTGTGATCGTGAATCGCCTGTAAAGCCTTCCTAGGATTATAAAAATCAGTTGGTAGTACCAATGTGGCACCAAAATGCAACGACGGAAAAATCCCAGCCGTCGTTCCAAAAGTATGAAACAACGGCACTTGTACACAAATCCGATGATGTTTCTTAAACAATTCCAGCCTATTACCAAAATTAAAAGCATTATTAATCACATTATGATGTGACAAAATGGCCGCTTTAGCTGCCCCGGTAGATCCAGATGTAAACTGAATATTAAGAGGATCATCAATCTGTATTTCATCTTGCCTTTCCCTAATCCATTTAAAATCATCTTCTGAGTGTCCCTGTGTAAGCGCGTGGAAGTAATGCGTACCTCTAGAAAAATAATTCGTATGCATATCAAGTTAATATATTGATCAAACCACCATTTACGTTCGATTGTCGTCCATCATAATGATACTACGCAACGACGGCATCGAGTCGCATCGAATATCAGTGCCATTGTCGAAAATTTTAGAATCAACCGACTTTATAATATCGTAGTAATCTTGTCTGGCACTAACACGTCCACAAACAAGCGCTTTGGCTTTTGCTTTATTCAGGCTGTAGATTAATTCATTCTTTTTGTATGAATGATTCAATTGTACTAGAGTAACACCAAGTCGTGCACACGCCAAAGAAGTAACAATCCATTCTATTTCATTTGGTGCCCAAATAGCTAATAAGTCACCCTGGTTAACATTTAATTTCTTTAGACCTATCCCAAATTTATCTACTTCAAGTAATAATTCAGAGAATGTAAGTTGTTTGGATTGATGACATGAGATAATGGCAGGTCTATCCGGATATTTTTTTGCAGCTTGTTCGACAAGTTGTCCACCAGTTGTTGATAACAATGGTTGTGCACCAAGTTTATGTATATAGCTTAATTTTGATAAACCGCTAAAACCACAGAAGTCTAATCGTTATGTTTATAATTAGATTAATAATTAATAATCTTACCGTTTTATTTGGTACACTCCCAAGCGTAATTTCAGAATCATGTTGATCGACAACTCATATACGTGTAGAAATACTAACTAAATGAAAACAGTTGACTAGTTATCTAGTTTCGTTATCAAAATACAAAATTACATAAGTATTATCGTTGAGTGTATTGTGTATTACGTACATATTCGCGACCTTTGAAACTTTATCTAACTTATAAATGAAAGAGGCCTATAATGACCTAGCATGAAAATAATTGCGTAGCTAGCAATGTTGTCAATCAAGTTTTTAATGATTATGACGAGTTGTGATTGGTTATGATTGAATCATTTATATTTCATTTATAGGTATACCAGTTACACCAGCATAAATTAATTGTAAAAACAGTTGCCTAGCTGTATAAAACATGATTATTACAATAATTCATTGCGTTAATTGTTGTACCAGTTTGAACTTTTGAATTTTTCCGCTTGTAGTTTTGGGAAACTCGTTAACAATATGCATTTTTGATGGAATTTTGTAATGTGCCATGTGTTGTTTACAGAAATCCTTAATTTCATCCAAAGTAATGATCATATTATCCTCGAGTCGGACGCATGCACATATTTCTTCACCTAGTCGAACATGTGGCAAACCAACCACCTAAATAAACATAAAATATGGTATTATATGCGTTATAATAACCCGATATTTATTTTTTATACTTGACATTCAGAATTGATGGATGTGTCGATATATAATCTTCTATTTCTTTCGGATGAATGTTTTCACCACCTCGTATGATAATATCCTTGATACGTCCGATTACTTGTCCACTGAGATCATCATACATGACAAACTTATCTCTAAAACAACAAATTAAGTTTCTCACACGCTTGAATATAATCTGTGAACAAATTGTGTTACCCAGTTCTTAGCCAACGATTTTTCATAAATGTTTTTGATGTTAGATCATCATCGTTATAATATCCAATCATTGTATTATAACCACGAACACATAATTCTCCTGGTGTTCCAATTGGTACAATAATACCATTTTCATCAATTACTTTTGCTTCAATATGATCACCTAAGAATATCTTGATGTTTTCTGATTGACGATTTGATTGGTACATGACTGCACTTCCTTCGGTCATTCCGTATACATTCTATAAGTTGTTTCACTTTAGATTTGAAAGTTAAATCTATTTTAATTAATTACCACAATATATTTAGGTTTTAAACGTTCAAAAACATCATTGATCAATTGTTTTGTATATGGAGCACCACCTGTGCATATTATTTCTGGTAAGATTTCAATGTTAAGTTGTTTTTGTTGCGCTATTAAATCCACATACATTGTGGGTGTTCCATAAATAATCGAACATCTAAAATAAGAAGATTACTACAGAATATGTTAAATATAGAAGTGTTACTTGTGTTGTGCAATCGTTTGAAAACATTGTTTGGGATCGTAATAGTTGTAAGGAAGCACTAAAGTTGCTCCAAAGTTTAAAGCGCAAAAAATGCCAACTGTCGTTCCAAATGTATGAAAAAACGGTACGCTAACACAAATTGAATGGTGTTTTTCATGCATTCCAAAACGTCTTCCAATAGAATATGAATTATTAACAACATTATGATGCGATAACAAAGCAGCTTTCGGATTTCCAGTTGATCCCTAATAAAATTTACTAATAGTAAACTTTTTGCAATTTTGTTTAAAAAAAACTTACTGAAGTAAATTGTATGTTTAACGGATCATCCATACTAAGTTTGTATTGATTATTTTTAATATATTTTAGTGTAGTTGCTGTAGCTTGACTGAACACGTCGTTGTATGGTATGGTACCCTCATTATCGGTCAAAGAAATAACAAATTGCAAACTCTCCATTTTTGCGCTCTTGACCTTTGGCAAAGTTTCCTTTGTCTGGAACATTCTATCGTCCACCTGCTTAAGTATACTATAATAATTTTGCTTCACGCTGTTGCATCCGCAAACCAGCGCCTTAATTCCAACTTTGTTCACGCTATACAGTAATTCGTTTGATTTGTAGGAGTGATTCAACTGAGCCAAAACGAAACCACCGCGTGCACAGCCTAACGACACAATCACCCATTCAATCGAATTTGGTGCCCATATTGCCACGTAGTCTCCTTTTGCAATGCCAATGTTCATTAGGCCAGCAGCGAATCGATCGGCTTGTGTCAGAAGCTCGCCAAATGTTATGCTTTTTGATTGATATGCAGATATTACCGCCAGGCGGTCTGGATATTTTTTTGCGGCGTTTTCTAATAGTTGACCTGCTGTTATACCTTGCAATGGAAATGTACTTAGTTGTTGTTGATAGCTCCATATTTTTGGAGGTCTACAAAATATATTTCTTATAATTAATTATAAGGCTTGATTCATTATGATTAATTAATACTTTTGATTCATTTCTACCGTGTTTTTAATCATTTTGATCAAGTTTAGTCGAGCAAGTCGAATGAAGTAAGTATGAGTATAAACTGTAAGTTATAAGTTTGGAAAGTGCATATCAAAGCGAAACAATTCGACAAAGAAAATGTGATAAAAGCTTCCTTTTGTGTGGAAATTCACAATGAATTACAACTACATTGTGTAATTTGTAATTTGACCTCTTGTGTTTTGCATTACCGGGCTTTTCACGAATGTTAGAAATAAATTCAAGAGAAATATTACATTTGCACGTAACCACTAATCGTTTAGTTTAATGTATTTTGCAGAAATTAAATGTTAAATTTACTTTTTTGGTTTATTGCAAATAATTGTTCAAGCAAATTTTTAACTTTTTGTTGTAACGGAATAATGTAACAATACATATCTCAAAATAGATTTAAATTACACTGCTTCAGCATTATTTTTTCATTTGCTCTTGTTGCTTTCGCATGAATAAATAAAAAAACTGAAATCTTAAAACAATAAACGTACTTATAAAGCATTTGTTTTAACACTTTAAATAAGCACTTAACTTGTACCGGATTAGTAAAACAATAAACTGAAGGTGTTTTAGTCAAGATCCTTGGTTTGGAACTTTAGATTCTTTAGAAGAAACGCTAGGTCACTTATTTTGATAAAATCTAAGCCACCCCACATTTGCCAACTGGTGGGGAGCGCTTTCGTGCTTGCAATATTATTGGCCAAGATTTTCAGAAGCCTCGCCGAGATTGAATGCGAAAGCCCGATTTTCAGTGCATGTAAACACGCCAAACGGCACACGCGCTTCTAATATTGCGTAATACAACGCTATGCGAACGAAACAAAAAGTGTTTTTCAAAATCCCAACAAACTTTTATTATTTATAATGTTGACTATTTTGGCAATTGTAATAAAGACATAGTTCGAGTTTGTAAAAAATGTCTCAGCCAGGCGGACGAAAAGGCAAAAACAACAAAACTTCCGACACTGGTGATCAGAAAGAAAAGAAAAATAAAAAAGAAAAAGAACCCAGTGAACCACCAAAAGATGCCAAAAAAGAAGAAGACAAAGAAACCAGCAATGCGGACATTACATCAAGCGCTGGTGATGAAGAAGCACCTCCACCAAAACCACAAAGTGCTGGTGCCAGTATTCGTGATGCGGCCCAACGTGTGCTTTTATTATCACAGAAAGGAGAATGGGGACCGGTGGACCAAACACTCAAGTCCATGGAGAAGGCGATAACGAATGCTGGTGAAGATGCCAACACAATACCTCTACTGGGAGTTGCAGACCCGGTAGGCATTCAGTTTTATAACATTTTTTTGAATACCTGCATGCTATCCATGTTTACTGCATTAAAACTAGAGCAAACAAACCCGTGTAGACGCGCAGCAACATGCAAACGAAAGAAAGTGAATCAATTATTTATCGAACAAACATGATTTCTGCTTCCAGGCGACGGGAATGACACCGCTGATGTACGCTGTGAAAGACAATAGGACCTCCATACTGGATCGACTGATTGAGTTGGGCTCTGATGTGGGCGCGCGGAACAATGTAAATGTCTACTTTACTAATATGCATTATATTTCTTTATGCTTGCATTAAGTTAATAAGCAATCGCATTATTGCAATTTCCTCCCTGCACTAAATCCATAGCCGCTCCCAAAAGTAATATTTTAAGTAAAAATATGCAAAAATCAAAGTGAACTTTAGTCAATAACAATATTCAGTACAAGTTTTTATGTGTTAGTTAGTATTTCACTTTCGTTTCTAATTCTCTTTTATTCTGGAAAGTAGGCAAACCTACGTCCTAGGTATAATTTCCTTCGAACGTGCAAACTCTGCAAACCTCATAAGGCGCATATTAGTATTGCGTGATGAATTTGCCCCAGTTGTAGACGTCACGTAGAAATTTACGCTTTCCATAAAGGAACGATAAAAATGCTTGCAGTACAATCACTAATGCAGATTGGGTTTGCCAAATTTATTTCTTGCAAATAGACATTTTCTATTTATAACAATAATGGAATAAATTTTAGTGATATGTTAATTATGCCTTTGTGCTGTCCTCACGTCAGCCATGTTGATATCTTAAGTTATCGATTTTTTGCGTCTTTCATTTATATTTCTCATATTACACATACTTATTTATAAAATAGATGATAAATGATGGTATCGCATTTTCATAAATTGATTCGCTGATTTTAGGATAATTATAATGCATTACATATATCAGCGATGCATTCACGGGAAGATGTCGTCAAACTACTTTTAACCAAAAAGGGTGTTGATCCGTATTCAGCGGGTGGTGTAAGTTGACTTAATATTCCTTAAAAGGTCGAAAATTCATTGTTTTGGGTTATATTAGAGTCGTCAACAAACTGCTGTTCATCTAGTTGCATCTCGTCAAACGGGGACCGCCACGGCTATTTTGAGAGCTCTTCTACATGCGGCAGGAAAAGATATTCGCGTCAAAGTTGATGGCGTAAGCAAAATATTATTGTTAAGGTTGTTTTAGGTATTAATTTTATTATTATTTTAATAGCGCGGAAAGATTCCTTTACTCCTAGCTGTAGAAGCTGGTAATCAATCAATGTGCAGAGAACTGCTTGGTGCTCAAACCGCAGATCAACTAAAATCAACAGCACCTAATGGCGATACAGCTCTTCATTTAGCCGCGCGGCGGAAAGATATAGACATGGTGCGCATTTTGGTCGACTATGGAACAAGCGTTGATATCCGTAATGGCGAAGGACAAACTCCTCTTCACATTGCTGCTGCGGAAGGCGATGAAACTCTCGTTAAATATTTCTACGGAGTTCGTGCCTCTGCAAGTGTCACTGATAACCAAGACCGAACACCAATGCATCTCGCTGCGGAAAACGGACATGCAGCTATCATTGAATTACTCGCTGACAAATTCAAAGCTAGTATCCTGGAGCGTACCAAAGATGGTTCGACATTAATGCACATTGCTTCACTGAATGGTCATGCGGACTGCGCCATGATGCTTTTCAAGAAAGGCGTTTATCTACACATGCCGAATAAGGTCAGCAAATTCTTATCGGATCGCTATGCTAGCCGGATTAATCAATGGGCTACTTTTACTGGCCGTGGTTTCTTAGTCGCCACACTTTGATATGCTAATTATACCCCTTTGCAGGACGGTGCTCGAAGTATACACACTGCAGCAAGGTATGGTCATGTTGGAATAATCAATACGCTGATTCAACGCGGTGAAAAAGTCGACGTCACCACAAATGTATGTTTCGCACATATGCGAAGAAAAAAACATCTAGAATATGAGACTCGGAAATATTATTCATTTTTACTTTTTTTTACTTTAGGAGAACTATACTGCTTTGCATATTGCTGTCGAGTCGGCCAAACCAATTGTGGTGGAAACTTTGTTGGGGTATGGAGCTGACGTACACATCAGAGGTGGTAAACTAAAAGAAACAGCATTGCATATTGCCGCACGCGTCAAGGACGGCGAACGCTGTGCGTTAATGTTGTTGAAATCAGGTGCAGGGCCGAATTTAACAACTGAAGATGGTCAAACGCCTGTGCACGTTGCTGCACAATATGGTAACATGCAAACTTTACAGTTTCTACTTGAAGATGGTGGTGATCCTCAATATAAAAACAAAGTAATGTCAAAATAACACAATCCATTTATTTCTTTTAAATACATGATTAATTACAGTCTGGAGAAACACCACTACATTTGGCATGCAAAGGATGTCGTCCAGAAATTGTTACGTACCTCATCGACTATGTCAAAATAAACAAACCAGATCTAAAATTAAGTCACTATGTCAACGAGCTCAACGAAAACGACGAAAGCTCACTTCATTACATTTGTCACGTGAAAAAAGAAGATGTTGACTTACCAGGTGCGGATCGTGAATGTGTACGAATACTACAACAAAATGGCGCTGATGTTTCACTGGTATCTAAGCCTAACCATCAAACTGCTTTCCATTACGTTGCTGACGTGGGCAATAACGAAGTATTCCTAGAGATGATATCGCACATGAACGGCACGGATGTACAAAAGGCGTTAAATCGCCAGTCAACAAACGGATGGACGCCATTAAGCATTGCCTCCCACAAAGGTCACGTGGAAATGGTCAATAACTTGCTTAACAATCAAGCCAGAGTCGACGTGTTTGATTTGGAAGGTCGCTCCGCTTTACATTTAGCCGCGGAAAAGGGTTACACACAAGTGTGTGACTATCTCCTCCAAAACAAGGCCTTCATTAATTCTAAATCGAGAAACGGTCGAACTGCCCTTCACCTTGCCGCATTAAACGGCTACGTACATTTGGTCACGTTTTTGATCAAAGACCACAATGCAGTCATTGATATCTTGACTTTGAAAAAACAAACACCACTACATTTGGCTGCTGGTGCTGGACAAATTGAGGTATGCAAGTTGTTGCTTGATTTGGGTGCCAACATCGATGCCACTGATGACCAGGGACAGAAACCTATACACGCCGCAGCGCAAAACAATTACTCCGAAGTGGCCAAGTTGTTCTTGCAACAGCATCCTAGTTTAGTAATGGCTACTACTAAAGATGGGAATACCTGCGCGCATATTGCTGCTGCACAGGGAAGTGTCACGGTCATTGAAGAACTAATGAAGTTTGATCGATCAGGAGTTATATCAGCGCGGAATAAACTAACGGATGCAACACCATTACAAATTGCTGCAGAGGGAGGTCATGCGGATGTTGTGAAGGCTTTGGTTCGAGCTGGTGCTTCAATAACAGATGAAAACAAAAACGGATTCACTGCGGTACATCTAGCGGCCGCAAACGGTCACGGAACTGTTTTGGATGTACTAAGATCAGGAAATAACCTAAGGGTTGTTAGTAAGAAATTAGGTGTAACTCCATTACACGTAGCAGCATACTATGGACAAGCTGATACTGTACGAGAGTTATTAACTAGTGTTCCTGGTACTGTCAAATCAGAACCACCAAGTGGTACTGGTATAGTTCCCTCGTTAGGAAACGAATCAGGGATGACACCGTTGCATCTAGCATCATTTTCGGGCAATGAGAATGTCGTCCGACTGTTACTCAACTCTGCTGGTGTGCAAGTTGATGCTGCGACGCATGAAAATGCCTACAACTCAATGCATTTAGCTTGTTTTGGTGGTCATACTACTGTAGTTGGTCTCTTATTAAGTAGATCAGCTGAATTACTACAAAGTACAGAAAAACATGGCAAAACAGGTTTACATATTGCCGCAACTAATGGGCATTTGCAGATGGTAGAGGTACTGCTTGGCCAAGGCGCAGAAATTAACGCTACCGATCGAAACGGTTGGACGCCCTTGCATTACGCATCGCGTGCCGGTCAATTCGAGGTTGTTAAGCTGCTCACTGAATCAGGTGCTTCCCCAAAAGCCGAAACAAATTTAGGGGCAGTTCCGATATGGTTTGCCGCATCCGAAGGCCATCATGATGTCCTCGAATACCTCATGACTAAAGAGCACGAAACATATTCGTTAATGGAGGATCGTCGTTTTGTATACAATTTAATGGTGTGTTCTAAAAATCACAACAACAGGCCTATTGAGGAGTTTATTTTGGTATCACCAGCACCTGTGGATACGGCAGCGAAGCTATCCAATATTCTCATTACGCTGTCTACGAAAGAAAAAGAACGCGCGAAAGATTTAATTGCGGCAGGGAAACACTGCGAGTACATGGCAACGGAGTTATTAGCGTTAGCAGCTGGGTCAGATTCGGCCGGACGAATATTAACTGCGATCGATAATAGAAACGTTGAATTTTTAGACGTTCTAATCGAAAATGAGCAGAAGGAGGTGATTGCCCACACGGTAGTACAACGATATTTACAGGTACTCAGAATCAAATAATTAAAACCAAGTATTATCCTATTTTATTTTATTCTAGGAATTATGGAGAGGTGCATTAAACTGGGCAACGTGGCGTACACTCCTCCTCTTTATTGGTTTTATTTTTGTTCCACCTATATGGATTGCGTTTACTTTACCTTTAGGCCACAAATATCACAAAGTCCCTATTATTAAGTTCATGTCATATTTGACTTCCCATATTTATTTGATGTTTTTTCTTCTTTTAACCGCCATATTCCCCTTCTATCCCGTGGTACGACCAGGACTCATACCCTATTGGTACGAGTTGGTGCTTCTTGTATGGCTTAGTGGTGTGCTACTTTTTGAATTGACAAATCCAAGTGATAAAAGTGGCCTTGGTTGGATTAAAGTCTGCGTGCTCCTTTTCGGCATTTTTGGTGTAGCAGTACACCTCCTGGGATTAGTAGCCGTAGATAGGATGTACTGGCCAACTTTGATGTACTGCCGGAATCAAATGTTTGCCATTTCATTCCTGCTGGCTTGTGTACAAATCCTGGACTTTCTATCATTTCATCATCTCTTCGGACCGTGGGCGATCATCATTGGTAACCTCATGAAAGATCTCGGACGGTTCCTTGCAGTATTGGCCATCTTCGTGTTTGGTTTCTCCATGCACTTCGTGGCGTTGAATCAACCGTTCAAGAACTTTTCCTATGAAGATGCTCGTCGATATGGAACCTATCCCATATCAACGGTTTACTTCGGAGAAGGTAATTATTGTTTGTTCACTCGTAGCAGTTGAGTAGTTATTAGAGGCATCGGTGTGATTAATACGCATATTAAATAATTGTTTATGTATTACTTATCTAACCACAAACAGAATTAATCGTTAATCAAAGCGCTAGGAGTAATGAGGACGCGGAATGGATCAGAAAGGTAATATCGCCCAGGCCCTTCGCGTCTGTAAAACGCAAACAACATCAACCGGTTGAGCCTGAAGAGGGCAGTAAGTGAATCTGTGTCGAGTGCCGTTCCGAGTATTGTGCGCCAAACTGTCGCACCAATGTGTGAACTTGTCGATCGCTTGCTAAATTAACTTAGGTATTGTTGAAATACATATTAGTTGCTGGTACCATGTTTGTCCGTCAATTTATATGCTATCTGTTTGTCCGACTTTTGCCAACTGTGTGCTGATGAAATCAGAGATTTCGTTGCTGCCCGTCTAATTGTTACTGTCAGATACAAACTCATTGCGAATTGTTGTTTGTTTTGCATTTGTTCTCAGTGCTAATGAATCCGTTAAAGGCACTCGAGTTGTTATTCTTTGCGATATTCGGCCAGACGACGTACGAGGATCTGCTCGTGACCACCGGCGTGCGGCCGGAATGGACGAAAGCGCTGTTTAAACTTGTATTCGGCATTTACATGCTCGTCTCTGTGGTGGTACTGATTAATCTGCTGATTGCTATGATGTCTGACACGTACCAGCGTATACAGGTAAATTCATGCGCTCCCTCTTCTGCTTGTGTGTTTCCAGTCCAAAAGAACCCCGTCCAAGCTTTTGAGTTGCTGTTTTTCGCGATATTTGGACAGACCAATACGAATCAGCTCAAAACCGAAAATTGGGAGCGCACGCACAATGCTCAGCCGCTCTGGACAGAAAACCTCTTTAAGATGGTTTTTGGAGTTTATATGTTGGTTTCCGTCGTTGTATTAATTAATCTACTTATTGCTATGATGACTGACACTTACCAACGCATTCAGGTAACTTTGGTGACCTGCATGCCCTTGCCATGCCCCAGGCATACTTACTAAATATAAAATGTTAACCAAGACCAGATCACGTGTTTTTTGTTGTTGTGTATATCAGGCTTCGCACACAAGTTCTGTTGGGCTGGATTCGTTTTTGTTTTCGATTCATCTCTGAATCGGAGCTTTGTTACAACCACACCACCAAACTGCTTAGACTGATCGATATCATCTACATTTTAGATCATAGTCTGTTCGAAAGTTGAAACTGATTACACTGTTAGGTACACACTGTTCTCTCAATAAAACACACCCATTGCGAAGTTGGTAAATCTGTTCAAAGTTACCGAGTTGATTGATCGTAAAGGTAGCAATCATTTGTTGAAATGAATAGTGAGTGTCTCACTGGTATCACCCCGGAATGTTACACACATGTCGTATACATTGATTGTTACAATCAACGCACATATATGGAAAACATCACGACTTTATGATGCCAATAATTCTAAACAGAGATTTCTTTTAGGCCCAATCCGATATTGAATGGAAATTTGGTCTGAGTAAGCTGATCAGGTCGATGCATCGTACAACTTCCGCTCCATCTCCGATTAATCTCATCACAACATGGCTGTTTTACATGATAGATTGGTGTAAACAAAGAAGTAAGTCCAAAAACCCAGCAAACAATATCATACAAAATTAATACCATCTCTGTTTTACTTCACAGTAAAAGCAAAGAAACGAACCAGCATGGCCAACCTTATCGGAGGATTCCAGCGCACACAACAGCTAAGCCCCCGATCCAAATATGGTCAAAAATGGTTGGCCAAAGTAAAGAAAGGTCGTCAAATTGCACCGAAAGAATCAGTTGCTGCTCTCTCCGTCTCTCATGGACTCAGCCCACTGGGATCTCAACTAAGTTTTTCAATAGCAACAAACCGCATTGAACATGTGACTGATTGGGAAGCCATTGCTAATAAATATCGCGCTCTAGTTGGAGCCATCGATGAAGTGAAAGAAAGCGGCAATGATGATGAAGACGACAATGATGATGACGATGATGGCCAAGCTGGAAATAACGTTGCAGCCTAATTTATGATCACCTAAACTTAAGTCACACCTAGAAATCACAAATCATCTAAAAACATGTTAGTTCCATAAATGAAAGTATATTCTAATTGTTAATAGAGTGCCATTATTTGTACATTGAAGTTTCAAATATAAATCAAATCTTCAAGAATCATTTTTTAATACTTTAAGAAATATCTTCGGGTGTGCGAAGAAAGTAATTTCCGGTTATATTATTAGGAGCATCATCACCAAAATTAACTTCGTTACCCTTACATGCGCCTTGATCAAATTTACTCCAACTATCACATGGTACCGCTTTCATGTCCTTTTTTAAAACAGATCGTACAAAGAATTTATGACTTCTTGCATGACTACAAAACACTAAAAAATAATATTACTAATTTTTAAAGGTGTTCTTTTATAAGTCACTTACAATCTTCATATTGAACATCAGCTTTCAATAATGAGCAACCCGGTTGAACTGCAGTTCCACCATTCGGATAAAAATCAGTTGTTCCCAGTGATTGCCTAAATCCTAACCATCCACCATCAGTATGTACAATATCAACAAATGCAGCGTCATCAGGACTAAGTCTATCATCATTTTGTAACGTAAACAAATCAAAATATGGCGCAGCAGGATCTAAAGCGGTGATTCTACCCAAAGGTTTCCCCAAAACTTTGATTACACGTTGTCCACTTAATCCAGCTACATGAGCACCCAACGAGTGTGATATTAGATGAATTCTTTCTAAAGGCACCTTTCGACCACGATGAATTCTGTTTGCTATAAAGTTTCCTACGGATGTACTTATTTCAGGAACTGCTAGGGATGCTGATATATAATCTGCGTCGCCCCTTGATGACCAATCAAGTACAATAACATTATATAATCCTTTCTTCAGATAAGCTGCTGTTAATTTTTTGCACCATTCAACATAATAATGTTCTGTCCATCCGTGTACTAACATTTTCACAGGTAATTTTGGATTTATCAATGATACATTGTTATTAATCACCAAAGAATTAAATGGATATTGTCTTGTATACAAATAGAATTTTACAGGTTCATCAGCAAGTGCTTGGGTTTTCTTGCTGGTTTTGCTATCTTTTTTCTTTCCCGATAAACTTAATGTTGGTAATTGAAATGATATACCATTCAGCAATTGTTTCATAAAATCTTTACGGTATTGTTCAAGTTTTGAGTTGTTAACTGTATCTGAAAGGTGACTTTGTAATATAAAAAATGATGGATGTTGCAAAACGAGCTCCTACCTTGAAGTGCCACCGGTAAAAATAGAACAAAAAACAGTTTTAAATTCATGTTGACATTAAAACAGTGCGATATGCGAATGAATTAGAGTTTGCAAAAACATTTGCTATTTCAATGTATCATCAGGAGAAACGGATGTATTTAGTATGCTGATTAACATCGAAATTATTTTATATATTTGCATGTGTTGATGTACACTTGAAAAACAACCTGCAATATTAGTCTAGTCATAGTTTTAAATAAATGCAAACGTACATTAACTACATTAAGGAAATCCAATTACGAAATAATTTTATAATTTAATTGCTAAAAATTAGTTTTAATCAGTTTTGAAACTGATATTAAAGAGAAAAAACAAAAAATCATTTGCTCTTGAAACATGTAATGGAATTCAAAACACATTAATAAATAAAAAAATAAAATTAATTCGCGAATCCAGCTATTTAGTAACGCGTGCCATTTATATCATAACAAAAGTAATCCAGCAATTCAAACATTAAGAATGTAAAAATATCGCAACAGTTGTAAAAAGATTACTTTTGTCGCAAATAATACAGATTAGATAAAATTGTTGTTGGGACGCCTTTGAATATGTCTTAAACAAAGTCCGCTTGTTACCAACGGCGTTATTTAACGTTACTTTGTTTACTTGTGTTGAAATCTTCGTTATAATTCAGCTTTGAAAACATATTGAAATAGAATACCGCGTGTTTAAACATCAATATTATGAACAAGCTTTTAATTCATAAAAATAATTAAACATAGACTCACGGTTGCAGTAACATCAAAATAAACAGTCTAATAATAATTAAATTGTATTTAGTATTAAGCAATTGCTATATGGACTTGAATTAATTAAAGTATTCAAATTTATAAGATTTAGATGAATTATTAGTTAATAGAGGCTATGGAAATGTATTTTTAACATATTTTTATTATTTGTAAATAATCCTAGCAATGTTGATCTTTTAATAACGGTCAATAAAACTATCACGCCATGATAAGACGTAGTTCCGATTCCAATTAATGGATCTTTTCAATTGTTCAATAATTAAGATAACAACATAACAATTCCTTGTAAACATATGTATCTTTTTAATATGTTGGATTTCAATATGAGTCGGCATTATTTGATTATCAATAATCTATTAAACATATTTGTTGTCGATAAATATCCCTATAAAAGCAAAATTTGATCTCGCAAATCTTCAGTTCTTATTTGTTCGTTCTCAAGTTTCACACAAACTTTAAAATCATAAAAATGGCACGTTTTATTGCTATAATTTTTCTGTTCTCGACTTTATCAACTGGTAATTATTTCTACTTTTGTATTAATTTTATTTTATTAATTGTTTTATGCTAATCATTTTTAAATTGTTGTTAATATAGTCACACCAATGCCCGAAGTTAAATTTTATTCCTTTACATCTGATGGCAAAGAAGAAGTTGACCTCGATTTACCATTAGCAACCCCGTATATATTAACACCAACCCACGGCGTTAAAATTCTCTGTCATGGCTGGAACGGTGATGTTTCTACAGAATGGTACACCAACGCATCTGAAGCATATTTGCATTCGGGTGAAAAGAATGTAATAGCAATTGATTGGGGATTCTACGCAAACCAAAAGTACCCAGAGGCAGTTGAAGATGTCTTCAACGTTGGAAAATTCGTAGGTGAAAAAGTACTAGCGCTTCATCAAGCCACTGAAATACCATTAGATCAATTCCATCTTATCGGACACTCACTCGGAGCTCACGTTATGGGTATGGTAGGACAGTATATTGTCAAGAATAGTGGTAAAAAGGTGGGACGCATTACTGGGTTAGATCCGGCAGGTCCTTTATTTGATCGTGAAGACAATGAATATCGTCTTAGTGCTGATGATGCTTACTTTGTTGACGCTATCCATACAAATACTATATTTTTGGGATATAAATCTGCTATAGGACATGTGGATTTCTGGCCGAATGGTGGTAGGGATCAAACTGGATGCAATGGTGACCTGAGTTGCAGTCATAATATTGCTCCGCAGTTTTTCGCTGAATCCATAAACTCGACTAATTTTCCGGCATGGTATTGTGATTCGGATGAATTGTTTAGAGCTGGAGAATGTTTTGATAACCTTATGATTTATATGGGTGATTTGACTCCTAGTAATATAAGAGGTGAATTTTTCTTGAGCACTAATGCAGACTCGCCGTATGGAAAACAATTAGAAGATTATGAAAGGCCGTAAATTTTAATTCTAAGTCAATTGTAATTTTATAAATTATAATTTATTTTTATACTAACCCTAAATTTATTTAATAAAAACTAATGTACATTGTAATAGATAGTTTACAAATTATTGTAATAATTGAATTCATTTATTCTGTTAAAAATGGTGACTCAGTATTGGTTTTAAAATACATGTTTCCTCTTAATGTATGTGGAACATGTTCCCCAAAAACATAAAGTTCACTATCCGTATAATTTCCTGCTTGAAAATCTTCCCAGCTTGCAGCCAACTGACCAATTCGAGGTTTCCTACCGATAGATTCAACAAAATACCTTGTCGATCTGGCATGGCTGCAATTATCTATAAAAAAATCGCATTAATGAAAATAAGGCTTATATAAAGTAAACGCCTTACCATCAACATCATGATGTGGACACCCTGGTTGAAATCCACCACCGTTCGGAAACACATCTAGATGACCAATACTTCTTTGGAACCCGTAATGACCATCATCAGTATGAATAACATCCAAAAATGTAGCGTCATTTGTATTAGTTATATTCGGAGTTTTTTCAAATTTGGGTCCTGCAGGATCCAAAAGTGTAATACGACCAACTTTCTTTCCTGTAGTAGTATAGATTGAACGACCCGTAAAACCAGCTACATGAGAACCAAGAGAATGACCAATAAGGTGAATATTATCCATATCTATTTTAGCTGTTATCAAATGATCAGCGATAACTCTAGCAACGTTTAAACTGCTTGGTGCACTAACTGAGTATTGTTTCCCAGCTATTGGTTCATAATCTACATAAATTATATTAATGGGAGTTGGTTCTTTGAGGTAGGCATCTTTAAGAAGTGGGTACCATGGGGATTTTTCTATGCTGGTAAGCCATCCATGGATTAGGACTTTGGTTGGGTAGTTTTCTAATTGATTTGCATCCACTTCATCGCCAGAATCATTAAAATGAACAAATTTTAAGTGATCTTTTGTAATTGTTGCAGCTAGGGAGAAATCCACGGCGCTGGCGTAGTCATCCTGTGGATAATCATGGTGTACCAGATGAGCATCAGCTTCTAAAAATAGAAATTAACGTTTAGTACGTGTATTGTGTTGCCTACACTATGCAATCATTTCTCATTTTCTTTCAAAACAAAATTTAACAATTTTGTGCAATATTACGCGACTATTATACATTCTAACTAAACACATGAATAAAAATAGTTTACCTTCAAATTTAGTACCCATTTTTTGATTAAACTAATTTAAATTTTAAATCAATGCGGAAAGTATAGCTTCTTTGTGGTGGAGAAGCTTTTACATGTCTGTGCTGTCGCGCATCCTATGCTATCAAAGGGAATAACAAACATGTACAAAACATGTGTGTAAGCGCGCGCGATAACTATATATTCATGGTCGTCGGCCGACGCACGATTCCCAAATATTAAAGCTGTCGGCGCATGCGCAGTGAATGCCTTCCACTTAAGCAGAGTCTCGACTCAACTCACTGCGCAAGTTTACGTAAACAAAGTGACCTTAAAATGTAGCTTCCAATATTTGCGCGAAATAGCCAATGCGCCAAGATCTACTCTTACTTTTTCGCGTCCATCATCCGCAAACAATGTGCGCTAAATGCAGATGAATTCACCAAGTGCGTGTTGTGACCGCGTGAAATATGCAGCAAGTACCGCCGAGAAGGCCCAAGCAGCTAATGCCAGGTGTGCCCAAGCTGAAGGTAATTCTTCACTTTCTTTATTAATTCATTATCCGCACACGGTTGGACTGGCGTCCGTGCGACAATGCGTCCCTCACGTAGACTGTTTGTGTTTCGCCGTCGTGGTCATATTATGCAATGTTATTTAATGACCAGAGAGCTTAGACATTAGGACGAGTATCAAATTCGTGCGCGTAAATATATTAGAATAAAAGGTGCGTTAAATGCGGAACGAACAGAACCAATATTCACCAGCCTCGGTGGCGCAGTAGGCAGCGCGTAAGTCTCATAATCTTAAGGTCGTGAGTTCGAGCCTCACCCGGGGCATTTCTTTTTACTATGTGTGAAACATGATCGACGTATCATTATCATCTCACCAGCTGTGAAAAATTACACGTGAATTAATTATAATCTTGAAGTTGCGAGTTACCTAGCAACGTTTAATGTGTGTCACGCGTGCTGCAATCATCGGCATTCTTGAAATTAACAGTTTTCACTCTTGTAAGATGATCTGCGCGTGTTGCACGTAGAAAAAAAAATTATACAATCATTTATGTTAAACAAACTTGACACTTTAATTGTTGGCTGGTCATCTTTCTCGCCGAGCACAGCTTTTATCTGCAGTGTATTTATATTAATAGAAACCTGTGTTACGGTGCATGTAAACGCGAATTGCACGTAATCGATGAGGGCTTGCATCAGGTAGTTACAATGTTTACTTATTCAGCTAATTTGCGCTCTGGATGAAAGGTGAATGACTGCCGGGCGAGTAATCAGACATCGTGTTAATTGTCATGTGCGCACAAGAAAGAATTAGCCGCACAACGCACGCAAATTGGCTTCTTTAAACTTTCTTGCAGAGAAAAACTATGTTCTTGGACCTTGTACTTGCTGAGCGTTGCGCGACACGTTTTTGGACACAATTAAACATTGCATTAGTTCTTTGTTTTGCTATTTTATTGCAGAACATCGTATCGGGTTTCTCAATGGCGGACGAGTATAACATTATCACTACCTGGTACTCACGGTTGAAAATTCTGCTTGTAATAATAATTCGAATAGGTGTTATTTAATGATCATTTTTGACGCAGTAATTTAGGTCAAGGTCTTCTACCGCGCAGGCAGACAATACGCCGTCGTTCATTCAGTCAATTTATTAAACACCTAGATTCTTAACGAAACGCATTGCTAATTTGGCTAATTTTTAAGTTACTATACAACACACGGGGTCATTGAACAGTCATAATAATTTATTATTAATCAGCGAATGATTTCCACGACGATTGCTATTTTTAAAAATTTTAGTGATTAATATCAATTTGTTCCAATAACCTAGTATTTTATTCGCATCAGTTTGTAAATCTGGTTAATACCTAATCACGCTTGTAAATTGATGGAGTGAATTGAAAAATTGATAATTTCCACAAATATTGAATACATTTATCTATCAATGCTTATGATGAAGATAAACGTGTATTTTGTTGAATATATTCGATGTGGGTAGCGGAAATCATGACATACTCGTAGATTGCGAAACAGCATGCAACACGTTTGTAAGAGTTGATGGCGTGGGTTTTCAAGAAACCGAATATGTACTTTTACGACTGCGAGCAATTCTAATCTGCACGTTTAGAATTAATTATAAAATGAATCAATTTAAACTGTTTCACGTTTATTACAAATTTAAATTCTGAATAAGACAGAGTACATAACCTTATTTTTACTTTCTTGATGTTTCAAAATAATTTTAAGTTTATACTAATTATTCTATTAGTAGTAAATATAAAATTCATATTTACCTGGACTCAGACGAAAAATGGTAGAAAAAATGGCACCGAATATCAAATACATTTTCGTAACTTTATGTCCACGTTTCGCAGTTTACAGATTGACGTAAGTAAGCAGAGAGACCTCGTCTCGCGAGTAACTAACTAATCGGGAAACCAAATTCGTAATTTAAATTTAACTTATATATAAATGAACTTTAGTCGTGCGGAGTAGCATTCGGTTTGTTGGCAAGCATTTTATAAACCGGCTTAAATAGGAAGTTCTGAATTTACAGCTTGACGTATTCAAGTTAAACAACTAGTCGTAGCAATCAAATAAACGATAAGCACTATAGGCATTATTGTTCACTATTAATGATCAATGAACAATTAAAGAACTCTTATATTGTTGGCATTGCAGTAACACATTGTAGGTAAATGTTCACAATTTTTAATAGTACCATTTTGTTATATCAGTGTAAACGGCATACTTTTGTACGTTCGTTTAGATTTGGCAACGAAAGGTTATCGCCATATTGAACTAACCTCAAAATTCTTATTACATGAAAAAATACTTTACATCACTCGCAATTATATTTACAAATTATCCATGATTGGAATATTTCAGTGTGTTTCATATTTATTAGTACTATTAGGCTTCAATGCGAATTTTTGAAATATTTGCTCGACTGTAGATATATATATACAAATTACGGACTTCTAACACTTGTAAATTATACACAAGAATCTAACACAACTCTAATTTCACACAATCGTTTGAATAGGGCTTCACACTCAAGCGAGGTTTTTTTCCAATAATTGTTCACATCTTTGCTACAAGATGTACAAAAAAAATTCTCCAGATGTACAAATAGAGACAAAATTTTCATAACAATGTCAAAATGTCTTTGGACAGTAAAATATTTCACAGATGGTCACCAGATTTTATATATTGGACCTTTTCTTGTTTTTCTAATAAAAGCATAATAAAAACATTTAACGAGACTCGGGACATGTGGTCCCGAATACCTCAGTATCTCTCGTCTCGTAAAAGCAAGAACGAGACGAGACGTTTGTGAAAATGGTCGATACCAAGACCACATGCAGCGCAAGCGCAACCCGAGAATCTCGTTCTTGGTCTTGTTAATTTTATTTCTCGTCTAGTAAAAGCGAGAACGAGACGAGACGAGAACAAACTCGCTCTCGAGTGAAGCCCTGCAATGTGTTGCTAGTGAAGAGAAGGGTCGATAACGAAAAGATGAAAAAGTGTGAGATCAACAGACAGTTCGTTTTCAACTTCGGCTGAAAACAGTTCCTTGAGTTATTATTGTGCCATTTATGCTAAAGTGCGCGACGAAAAATTGTTTAAGTAAACAACACTCGGTGGATCAGAGAAATTCTGGGAAGAGTTGTTCACCAGTTTAAGGAATACTTTTAAACAGTGACGATCTACAATTTTCGGACTTCAGATACAGTAAAATGTCGACCAGTGTGACTGTTAGCGATGATAACCCAAGAAAGAGGGAGAGATCAAACGAAAGTGAAGATGAAATAAGTGAAACTAATACTTTTGATCATCCACCTAGAAAAAAAACTTCAAAATTTGGAAATTTTTTTAAACTCGAAATCATTAAAGGCGAGAAAAAAGCAACATGTTTATTGTGTGAAAAATCAAAAGTGAAAAAAATTATTAGCCGAAAAGATAACAACACTACCGGTATGAAGAGGCATTTACTCACGACTCATTCAAAGGCCTACGAAGAAATTTATGGGAACTTAGTTTCGACTCAAAAATTATTGTCATTCTTGACAGATATGTTTCCTCCTAAACAGGTAATTTAATTTTAGTATATAGATTTAAAAAAATTTGTATTTAATTTTATATATTCAATTTAATATACAAGTTAAGCAGCTGGACGTACCAATCGGATAAACGATCAGCTAGTACTATTAATGAACAATTAAAATTTAAAGAACTGTTGCATTATTGGCAGTACAGTTCATTGTGGTAACACTTGCAGGCAATTGTTCTCAATTTTTAATAATACCATTTTGTTATACCTGTTATACCCAACCAAAGGTTATCGCCATGTTGAACTAACCTCAAAATACTTATTACATGAAAAAATACTTTACATCACTTGCAATGATATTTACAAATTATCCATGATTTTCGTTTTTATTAGTACTATTAGGCTTCAATACGAATTTTTGGAATACCTGCTCGACTGTAGATACATAAACAAATTACGGACTTCTAACACTTGTTAATTAAACACAAGAATCTAACACAACTCTAATTTCACACAGTAAATATACAATCGTTTGAAGAAGGAGAAAAAACAAGTTTTGTTGATTTTATCATAATAACAAATTAATTTCAATGCCTCACGTGTAATTAATATACCTACTACAAAAACCTTATCTTGTTGTTTACTTTGTTTTCATCAGTGAGTAATACTTAAGGTATTCAAGTTTGTAGATTTATTAAAGAATTAAGTATGAAATCAACAAACATCTTAAAAATCGAATGTCATAAGTGTTTCTATTCAATGAGTAATAAATCGGGTGGATACTTCGCCCAAAATATGATAAATAACGATAAACAGATAAATTCCACAATGATGACAATGTCCTTATCCATAATCAATTTTAGTTTAGTGGTCATGATTGTTATCAAAAATTATTGTTCTATATTGTCAGTTTAAACATGTGTAATTTTAAATTTCCACGAAGATATTATTTCATTTTCACGCCAAGAAAAAGACGTGGCAATAGGGTTTCCCATTAAAAACGATATTTTGGCGCTTAACTAGAACTGGCTGGTAAAGAAAGACACTTTTCTGAGTAGTATCATGTCGCACAATCGTTCGACGAACGCAATACGTGCCGATATAAATTAGATTCGCACATATCATGTCACGATGGAAGGGGGAATAAAACGCGGCGGCGGCGACGATCATACAAAGTAAGCGAAGTCGCGACTTGCGGTCAGTTTGCGTGCAGGTCGTTGCGCGTCGGAGTCGTCGCTCAGCTCTCAGTAGGATTAAAGTGACTTAAGTGTGGAAGCGCGCGCACATACACCGGCTAATTATAGAAAAGGCGAAATTGTCGGCGAAAATAACCAAGAGTGCACCCTGGGTGCGAACACAACCGAACTGTTTTAGTGCAACGACGTGAAATTTCGCCTTCATGAAAATGGTGGTAAACGAAATTAATTTGCTACCGCACAACATGCGTCAAATGTTTCATAAGCGAAAGGTAATCAATTGTCGTATTTTTTTGTTTGTTTTGCGTTGTACACAAGTGTTTTTTAAATTATAAGTGTTATCAACATCAATGCACATACTACACCTACCTTGTTCCATAAGTGCATGCGTTGTTTCGAACGCAATAATGATATCAGCATATTTAATAGTAATTGTTCGCTACTGTTTCAATTTCTTATTACGTCTCGGGTCTCTCCGAATCGGCGTGTGTTCCGCACACGTTCGGCGTCGGCTAGAATTTTATCTAAAGTAGCACACGCCATGGACATCTGGGTGTGCATAAAGTGCACCTTTTAGAATATCACGTACCGTAAACAAGCGGATTATATTACTCATTTATATACTGAGTAATTTATGCTACTGTAGATTTACGTATGTTCGAATGTAAATTTCCAACATTGGCACTGAACGCAACCAACAGTACACGGCAAATACTCAAAAGTCACTCATATTTTTTTAAAACGAAATAAGGGTAATGTTAGTTGTATAAATAACACATTGTATAACCGAACAATGTGATAGTATTGATAAAATCTAGATTTATTTTATTTTGGAGACAGACAACTCTTTGATAAGTTTACAGTTACTGTTGGTTATCAAAAATGAAAGTTACGTTTGATGACTCAAGTTCGTTGATGTTTGTCTTATTTACCTACTTGCCGCTTACCTGTTTAAATTACCGAAAAAATAATTTGTTAGTCTGCCGGTTTGCAAGACTTTCAAATCATCTTTACCTTCTCTCCCACGTGGCCCAAAATTTCTCAGTGATGAGCCAGCAAATCGATTCAAATCCATTGTCAAAATTCCTGTTTTGCAACCTGTGCAGGTAATTTTTGGCGTCACGGTGCCATTTTGGTGTTTTGAGCTTTGCGATGGCGCGATTCCCTTCCTTCGACAATGTCTAGACGTCGCGTAGGAGGCGTGTCGCGACTTTCGGCCATTCTACCATTCGGAGAGAGTACAATTTGCATTTGCTAACACGGTTTAAACATCTAGTCATCGTCTGTTCCACGGAAACGTAAACGCGAAGTTCATTGTTACGAGTGTAACGAGTTATTAATAGAGCGCAGGAAACTGATTACGTGTGCGGTGCCATAATTTTAAGCGATGTTTTATTGACATGCCAATTATTTTTTCGTTTTAAATCAACGCTTCGGTAATGCTAACATGCGCGCGCCAGTGTGTTTCAGTGCGATGAATCATCCATTCGTGTTTTTACATTCATAATAGATTTCCACCGAATCGGTCTTACTACATCGCCCCTCCATTCGCAGATATAAATTGTAGTAATATTAACATTGAGTCATAATATTTGCGATGGTGTGTCGAGATGAAGTTAATTCATGAATCACTCAGTTGTAAATTATCAAGATCTCATGTTGGAAGTATGCATTCGGTGATAACTGCTCCAGAGTGCAGCAGCAGTATATAACAGTTAAGCAATGCGCGCGGTGCTTAAACGACGCTCGCGATAAGTAAGGAAAGGACACTTTTTTGTGTAAAACAATTACCGTCTGCTGGTTTGACACTACTTGTTTAAGCGATCGTGAGTTGCTTTGTGAATACGACGTACGACGCTGATAAGATAACGACGCTTAGATATATTCGCACGCGCTGTTCGTCCGCAACTTTAAATGCGATTTCGACATTCAAACTTTTTTCGCTCACCTGCGTAGTTGGGCTCGTTAGCGGCCATGAGGGCGAATACGAGCGCAAGTCGCTTCGAAGAACTGCGCAAGAAATTTATGCCGGTACTTCAAATTCCACCTCAAAAAGTGTGTGCCCAGTAAAAAGTAATCCTGTTGGTTTGTTCAGATAAAGGCTGACAACTTGGACCATCAGCAGCTACCAGTCAGCCACGTTCAGCACTCCGCACCCGTGGAAATGGGAAAGTACAATTTGAAGAATATACAAGATAATCGAACACAAATTATGTCGTCCAGATCCTCTGAGGTAAGTGAATTTCTACCTGTCTGACACGACACTCACGAAATTCGTACACTAAATAAATTACACAACTCGGCGCGATTTTAAACGATGTGTATATAGATAACACTTTAAATGATTATTACGATGATTTGACGTTATTAACATGAATTTGAAAGTTAAGTCAGACGCGGTTTTGATTTCGCGGTACGCATTTTTAAGTATCAAAAAATAGTGATAGTATTATACGTGTGACGACGTGAGTTTTTCGCGCGAATCTATTCATATCTCGCCACTCACATCATCGGCGGCGCGCGGCTAGAAATAGCCTAATTGTTCATTATTTTATTTTCAGTACCAAACGAACTCGCAGCGCAGCCACACCGTCAACAAGACGCAAAGTATGAAGATGCACCTGAATGACTTCAAAAACAATATATCTGAAATGGAAAATATCTTTCGCAAAAGCTCCGAACGCCTGGACAACAGTGACTTGGATAGTCCTAGTGATCCTGTTGTCACTTATCCTGACGATACCCCAGTGCCATCCGAAATCAGTACACCGACCAGTTCCCTCGATCATATAAAATACGAACAGAAGCGATCGAACAATATAAGAACAACTAAAGTAAGTGAATTAATAAATTAATCAGTAATATGTGTTTATTCACCTATTGATTCGTATTTACAGATAGTGACCGATAGTTATAGTGAGCAAAAAGCTAGCAGTAAGTACGCTGAAAGCAAATCTTTGCAAACTGGTGAAGTAAGCTATGAAGAAAACGCCGAACGTGCAGCCTGCCATGCGAAATTAGAGATGGATGGTGTTTCGGCGGAAAAATCACGGTTGAAGTCTAAGGTAAGTTAAAAATTTCAACACACAAGTTCAAACTTCTAATTTTATAGATGACTGCATTCATTGCCTGTGTAGTCAGTCGTTAAATATTTGGCAAAGGACCCGAAATGTTGTTTGAATACAATTCGAAATAAAAACAATGTTCGACGCGTTCAACGCAACTTCTCACAACGCGTGCTTAGAAAATGCAGTCCTCGGTGTTTTCCGGGGAGCGGTTACGAGGTTAACTTATTGATTTATTTCGGGGGTGAACTTGCCATGCCTAGTAGACGATATCAACTAGTTAAATCCATATCAAACCAACAAATAGAACAAAAAGCAGAACGTTTCCCTTGGTTACGTTATTCTGATTTGTAATGAGTTAGCGATGGCTAGAAATTTCCTTTCTTTCGGTTATAGAATTCAAAATTTACGAAACTATCATTTACTAACGAAGGTAAAATAATAAAATTGTGAAATTGTTTATTTAATAAGATGGTGGTAATGTATAAAGTGTGAATTTGTGCATTTTTTTATTTCAGGAGGCCAGATCATTGATAACCTCAGACGCCACGCAACAACAAATGAAAAACATGGCACATTCGTCTGTTAAGATCAAGACGGGCACATTCAGCGCTGAGAATACCAGCACTCAAGCCCAGAAAGAACGCCAAATCATGACCAGCAACGGAAGATATAATGCCGTTCACACTTCATCGTCTCAGTCTAATATTACTTACACCAGCAGCAGTCAAGGGATTCACACTTCGTCTACGTCATTACTTCAAACAACCAATGAGGAACAGGTACTGTTTGATTTTACTAATCATTGTCTGCGCTCATACACATTACATCATCATTTGTGGGGCGTGAAGAATCAAATTCTCTGATAAGATAAAATATCACTCGAAATTCATGAACAATTCCAGAACAATCATACCATTTTTGTTTGTATTTCTAAAGTGGGTAATTCCCACACTTATCTAGTGTTTGTCAACATTCGCAATTTTTTTTCAGTACCCTTTCATAACAGATCTTGACGCAGAGCTTGTTAACATTTCTCTTCATGATTTGGATAATCTCATTAATGCCACTCCTGAGGAAGTGGATTCGGTTATTCAAAAATACGCCCAACATATTAGGCGGCTTATTAAACATCTCGGGGAAACACCACATGCTCATAAAATCCTCAATAAAATTTTTGACATAATGAACAAAGCATGGGCGATACCTACACATGGACATGAAGTAGGATCTTCTTTATGTAATGAACTTCGTGTTTGTGGTGGTCTCGACTTGTTGATGGAAAACTGTATGACTACAAATAATGAACTGCAATTTGCTACTGCAAGACTTTTGGAACAATGTTTAACCACGGAAAATCGCGCTCATGTTATGGCTTCAGGGCTTGATAAGGTGGTAAATGTCGCGTGTATTTGCACAAATGCAAACAGCATCGAGCAATCTCGTGTCGGCACCGGTATCTTGGAGCATTTATTTAAACATAGCGAGGACACTTGCAGTAAGGTAGTTACTCTTGGCGGATTGGATGCTTTGTTATTTGAGTGTCGTAAGAGTGATGTGGAAACTTTAAGGCATTGCGCAAGTGCACTAGCGAACTTAAGTTTGTATGGTGGTGCTGAAAATCAAGAAGCGATGATCAAGAAGAAGGTGCCAATGTGGTTGTTTCCTCTCGCATTCCACAACGACGACAATATTAAGTACTACGCATGTTTGGCTATTACCGTTTTGGTAGCTAACGCTGAAATTGAGTCTCAGGTGCTAAAATCAGGGACTTTAGGATTGGTAGAACCATTTGTCACTTCGCACAACCCTTCAGAGTTTGCAAAGAGTAATTTAGCACACGCGCACGGACAAAGTAAGACTTGGTTGCAACATTTGGTGCCTGTTTTAAGTTCCAAACGTGAAGAGGCTAGAAATCTAGCCGCGTTTCATTTCTGTATGGAGGCCGGTATCAAAAAGCAACAGGGTAATACCAATATCTTTGCTGAAATTGGTGCAGTGGAGCAGTTGAAGAAAGTCGCAAGTTGTCCAAATGCCGTTGCTTCTAAATATGCTGCTAAAGCTTTACGCCTTGTTGGGGAGGAGGTACCTCACAAGTTGAGTCAACAGGTACCTCTTTGGTCAATCGAAGATGTGGAGGAATGGGTGAAACAAATTGGTTTTGGGGAATACGCGCAAAGCTTTATTGATAGTCGTGTTGACGGAGATTTACTTCTACAATTAACGGAAGAAAACCTTAAAGAAGATATTGGTTTGACCAATGGTATCAAACGAATTCGATTCTTCCGCGAACTGCAAATTCTAAAACGTTTAGCAGACTACAGCTCGAAGGACACAGCAAACATCAACAGCTTCCTGCAAACAATGGGTCCAGAATTTAGCATTTACACTTATAAAATGTTAAATGCTGGAATTGAAACGAAAGAAAGCCTGATGCGTTTGCAGGAAGATCAACTCCTGAACGAATGTGGTATTACCAATTCAATACATCGCCAGAGAATTATAGAAAGTATTCGGGCGATGGAAAATGGCCTCTCAAACTCGAAGGATGACGATTCTAAAAAGTCTTTGGATATTTTTATCAGTTATCGCAGATCAAATGGATCTCAACTTGCTAGTCTACTCAAAGTGCACTTACAATTACGCGGCTTTAGTGTATTCATCGACGTTGAACGATTGGAGGCTGGCAAATTCGACAACAATTTACTTCAATCAATTCAGAAAGCTAAACATTTTCTGTTAGTGTTAACACCGAACGCTTTGGACCGATGTCGGGGAGATGAGGAAAAGAAAGACTGGGTGCATAAAGAAATTTGCGCAGCACTGAAAGCAGAATGCAATATCATCCCAATTGTGGACAATTTCCTCTTCCCCGAAACTGAAGAACTTCCCGAAGATATGCGACCAGTATGCCATTTCAACGCTATTAAATGGATTCATGATTACCAAGATGCTTGCGTGGATAAACTTGAACGGTACGTCAATAATATTAAAACTTGTAATAATATATTAATGACTTTGAATCAATTTCACAGATTCATGCGAGGAGAAGTGAATCCCAAGTCGGAGACCTTCACCCGAATTCCGGGGACACCATCAAACGCAATGAGGCAGCAACCTACTTATCAAAGAATGCACAGTAACGACTCCGGCAGTGGCAAAAGCTCTGATAAAGATATTGTATGAGAGTGCCATTGGTCTGCCAATCTCTTCTAAACGTTGTTCTGAATTATTCATGTAGTTAACTCGTAGGTAAACACTCCTCTCTGAGTTTATGACATAATAACTAAGCAATTTTTATTATTTACAGACAAGTAATTTATGTTTTGGCATTGGTAACGTTTATGCTTACCGATGTTAAGTTAATCCCTAAACTTTAAACAAACAACTCAGCTAATCATGGAAAGTCATCCGTCCTGGCCCAACAAATGCGGAGCAACAAAATGAGTAACTAATATTCGCGAACATCGCTTAGGTAATGTGATATGTAACTTACTTAGATACCTAATAGTCAGTGAACATTAATCAGTAATATGAATACAAAATTATTATTTAAATTTATAGATATTATTACTATTAATTCTAATACTAAAACGCTAAAAATACGTCCACAACAATAATTAGATCTCTAATATGAAGTTGTAATTGTAATACAATATCAATCATATTTTATGTGCTTGTATTAAAATGTGCTTTAAAAGCAATTTTTGTATGTAAATTCAAGATGTGCCTGAGATGATGATTGGCGCATATAATATAGTTGTATTTTTAATCTGTACCATATTGTGATTGCAAACTGTTTGTGCTTTTAACATAGTATACATACAATATATTTATTTTAAATGTATCTGATAAGTGTTATTTTATGCCACTTTTTAACACAAATGCATTAGTTTTATAAATATATGCACTAAATCAAAAATGTTATTCAAAGTTAACAATTTGTGATAAGTATACACTGTAGAATAAAAACACTGGTATATTTAAAGTTATCATTAACTATTTTCAATTTTACTCTCTACAATAAAATATAAATATTTTTTGTAACCTGATTTAAATGAGAAAAACAAGTTGATAGGAAACTTTTTGATCTGACGTTATTTATGCTCCAATCATTAAATTTAAATGCGTAGGTACATGCAACAATCAAGTAAGCAATTTTGGAATTTTTTACTTGTCCTAATTACCATGAATATCGATTGTACAGCACGTTGCACGTCCGTGTGTATAATTTGATGTGTAGCATGTTTATTTACATTGCACGCTCATTTTACGACAGGGAATTTCGAATGTTATTTGCTCGAGCGCTCAAAGCGCAATGTGCCCTTGCCGCCATACTTAATAAAATGCCATTGAACGGCAATTCTTTTGTTCATAGCTGTGATAACAAGTAGTGCGATAATTTTCGCTCGTGAATTTACTGTAGATTCGTCACGTGTATTTTTTGTACAGTCATGCGAAATAAATACCAATTTAAACAAAAAATATTAGAATCTAAATAAAAAATGAACAGAATTCAAATATAATGCTGCGACGTTACTATCTGTACTTGTTATTACTGTAGAATTATTTACGGTTTTGTTGGGTGTTTATTTAATGTTTTATGTGCCAAGTTATCATCTTGCGGATAAGTCTTAGATAATTCAGGTTATTTTCGTATGTTTGATTTTAAAATCAAGTTTATCTGAACACACGTTGAGATCATAACGAATGGTGGTTAAAATTAAACATAGCAATTATATTTGTTCCATAATATCTGGAACAAAAGATAATTAATAAATTGTGATAGATAGATAGATACTATTCACATTTATTACTCGAATTCACGTGGGTATATTATTTACTGGCATCAACCGTTTTATCAGCATTTCAAACAATCGTGTGCGGCGGTTTTGATTTAGCCGGTAAAAACCCAAAATTGTAAAATTGATGTATAATGCCGAGGGATGTTGCATGACATCGTAAAATTCCAACTGACAAAATATTTACAAGACTAAAAGTATAGTACTATCGCGATAGTACAAGGAATACTCATTTATGCATTATTATAATCATAATTTGCAAATAACATACGTTTTTGTTCATTAAATAAATATATTTCAGCAAAAAATTCCAACTATTGTAGAAAAAATGTTTCAAAAACACCAAAAGGTTGAATTTGGCTTTGTACTTAAATTTCCTTGGAAGAAATCAACAAATTCTGTAAAATTTCTTATCTATTCACTGAGTCCACAGAAAATACCAAAAATACATTGCACGTTGATAAAATCCTTGGAGTTTCCTTTACAATTTATTGTTCATTGTCATAGGTATCCGCGTGCGGGAAAATAGTTGCAAAGCAAAGCAAAACATGTGTTCATACATGTATGTATACATTTAGTGCTTGATCAAAAAGATTGGGAAATTTTGTATACATTATCTCAGAGGTATATGGTTCAATAACAAAAATGCCGACATACCAACGTATTAATAATTTTGTCATTTCCTCTTTTTTCGTTTGTAAATTGCATTTCTCAAAACAAGCTTCTATAAACTACTTCTTGACATTGCTTAAAGTTTAAAACGGTACTAAAACATGTTTGTGTGATTTTTTGGCCTGGGGTTTTTTTTATGGAAAATTTGTGGCTAGCTGGAGTTATTAAGTAGGATTTTTTAACGTACACAGCAATTAGTACAAAGTTTACAGCCTTCATCCGTTAAATCATCTTGTTGAATTCTTTTCGCAGAATATATTAAAGCGCCATTTGCGGTTTTTCTTATTACTCCAATAGAGTTAAAGAAATACTTTTAACTTAGCTTAACAACGGGCGTACGTGATAGATGGCGGATAGGTTTTCAGAATCGAAAGTTCAAATAGCTATCAATCAAACAAAATAACCCATGAGTCTTAAACTCCTAAAGATATGTAGCTTAGGCACATGGAATGCCGGCCACAATTGACTTCGAACACACAACATGTTATCGATGGTTATTCCATGTTAGAGAGTTATTGTTAACTTGGATAATTCCCATTTCAATGTGTGAATGCGCAGATGTGGTGCAGACTCTCGCCCAGTTTGCAAATGAGCAAATTTCGGAAAATACTTTCTACTTTCCAAGTCATCTGAATACACACCGGTGTATTGAACGTATTGTACACGGAAATTCCTTCATTGCGAAAGATAAAATTACAATCTTATCAGTTCAACTGATGGGATTCATCGGATCGTGTAATATGAACAATTTTTTTTTACAAGGCCTCATTTTATTTTAAGGTTTTTAGCTTTGCACAAATCCGGACTTTGATTTATGATAAAATCAAAAGTAAATTAAAATCAGATTTTGGGCAGTGCCGAATTTTAACGAGTAGAATAATGCCAAGTACTTTTTAAATCTTAAAATTAGTTTAGATAATCTTTTCCTTGCATTCAAGTAAATTACCCTTTTGTATGCATAATAAGATTAAATTTAATAGATTAACTCCGTATAGTCAAGTATCTTATCCGATTTAAGGTATTATGTCCCAGCTAAGCCCGTACCTGTACAAATTATGCTATCGCGATCGGAGTTCCCTGTATCGAATGTACTCACAATTTCTCTTTCTCAATCTGCTGTAAAGCGCGTCGAGCGCAAATCGCGGCGTGTACCATACTGCGCATGCGCGTGGGTATTTCCTAGCTGTAAACGGCGCGCTACGTCAGTGTTGATGCTTTGCTTTTAAAGTCTACGCTCGGGCTCGGCTGGCGAGTTAATATTATGCGCTCTACGTAACTCAACGTGCACACGAGACGAGCAGTATTTTTTCGTGTACGTTGTGCGACATCTCCTACGCACAGTGCGCCTTTCGCCAACGAGCAAAACAGCATTTGGCATTTACGCCAGTTCAGACCAAGAGTCTCGCCCGATTAGTCGCTACGCGATGATATAGTGTGACCAGTGCGAAAGTGTCTACAATCAACGACTACAACAAACCGCGTTCGCAGTGCTACAGTGTGAATCAAATCCGCACGAACTAGGATGTCGGTAGTGTGAACGTTATGAAAATACGATCGAACGTACAACGCGAAAATGTCTAACGTCAGTGCGAGCACAAAAGGCGCATCAGCCGATTCGGAAAATGCTAAGATTGAGATTAGCACAACGGTAGACAGTGGTGTTTTCTCGCAGGAGATCTCCAGCCAGGAGTGCAGTGGACTGCTCGAACAAGAACAACAACAGTCGCAACCAATGAGGCTGGAACAGAGCATCGACACCCTCAAGCTTTCCAATCAGCTGAGGGCTGTCCATCTGGATTGCAACGACTTGAGCAAAGATCAAAACAACTTCAATATGCCGTCATTAGCTAGTTCTCAGGAAAAATCATGGGAGAAATATTTTGATCAAGATGTCAATGGTGATACGTAAGTTACATTATTTTATTGCGTTTTTATTTCGCGTTTATCATCCGCAGATATTGGTTACAACGCAAACAAATTACGTATGCGCGCGATTATGGCTATTTCTGTTTTTCCTTTTTAAATGGTTGATTCATTGAGAATTGACATTGATGAGGGACTTATCGCGGTTCTTGCGGGCGCCATTCCCACTGATACCTTTTGTGAAGACGAAATTTCACATGCTTTTATTTTAAAAAGCAATTTGGAATAACCCTGACTTATGGAATTTCCATGCGCGCGCGCGTTTGTGTAAGTGAGCGCTTCGACTCGTCGCAGGCTGCCTGCCTTTATCTTACGTCACGTGGGTTTAACCTCTGCAACTCACATACACATATGCGATTCCTGCACACAGCCGCGAAGCGAGCGCGCGTTTCACGTACATTCCATTCGGCGTTTGTTTCATATTTCGCTACTACCACAGCTGCATGACCGCATCAGAAACAATAACTCGTACGATGCGCATACAAACAAATCAAGTACTGGTGCGTGCTGCTGCGTAGCGTAGTTTAAATAAACTATCGAATGTTAAAATATATGTACAACAATTAATTTGCAGCAATTTGCTGTCGGCAAGCGACATTTATTAACTTCCGGTTGTGTAAATATTATAAAAACTGACATAACAAAAAATATGTAACTATTTATTACTCGAAACAAAACTTTAGTATTACTTATTTTTTTTAAATTCGCTTTTCGACTCAACTAAACAATACTTTTAGCGCTTATTGTGCGATTCGCTATTCGCGAATTAGTTGCTAATACGCCATCAAGGACTCACATCTTCCGTTTCCTTGATATTTACAAAAGCGCGGAAATATTGGAATAAATATCAAAACAAATTTACATATTTTATTTGAATTTCAATGAGTCAAAGCCTTTTGTGTATATGACGAGATTATGCGGTTTATTGGATATAAATTTTGAATGTTTTTCGGACGCGTCTTTCCTTGTTCGCTTCAATTAGTAGGATGCTTCATCGTCTGATGTCTCGCTAATAAAGTTTTGTTTGGGAATTTCCAGATTATTTAAAGACACGTTTTTGGTTACTGCGGCGCACGTAATTTAATTTGTTTAATTTTAAGCGCTGGATTCCCAAATGTAATATAGAAAGTTTAAATTTACATCGCATGCCTGGGTTTTTCGAAATTCTCTTTTATATTCCATTGTCTAGTTTACTCTTATTCCAGTTAATCTAATGAACAGATATCATTTATCATTCGAAAATGATGAACGCATTTGATAGGTATATCACTTGTCATCGTATTAATCACCCAAAATAATATATTTCCCAACTAAGCGGATAGAAATTATGACAAATAATAGAATTTTTGCGATTCTTGTAAATACCAATTACATTAATCATCAAATTATAATAAATTGTTTAATTATACAAAGTAATACATTGTACAAAATCGAATACGAGTTTGGTGTTTATAATCTGTTTTATATTATAAGACTAATAATGGAAATACCGATGATTAAACGTGATTATTTATTTCCAGATGTTTGCACACTGCTATCATGGAGGGATTTATCGAAGCAGCTAGAATTCTAATCAAACTTGCGCCACATCAGATGCTCCTTGATACACACAACGATGAGGCCCAGTCACCGCTACACCTTGCCGTGCTCACCCAGCAATGGGAGATTGTGCGGTGGTTAATTGTCGCCGGCGCACGCCCTAACACGCGAAATCTTTGCGGAGATTCGCCATTGCACATTGCCGCGCGCAAAGGCGACATTAACTGCTGCGTGGCGATCACAAAGTCGGTAGACAAGCGGGAGACGGATAGTTTGGACCTCACCTATGTGCCCAAGAATATTCCCATGAATTTGGAGCAGTGGAATTATGAAGGTGATTATTATCTTATTGATATTGGATGGGGTAACGTTAAATTGATTTTAAAAAGCGCGGTTTTCATAATTTAATTATTATTTTGTTGAATAAACGGGGCGAAGCGTTACTTGGAACCATAAATGGTATGGCGAGCGCCGAATATTTGTGTCTATAAAAACAGTAGTAAACTATTTCTGGCTGTCGCGTGATTGCAGCTAGACGCGCGCGGAGGCACTATGCTAAAAATATATCTCAGACGTACGTGAGCCATCAGTACAATGTGTTCCCGAAATATTGCGGGAATGCCCCAGAGAGGCAAAAACACCGAAATTATCATGTAATTCCTACAAATTGCTGTTTTAACTAACATTTATGCGTCTGGATTCAAAAAATGAATATAAGTGACTAATTAATCCTAGTAGTCTCGCAAATAATGTCAAAAAAATCTATTTCCGACCACTGCCAAAAAATGCTTGTTTCATTTTAAGAAACAGCAATTCCATAATATAATTTCATTGCTATTTTAAGCAAACTTATTTTGCAAACGTATTCAGAATATCTTTGGGTCAGTTATTTCCAACACCTTAAAATTTTCTCTTAATCATCATTTTTTCGAGACAAAAGAATGACGAACTATCATTTTAATTTTAAGAATTCACAACACATTGTATAATGATGCTTCACACGTTGGAATTTTGCTTGTATATTTGGCATCCGTTACTATTTTCGCGCGATTCTATTCCTGTTTATTCGCACAAGTAAACTTATAATATTAATAAATTAGAGTAATTGCTTAATTTAATAAATTTTTCTATTTTTCTAGGTCAAACACCTCTTCATGTCGCAGCCCTCTACGGCCACATTGACATCATGAAGAACCTGCTCACTTGCGGGGCGGATATAAACGCTCGCGAGGGCAAATCAGGCTACACTGTGTTGCATATCGCCGTCGAGTCGCGCAACGATCAGATGACATCGTTCCTCGTCACAGACTGGAAGAATATGGATTACGAGGTGTACACCTACGGTGGTCGCAGCGTTCTACAGCTTGAACATGATCTGGATTACAAGCTGCGTGAAATGCTGCTACTACAAGGAGTGCCTTCGTACGTCTCCAGCGAAGATGAAATGTCTGAGAGTGACACCGAGGACGATGCTATGGTGGAGAGCCAGTTTTAATTTGTCGTCGGAGTTTCGCGTGCGTCCATTCGTTTCTTTTATAACGAGGCGAATAATTGAATAAAAACATTGATGCGTTACTGCCTCACTACGACGGTGAACGAATCTTATCTTAAGTAAATTAATAAACAATTCACGTGGTCGGAGAATAACTATTTTAATCTAATATTAGTGAAATTTATTTCCGATTGAAAAAAATCGCCCATTCGATTAGCATCCGCGCGCGCCAGAGATGCAACGGCGTATTTACAAGCTAAAGTCGAGTGGTCTGATGTAAATAGTGCCTTACGATTCATTACGAACGCGTGTAAAACCCCAAAAAAACATTTAACACGTTAGCTATGCATTAACTTATTAATTAATGTTTATAGCTGTACGACGAAATTGCATGTTATACTAGTAAAGCAAATATTTTGCTGAGCGGTCAATGCAAATGAACACGATGGCACTATCAAAACTTGCTGTGTTGACAAATTGAATATGGAAATGTTTGCTGGGTCGAGAATTATACGAGGAAAAAATATTAATGCGTACACCTGTTTGTGTTCGCGGTGGGCTGCGAATAATGGATTAACATGTTGCATTGTAAATATGATATCATACTTTTTAACACCCCGATTAATTGAAATGAAGCAGATGTCTTCGGTGCATTACAACTTCAATATTTATATTTCTAATCCTATATTTTGTATATCAAATTTAAATCATGTGATTGTTCATGAATTTTATAAGCCAATAATTAGTATTTTATTCAATTGTTACTCATTGTCATTCTGTTTAAAATGATCCTGTATCTATATTAACGGTTATCACTTTTTGGTATGATACCGAATACTATTTAGTGACAAGCAAGATGACGAAAGGAAATCGATAATTGATCTTTGAATAAATAAACACGGATATTTGGAACAATCATAATAAGATAATCTCCTTTTTTATTTACAACTTAATTTTTTGAAATGATTAAGTATTCCCCTGATAAGTTTACTTAATTATCTTTTTTGTAAAAAAATTCCATAAGTACCGATGACATAAATAATTTATATGTTTGCATAATTTACGGTGCAACTGGATGGCAGGTTCCACAATTCCAGGAATATTCTACATAGACAAATTTATGATAATAAATCATGAATATTGCATACAAAAGTAAGTATTTGTATTTTATCAGAACCCACAATGTCGCGTATTTTTCATGATAAAAAGACGAATATAAACCGAGAAACAACTCACGGTTGCTTACTTCGTATTCACAATAGTGAGAAGACTTCATACTGTGAACATGGTGAAATTTGTTGTTACTGCTCTATTTTTTGCAACGCTCGTTTGCATCCAGGCACAGAACCCTCCTCCTGATACGAGAACATGCGAGGAGCGTTGTGCGGCCACATTATGTGCACCCGTACAAGAAAATTGTACGCGTAGAGGTGGCGCAATCAAATTGCCAGAGACTCGTCCCGGAGAATGCGCCTGCTGTGAAATTTGCGTCTATAATTCGCGTAAGTACTTATATTTATAGTATAAAACAATAAGTACCTAATTAACATTTATTCATTATTGTATTATTCAAACAATAACTTGCTATAACCATAATATTAAATACATTGTTTTACAATTAGCATTCTGGGAATACATATATTTAATACGCAAATGTAATAATATGTAAATAATGATTGTTGAAGTTTCTGTCAACCACTTTTACGCTGTGATCGATTTTTGGGTAATTTTAATTACTTTAAACCAAAGTATATAATTTATAACACTATATTTCGCGCTCAATTGTTCAAACAAGAGCATGTATATCATATAAGTACAATATTATTCTTCTACGTCCGTACCATTTTCATAAATTTTTGTTGCCTTAATGGGCGGCAGATGCCATCCGTGCAGACAAAGTTACAACGACACTCAAAGGAAGTGTGGGTTTCTGCATCGTAACCACACTGCTCATTGTTTTCTAAAATAATAAATAATATTAATGAATAAATTATATAATAACTATGCAGGGCGTAGCTAATGTGAATAGTACACGGGATGGACCACCCCACTCCTACTACGCCACTGCCGTAACTCTGTCATTGTTTTTGAATATACTCACTAACGATGTAAACACACGTATTGCAACAATCACATCCTATATGCTATAGCAAGCAAAGTCAGAAGAAGTGTATTAAAAATTAATCCCGCCATTTTTATAACATATTACTGGCATATTAAGTGCATTATCGTTGGTTATTTATATAAAAATTTACCTTGTTTTCGATACATTTTGGTACGTCCAAAGTTGAAATATAGCACACGAATTTTTGAGCGATAACACGGTTTTGGGTAAACAAAATTAATTATGAATCTCTGCTTTTGTTATTTGTACCCACATATTAACATATTGTTTATTTTCAGGTCGTCGTGACTTATGTGGTTGGTTAAATGGTGCTTTATACGAATGCGGTTGCAATCTTCGGTGCAGAAACGGTCAATGTGAGCCTATTAAAGGTTCTGGAAAACCCAAGGATTCCTCTTCTGACTCCAGTTGTTCCGATTAAAACTTTCATGTCGCATACTGACTTCAAAACGGATTTTTAATATCATATTAAATAAAGCATACAAAGAGAAAAGCAAATAAAGAGATTTTAATAGTCGTATATTATTGGTGGTTAATCGTAGTTAACAAATTTGCACGTTTTCATCATTTAAATTGAAAAGTCACGTTTTCACGTACTAATAATATTGAATGTGAATGATAACTTGTACTATAAAATGTATAACTTGCTTAGATTTCGCAGTTGTTGACTCACAATATTGGCAAAATCATGCGAAATCTCGCTTTGTTCTTACTTTTCTGTGTGATGTTATCGATTATTCAAGCAGTTCCAAACTCGCCATGTCTACAACGTTCCTGTTTATCGTGCGATTTACTCCAGGTAGTTTTGAGTGTGGATGACACTGGAGGTCTTAAGCAATTAGCATTAGATATGTACGCAGAGTACAAATCCAGAGGTGCAAAATATTTTGATTTTGGTCCATGTCAATTTTGTGTAATCCCAGTCGGTATGTACTTCAATTCGATTAATTTAGCTGTATAATATTATAATATACATGTTTTTAAATGTAGGGTTAAAAAATGGGGAGAGCAAGGAATGCAATCTTCGTCTCAATATATTACGGGAATGTAAACCGGGACTAAAATGTGTAAATGGTTTTTGTACTAACTCTAAAATCAAAGTAGCTAAAAACATTATGCCTGTTAAGATTAACACCTAAAAAAAACAAATATACAATATAGATATTCAGACTTATCTTAACTTATAATGTATGTTTAAAGAAAGAAATAATGAAACAATTTTTAACTAGTTTTCATTATTTAATAATTATTGTTGAACGTAGACGATAGCTTCCTTCACAACTAGAATGTTCTCGTTTTTGGCCAGGTTGTGTGTAAACAACTTTTTTTATCGGGTCATGTGGGGCCAAAACTTGTGAGTTACGGATGATTCAGATGCGATTCATCACGGACTCAGATCGGTCCGCCCCCCTCACAAGATACAGGATTATTAAAATTAAAGCTTACCAAAAATATGCCACGGGTCTTACATATTTTTTTCTTCATGGCCATTTTTCAACCTGTCGACTTTTCATAATTTGCATGACTTATCTTATAAACAATTACTCGAAATTGTAGATTTTTCAATCCGTTTCTTTCTAAATTAATTAAAAATTATTAATTTACGAGATAAACGCAAGCAAAAATTCTTGTTAAAAATGTAAAGATGTATGAATGTAAAAGTTAAGATGTAAATCACGTTTAATTTAATAATTAAATATATATAATATATACTAGCTGACCCGGCAAACTTTGTTCCGCCTTGCTATATATTATATATCTTATATAAAGAATATAATTAAATAGAATATAGAGATACTAACTAACCCGGCAGAAGTTGTTTTGACATATAAATTATTTCTAGTTTCTAGATAAATTCTAGTGTAGACAAAAAGTAACTTACTAATTATAAATGTGTAAGTATGTAGCATATGCGTGAAATAGACATAGAGCGCTATGTACAATAAAGGAATATATAAATAACAAACAACATTAATATTTTAATACTATGGCGTGAACAATATTTTTATTAGCCCATCTTTAGCGAGCACAAACAAACTGGATGGTTTACCCACTCGAGAGCATGCTAGATACAATTGCCCGTGCAAAAAACATGGTGTGCTTAAATTTAAGCCACAAATAGACAACGTTTGGCCTTGGGATTTATTAATTGTCATTGCAAATGCTAATCTAATGGAAAACTGAATTCGCTTGAATTGAATTGGCACATCTGTTGGTGGTAGCTCGTAACACGTTTTTTTACCTTTTACTATTGGAAATATATTTATTTTATATTGTTATCTGATAGAGAATTTTCCAGTCTTTCATAATCAGCAATTCGTTGGTTGATATCGTATTTAGTTTAAGAGATATTAATTATCGAAAATCGTCGATATTTGGCAATTTTTTCTTAAAAATTAAAATTTCATCTCTCAGATTTCCGTTTTAACTATCCTATCTTATAGAGAATTGTCCGTAAATTAAGATGCTGCAATCAGATCCTATTTATCGCTTGTAGTTCAAGAGATATTAATTATCAAAAATCGTCCATAAACATTTTCAAGGATAATTGATTTTTTTTCATTTTTTTTTTCTTATGAATTAAAATTTCATCTCTTAAATGTCCAATAGAACTAACTTAATATTTTCGTATGCCGTGAAATATTGAAATTAAAAGTAAATTTCGTGTAGTTTATGTGTATTTCAACATTGTGAATTTTTAGTTTCGTCTTCTCAACTACGTGCTTATCAGTACATTTGTGTATAAACAACTTTTTTGTTCGACTGACGCGTGATATCGCTGCATACCTGCCTTGTACCCGGCTACGCGCAGCGCACGCGGCAGTTGTTTCTCTGCGTGGTCCGCGAGCTTGTCTCCCTAATCGCCACGCGTTTTGAGGTTTTAATTGGATTAATCATCGTGTATTCTTTCGGCCATCGGCAAAATATTCGCAATGGGCATGTGTGCCTGTTTTGTTTACTGATTTATGGCGGTTAGAGTCTTCTTAAGTTAGAAATAAGTGTTCGTTAATCCCTGCGTGAGTTTTCAGTTGATTGAATATATTACATAATTGAAAATCTCCTCATCAATGCACAGGTAAATGGATAATTAAACATTTTCGCGGAAAGTTAAGGCGGTTTAACATAAATTGATTATTCAATTCGAGGGATATTAATTTTTTAGATTACAAACACGTGGTGGCATTTTTATCAGAATTTTTCTTAGTTTCTGAAAATAACATGCATGATTTAAATATTACAAGCACGGTTTTTAAAATTATCTGAGGATTATTAAAATGACAATATTCATGTGTTCGACCACGCTTACCTTGCCGAATCGAATTGCATCATCAAATTAATAATTTCTTGTTGAAATAAAATCTTGAACGGTAAATAGTTTTTCGTTTTCGCAGTCTCAGTATATCCGAATGTTTACAAAGAAATAGTTATTTTTATCGTCTCTTTTATCGTCACTGTGTTGCTACGCGCCATCGCTTACCGTCTGTTAATTTAGATGTTTTCCGCCGGATATTTTATCTATTTATGATGATGCTTCACCCGTCGGTTACCTTATACACTTGATGCTACCATCAATTAATAAATATATATTCACAATATATTAAAATGTGTTTTATTTTTGTAGCATCCTTTTGCTTAATTTTCCGGTAAAACCTCTGATATTGTAGTTAATTTGTAAAAAAATTCTTTTGCTAACACCCTGTATATTAGTTTTCCTGCATCACGTATAAAATCACCTTTAGTTGTGAGTTTTGAGTGTTCTCTGTTTGGAACATTGAATTTTCTTTCTGGAACACCCTGTGTATTAGTTTCCCTGACTGTCGAGTGAAAACGAGCGGCGTTTGTAGTGTTGAAAGTTTTTTCTTTGCACCTTTAAATTTTCCTTTTGCAACACCCTGTATATTCGTTTCCATTTTCAATTACCTAGAAAATTAGCTATTTACTAATTTCATTATTCCGGTAGAAATTTATGACGTAGTACTTGCTGGCATGTGCGCGGCTATGCAGGTGGTAAGTCCTGTTTCAATATGGCGACATGTATAATATTTGGTTGACTTTTAAAATCTAAACTTGTATTGTATCAAATTGTATTTGTTAATAAAGAAATGTTAAGAAAGATTTTGACTTATCGTTTGTATGTACCCCTATCTATCATTTCAGGTACAGGTCTCACAGAGAGTTCCCTCTCTCAGGGGATGATCCCCACTATAAAAACTGTTAAGGTATTCTGTATGATTTGTGTACTCCTTCTTTCATGTCAGGTACAGGTCAGAACTTGTAAGAATATTTTTAAGTGTCACCTCTCTTGAGACGACTTAAAACTTACAAATATTTTAACAAGACCTTATAAGGATTGTCCTTATAAGGAGTTCCCTCTCTCTGGGGGTGATCCCCCACCATAAAAATTGTTGATATGCCTGATAATTTCGGGGATGAAGCGCAGAGACATCGTAGCTGTAGGATGGGCCGGGAGCAATGGACGCATCCACCTTAGACTGTCTAACGACACGCGCCAAAAAATTAAAAATCTGATCCTCCCCTGTTCTCTTCTACTCTACTTCTCTTCCTTCTATCTTCTCCTATTCTCTATTCTCTACTTCTCGTTCTTCTATTTCTCTGTTCTCCTTTTACTTTCTTACTTCTCCTTATTGCCTTCACTTGTATTTCAATTTCTCTTATATTTCTTTGCAATTTATATATGCAACCCAAATTACACCTGATATTTTTATATTTGAGAAAAATGCCTCCTATATCCGAGATTCGATCCGGGTCTACTAGCATGCTAGCAGGGGCACGTACCCACTCGACCACCGAGTGTTTTTATGATTTATATTTGATTCTTCTATTTATGTTTTTTATTATTTAACTTTTTAAAAACAACAATACAACACAACTATGTTGCACTCGCTTCACGCGCATAAGGTTTATAAGCAATATGACTTAAAACGTCAATACAGAAAACGACAAAGAGGATACCACAAAGAAATATGCATAAGATTATAACTTTACATTGTGTTTTATTGACAACAATAATAATAGATACATTTTCTTAAATAAAAAAATATGTTGTAAATTCGGGAGTAGTAAAAACTTGCCTTAAACTTAAAATACACGCATCTCCAATACTTCAGCTATGAATATTGCAAACTCCATTCGTGCACTCACAAATTTTTTGTCTGTGCATTAAAGTTGTCCAATTGCAGGAATTAATTATAAATCCAAGTTATTCCTATGTGCGAAACGATAACTGATTGCTAATAGAAACGCGCGCACATGTGAACCAAAAATTAATCCACGATTGATAAACACAGCAGCGTGCATACTTATTCGACGGTCACCAAGCACGTCCTACAAACAACCACCACACTGGTCTGTTATTACTAAATGTCGTCCTATTCTAGTTCAATTACAGAATTAAAATCTTTAGTAACGCAAACAATTGTCACGAAGTTTGATTAATGAACAAAACACGTGCACACCACACCACGGCACACGAACGACTAAGTCGGACTAAACAAGAACGAGAATTGATAACCGACTCACAGTTGGAGGGACAACAATCTATGTTCGTAAGTTAAAAACAACAACGCGACTGCCAATATTTTGGTACCCAAATTATCTGCTGTAAATAACAGAAAGTATGTGATTTGAAGCAATTAAAGTACCGTACTTCTATTTTATTTTTGTAGGTTGCGTGCGCTAATCTCACACATTATATATGAAAGTGATAAAGAGTTTAAAAACTTGCAATCTGGTGAGAGAACGTTTGCTCTACGACATCGCGTTCGCCACCTAAAATCAGGTGAGCGCAAAACAAAAAAGGGCATTTTCGTAGGTTTCCCAAGGGATAAACCCAGAAGTTATATACAAAAACGATAGAGAATTTTAATACCTACAATTTAGTGTAAGAACGGTTGTCCTACGACATCGTGTTCATCCGTTAGACACCTAAAACCACAAAAAATAGAGGCTCGAAAAACACAAAAAGGGCATTTTTGTAGGGTTCTCAAGGAATAAACCCACAAATTATATACAAAAGCGATAGAGAATTTTAATACCTACAATTTAGTGTAAGAACGGTTGTCCTACGACATCGCGTTCGCCCGCTAGACACCTAAAACCACAAAAATTGGAGGATGACAAATAATTAGTGGATTGTAAAATAAATACGACTCACTTTATTAATCTTGCTATAACTAAATTATTTATACACGAGGAACATATTTCTATGAATTCATAATTTAATACCTTAAATATAAATCCATTACGGCGACACACATATACTAAACACTCATTTCTCGGTTCCGCGCACGGTAAATCAATGGTTTGGCCCTACGATCGATTTTCTACTAAAATTAAATAACGATTATTTAAAATCTAAAAACACGCAAAATGTAGCTACAAAAATCCATCGACGAGAAAGACGTCTTCACCGGATTACTGCGCGTGTACGACTAAACACGTTGTACGTTGACCTGTTGTACTGCGCTCGTTGAAAAAACTTAGAAAAATAATTCCAATAAAATATTAATATAACATCTATTATATTTGAATCTTATTTACAAATTTCATCTACATTTTATAAAGACTACTGAGATAGCAAACAACAATATAAACCCTGAAACATGTACAACAACAAATAAATCTTGACAACTAATTCGAATTATTGTATGTTTCTATATACAGAAAAAGTAATGAAAATATAATCAATACATAATAATTAAGTATTTTTCATGTGTATGTTTCGAGATTTATATCCCTACAAACAACAAGGCATCAGTTGCTCCAATTTTAAAATAATATCATCTTATTAGATGAACATATATTGTGAAATTATTCGAAACTGTATGTAATGTTCTGATAAAATTCAAATGCTTCAAATATGTAAATTACTGTTTTTGTGATTGCATGCTCAACATGAATCCGAAATTATTTCTGTTTGATATGCTTGTCGTGTAAAAATACAATTACTGAATTTTAGTAATATGATCTGTATACATTAAATATTTACATTTGTTGACTTAGATCGATTACTTTTAACACATAATATGTGTTTTAACTTACATGCTCGTTGCGAATTATCAAAATATATCTTGTAGAAAATTCGAGGATTTTTTGTTTCTCTCCACTTACAATATAACGTTTGATTTTCAAATACGTTATTTACATATACATATGGCCGGTAACGCTCTAAGATATTTTCCACAGTTCGTAAATTGTAACAGAATTATTATGGCACCGACCAGATAATATTACACTTTAATTATCGTAATTGAATGTTTCGTTAAGACTTTAAAATTCATACTCGGCAATGAAGCTTTCTGCTAATTCAGGGTCAAGAATATCAAGGCACTCGCTATCAGGTCCGGACATCATCACGTCACAAATTGTCTTACAACTGCATCGCACTAGTCAAACTATATAACAAAACCAAATTACACTCTACACCGCGCTAATTATATGTACATTTTAAACTTGGCTTATATATTTTAATTTTCTCTCACAAGCCTTTTCTTTATACGCTTTACAATAAAAATAATTTATAGTACATAATTTACAATACATACCCCGATTGTGACGGGATTAGTAATCGTTGATTTGCCCAATGATAAACACTTCAATTAGTTTCAAAGCAGAAAAATACTTTCAGTGCTCCTTTGAGCAGACATATTCATTAAAGGCGAGAGAAATCAGTTTGAGAGGATCAAAAACAGAATACCCTGGGGACTAACAAATAACCTTCGGTTGAACCAATTACTTATATACCAGGCGTATATAAAATTAAGTTAAAACCAACTAAAATAGCAACTGCGTTCACATCGAAACGCTGCGTTGCATCATCACTTTTTAAATCTACATGAGATTATTCGGAGGTTACTTAAACCCATCAGTATATCCAAAACCCGCGACCAAAAATCACGCGCATAGCGCGCTTTTCAATCTTGTTTTTGTTGACAATAGAGTTCTTTCAATGTCTTTAATTCATCTATCAATGCTTTGTTTTGGTTTTCAAGCACCGCGACACGATTCTCCAAACATTTGATATATTCCTTCTTTTTCCGTCGACACTCGCGTGCAGCCTCCCTGTTTTTTAATAGTCGCATTTCGCGCTTTCGTGTTTGGTCCTCGCCACCGCCTCCAGTAATTGTAACGCTTTGTGTGCCCACTGGACAAAGGTGTAAACATGTTAACAACTAATCAAACGCCACATCTGCAACGTACTTACCAGGCACAAAGAACTCCTGTCCTTGTGCGTATTGAACAATTGCACCTCCTGCCCCGGGATTCGTCATTGTCAGTGTATGAATACTTTGGCCGCCCTCCCCACTTGAAATTTGTATCGTACCTGCCGGTATTACTGTAACAATATGTCTTTATTAATATTTTAAAATTATAGATCAAATCCTGTTTGCAAATTTATTCGTGACACACTGATAATGTTAATAATTAATAAAAAAACTGACATTATTACATTTAATCTAAATTGCAAAGGTTTAAAATATAGGTATAAGTTATTATTATAGTTATTAAGAGAATAAGAAGAATTTAGTTGTAATAGAGATAATCTGACTCTTAATATTGAAAACTATATTATTTTAGTTATTTAAGTATCATTGATCTAATATTATCAGGCAAATATATAGTAATGAGATCAAATACTGCAGAATACATTAATGTGCACTACTAAGTATAGCTGATTCTAATTCTAGCATTCACTTCAACAAATATATTAGAAACTTCAAGAAAAGACTACGGCTATGAAGAAAGTGCATCTAACAAAAAAAAAACAGAAGAATTAACTACAGCATTGCCAAATACAAACCAACATTATATATAAAATATCTGCATTACAAGCAATTATTTAATAAAAGCTTGTTAACGCCTATATAATATACCAGTTTTTATATATTATACCAAGTTTTTATATATTACCACACATTACATTATGTTGCCCCAATCACCGCGAATTTGTTAGTTGTATCCATCAATTCAAATATTTTTACACACTAATCTGTGAAGTATTAACGGTGATACAAATATTTAACTCTAATTTGTTTACTTTGTTCCATGGAAGAGATTTGTTGATACATTGATAACATATTGGTACTGGCAAACTGACCTGTGTGGTATGGGATAGAGTGAGATGATAACTCACTGTCGCCCTCAGAGGAAGTCTGCTCGACTTTAGGTTCTGTGAACACCAAATTCATTAACATCTTAATTTATTGTCTTCGCCCGTCATTTGAATACTGTTCTATCTTTTGCTTATCACCTGCTAAATAAAAGCACCATAGTTTGTACAATCACAGAAACGCAACGCTTTAAAACTTTACAAGTTTTCCGCTGCAGCAGTTTTATGTTTATAATCCCATACCACAAATACGCAAATTGCGACTGACATCTACTATTTTTGCTCAACTAATATATAAGAGTATCAAATAAAAACCATGCAACTTTTATACAAGATGTTTCATCAAGTCTAGAGTTTCATGTTAAAATTCCATGTATATAAATAAATTGCTAATATATGTTTGATCTAACATCTTGTTTTGTTATTTTGCATGCAGACGTGATTATTAAATAGGAAATAAGTGATGAAAACTCTAACTGACAGTAAGACTGAATTAAGAGAATTTAAGAATTAATTGAGTCAAGCCACCGAAAGAGGCATGCAATAAAAAACATACCAGCTATCTCACCCCCGCCAAGATCGTTGAGTATTTTCCGGTAGGAGGGTCGCCGCGTCAGCAGGTCACGTCGTTTTTTCGGGGACTCATCATCTGAATAGCTATCATCACTATTGGGATCCACCACCTAAAAAATATTCCAATTAGAAAAGCCAAATTATAAAAAAAGTAAACCTTAAGAGCTGTATAAAACTTACTTGTAATGCATGTATACTGCCCTGTGCTGTTTGTATCACTGAATTCGGTTTGCTAACCAAAATTACATTTCCTTTTCCAACAAGTGGCTGGATGTTAGCTGCAGTTTGTATAACAGACTGTTGATTGGGCTGTATAACACTCTGTACCTGCAGACAAGCAACAATCAATAAATAAGAAGAAAATATTTAATAGCCCACACAGGCAGGTGTTGTTAAGCTACCTGTGCTTGGGCATGATCATTAGTTGGCAACGTTAGATGTACAATATTTGTTGCTGCCACCAGTTGTGACTGCGTTGTAATTCCTACCGATGATATCACTGGAGGCTCCGGCGATGGAGCTAAGGGATCAACAGATCCATTTTCGTCCACCATGCCTTCCATCTCCATAGATGACCTGTAACAAAACCAAATAAAATAACTAACTAGTTGATCATGATTAAAACGTTTACATGATTCAAATTGCGTTTTCGTGTATTTTGTTATTGCTAAATATAAATAAACCGCGATGACGTCAGTAGTGACGTCATTGCTACTAATGAACAAGTTTGTGTATACCATTTCAAAAACGTTCAACATTTTCGTTTATCACTTGCACCCGGTGCTCCGTCGATTTATTTAAATCGTTTATAATCCTTGTATTTTGCAGAAATGGGCTTTGTTCTAGGAGCTATGAAGAACGTCTTGGCTATCACAATTCGTCGGCACACATTTAATTAAATTAAGAATGTCGCGTGTTAAAACAGAGATTAAAAGTGAGTTGAATGCGTACGCGAATTAGTTTGGTCACAGCGAAGGAACGTAATTAATCCGTTATGAAGTGCGCGGATCCAACTATGCAACTCATTCGACGCTGTCGTCGATCCGTGCGAACGTCGATCTAAATTTAAAATGCGCCGCACACACGGGACGCGCGCGGACACTGCTTTTCGGTGCGGCACGATAATCATATGACGCCATATTCCAGCGATACCCTGCCGAAAGCGTTTGTTCCTAGCGCGGGCAACATCATTAATCCGCCGTGCCCGCGTCGCACACCGCCGTCGCACGGACAGCGATCAACCCTACGCGGGCACCGTCTCCGGTCCATGACAGATTTGTTATTATTCTTCAGCTGGGTACTTACCAGTTACGTATTCCTCGTCACCAGCTTGCTGTAACCGGACTGGGTAACGAAGGGGATACGTAGTAGCCACGTCAAAATTTCTGGGCGGTCGTCACTGGCCGAACGAACACTAACAAAGTGCGCGTCACAGATATGGCGACCGATCGTACTGGCGCTCATCGGGCACGTTCGCAGCGACGCCGAATTGCACAGCAGAGCGCGGCAAATTCAAATTCGTTAGCGAATCAACGTCAATACATGCGTTTATTTCTACATATTAAAACTCGTATTGTTACTCAAGACTCATGCCACCATAACTTTGTACAGCGCTAATTAATTTGAGCGATTGTGCAAAATCAGAAAATCAATGTATATTGCTAGCAATGCTATAGCGTTAAATAATTTCAACAAAACCATAAAAGCGATAAAAAACGAAACACAAAAACCACGCGTTAATTTCAGTACCCGCTGTGTATAATCAAGCGTGATTTGTTACATGCGTAATCAACGACCTTGAATTAATTTATAAATACATATTAAACGCAACTCAAATAAAGTTGCTATATATGACTACACAGGCGTATATATTCAGTGAAAACTTTAAACACTCTCTTACTAAGCAAACAAAGCTTTACGCAGACACAAAAATAATTTACTAACGATATTCGTATTTCATTAGAAATAGATAATGTATTATTGAGAATGCAAAAAACCGGTTATTGTTTTTTATTTAAATGAATATGATTGTGCGTCACTATCGAATCAACACAGGCAAACAGTAGTTAAGTATCAAACAAAACCATATTATATTTATTTGTCGAATGTGAGGGTTTAAAAATAAAAAGTATGAATGTATACAAGTAGAAAACATGACTTGTTATTGCTTTAATCACGTTCGGATCAAGTCGAGCGAGTTTGAAGCGCTGTTTCGCGCCGCGAACGCGATTGTATCGTGGAGTGTGACGCACCAGCTTGAACCACATGTAGACGTGCTGACGTAATGCGGCACGAATTACGTCATCGTGAGTCACGGTTTTGTCATCCGCGCCGCGTGGAAGAAGCGAAGAGCAAACGTGTGGCGCGAGTCGCGACCCAGCCGAAGCGCAACAGCCGCGCTCCACCGGTGGAGCAAGGCGAGCGCGCGAAAAGGGGAAAGAGGAAAAACGACGTCTTCGTCATGAAATGAACCGTCATGAGCGCGAAGTGCGCACGAGCGAACGACCTCAATCGCTTTTCAAGTGTACATGTTCACACAATCATCATGATGAAACAGTAGGCGAGCAGGTGGAGCAGTTAAAATTACGTTAGATAAAAAAGTTATCTTTTTTGTATCAGATCAAATTGTTGTTTGTTTTTTACAAAATAGAATACAAAATCACGAAAATGATCTGTGATTAACTTGGGAGCGACAAATAATTAATTAAATTTTATATTGATATAGTTATATGCTCTAATCAATAAAATATTCTGTTTGTTACCTCTTCCAACACCATCATTTTTTTCTTAAATGTAACTGCACTTTCCATCTGCTAGAAATAAATATCTACAGCGTTACGAGTAATTTTCCGCACGGTGGAGCTAACCCAGTTTCCTGCGAGTAGATTATTTCCCCGCCGACAATGGTCGCAATTACTTTTCCATGTAAAGTTTTCCCCAGATACGGCGTCACCTGAAAAAGCGCACAGGTGAATATATAACGAAACACAATTCAAAAATGAACTACTATTATTGTTATACTTTGTTTTTATGTTGGATTATATTGGTTTCCACTTGAATTGTGTCATTCGGATTCCACACCACCAAATCAGCATCATAATTCTCGGCAATAAAACCTTTTGTTTTCTGGAGACCAACAAGTTTTGCGGTGTGTTGGGTCACGAATCTATTCATCGCGTGAATGGAAATTCCACGTTGTTTACATTGTGACCACATCAAAGATAAACCTGTCAGAATATAAACAATAACAATTTTGCTTATAGGTTTTTATTAATTTACGTACCAAATTGTAGTGACGCAATTCCACCCCAAGCTTTCATAAAGTTTCCGTAGTCTGAATCATTCGGAGACGTTAGTAATTTTAAATCAGGCGTTGATGGAGAATGATCCGAAACGACCATATCGATAATACCAGATGTCAAACCATTCCATAATAATTTCTTTTTAAATACAAAGTAATTAAATTGAAAAAAAACAGTTATGTGGTCAAATAATTAGTACCTGATTGGCTAAGCTTCTGATTGGAGGTGCACATTTGAATTCGGTGCGTCTATCTTCAATTTCTTCCGAATGTAAATTGAGATAATGGTGACATGTTTCAACTGTTAGTGGCAGACCAGCATCTTTTGCTTTTTTGATAATATCCAAACCTTTTGCAGTTGCCAAGTGAACAATATGAGATTTAACTCTAAAATATTACCATTTCAGTAAATATCAACACTCAAAATATAATAGTTACTTGTATTTCTTCAAGCACTCAATAATCATAGTAATAGCATTCATTTCCAATGCATCCGGTCTTGATTTTAGATAAGTTGAGTATTTAAATGGTGATTCTGTTACTTCTTCACTACTGTTATTACAACAACCTTCTTCAGCATGAAACTATAAAAATAAATAATTTTCTATACAATTTATATAAGAGAGATAAAATAAACTATTTTACTAATAATGTGGCATTGGTAGTCTGAAGTTTTTCATAAGCTTTCTCCATATCTTTCCTATTAATATTAGGAAACTCATCTACACCAGAAGGACATAAGAATCCTTTGAATCCAACAACCCCCGCATCAACCATTGCACGCAATTCATCCTATGAGCATATTTCATTAATATTTCTATTGCTAATATACGTAATTTATTTTATTACTTGATTTCCAGGAACTAATCCTCCCCAAAACCCAACGTTTACGTAAGTTTTACCTTTAGCAGCATTCACTTTAGTCCGTAAATTATCTAACGTTGTTGTGGGAGGTATAGAATTTCTATATACAATAGCAATACAAGAAAGAGAATTAGATTGCACGTGTTGATATAAATGAAGAAGACTTACAATGGCATATCATAAATTGTTGTAATGCCACCTACGGCTGCTGCTTTAGTACCGGTTTCAAATCCTTCCCAATCGGTGCGTCCCGGTTCATTCAAATGCACGTGACTATCGATTAAACCTGGCATTAGGTAAGAATCCTTAAAGTCTACCTGGAAATTTACCAATGTTATTACAAACAAACATATGAAACATCTTTGAATATACAGACCGTATTTTCCATCTTCTCCAGTATATTTCGTGGTAAAAGTTTCGTAATTTTTCCATTTTTAATCAATATCCCACCGTCAAGAATAGAATCCTTTAAAACGATGTTTTCTGAGATGAATAACTTCGACATTTTGCCAATTTTTTAAAATAAATCTTGGCAATTTTTCAAAATGTCTCTTCAAGTATTCCCTGAAATGTTTTATTCACAACTGACACGCACCCGATTGTAATCGAAATAATATACTTATATCCACCTCTATACTCGTATGGATTATTCAACTATAATTGTATTTATTGTTTTGTATGTATGTACATGTACACATTTGAGTTATTGAGGAATTTCGTTGGATGTAGCCAACCAGGCGTCCAACAAATGGATTTGTCCAAGGACGCTGTTTTTGGCTGTCCCGCCGAATGATTGATATTGCTCCACGCTGTTTTCGTAGTTCCACACTCTGGCTACGTCCGAATCGAAATGTATGCTGTAATCAGCAAACTCTTATATATCAATCATTCACAATTTGATTCAATATTTTAATAAAATGTCGTTTTAAGAGATTGTTGAGTACAGAGATTTATTTTATTATTGTTACACTGTTGCATAAGTGGAACTGATGCAATCTTTATGTATCACGGAGGTGATAAGTTTCTTAATCTTTTAATTAGCCTAGCAGCGACAAAATTTAAAGCGTGTAACATAATTTTATTTAAGTTTATGTAAAATTTTCCGTGTTTTATTAATTTTAGCGATGACTAAACTCTAATATTTACATATTTTTGAAAGAAACCGATAAAACCAAGGCTCCATACTTTAATAATTCATGTTTTTATGGCGTGATATTGTCACGTAATTTTCATTCATTAAAAACGTATCAGAGTGGAGCTGAAATTATTGATTTGATAACACGTGCGCGCGCGGTTTCTTAATCATTTTTTAATAACACTTGATCTCAATTTATATTTTTCAAACCATTATTCAAGTAATCATAATTATAATAATACTTTGCGCAAGGTTAAACGTAGTATATTCGTCAAAACAATATATTATTTGTTTTGAATCGCAATCCCAATACACAAATAAAGAACTAAACAACTTACCTTATCGCTTTCAATTCCTCCAAAGTTAAATCGCACATTTCAACAGATCGATTTTCAGCCGCTGCAACTACTTGTCCAGCAATATGATGCGCCTCTCTGAATGGAACCGATTTGCGTACCAGATAATATGCAAGATCTGTTGCTAACATATCGAATGTTAATGCTTCCACACATCGCGACTCGTTTATCTACCAAAAATGCGTTATTCTATAACTGAATGCACTATAGTATGTGTTGTGACCGATGTGACTACCTGCACACTCTCGACTGTTCCAATGACAACTTCCAATATACCCATCAGTTTATCATACGCCCCGAACATCAGTTCTTTATCACTTTGTAAGTCCTTGTTATAAGTTGAAGGTAAACTGGATAGAGTCATCATAAAACTGCAGCACTGGAATTTATCAATTTTTCAGACGTTTGAGGCATCTTTTGTTAAAAAGAAACACTACCTGACCAAATATTCCACTCCCCAACCCTCTCGCAAGTTCCAAACTATCAGGATTTCGTTTCTGCGGCATTAAACTACTTCCGGTTGAAAATGAATCATGAATTTTAACAAAACCAAACTCTTTAGAACTATAAATAATCAGATCTTCAGCAAGACGAGTTAGGTGTACCCCCACTAAAGACGCCCAGAATAGAAATTCAACTGTAAAAATTATAATAAATTAATGTGTATTAAATTATAACAAAATGTTTAAAAGGTTACCGATATAATCACGATCACCCACTGCTTGCATACTATTAGGAGTCATAGAATCAAAGCCAAGATTTTTAGCTAATGTAAATCGGTCTATTTCGAAAGGATTTCCTGCTAGAGCACCACTGCCCAAAGGCATAACGTTAGTAGATTTTAATACCTGTTGCAATTTATCCGTATCGGACTTAAAGTTCCAAGCGTGACTGTAAAGCAATAAACATTAAATTATATTCTGCATTTTCTTTTCATATAAAACTTACCTTAAGAGCCAATGACTCCACCTAACAGGTTGTGCTCTCTGTAGATGAGTGTAACCCGGAAATAAAACATCAATATCTAATCTCGCACGATTGACCATAACATTGATGAAGGTTTTTAGTTTGTTTTCTATCTCAGCAATTGCTTTTTTCAACCATAGTTTCATATCGGTCGTTACTTGATCGTTGCGACTTCTACCAACATGCAATTTATGAGCGGCATTACCAATAATTTCCTGTAATTAGTTTCTTTAAGACACTTTTGTAATAATTAAGTTATATTAGTTTACTTTCAATCGTCTTTCATTGGCACTATGTATATCTTCATCATCTTTTATTACAAACTTTCCATTATCCCACTCTAGTTTTACTTGTTCTAATCCTTTACATATCTCAGCACACTCCACTTTTGTTAACAAATGAATTTGTTCTAATGACTTAGCGTACGCTTGGCTTCCGACTATATCTTCTTTATACATTCTTTTATCGATGTGAATTGAAGCGTTCAATTCTTTCAGTTCCGGGCTTGTAGCACTCTTAAACCGTCCGCCCCACTAAATAAAACGATATAATTAGAAATTTAATATAAACTATCTTCAAAAATTTACCATTTTATTGAAATTTAAGAAAACCGCTTTGTAGGTTTATGACTTTCTGATGAGTTTAGTTGTAGAACGGTGCACTAACTAATCGTAATCGTAGTTTGGAGTAACTTCACATTAGGAAAGCATAAAATATGCTTATCAGAAGGTCAACTTTCGAGTCACATGCACACACAGCAATTAATAAACAGTTTTATTATTCAAAATAATTATGTAAAAAGAATCACATTACCAAAAAGCATACAACTTTATAGATCACAATATTAATGGATAAAATGTTTTCGTCTTGTTAAATCTATATTACATATTGATTTATAAAAGTGTCAATAAATATTAATGGCGGTGTTTCGTTCAGAGGAGAAGAAATCCAATTAAAGCAATTAGTCAAGTACGTGGCGAATATAAAATTATAAATATTCGAAGTGTTGCTTTACAATTTATAATATTATATAGATTATAGGCCATTTATAATCTGGGGTTTAGGAACTTATAAACTAAGGCAGGAAAGTCGCAGATTAATTAATAAATCTATACATCCACCGTGGGAATAATCGTCCCATGCTTCTAATCTTCTTGCTACTTAACAAATTACGTTTGAATCAGTACTCTTTCCATCATAAAAGTGCAGTTAGATGTTTCCAGTCCTTCTGGTCGATTGCTGTTAATGTTTCGAAGTTAAGATGTCGTTTCGTGTCGATAATTTCTTCGCATTCTGGTTAGATCTAAAAAATAGAATAAAAATGTACAACTTACATGAATTTCAAAAAAGTAATATTAGTCTTATGTCAATCTGGATTATTTCTTTTTCTACTTCAAATCTACAGAGTTAGAGACAACATTTTCATGTTAAGTAATGGATAATTTACGTTTACAATTGATAAAATGTAGAAATTAGGTCCAATGTGAATACGAATAATCTACGAATGGATATTCAAGATTTAGTAAATGCTTTTTGTTGAGGGACACTACTGCGATACACCGACAGCTTTCGTTTCTTACGATTGAATTGCAATTAATGTAACCGATCACGGTTACGAACATAAGCATGGACACTGACTGACATGTAAAACGGGGCTTCTATGTCTATAAACTGGTACATACATTGCAGTATGTCGGCTGCTCTCTTTGCTTCGTTTGGTCCTATCTACAGATTTACTATTCTGAGTTACTAGAAATAAACAAACAAAATAAAACACGATTTTCGAATAAGTTTACTATTACTTAAGTAGCTAAAATCTAGTTTACCTTTGCTAGTCTCGCGTTTAGTCACACTTGAAGCAGCTTGTCTCTTCTTCGTTTCTTCACTTCGCAATTTTGCGCGTTCTCGGCTTGCGGCTTGCTTTTCAGCTGTGCTGCGAATCGTTGTCACGGCCGTTTTGTGTAGAATTTCAGGCAAACTGTTTTCCATAGTTCTGTAACCGTTCCAAATCGCAATATTCATTATTTTACGGAAACAAGAAAAAACTTACCGTTCCCCGTGTTTGCTCTTATGTACAACGGACGTATCCAACGATTTCCGGTTGGGTTTCTTCATTTCGAGACCGGTAGCGGTGACACTCAACTGAGCAGTCTTCGTACGTTTAACAGTACGCGGTTTCCTGATTACTTCGACGTGATTCGGTAAATCTTCCGATGAACTGCCATGTGAGTGTAATAGTGCTTCACGGCTATTGGCACGCTGCAAGCGTCTTGCTTTCGTTGTTGTTTTGCTAGCCAATTCGGTTGTAGTCTTTTTACGTGTCTTCTGATCTGACTTCTCAGCAGGTCTGCTTGCTGTCTTCCGATCAAGTTGTTCAAAACTTCTGTGGACATCACGCGTGATACTATCAATCGAAGAATTTGATGACTTTTGTTTGTCGTTTCGTAGACGAGATATATGATTACTTGATGTAACCCTTGCTGACTGTTTCCACGATTTATTTTCGGTAATAGTGTCCAACTTTTCATTTCTCCGCCGCGACTTCAATTCGTCATCAGTGCTCATACGACTGCGTTCTTCATCTGTATAACCGTTGACTGCTAGGAGAATTTCATCAGCAGCTTTGGTCAATTCTTCCAAAATACTGCTATCAAAGGTTGATTTAATTTGATTACTCTTAACATTTGTGTTTTCATATATTGGTGCTGAAGTAGGAGCGGAACTAATATATGATGATTTATTTCTTAAGATGTCGTTGTTAAATTGCAAAAGATCCGGTTTGTCCGACAATTTTGATGTTTTAGTTAGAACTGAAGTCTTTTTCTGACTATTTGCGGAAGTATTTACACCGAAATAAGCCATTTCTGATTTTTTTGGCTGCCTCAAAACAGAAGGTCCAAAACGATTAGGAGATGGATCTCTTCTTGAAAATTTCGGAGACTCAATTTTTTTATCGTATCGAGTGGATTCCGGATCGGAGCTCAATGAATTTGTTCTGGAACGACTTTGTCCAACTAGGAAAGGACTAGATAGCTTTTCATGATGGTTATTTAACGGACTTTTACTTATAGATGACTTGTTTAGATTTAAATTTATCACTTCTTGATTCAAGTATTTCAAATCTTGTTCGATTTGGTCGTTGATCAATTTATATTTATACGATTTATCACTCATCGTACTTTTGTTCGATTCTGGAAAATAAGAATTGCTTTAATATTAAGTGTTTATTGATAAATTATAATTAAATTGAGTTAAATTTAATTGTGGAATGCAAGCAAGGACTTGTAGAGTACAAAAATACCTTTCTCTATAAGTGAATGATTATGAGATCCATTAACACGGTTCGTTTGGGTCTTTTGGTAATTGTGGACCTGTTTGAACGCGCGCATCTTGCTCCAGCTGCCTGACGCCACACTAGATTGATGCTCTTCCGCTGAATTCATCAAAATGCGATGTACCTCCTTGTCAGCTTCGACATCACTATGTGCATCCTCGTACATCTGCTTGAGATCCTCCAGGCCTGTCAACTTTGGTTTCATATGTATGCTGCTGCCGCCCTTGATGCAATCATTACGAACGAATGTATTCATTATCAACGACGGCGATTTGAACGTTTGAATAGCAGCACGCGGGAATTTGAAATCATTCGCATCGTCTGCCGTCGTCGGCGACGGCGACAAATCGATGGTAATCTTCGTGGTTGTAGTCAAGCCGTTCGCGTTGTTCGGCATCGTTTTCGAGCATATTTTATGCTTCGAATTTGAGTTATCATCGTGCTGGCCAATGCGAACAATTAAGCTTTTATTGAGCTCGTTGCGTTTTTTCACCTCTGCAAACGTGTATTGTTTAAAATTTTGACGTCGGTTAAATGTTCCAAGTCTACTGCGAGCCATGAAGATGAAATGGTACGTGCACTAATAGGAAATGGTATTTTTGTACAATAAAAGATATAAGTTCTAAGCAAGAATGCAAGAATGGGGAAATTGCCAGAAAATGCATGTAGTAAGAAGCGTCAAGCAGCCATTTTGATACCAAACTACAGCCATACCACAAGAAAAAAATCACAAACCTACCTTTAAATTCATCTTTACGCGGCCAAGTAGTGTGCTTATTCTCAACGACTGTTGCCTCGCCGTCACCAAAGTTCACCTTTGTTGAATAACCCTTATTTTCAGTCCATTTCAACTCTTCTACTTGTTTAATTCGATCGGCAACTGACCACGAAGAACATTCATCTTCTGGTGGTGTTACTCGTAAATCTTTAAACGCAGAACAATAAGATTTATCATCAGTTTGCGTTGAGTTATCTTCGCTGGAATAATCCAATCTTCGATTAGTAGGACGCAACTGTTGACGCAATTTCTGAAATTCCTGTTCTTCTTTCTGATCCTTCTGCGCATTCTTCAAAGTAATGGTCGACTTCCATATTGGTTGATCTTCGTGAATAATTTTCGACTTTGCAGTCCATGAATCTTCCAAGTTGTCAGCGCCTAACAGAAACGGTCTAGGTTTAATTGGCTTATTCTTTAAAATGCCCCTTGGTGCTTCGTTTTCGTTATCCTTTTGTGGCTCCTCATCGAATTCAAAATAATTGCCATTCACTGCGTTTACCGTTACGTTTGCACTCATTTTCGTATTAGATTGAATAGAATTAGGCTGTGCCATAACACCATTTTGTAAATTTTCATATATTCCGTTACTAGATTCGTCAGCTGCGTCCCCAAATAAGAATTTTTCATAAGTACTGTCACCAAAATGTTGAACAGGAAGACCATTTCTAGTGTAATCTTCAGGTGGGCCTGAGTTGCGTCTTCTGCGTCGGAATCGTTGAGTGGGGGGCGGTTTTTCATCAGTTTCCACAATATTCACGCGTCCAGAATCAGCAGCAAAGTGGACTTCGGTCTTACAAAATTCTACCTTCTTGTTGATCTTTTTATTGTCGTCATCTTTGTTATTAATATTATTAGTATTATTGTCATTAATCACCAAGCTAGTTCTTTTGAACTGGTTCTCTTCTCTATTGCTGTTCATATATTTCGACTCGTCCACCGCAATCGAATGTCTTTTTCCTTCGCTGCCGCGCGGCGCATTCTTAATGGCGTTTTTGCTATCGTTCTTATTTTCAAAGATCATCGCGTATTTCTTCACGTTGGTCACGTTATCGTCCTTAATAACATCATTAAAGTCAAACTCACGCCGCTTGACGTTGACTTTCGACGGCGGTGATACGACGACAATTTCGGTCGACCGACAGATTCCGCTGTCCGTAGACGATTCGTTACGGTTTTTATTATTTTTCAGCGAATCGCTGCCGCCGGCGTGCGGTTGTTGCATCTGTTCGAAACCATACGACTTACGACGGGCGAACCAATCGTCTTGTTTGCTGTAATTATTGAATTTGTTGCGCGATTCGAGGCTCCCCGTACCCGAAATTTGTTTTTTGCTCGCATCCATCTCGTTTCGCACATATCGCGATTTGTGTGCGCTCATGTTAACAGTGTCACTGCTGCTGCTAGTGTCTAATTGTCGTAGATTCACCGGTCTGTCCGTTACGATTCCATCGTCGTCTTCATCGCGGCTTGTTTTTTCCTCTTCCTGTTCGTAGATGCTGATGGTCGGCGAGCTGGTACGTCTCAATTTATCGCGTACGGCTTGTATCGATTCGACCGTAACGAACGAATGGCGTTTTTGTTGCTTCTTCGCCGTAATGATCGTACCGTCCGGTTCGTTATCGTTTGACTTTGCGTCAGATTGGGCGCTGCTGATGCTCGAATTCGAAATCGACTTCAATATCTGATCGAGCGCATCCAAATCGACGTTGTTACCGCGTAGAGCTGTATTCAAACGTCTTCCGGTTTCCAAATCTTCGCGGATTTTCCTTACACTTCCGCTTGGAAGAGGCAAGTCAGGCGGTTTACTGGGTTGGGTTTCCTTCTGTTTAGGATACTGTAAGGAGCGACGTAGTTTAGAGGTGCGACGCCAGGTCTGCAACTGTTCTAAGTCTTCTAAGTCTTCAAGACTTTTTCGCTTCTCGAAGAAGTCCTCGGAGCTGGTGCTCTTCGTACGTGAGAGATTCGTGTGCTGCCTGACGGGTTCGTGCTCGTCGGTGATGTCTATGATTTCGACGCCGTCACCGCTCTCGCGCTCGTCGATTGGGAGCGCCGCTTCGATCGTGTCTGCACACGTCGTATGCTTGCCAAACGTCTGCTTTACAGCGCTATTGTGTATCTGATGGCAGAGCCGCGACACGCGATGAAGGTTTGTCGTCGCAGTCGAATGAAGATTACTGTTGCGGGCGAGAATGTCGTCTCGTATGCGCGATCTCGAAGGTGGCCGTCGTCCAACACCGCGGCCTACGCTAGCCTTCGCTTTTTCCGACGTCAAGTCCAGTGGGTTTAAGGACAACTGCAAAGCAGATACGACCGCATAATACGACCATAATTAAAATATGTTAATCCGTCTTGCTTTGTTTCAATCACATTATCACATTAATGCATTTTTAATTATTACCTTTAGATCCTCAAAAACATCCTGATTATTATCCTTGGGCGTGGAATTAGTGATACCTTGACTACTCCAACGGCTACTGGACACTGTTTGTGTTTTGATCACCTGGATGCGTCCGCCTGGAACTTGACTCTGGAACACCTCCAGTTTCCGACGCGCTGCCTGCTGCAGGTTCCCGTCCGCACCGCTTCGCGCTCTTGAATCGACTACCTGCAAGCGTTCCAAATCGAAACACGTAAGACGATTTGATTCCGACACGTAATTACTCATCAATTACTCAATAATGTGTAAAAGGAATCGGGCGAACGAGCGGGCGCTCACACACTCTCACGCGCGCACACCAAAGCAAAGAATAACAATAAAACAGTTACGTATACTCGTAAGTGCGAGTGCAGAAATGAAATGCGCGCGAGTAACAAAAACTCACAAACGCCGAACGAAACGAGCGAAATCACAAATCTATTTACAAAGCAAAAAACGGATTAATTTATTAATAAATGCAGCGTTCACGCGAATAAAATATCCACCAAATTGGGCGCACGAAATTTTATGCACTGATTCTGCAGGCCACTCCTTGTTTCTTTTGCAATACCAAACAATATTTGAGTGTCCTTTACGTGGGCGCACACGGTAAATAAACTTATTATAGTTTTAAACTTCATTAATGTCTCCCAGCGCGCGACGAACGCGCAACTATAAATTTAATTCCGATCGGCTGTCACGGATAGTACAACTAGCAACTTATACGCAGTCGCGGGAGCAATATAAACACACTCGTCGAACTACTGGTCTTTTAATTGTTTCCAAGTTACGAGTTGCGCGCTTTGCTCTTGTCCTCCAACTGTACGTTTCGCATTAGGAGCGGAAAAAATTGATCCAAGAACATTTTTTTAGCGATACGCTAGAGTTGATATGGCCGTTTATAGCTGAGCACTTGAATGCATCATAAATTATCCCTTAGAGGGGAGGAATAAGTGTAGTCCTACTAGTGTGATGTGGTCGTGGTAAGAGAAAAAGTTTATAACGATTTTATACCGATTTAATCACCACGCTTCGTTCGAATTTCCAAGAAAATTCGTCTTAGTTCTTCTCGCGTCTTGCTACGAACTGTTTCACTGCTTTAATAACACCAAGCTCCTATGTGTTTATGTGCAGTCGCTGTGAGGTGATGATTGTTGCAATGTGGTATTCGCAAGGTGCTTGAAATCGCGACGAAAGACAGCGTGTTATATACTATTAAACCTTCGCGCTTTGCTGCGCTTTCGACGACTTCTTCCTGCCGATGTTTCATACAGTAATTGCCCATTACAATGAAACCTAATCTAACATTAATGTGCAACAAGAAAAAAGATAATGATACATTGAAACACACTGTAGATTCTTTATATTTGTGAACGTATGACACATTAACATGCAAACACAATTCATTCTATTCTATTCGTACTCCATTGACAATATAAAATCAGTCATTCATAATGAAATAAATTGATGCTTCGATAAATATTTCATTTTCTTGTGTTTTGTGTTCACTTTGTTCGCAGCATCTGGCGCAGAGAACATGGTAGCAAGAATCCAGGCCGAAAAAGTAGCCATTATTGAAGATTTCACTTTTCCGCATGATTTCAACTGTTCAGCATGAATTTAGTGCTCGTTCATGCTTTCAAATTAAAGCCACCATTTTCACAGTTCATGATTATTCATTACTTACTGCAATACAATTATATATGTTTACTTTTCTTTGTCCTTTAAATCCAGAACGGAAGAGAATTAAACATTCAAGCTTAAAATTTGATTCGTGTCTCCTTTGTGCTTTAGAGACTTTTAGGAAAGAGAATAGGTACCTACTTTAGTTGACCGACCACTTGTTAAATAAATGTCGTGGTGCGCCTCGTCGTGCCATTGTTCTGTTAGGAAATTCTTGGAAAATCGATCGAGGATAATGGATTATAGTCGCGCAACATACACATAGACACAACTTACATATTTTAAATTGTCCTGCAAATTTCTGAGGATAGCAATAAACTTGAATCTCAACAATAAACGATTGGGTTGCAAATATTAGGCGCACAAACAGATATAATACAAGCGTGTGTGTGTATGCATATGCATGTCCTTGATGCGCACCGCACGGCACTTAGTATTTTTGTTAGTAACATTAAATGGTGAGCATGCCCTTTTTTGGATACTTGTCCCAATCGGTCGTGCATTCCTGAGCGCCCCGGCACGCAGACAATAACTATCGCATCGCTACAATGCTGCATGCGCGAGACTGATCCTGAAATTCAAAACATAAAAAAAAGAAGAAACGAACAGAAAAGACTACACACCGAGCGTTTATTTCGCATTTATTATATTTGCACGACATGGCCATATCGATTTTAACGTTTTACATATTTAAAAATGTACGTTATTAATACATGCCCATCAGTTATTGTTCATACAGGAAGAAGAAAAATTTATATAAAATTTTTAAGTGAATTCAGAGGACTATTTATTGAAAATATTTTAACATCCTGTACTAGCGATTGATATTTGAGTACGCGTATATTAAAAGAAATATATTTTTTGTAACTTGTTAGCGAACAGAGTGAATAATGTAAAAACTCAGCGGAGAATGCAAACGCCGAAGAAATAAGAATAAAGAATGTCACTAGTCCATAAATTTCTTTCAACAATAAAAATATTCAGCCATTGTTGAAAATGTTGAAATATCTCTTGAAATTCAACAGAATATGTTTTTGTGCATGCCCTGTTGATTTAGTTTGATTCCATTGAATTTTAGGTTAAATTTAGCGAGCAATAGAAGTTAAGTACATAACATAACCTCATAACTGTCAAAGTAACACTCAGTGAATGATAATTTCTAGTAGAGACTTGGAAAAACTTTCGGCGTTAAGAAATTGAACAGTAGAAACAGTTTCAAATTAAGTGTTGACAGACACACCGCACCTATTCGCAATTCTTAGGCAAGGCAAGTCCCAAATATGGTGCACTTTATAACAGCCATAATATCTTGAATGGTTACTTACTGTTGTTCTTCACCGCTTGACCCTATACGTAATAGTGCATGATTAACGCGATATAGTTCAAATCAAAACGCCGATATTTTCCTCTTCATATTCTACGAATCCTGAGGCGTCCCAATTTTCGCCAAACCATTCTCTGATATAAAACAACCGACATATCGGCGCGTGTTAAGTTTGAAGTTTGCACTTTATATGTTAAAGCAAACATTTCAGCGTCGATATTATTAATGCTCATGCCGCCTCGATTCCGACTTCAGACTTCAGACAATTCCAGAAAATTTATGAACGATATTAACAATATTGGTAAGTAATAAATGCGCAAGTCGGTATATATCACCGGTGATATTTTGCTATTTCAAGCCGCATAATAGTAGAGCATGTCAATATTTGCCGCAGTTCGAAGTAGGTATAGTGACTCGAGATCAATCTAATGGAAATTGCATTTGGCAATAAATTTCACTAGATTCATATAAACGGAGCCAAGTGAATGCGGACAAAGCGGTTGATATCAGGCAAATATCGCTATTAATCATTTCAGTTAACTTCTATCTATAACTTCGTGATAAATGGTAAAATTGTTCCTCATACACGTAACACCAATATATTTCCGCCTGTAAAATAATCGGTATAAAATTAGACAGTTTTTCACTTATATTAAAAAGAAAGTGATATTTTTATGTAAAACATAAGTGATAGACATTTAAAGGTGATTTCGCAAGACATTAACTTTGATGACGACGTTGAAACGTGTATAAAACGAAAATATCCGTCGATACTGAAGCAGTGCAAGCGCGCAACCGGAACTAAAACGTTGGGATTATGAATATGCCCCGCCATTACACATTATTCCGCGGCATTTTAATACAGAATTGTGGGCATTCTGAATATGAAGATATATTCTAAATTGACGATGTGGGCAGGCATTCGAAACGTTTTGCGCGAGCAATGCTCGCGGCCTCCGCATCCGACTGCATGCGCAACATATGGCACGATTATTATTTATCAATAGCAAATGGCGGGCGGCGCATGCTCAGATTTTTGGTCTGTAGTAAATAATTACTGAATTAGAGATAACAGCGGCAAAGACAAGACACCGCACCGAATGGGACATGTTCATAAAACGAGCAATATCTTTTGTGCGGCTTGTGGGTGAACGTTGATTTTCGTATTGTTACAAATGCGCCTTGTCATAACTGTATAACCGACCACAATGTTGAAATTAATCACTCCAACTGTAACATACAATGTTACTCGCATTAAAGTAAATGCTCGAATCGCTCGAATGTAAATGCGACGCATGTTAAAGAATTGACCTGCCTTTTCATTTCCTTTTGTTTGCTTTAGAATTTCTAGCCTGTTTCTGCTAAATAATTGCTTCATCAAGAAATAAACTAGAGTCATTGGTTTAATATGAAGTAATATTTCAATTACAACAGTTTCACGGTTTAAAATTTTCGGCGATTACATTAAAATCATCACAGTTAAATATTAAAATATTAATTGCTAAATTATTTAATAGATTTAGATCGTGACGGCGTTATTTAAACGGTACCAAACACATAAAGGAGCAAATCATTAAAAACTAATTTTATTGCTTCGGATTAAATATTTATACGAAATTCAACGTAACATTAATTTGACCAACCTAAATGTTTAAAATGAAAAAAAAAATTGACTGTGTAACTTAACACCAGATTATCTATGTCAAAATGTGTCAGAAACTACAACAACGACTTATTTTATTTCATTATTAATGAACGTAACTAAACAAAATTTAGCCTGATTTTATAAGTAATACGTGTCTGATTCATTCATTTATTAACAACATAAATTATAATAATGTCTCCGTTTAGGGGTGTGAGTAAAAATAATACGATAAAAAGGCACAATGCAACACTTCGCGAGCATAAAACGGTTAAATCTTTACGAACTTACAGTATGTGGGCTGCGCAAACATTTAGTAATGAAGTCAACGCACATTAAACGTATTTGCATTAAAAGGCACGGCACCACTGCTCGTTTAGATTGCTAAAGTGGACGTCTTTAAGATCAGAGAGCCAGATGCAAAGGTGCAACCCCGCGCTTCCAACAATGGCGACAACAATTTCCAGCGCAAAATGGGCACAGATAAATTCGTTCCGAGCGCGTAATTAAACGCGAGCCTCACAAATGACAAAATTAAAACTGCTTCGAATGCATATGAGGAGCTTGGAAAAGTTAATGCCCCGATAAAAATATCAAAATAATGACTACGAGTTCAAAATATATATTTTTTGCAACATATAGGGGCTTGCATTAATTTTCAGAGTTCGTAATTTAATCCTAAGCAGAAAATTATTTCTTGCACAATCATTTCAATCAGTGCAACGCCATTTGTTAACAATCGTGACAATATTGAAGACATTAAATTAGCATTCGTCTTTCCAAACAAAGCAAATCGTTTGTCCAAACCGAACGAATGTACCAATCATTACTCAAACCAGATCAAACCAAGAACGCCGGCGGATATTTGCTCTCATTCCGAGCACACTATAATGTCCTGTCATATTCAAGCAGCGGAATTAGCGATGCAGGATTTTACAGTCATTGTGACTATAATTTTGACAAATAAAACGAAATATTTTCTAATTGAGGATAACTTTACGCCAACACACTCAATAAATTTACTAATTAATGACCGGTGCGTACAAATTTCTTCCTGCTATGCGTGTGATTTGCATGGAAAAGTTTATTGATGGCGCCTTATATGTCTATCAATCAGATATACGCATATATGTCTAAATGTGTGAAGCTGCGGGCCGGTTGAGACATCAACGCTTTCACGCGCCAGCACAAAAACAGATTTTAATGTTTGTTTAATTCCTCACATCGCGAGTTTCTTCCGTTAAAGTATATTTAAGCGATTTACGTAGGCTTTTCATAACGTAACAAATGATTCGATGTGATTTCCTTCACAGCGCTGTGCAGACGGTGTTAACAACTGTCGCTAGGCCATTAGAAACGAATAATTTCATGATTTACCATGTTGCCACGTGATTTTAATAAAGAAATCATAAAAGTAATTTCGGTTGCATACACCGAGAATTATTTTTTAAGGTTAAATGGTATAAATTGTCATAAAAATATATAAAATCATAATTTTTATAACAATAATTATCTACAAATGAAAGTAAAACGAAAATAAAGGTCAGGTTTCGTAAAAGGCTGACTCCAAATTCCAAAAGCGCGCTGTCACAATGAAAAGCAATTTAAAAGCAAAGTCTAACTTTTTGCCAACAATCACACAGCACACAATAAAACGCTACTGCTTAACTCTTACTACATTTTATAACAGTGCTTAATTGTTAATTTAAATACGTAACCGACATCCAATCGACAGATTGTTGAAGCCGATTTTTCGCATTCTCAACACATATTTCATTATTACATATCCCAGATATTATATTAGAATCATTCAAATTTGAAAGCCAATCAAAAACAAATGTTACATAAATTTAACAGCAATTGCAAAAGTTCACAAGCCACAAAAACCAACGAAAGCGTAAAAATTGCAAGTGGAAATAAATGAACGAGAACTAAAAAAGTAAGAAATGAGCATGAATGGTGAGAATCCAGCGTGCGCATAGAGCAACATCGAATTAAGATTTATATCGTGCACTTAATGTGCACATAAATGATCTGTTTGTAAGCCGCTAATTTATATGCCGCGACGTCATTAATCTTATTGTAATGAGAAAGAAAAAGTGAGGTTATTTGAATATAATAAGAATAACATGCGATCTGTGTGAATGAAACGCATCTCGAATGCAATAAATGCATTATGCGGTTTACAACGGTTTTGCTTAGATTACGAGATTTGTTTACTAAGCGTTATGCTATTTATGCTAAGTATCCGCGCGTGCTATCACATTTATTACTTTATTCATAATCTAAAAGTAAATTTGTTACTTTTTCAACTATAAACGGAATTATAATTGCAAGGACATTGCTGAGAAAACTGTTTTCGACAAGAAAACAAATCTGAAAATTTGTGTTACGTTTTCACGCAAAACACACAAAAGCGATTTGAATGAATTTTGGTGTTGGGATAGAATGGGCTTAAGACAATAACATAGGCTACTTTTAGTCAAAAAAGGAAATATATAGGATGTGCAATATGAGTTGAAAATTGTTAATTTATATGTGACACTCAAAACATGGACCATTGTGACAGTAAATAACCATCAAGTCTAAAATAATTAGAAATTGTTTGACCTCAGAAAACCTACCTACCTAAAGAAATAAATCGTCGTTGACACATTTGATTCACTTCAGGCTATATTTCATTCCGTAGCAGTTAGTGTAGTTTGAAGCTTGAACTAATGCAACTGCTACAAGTAATAAATTTCCTCACCGCAGTGCAGCGAAGGAAGTAAACGAGTAAAACTAATTTTTAAAATTAATTAGTTCTCAGTTCTGAGAGACGTCGTAGAACAGCATGCCGCGGAACTTTCTACAATTACTAAACTAATCTATATCGCATAACGGCGCGAACATAAAGTATCCGGTATCTGCAACTATCGCCTCGAAGTTGTGCCCTGATCTCAGCGCTGCACTTCCGCATTATGGATTAACGCTAAATGACACTTAAACGGTCGGATCTTACACCTTCGCTTACACCCATGCTCACAAGTTGTTATTTATTTACTTATTTTTCACTTTATTGCTTCAACAGTTACTTATGTTGGTTATTTTTCATTTTATTTTACTAAACCGTGGGTTGACATTTACTACAAATTTAATATCGCACTTTATTGCTTATAATCGATGTGATATCTATCGATATCGACTGCTTTCAATTGAATATTCACCGGACGAGACTTGAGCATAATTTTAATAGTAATATTATGCTAAGAACTTAATCGAATCGAACAAACGCTTATCTGAAAGACCAGCAATAAATTAATCAAATGTCTCAATTTTCATATTTAAGCAATTTGTCTGGTTATTTATGTGATTTTAATAAAAAATTATCTGTCGCACACAATGGACACGCTTGACAGCCGAACAACTCTATTACAATACAATATTCTTGGCAGGAAATCGCGCTGAGGTATCGAAGCAAATACACATAGAAAATTTTATAACAATTTCGTTGGAATTGAAAAGCCGCGTAGGAAATGTTTAATATTAATATTTACTTTGAATGTTTCGTGTTTGTCTGTGTATATTATATACACTTTATGTGATCATATTGACATGACAAACATGTCTGCTATAGAATTGCGACTATTTGCAAAAATTATTTATGTACATATTCAATTCTTTCATATTCATTGTGGGTGTTATAATAACAATTTTATTCTTTTTGTTTTTGCGCACGAGGCATGACCATTCTATAATAATAAATTCCAGGAATAACGAATTTCGATACATTTTTATAACGTTCAATTTTAAATAACTTTTGACGTAATAATCTCGTTAACAAAATATTTGCGCAGTTAAATCTAAAACTTAATTTTAAAAGTAATATAGTAATAACACTAATAGTTTATGAGTAATTAAAAAAACCTATAATTCTGCACTGTTAATTCTAATACAAGGCAAATACCTAAAGATATTTTCGGATGCCATCTCAATTGCTCCTTGTTATTTCGCTATTTCATTAAAGGTAATGATAATGTTTGCAACGAGGTCTAATTAGTATCGATAACAATCAAATAAACGACATACCTTGTACCAGAGGTAATAACCAATGAAATCGAAGAGTATAACAAGCCGTAAAGAGTAAAAGTAATGCGCGGAACGTGGGCGTTATCAGAAATTAATGTTTAATTGTCTATTGCATGAGAGGCACGTTATTGGCAGTCTTTTCCAAAGATTCCCTATCAATTGCGATTGAAGCGGCGCAAGAGAAGAAAGTTTAACGATATTAATCGAACGTATTCATTGAATGCCCCATTCATCCTTATATAATTTGTAATTTATAACGATTTATTACGGGGAAAACAATGCATACTTTGGAAAATGACTGAAAAATATTTTCAAATAAATTTCCTAACAAAAAAGCATTTAAATACGTGGTTTCGTAACAATATGTCCATTATTTGTAGAAATACTGGTAATTTTACGATTGGCTCGAACACTATTTTATTTTGTTAACTAATTACCTTATACTGTTGTTTGCATATCATAAAACAAATGTTACGCCTCCGAAAACGGCAAAAAATCATTACTGTGGAATTAACAATAATAAATCGTAGATATTTATATTAGAATTTCAATTATTTTATGATTATTTCCTTCGTTACATACGATAAAGCAAATGGCTCAGCTGCGCGCGTGAATTGTGAATAATTCAGCTTCGGGCGACTGCGCACTCGAAAACTGTTGTTTAACTTTAGCAGTAACACACATATAACTAACGAACGACATCATCGACGAAGAGATGTAAGAATTTAGTAAATTTACTGACCTTATTGTACTTGTGCGATGTCGTGGCGGTGTTCGCGGTCCAGTGATCGGTTTCCAAGCGGGCGCGCTCCAGGACGCCGGTGATGCTGTCCAAACGCGACCACTCGCGCACGTCGTGATTGTGAAACGGCGATCCGCTGCTTGGCGTTGCCGTTACAATATCCATTGTCTTTTCTGGTCGATTTTTCGTTTTCGTTAATTTCGTATTTGCACTCTGTGGCGACCCCCTCGCGACTGACCTGTTTGACCTCGTGATTTCTTGTAAATTATCACAACGTATTGATAAAATCTGCAAAAAAACATTTAAACTAGATTAAATGCTTACGGTTAACAAATAACGCCTTCTATAATATTGCGTATCACTAAATCAATAGTGCATTAGTTAGCTTACATAACGCACCCGGCTGAATCAGTAAATTTGCAAACTAAATAAAGGTATGCGCATGTGGAACTATTTCAAGGTCTGGTATTGCTTTGTGGTCGCTTTATTTTATTCAATTTGCACGTTGCAGAAAATGGTTGAGCATAAATTGCCGGTGCAAGAATTATTCAAGACGATTTTTTATGCTATACGTGCTGTATTTTTGTTTTGTTTTGCAATAATACCATTGTACATGAACTTGACAATTATTTTTTTAGTTTTAATTAGACATGTGCCACACGACATAAATGATGTTGCAATTGAGAAAACAATTCAAAAACGTTTATCTAGAACCCGTAAGTGCAATACCATTAGAAAATTGGTTGCGTCTCGTTAAAAACGGCAATAATCCCGTTGTACGTACATCATACATCGTACATCGCATCTATAATACCAATATTAATCAAAAAGCACAAGGCGAGACACAGCACACGCGAAATTGCGCATCGCCGGCGCGTTCGCATGATCGAATAGTTGGTCAAATGGTTAAAATGTTATAACTGTACTGTTGCCATATGGGCTCTCGCTTGATTTTCATGCAGCAATGACTAAATGCACTGCAGTGCACGCGGCGCGCTGCACTGCAAAGAGTTTCGGATTTACTTTGTGGAGTCGGAGCAATTTTCATAAATAATGCACGCCGCAAAAAACTCATTCGCCATATGGCGGCTTGTCGGCTTGCGCCTCATGCAAATATTCGCAATTCGCAATCTTCCATGCATTGTACCACAGCAACTGCAGCAACACACGTAGGCAAGATGTCTTCCATCGCGCCGATGGAAATCACTCGTGATGCGGTTACGTTATAATCATTATGGTTAAGTGAGTACGCAAGTAAATCAAAACGGTTAGTGCTTGGGGAACTTCCTAGGTTCAATAAATATCAATGAATGTATATTGTTTGTTCACACTTAATGTCCGACATAAAAGATAATATGCCTATTGACAACATTCAGAGTTGAAAAATGCAATAATTGCGTAGATTTACAGTATAAAATGAGATAAAGACTTGCTGATTGTGAGAAATGGCACAAAAACGATCAAATTCCGTAACGATATTGCGCAATTTTGTCGTGAAAAGCAAAAAAAACGATAGAATAAAAAGCCCATATATGTCATAACCAAGGATATGGTTACATATTTATAAACATACAAAAACACAAATCAATTCAAAATTAAAAATTACCCTAAATTATACGTTTTTATGCAGTTTTTACATACGTTTTTAATAATTCCGCACCAACGGACAATGTAAAAATCAGTTATATAAAGTTTAACACACAAAAGTATTGATTTGTTTGTTATTAAACCGTTGTGTGTTTAATTGCATGCAGAGCAAAGTTGAAATGTGGATGGCCAACCCTAAACCAATTTCCAGTGATTGGATTCAACGTGAATCCCTCAATGTTCGTGGTGATGCATTTATCTACAAAATAAAATTTAAGCAAAAACGATAATCACGCAAATCCTCTTACATTTCCTAAACAAATCGACCATTTCTTTAGGACGCATAAACTTGGCGTATTCGTGGGCGCCCTTTGGTATAAGCTTCATCACATTTTCGCACAAGTAAATGTAATAAAAGCCAGAAATCGGCGTGCGATTCATGGTGGTGAAAAACGCTGAGCCTCCCGGACGCAGACACTTAAGCGCATTGCTTGCGAATACCTCCTTATCCAGAACGTGCTCAATCACTTCGGACGAAACGATAACGTCGAAGCGCTCCGCGTTCTCCAACGCAAACTCTTCGACTGTGACCGTTTTATATGTTAGATTCTTTTTGAGTGTTTCATCTTTTAACATGTGCTCTTTGGCAACGCGTATTAGATCGTCATTGGCATCGATGCCTGTTACGTGTGCGCCGAGTTTAGCGATTGCTTCAGCCAGAAATCCACCTAAAATATAATTCTGAGGACTGTTTGCTTTAACCTACCGGGAATTACCACCGTACCACCACAACCAACTTCTAAAACTTTAATATTTTCGAACGGGCGTTGTGGATCTACTTCCTCGCTATGCACCAGTCCAGCATTGATTAAATTCTCCTTTAATAATTCAACACGAACCGGGGTCATATACCGAAGTAATTTGACAACACTATTATCGTCCCACCAGGTTGGGGCCAAAGTTTTGAAAAAAGCTGTTTCTTTCGGACACACGGTATTTGGAATTGTATTGCGCGGCGCAGTAGTAATGCATCTATATAATTAGTAATTAAATTCAATGATAGGTAATACAAGTCACATATTGCAATATAAATTTATATATGAGTACCTTATTGATGTCCTCAGTAGAGGTAAAGCTCTATTTAATGTCGACATTGTATGTAAATGTTAATTAATACGTGATTGCTGATTACTGACGGAAAAATATCGCCGCCAGCTTTGTTTATATCTGTTCGCTTTGTTTATTATTAAATAATGAAAACAGTAACTTCCTTGGAGACACTGTATTGTTTACAAGCATTGTTAATAACTTAATCTAAGATATTTTGCTGCGTAACGCGGTGAATGTTTACAAGATTATAAAGATTCAGGATTATAATAAATTATATTGACTTACATCTATTTTTAAAGCTTAAATGTTGCTTAAACGCAACGCGTAACAACAGGGGTGTATTTTGTGGTAATATGGGAAATAGTACAACTTAAATAAATACGTTAATTTGTACAATTTACGTCCGTTCCTGAACAGAAAAGAGTTAAATAGGAGTTAATCTCTAATTTTCCGTTTCTCGCAAATATGAAATCTAATCATTTTACGTTTTGTAGTATTTTGCAATATGTAGTTAACTGAACAAAGTCTGTCTCTTTACACATATGTTAATAAGCTCGCATCAATATTTACCCCTTTTATTATCCATTCTAAAAGATAAGATTATATTACGCATGAATAAAAAATTGCAGGATTGTCCTATGTTCAAACATAACTCTCAAGTCTCTTGGATTTACTTTGCGCGCTGACGTATAAAAGAAACTGGTTTTAGCAGTCGGTATCAAGAGACAACAGAATTTCAAGAAATAAATGAAAAGCTGTCTTGTCTCGCATTGTATTGTATTGCAATAAATTATTTATCTAAGAATACAAATAACTAAATGAAGACAAAAACAAACTAATCTCGTTGCCCTTCTTAAGCCAAAAACGGACTTAAGCCTTGGTGGGTTTTACATCGAATGCGAATGTTATGCGGAACATACGACTATTGACACATTGGTTGTTTATACCGCGGTGACTGCAATAGCTACGTCGAATTCCGGGCGAATCGATGGATGAGGTAATAATCATTGGTTTTACATAAATTGGTAAAACCGAGTCTGAATTTTAATAAATGATTCGGGTTCTTTTAAAAATGATTACACTTCTTATAAAACAGCTGAAAGAAGTACCAAAAATGGCAATTTGGCTTTTCAACACTAACAATGTCCTTATTTGCCGCTACAAACTGTAATGTGATAATTCTCTTCAGTACATAGCGTGTATTGCACACCGTGTTGTATAATGCATAATTTGTCCGTGTTGCAACAACGCCAACAAGCGTCAGGGCACTTTTTCAACATGCAACAATCAAAGTCCCAAAACGATGAAAATGTCGCAGTAAAATAAAATTAAAATTAGTATAATATTGTAGTGTTTATAATTTTCTTATGAATCTATGTTGAAACACATTTACAACGCTGGTAATTAATGAACCAGTAAAAAACATCAATTCCATTTAAGGAACAATAGCAACAATGTAATTTGTTAAAGTTGATGTCCAAATACGAAGACTTTTATTGATGTTGAACGGCAATTCACCGTTCGTTGTGCGTCCATCGAAGAGGAGCCATTAATTTTTTGCAAGCCGGAAAAAATTATAAAGGAAGTTAGTTATCACATCAAATATGGCGTCCTTGAATGTGCTCGAATTGTATAAACAAAATTTACAAACGCGGATTATTGTTCATTTTTAGGCATGAAATCAAAATCATTTGAATATTTTTTTCTGATTGACGTCGGTTCTACCTTTTTTGGTAAAATATTCAAAAACATTTTAATAGCGGGAGGCGTGGATTGTTGCCGGCACACCATCAAAAGAAGACTGACCAAATTAGTAACACTTTTTTCCTGATGCATCGAATTAATTATCCTTGACAATCAATTAAAATAGCCGAAATTTCGGGAAGTCAAAAGAATGATCGTATCAGCATATAATGCAACATGATATCATGCACATGAACGCATTGCAAAAGATTAATTTGCATAATTTAATTGATTTGATTGAGCGTTGCAAATTGGTACAGACTGAATGCGAATATCAGAGATTAACATGACTTAAATTAATTGGGTGGAACGAGAGTCTAAGGTATCCGCAAATATATTTATAGCAAAGTCAATAAACACAATTAAAACCGTTCCACACAAGTCGCCAATTTAATTAAACTCCACTTTAAAGTCGCAGTCGTGCGCGATCTATTCAAATATTGTCGCAAGTTGACGAAATAGGCAAAAAGTACAAAAACCACTCGATGCGATAAAGAGCACACATAAAGTACACGCGAAACGACCTAATTTTCCACGCCAGAAGAGTGTAATCGCAACCTTGTTAAACAAATATCACACACAACCTCGACTTTCGCCGGAGTGAGAGTTGCCGTTGCCGTGTTCGCGGTCTAAATTTGAATGTTTGTACTCTGTACAATGATCTCATTTGCGTGCACTGTGGCTGATGCACAGAAGAGAATATCTTCCAGTGTGTCATCACGGCTCCGCCACAATCACTCTGCAATGCACCGTTCTTTTTTCCGTTTCGTGCGGTTCGCGAACAAATAATACTAATTAACCATTCGGATAGATACAGACAAAGCAAACAGGATTAATTGAAGCATTACAAATTGCAATCCGAGAGTTTTAAAAACAAGAAAAAGAAAAGTAACTTGGTGAAGTAGAGTAGGCACTTAACAATTACAATAAAATTTAAACCACAAACAAATGTCACACTTTCTATCTTAGATATTGCCATTAAAGCTAATATAATTAAACAATCCTAGTGGTTTATGTAAACCAATTCTGAACTGCAATTAGACTGATTGCAATTACGATTATTGCTACATTTTTATACGTAAGATATTAAAGTTATTATGTTCAATATATTTTTTTCATAGTCAAGGCGAGATTACTGCCGCGGAACTAAATAAACATACAAATTACTAATTCACACCTTGATTTATGTCATGCTGTGATAGAGAGCATACTTATTTTATACTACTTAAGTCAATAAACTGATTCACATCTGAAACTAAGTCCCAATTTAATGTTTTTCGAGTTTATCAGGTCAACACCGGCTGGGCAACTAAATGATGACCATCAATCAACGACATTTACGGTTATTAATGAACCATTGCGATCGCGCCCAAGTATAATTCCCATGTGCCACCTTTATGCTCATTATGTTTATGTGTTCTAAGTTAATCTACAAATCTAGATTTCGACATATTTTATTGATTTCGAACATGAATGCTAAGATATTAAACTCATCGTTTATGTTAAATTAAGTGCTTCCGCAATTAATTTATAGATTGCGTGAAATAAAGTGATGGGAATATTCACAGTCAATCTGATTAATACTAAGTACTAAAACTTGCAATGCAAAAGAAAAGAAACAAACGATCATTATGCGATACATTAAAAATGTTGTAATTAATTTGCATACAGGTGTAAACATTAATCATCATTATTTATAAATTTATAACTAACTAGTCAGCAGTATCAGCTGTAAATTTGATTGTTTTATACGAAATAGCACAAAAAAACTCACCAATAAATCAGGAAAACCAAAATTAGAGCCAAATGTATCCTTTTTTTTTACTTTTTTCGAGTAAATCGTATTAGAAGGCGACCAATTTTGAACAAACGTATCACTTGCTTGTCGACTTCGAATCCGTAAGTACAATTAACCGAGGTGATAACCTGTACGTACGCTATTCGGTTGCGGTTGGTCGCTTGTCTCGGGCAGGAGCGCGAAATGCGTCCGCGAGGTCTGCGCGCGGTCTAATGCAATGGCGATCGCGGCGCGCGAAGCGTATAAACCCACGGAGATGGATGCGGCTCTCCGAGGCGACCACCCCACCTTCCTTCCTTCCGTCTGCAGACACCAGCAGACACGCACGCCGACGCTGGCCAGCGGAGAGTCACCAAGGCAGCGAGCCCAGTGTAAGTATAAGCAGTATACGCGCACTGAGGCTCCCATGCTCCTTCGGAGAGTTTAGGGTCACTCACTGGAGGAGACCATGACCTTATAATTTGTTGCACCATCGCGCTACGTGTGTACCAGTACTTACTCTGGTCGTAAGCCTAGGCTAGTAAGTACCTTCCAAGTTACTTTACTGCTAAAAAGGTGACTCAAGTCTGGCGCATCCACTTTTTTTCAATTTGCACTTTTTTTCAAAATAATTGCTTATGTAGGTTGTGTACTGACATAAAAATGCCATTTAATGCACCCATATTATTTACTTATATGGATGTGCTAATTAAATGTGGTATACTGATCAATTAATCAATTGAAACAATAAATGATTAATAGCATGACAGGAATGCGCCGAAAATGAACGTCCGTCATATGCCCTTATTCTCTTAAGCAATGTTTTAAGTTTAAGCCGGCTTAAGAGTAAACATCACCCGGTAACGCCCTTGAAATGCGTCGCGTATTTGCGTCATTATCATATTCGCCCTCTGCGTTTCCGTCATCGACGCATCGTCGACAAGTCCATGTTTACGGCCGGGCACTTTGTTTACGGCAAAACGTTATAATTAAAAGACGCAGCAGATCTGATGAATCATTTTTCATCCGCTCGGCGAAACTCTCGATGTCTTCCTTTTATTCGCCCAAGTCGAAGGTGGAACAACGTTCTGCTATGCCAGGCGAGTGTTTAACTTGTCATGTATTAATAACGCCGAGTATCATTTTCGTTCCACCGGCGCAAGTGTAATTAAAATTGTATTATGCGTAGCATGCACTTACTCTAACCTCCGCATATTTTATTACTTTTTAATGCACGCGAAAATAAAAACAACAAAGAATCAGCGTCTAATTGTTGCCCACGAAGGATTTGCATATGATAAAATGTCCGAGTCAAAATTGATGACAGCACAGATTATTGATTGTTTTATTGGCACGTTAATGCATTTTGCTAATATAAGAAACATATTTGGACAGAATTTAAGCGTATGTTACTCGTCACTTCATCAATAATAAATTTTTATTGGCAGATTTCCTGATAACCTCTACCAGAATATGTTACAAAGTAAAATTTTAATAATCCAATAGAGTAATAGACAGTAAACCAGCATTTTGCGAAACAAAGAGTTAAATTATTTATCAGCGAATATAATTTTATGTTCAATAAAAGTTTACGAAATAGAGTTTAGTCAATAAAATGACAAAACCCGCGCCACCGTTTCACCTCGCCGTGCGGATAAATATGGATTTACATACTTATTGTAAAATAATTTCACAAGTCCACGATATCTGCAATTAGATTTGTTACGTGCTCGTGCATTTCGACATTTAAGATGAATTTATTACATGTTTAGGTGTGTCGCGTGTCTATAAAGCAAATAAATAAAATATTACACACTTTAATACCACGTAATTAAATGAATGATAGTTGAAGATACGCATAGGTCAAACTATTAAACATAGGTTAATTATGTGCTTACATGCGGTGATAATGTTGATAAAAGTGCAGCTACATGCAAGTGTGGTACCTGCAGTTATGCATTTCTATAAATCACTAGTACAATGATACTAGAAGACTATGATCCCTGCTCCTTGAACCTGACCCTTTTTTGTTCGACCAAATAAGGCAAACGAGGAGCAACCTTATGTGTGCACCATGATGAATCATGATGTGAACACAAAAACTATTCCTACCTTTATTGGTAGGTAGGCAGGTACCTACCAATCGTTACAAAGCAGATAACACAGGTTATTTTTCAGTATTTTGTTTGAGTTTGAGTTTAATGAAAACTCTACACTTGAGACGGTCTCAAGATCTGTTTATTTGAACAAAGCACACGTGAAATGCTTTAACCTAACCTCACATAACCTCTGCGACTGTGAGTCCTGTGTCTGTGTGTTTTACCTTTACGAAATCTACATTTAAACGCACGATTTGTGGACACAATGTCTGGCATCAGTATAAATACTTTGGTCCTAAGTGGAATAGTCGAGATTCTGAAATACTTTACAATTGCTTGTGCATGGCCACCGTTTTAAGTTTTAGCACACTTCCCGGTATGTGCATGCAGACACACCCACACTACTTATATTGGTAATACTTTAGCGGCACCAAGTTGCTGTTGTAGTTGCAGCATTTAGCATCAGGAAGTATAATAACTTCTTGTGTTCATTATTCTCCTGGATTGGATGCCGCACGATTCGCAGGTATAGCGTACGCGCGCGCGAATTTATTTATAACAGAAAGAATTTATTTATCGACATATCGCATCGCCTCTATCGCCACATATACCTCTTATGTGGTCGGAGAACATGCGGAGCACTTACGTGCACGACGACACTAACCATGGGCCTCGCGAACACAAGTAGAAACACGGTACTTAACAAAACTCGCGTACGAACGCCCGATGTAATCGCAGCTAGCTGGCTGGCTGGTGCGAAACGTATAGGCTGGATAATTGCGTTAGCATTAATGGAATTTAAAAAGGTCATAGCTGTCCGGCCTCTTTCCATATTCGACGAAACGATTTAATCATTCCGCGGCCAAACGACGTGTTAAAAACGCGCCGCGCGTCGTTTGTTCTACTGCAAGCGCGCGCGCACACTGCTCCGCCGACGATCCGCCAATTGATAATTTCGAAATTAATGGATGCTTAATTAATAAGCCGTCACGCGGCGATGAAATTTATGCATCGACGGATACAAATACAGATTTGTCTTAAGCTCGCGGGCGTTTACAAGAAGGAAACGTTAACAACACGCAAGGCGCAAAAAAATTCAAGCACGGATGTAATTACATGCCAGACAACTTGATCGTAGATTTGTGACACAAGAATATTATGATATACGTATAAAATAAGGGTTGATATAATTAAAAAATTTAAAAATTGTTTTTTCAGATTTTCTGCGTACATTTTGCGCTAACTTATCTTTACGACATATTCACTTACAGTTAAGTTATGTTATTTGTTGCATACACTGTTGTGGATGTTGTTGATGGGAAATTCTCACTCTTTGTAAGCGATTCCTTCATTATTATTAAAATTGCCCATCATTATATCTATCGGAAGGCTGATAATCGGCTGTAACAAACATCTCTTATACATTTTACGCGACGCATGTCGTGCGCGCTAGTTATATAGTACCCATTTGTAGTTATAATATTAGCGCAATAAGCTAATTCCGCAATGTGCGCGAGTGCGACCTTGCACAAGTTCGAAAACCTTTTTGCAGCTTGAATACCCACTACAGCGTATACATGTATGATGTCCGTAACGAGAGTCTAAGTACACAGCGAGTTGGACACTTACCTACGCCAAGGCACAGCAAGTATTACAACAGATAGAAGTAAAACGCACCGGACACAAATAGCTCGATTTACAATTGGTTGTTTTTTTCTTCGCTCATTCAAAATTATTACTAATGTTTTTATATTCAATGTGCGTGCAATTTGATATAAATTAACATTGTAGAAGATTTATCCATAAACATGCATTGTTCTTGTTGATTATTTCAGTTCCGCCTGTCTTGTACAAAACAAAGAATGTATAAAAGCATTTCAGCACGTTCTCAGTCCATCAACTTACCTCGTAAGGATGTAAAACGAAGAATAAAAACACCGCTAAATTTGCGGCAAACAATACACGCACGGATATTTATGTATTTGACTTTAAGTTACTTTCGCTTGTTTACAATTCAAATAAATAATTCACACAATAGCGGAGATTTGAAGTTGTACATCTTGGATTTAATTAAATCATGAGCACCGAAAGTTGTGTAATCAAATTGGTACCAAAGTGTTGGAATTGTCTCGCTTTACACAATAATAACTGTTGCCAAAACAAACCGGTTGATGTTCCTTTCATCTCGTCAACTTGCGGGCAAACAATTAACCATTGTCAGGTTCCGACAAGACACAAGTACAAATATAGCCAATATGAACCGAGAGGACGCATTAACCTTTGATACTTTTGTCGTCGACAATACCGAAAAGTTTTTCTGGTTACTTTCTCTTGTATGTTGAAAAAAAAACAACAACAACAAAAACAAGCAAGTAAAATTAACTTGCACATTTTTTCGTAACCTCGCAAGTTCAATTTATATGAATAAATTCATTTGAGCATATATAATAAAACAACTGACGCGGCAAAAGTTTTAAACAAGCAACAAATTAAACTTTCGAAGAATTACTATATGTAAATGTTATCTTCGTTGATTATTGTGAAATGACTTGCAAAATAATTAATTATTACTTATTTTCATCTTAAATTTTATGTTATTATAGAAAATCTTCAATTAAGTTTTGTTGATAATTACATTGTCTTTATAGGTAACTGATGCTTTCATCAATAAGAGCCCGATGGCGAGATGGATGTCACAACATTAATTAATTACTTACAATAAAGTATTAATTAAGACGCAGATTGGTCAAGGAATCATACGTCAATTAATTTCAAATATTCTTTGCTGTTTCAATACATTTTCAAGAAATCACAAAATAAATTTGTAGGTTATGATGGTTGTTAATCAAAGTAAATTTGTTAGAAAACCGTGTAAAACACTTACTTACTACTCCCATTCCACACTAAATTTGTAAAATGAATAATTTTTATATACTTCACTTTCACACAACCTTTCACACACTTAATATATCTTAATCTAATGTTTAAATTAGCACGAAATTTATTTTAAAACAACGGTAACACAAAATTTTCCTGAATTCGATCGCAGCGCCAAAAACCGGAACCAACTGAAACTAAACTAAAATATTTTATAATATTTGACACACCGATCGCAGCGCTATCTGCCGGATTTAATGTAAAACATTCCAAAATCAATCCGTGGACCAAATTTTGAATCTAAACCATTCCCGAATGCACTAGAATACCTACACACAACAAATTTTATCAAAATTGGTCCAGCCGTTTGGGAAGAGTCACATACACACACACACAGCAGAATTATATACTCGTATATGAAGATTTCCCAAAAACAACCAAAAGATACGCGATGAAGTTCAATGAATCATCCAATTGCATTGTGTGAATTTATTTTGCGAAATTCCTTCTCACAAAGATCAACAACCCGTCACCAACCACGTTGTCGGTCCCAATGATGCCTCGAATGTTAATAAAATTGCACAACGTTATACTCACAATGACAAGATGACTACGTGCAAATATAAATACCACGAAACCCGATCTTTTCTCATAAACTCGCGCTACAAATTAAAACGCTCCTCGCGCCGCCCCAATTAGGACCAACTCCAAAAACAACATGCCCGAAAACGCGTTGAAACTTGTAAATAATAATTAATACATATTAACGTTGACAGGACACAAACACACGCCTCGTGTATGTCTTGCATTCTTTTCATTCTTGTCTGTTTGCGTTCGCCGCCTTCCTTTTCGAACGCAATTATTCCTGCGGTGCTAGGCACAAAATGTTACAAGTGGACAGCATGAGACCGCAGATAGAAGAGACACACAAAGTCGTTTCGTGCGTAGGACTTGCCCCGCTGTCGGTGCTGTGGCCCCTTGAAATAAAAGCTGACCTTGGGCCAATTTATCTAAACACACCACACTGCGAACCACCTAACACCCACTCAGCGTTTCGGTCGAAAGTGATTTCGATTCAATACTCGCCGATATTTGTCAGCATAGTAAAATGTTACGCAGCAACTACATTTATAACGAGAACACGCAATCAAATCTTAAGTAACACATGTTTAATAAGAGACATCTGTCAACATATAGATCATGTGAATAGACCTCAAGATAGGTTAGGTGTAAGTTGCGTTGGGTAATATTGAAAGATGTTACAATACTGAATGAATATTGATGAATCATTCGTGTTTTCGCGCATATTATTAATTTCTTTGGTCATGATTTAACAAGTCAAAACTTGTGTGCAATGTGCTAATCAACAAAAATAAAAATTCATCGTATCGCAATGTGTCAATATAAATATATGCTGAGGCACTTACAAAAAAGTCCTTGGACGCTCTGCCGAACGTTCGGTGGTGTGTGCAATCTCAAGCCCCATACAACTGCACTCGAAAAACCAGTTCAACACAACAATCGCTTCTCCGGTTGATTGTAGTAAATTGCAGTAAAACGGAACGTTACGAATAAATCGAGCGCAAATATGCGCGATAATAAATCGTTTGCTATTTATAACTGTACGCGCACAGAACTGTTGGTATATTTACAGCCGGTTGTTTTCCGATGTAAGTCCTTTGGGAAGAAATTCGTTGAATAAATCGTTGGTGGTTTTCGCCGGTCACACACGGTCCCCGCGGACGCATCAACTTTTTGTCGGCGGATGCGTTTACGTTAGCCATGTAACGATGCAGCTGCGGCTTCTATCTTCGACGTCTTGCGACTGATGTCAGGTGAACTTTCGCGCGGTCGCGAACGCGAGTCAAACTTTGCCGACTGCTAAGAGACGAAGGCGAAGTACACTGGGCGACAGTTAAACGACGCAGCGAACTGAACGGAACCGAGTCAGTCACCTGAGCCGTGTCGAGACAAAAACTAGTTGCGACCTGTCTTAGATTAAAATATAGTGTATGTGTATGACTTAAGATAGTTTGCCAATCAGCCACCGCCGCCCGTCTGGCTGTGGTAAACGGTGTTGCGATGGCGCGTGATGTTGAATCCGCTGAGGTTCGCTCATTCACCGAATGAGTAAAATTCAAAATCTATCACTGCACCAGTGCAGGCTTTGCAAATTTGCAATTAAATACATTCTAACAAACTAGTCAAACATTACTCACAACACCCAGTGTACAAAATTTAGCAGACAAAGATAAAAAATCAAAATACAACAAAATAAACACAACTATATTGAAATAAATACGGCTGGTTAGATTGCCGTTGCGAAATATGTCGCATGCATGCCGTGTTGTCATACAAATCGAATAATTAGGAACGACAGATCAATGCAGCAGCTGGTGCCTGCAATTAATGTTCGATCGTACAATGTGTGCCGCTACTTGGCGATACGTTATAAGTTGCAGTCGACGTCAATCAATATTCTAATTGAAATTGCACTTACCATTACCACTCCTCGCGATCGCGAACATCTCAAGTGAAATGACTAAACTGTACTTTCAAGTTTTATTACTCAGTGCATACGAGTGTCCAATCAGCGCTAGCAATTCGTACGTGTTTCAAAGTCATGAACATGAACCGATGAAGTAGATGATGCAGAAACTCAGAGAAAGCAAACACTAATTAGAAAATTACAATAATTTGAGAAAATCACCATTGGCGCAAAGCAATTATTATAATTAGTTGTGATTTTTTTGTCTTTTTATATATGAAAATAATTTCAATATATGTTTATTTAAATTTAAGGGCATGGCAATAATTTATAAACAAATTAACTTTCAAAACACTGAACTTCTGCAAGTTTTACCTTGTAATATAGGCAATCCAATGTACTTTTTGATCAAGTTTTGTGCAGTTTGTACCCCACACAGCAGTTAAAACTAATAGAACTATTAAACAGCATTGTCATTTAATATTATTACAAGTACTACAAGTACTTGACCTGTAGTGAAACCAGACTAAACAATCAGGTAAGCAATATATGCTAGGTATTTCTGCGTTACTCGCGGTAGGTCACGTACGCCAAGTGCGCTTCTAACCTAATTGTTACTTCAGGCTATAGTTTTATTCCATAACTTTCCAAAAACTCATTGGGCATCCAAACATTTTTATTTTTACAACTTTTTATATATCAGTGAAAATGGGTAAATTAGAACTTGCTCAAACACTGTCCAAACACACTGGCAGAGTGTGGAATGTGGCGTGGCACCCCAAAGAGAATGCTTTTGCTTCCTGTGGAGAAGATAAAACTATAAGATTGTGGAAGAAAGACGGTGCCGGCTATGTGAACAAGGTTGTTCTCACCGATGGACACAAACGCACAATTCGTGAAATCGCCTGGTCGCCTTGTGGCAACTTCATTGCAGCTGCCAGTTTTGATGCAACCACATCAATTTGGGACAAGAGATCAGGTGAATTTGAATGTAACACAACACTTGAGGGACATGAGAATGAAGTGAAAAGTGTAACATGGTCAAAGAGTGGTCATCTACTTGCTACTTGCAGTAGGGACAGATCTGTTTGGGTTTGGGAGGTTGAAGAAGATGATGAGTATGAATGCAGTGCAGTATTGAATGCACACACACAGGATGTCAAAAAGGTACTCACCTAGCAGGAAAGAAATAGATGGCATAATAACTATTCTGTATTCAAGGTGATATTCCATCCAGAGAAAGAGATCCTGGCATCAGCTTCCTATGATTGTACCATAAAAATGTTCAAGGAAGATCCTTCAGACCATGATTGGATTTGTATTGGTACACTGGCATCCCATGATTCTACAGTGTGGTCAATCTCATTTGATAAAACTGGTGACCGGATAGCGTCCGCCAGTGATGACAAAACTGTGAAGATTTGGAAGGAGTATGCACCTGGTAATCCTGAGGGTGTGTCCACCACTGACAATGAAAGCACTTGGAAGTGTGTTTGTACTCTAGCTGGATACCATACAAGAACAATCTATGACATTCATTGGTGTAAAGTCACTGGGCTGATTGCCACTGCTTGTGGAGATGATGTAGTTAGGATCTTCAAGGAAGATGAAGGAAGTGATTCCAATGCTCCCACATTCAGTCTGGTATCCGATAATGAACGCGCACATTCTGAGGATGTTAATTGTGTTGCATGGCACCCAGAAGGACATGTATTGCTTAGTTGCAGTGATGATGGAGACATCAAAGTTTGGAAATATGTGGACTAAGAGTTTTGTAAAGAAAATATATGATTGGTCACTTGAAAATGACTAAATAAATGTTATATTTGTTTGTTATACTTGTTGGATGCCCAATTGAACAAAAAAAAATCGAAATATCCATGACTTTGCTTTGACTACGTTTTATTTTCAGATATTAATGTTTTTTCGGCGATTGTCAAAACACTTTTTGTCTGCCAACACCTCGAGCCGGGTGGCTCATCATTTGAAACGAGATTTTTCCGAAATCCCAGTAACACAAATCACAAAATCAAACATGGCTGAACACGGTTGTATGGGCAAAACCTTGGGAGTAATCATGCAGCGTTTGCAAGAGTTCGCACCACTGGCGTACGCCAGTAGTTGGGACAATGTTGGTCTATTAGTGGACCCAAACATCGACGCGCCGATTGATACCATCCTACTAACTAATGACCTCACCGAAGATATTGTAGAGGAAGCTAAATGCGCTAAAGCATCACTCATCATTTCTTATCATCCCAACATCTTTCAAGGTCTTAAATCGGTTGCAAAGAGGTAAAGTAGCGTTTCAATTCGAGTGGAGCTTAAATTAATCAAATTAATTATAAAGAACATGGAAAGAACGGATCGTAGTTGAATGCATCAAAAATGGAATTGCAGTGTTCTCCCCGCACACGTCTTGGGACGCCGTCAGTGGCGGAGTGAATGACTGGCTTGCAAGAAGTCTGCCTGTGAAGACATCAATGCCCATCCTGCAGCAAATACCAAATATGCCACATGTTGGGCCTGGTAGGTACGTCACGTTGAGTGAGCCAGTTTCCATCAAGATGGCGGTAGGTATGATAAAACAGCATATTGGCATTAAACATCTACGATTGGCTCTGGGCAGAAGGAAATCTGAAGGTAACTGTCACACTGACCATTTTTGAGAGTAATCGTATCACAAATTACATTTTTATTTAGAATCATTGCTGTTCACAATGGCACTCTGCGCTGGCTCTGGCAGTACGATTTTAAATGGAGTCGAAGCTGATTTGTTCCTAACCGGGGAAATGATGCATCATGACATTCTGGATGCAACTCAAAGAGGCATTAGTGTCATTCTGTGCAATCACAGTGATTCCGAGCGCGGTTTCCTTCATGAATTCCGCAGCACCCTGGAGAAAAAGATTCTCAAAGACGAAACCAGGGTTATTGTCTCAAAAATTGATAGGGACCCACTTGTAACTGTCTAAGATACATGCAAGTGCCACAGTGGTATCGAGACAGTAAACGGCAATGGAGAGGAAGTTAATTATTCGATTTTATTTGACTATATTACTTTTCTTAAATTGTTTGTAAACTTCCCAGAATAAATGTTGCCCGAATGCCTATTATCAAATTAAAGTTTTAATAAGCATACACTTAATTATTTAAAGTGCGCGTAATGTGTAGAAGCGTAAATAATATGTGCGTTGGAAGGGGGTAGGGTGGTAAAAATCAATTTTACGCTAGGGGGTAGCAAATACACGCCGGCAAACGGCACATGCGCGAGAATCACCTGATTGCGTGCCACTCTCCCCCAAAATGTGGAAATGGAATATACAAAAGGGATGTTTTGCGCCTTAAATATGCGTTTGTCGCCAGTCGATTCACCCCACGTTGTTCCGCGTTCATCATCGACGCATTAATATTGACGAAACCCAATCAAACCTCGACTGCTCGCGTGTGGCACGTAGAACGAACACGATTTCAATATTTCATCGCGGTGAGTGTGGGTGTGCGCGCTGCTTTTAAAGCATATCCGTAAAAAATTACGACCGACGTCGGGTCGTATGGCCTTTTCAAAATAGCCAGTGGTCGGCAATCGTATGATTAAGTTGCCGCGGCACGGACTCGAACAGCGGGACAGGCGGGACGGTATTGAATCGTAAAAACCATTGGATACGTTGGGTACCTGTATATTCGTGCGCGAAGAGGGGCCACAGCCGGTGTAAGCCGGTGAGGTATGGTAGAGGCAGGCGATCGGTCACATGACTCACAATACACGTGCAAATTTCGCCGCATCGAAATAGGTTAGCGGTTGGCGGCGAGCGTTTGTATTTTTTTGTTCCTCCTTTCGTCGTTTCATCCGCGCTCCCGGCCGGTAGTACCCAGCTCGTGCCATTTGAAAACGCGCTCAAGTCGGGTGCCGTCGACTCGTGAGCGAGGAAGCAACAAGTTAGGAGGCGGGAGAGGCAACAAATTTCGAGAGCAAACAAATTCAGCCGAGTAAGTCGTTTATTTCTAATTTACTTTACTTAAGTCACAGTAAACAAATGCTTACCGCACCGTTAGGGAATAGTGAAACTTTTCCATTCATTTTCACTTATTTTTTCAGCAAAACTAGGCACCTATTCAATTTTTCTTTGTTGTTATTAATGAAACACATTATAGTAGTCAATAGAAATATCGATTTTACACCTGCGCATTTCCCTTTATTATTTACTATTGTCGCTTTAAGATTTAATAGAAATACGTGACGAGTTTCGCAATCGATTGTAAATTCTATATTTAAATGTATAAAAGTAGAAAACATTCCATAAACTTTTGCAATCAGACAATTTTGAAACATTCAATGAAGTGAATACATTTTTTTAATATAAATTTTGCATATCACCTGTCCGCGCAATTATTATTTAATAAATGCAGTAAATGCTCATGTTATCTGTAACTGTTTTGATGATGGAACAATCGCCACATAGCACAATCAGCATAATTTATTATCGACATCCGATACACAGGCCCGGATGTGCTTTCAGTATAATATGTACATACACTGAATGAATTAATTGCCACGGACAAATTCATTTGTCGAATTTTAATTCTTTTGTAGTGCTATCCTGGTTTATTACTTCGTGATAAAAATAAATTAAACTCTCTCAACATGTAAATAAAAAAACTGAGTCGTAAATGTAATATTTTGAACGAAGATAAAATATTTACAAGCCACTCTGCTAGTTAAAAGTGTTAAGAGTTTAGAATGAATTGTTTGTTCTAATTCTTTGTTTAATGTTACATGACAGAAAATATATTGTGTTTACCACAGCGTGATATCATATTACAAAGATTACATGAAAGTATTGAGTCATTCACGTAGGTTGTTTTACCTACTTCAGTTGATAACGCGAAATTGTTCATAGCTTTTAGTACCTAATTTATTGCAATCTGCTGTTCGACAATAACTGCCTACAAATCGTGCCAATTTATTTATTGTTTTCGCATTTCTGTTATTTTAGATTTAAAAAAAATGAACTCAGACCTAGTTTTAAAGGATTTACCAAAGGGTTCGTTAGACGACTACAGAAAAACTGCTACATTCCGATGGAAGGATTTGAAATTGATTTTCGAAGATCCTGACATGTATAAATTAAAGGTAGTAACTGTTAAAAAAAAATCAAAATTTGTGTATGTTGTATAGAATGTATGTTTTTTTAGTTGCATGTATGGAATATCTTAGAAAATGATCCAATTTTCCGAAAATCCGACGTTGGGCTTACCACCGAAGAGCTCAAACATCGCACCGCATTACAATTCCAGCGATTCTGCAATATCTCATTCCTGCCTTCAAACACACTGGAAATGCCCTACAGGCAAAAAACGCGCCTTATAATGACAGTTAATGAGGCGCTGGCGGTTTGCTACCCTGATGTGTCGATAAAATACGCTGTCGGGGTAAGTTTGTTCACCAACGCGCTCATGTCCCTTGGGACGGAGCGACATCGTAAAATATTTGACGCCGTCTGGAATCGTAAAGTGCTTTCGTGCTTGGCGCTGACGGAAGTCGCGCATGGTAGTAATACAAAACAGATGCGCACCACGGCCACCTACGATCCAAAAACGCAGGAGTTCATCATCGACACACCAGACTTTGAGGCAGCCAAATGTTGGGTGGGGAATTTGGGAAAGACGTGTACGCTGGCCCTGTTGTTTGCGCAGCTGTACACTAAGGACGGTTGTCAAGGTTTGCATGCGTTTGTTGTACCGATTCGAGACCCGAAAACATTGATGCCGTATCCCGGTGCCATTGTTGGGGACATTGGTGATAAAGTTGGATTGAATGGCATTGATAATGGGTATGATGATCATTTGGCATTGATTTTTAGTTTATCTTAATTGGATGGGTGTGTTCTAGGTTTATCATGTTTAAAAACTATAGAATACCCAGGGTAAACCTATTGAATAGAACCGGCGATGTGTCACCTTCCGGCGAATACGAAAGCAGTATTTCCGAACCTGGGAAAGTCCTCGGTGCGGCTTTAGAATGTTTGTCTACAGGCCGTGTTGGAATTATGCAGGAGAGCATTAATAATCTCATTTGTGCGATTACGATTTCCACGCGCTACGCAGCCGTACGCAAGCAATTCGGAACAGAGGGCACTGAAACGTCTATAATCGAATATCCACTTCACGTAAGACTCAAAAGCTGATTTAGACATATTGAATGCTTTCATAGGTTGAGCTGTTATGATATTCTAGCAATGGAGATTATTTCCGTACGTTGCGGCTACGGCGGTGTTTAAATTATTCATCAATGCGTTTACATCGGACTATCTAAATGCCGTTGACCAGTCAAACAATTCCACAGTCCGAATTGATAGTTTGGTAAGCCATTCCATTGCAAATATTGATCATGTCTAAATTAATTGTGATTGCAGAGCGACTTGGTATCTGAAATTCACGCAATAATATCGGCTGAAAAGCCAACCATCACGCGAACGACACTCAAAGCAATTCAGGAAAGCAGAGAAGCGTGTGGAGGTCACGGTTACTTAAAGGCGGCTCGCTTGGGCGACCTGCGTAACATTCAGGATCCTTCACTGACCTATGAAGGGGACAACAATGTGCTCGTTCAGCAAACCAGTAATTGGCTTCTCCGGCAATGGTCAAGCGTCAATAAAGAATTTCGAGTGGCCAGTCCTCTGGATACTTGTTCTTTCTTGACGGAGCATAAATCAATTCTAGCCCGGTCGGTTCAAATTTCGGGCATTCAAGATGTACTTAATAGGAATTGTATGTTCAGACCTTATTTGATTTCTTAAAGTGCCAAATTAACCAACATTGATTTTATTTGCAGTTATAAAGAATTGTTTTGAATGGTTAATAACGTATCTTTTAAGCAAAACAGCGGAAGAACAATCTCTCTTGATCAAAAATGGTACAATCAACAAACTATGATTGAACTATGAAGTAATTGAAATTTGGTATTTATTTTAGGTGATAGTAATTTTGAGGCAAGAAACAAAACTCAAGTTTATAAGTGTGCGCTTATCTCTCGTGCGTATAGTGAACTAGTTGCGTTGAAATATTTCTGGATGGCTGCTGATCGTCTTGCGAACAACAGAGAATTGAAGACGGTTCTTGATAAATTGGGAGTACTGTACGGCCTTTCATGCTTGGATCAGCATTTGATTTACTTTTATGAGGGAGGATATGCAAGAGATAAATCATTAGCGAAAATGGTCAAAGATGGTGTTCTGCAAATGTGCACAACACTTAAACCCGATATTATCGGTGTTGTTGATGCGTTAGCACCACCAGATTTTGTAGTTAATTCAGTATTGGGAAATGCTGATGGTGAGGTAGGTCTTGATTTCGATATAACAGTCAGAATTTAGTGTTTTAATCAAATATGTCTCTAGGTTTACAAAAACTTAGAACAAGAATTCTTCAACAATCCAGGCGCCATGTCACGACCACATTGGTGGCACGAAATCATTGTTCGGGACGCACCAGATCTAAAGCTTTTATCAAAATTGTGAATCTCAATCAATTGTGAAGTCTATTTATATAATGAAACAGGAGATATAAATAACATCTTATTTTACTATGCTGGATGTTTTTAAATGTATTAAGGAAAATATTAAAAGCATTAAAAGAAATATAAACATAAAACCTTGTAATTTTTTAATGCACGTTTTGTGCTTTGTCTATAAAACATTTATTCCTAACTGATGTTTGTTGGATTTAATACAAATAAATACATCTCAGCGTCACCCGGGGGCGAATTGTAGAGTGGCTATTCAGAAATGCTACTTATGTAGAACGGGTGTCACATACATGCCTCGTGAATTTATCCGTGTCCATGCGAACACGGGTGCCTCAGCCGTTTCATTGCAGGTAAATTCACTGTTGCATGTGCACGCTCACTCATTCAGACAAACACTGCGCTAGTTGTGAACAAACAGCTTTATAAGATGTACCCTGCTGAACCTGCTAAATCAATACTGGATGGCGCTAGAATGCACTTTTCTGCTAAAAATATTTTACTTCGGTGTACACGCGTTTGCTTGAGTTCACACCGGTTTTTTGTTATCAGCTTTGATAAACCCGAGCAGGTAGAAACACACAAAACAGAGATATAAACATACAATTCACGCCTCGTGTTTCTGCAAAACGAAATGTAAATAAACAAACAGTTTTATCTATTTGTATCTCTTCCACATTCTAGATGATTCATAGATGGCATACGAATGCACTTTTCATCTCAAAATATTCCGTCAGCAAGAAATTACTATCGTTGGATTATTTTTAGTTTTTAAAAGTCAATAACATTGCAAATAACGCTTCACGTTGTAGACATAATGGCGTTTTTAAAACTGCAAATTCTTGCATATTTTTGTTACTTTGTACATGAATTTATTCGTTATAAACGTTTTACACAAGTTGTCGAGTGCGGTAAAATTCGTTGTATTCCGCTGCGTACTACTTTTTAAATAATTAATTTATAGTAGATCTAGATTGTTTCACGTACTGCGAATATGTCAAGTGTTTAAATTTTGCAAACGTTGCCGCACAAAGTGGCACCGACGATTATAATATTCATAGTTAGATCCATCTCCGCCATTTCCTGAAATAGATTGGATACATTAAACAGCAAACTGTTATAACGTTTTGGCAAATAACTAATGAAAGAATGTATATACGAAGATTCAATTCACTGTGTGTGCACAGCACAATTTGAAGACAAACGTTTGCTCTGTGTTCATTGCCAAGTGCCGCATAAACGGACAAAGATAAGTGAAGTAAATGGCATTGAAAATACTCAATAGCGTCCGAGATGCAAATGAGACGTATGGAGTATGTTCAAAACATTTTTAAATAAACAAATATTTTAACGCTGTAAGACGAGTATTTTTGAAACATTCATACCGGCGTTCTCCAAAAATCGCTCCAAGAGAGTATTCAAGTCCCGCAGTCTTTGGGCGCGTGCTGTATGAAACGCACCCGGTGCAGACTAGAATAGAAAAGAAAACTAAACCAACTTAAATTTAAACGAATATAACGACTTGAATCACGTTGTCAATTTACATTCGGATTAATCATCTCGTTTTGCGCATCGTCAACCGCCAGATTGCGGACGTTTAATTCTTGCGGCGAGAGACGAATCATTTCGACGAATATGATTGCAACACGCCGCCAATTCAGCATATGTTCTGACTGAAACTTAAAATCGTATTAGATACATAATGCCGCCTCTGGCTTCATCGAAGCAAAAGTTAAACATAAGCAACTACGAAGCAATTGAAATTTAATTGCGCATTCTCGTTGCGACTAATTGTTCGATTTTAATTCTGCGAACTTGACAAAAACAAATGCGCAACAGTAATTGCATATTAGTTTTGCGCATGTGACATTTTCTGCATGTCGTTGACTCTTTGCCAGACAGCACATGTGGACAGCAACAGAACGTTATTTCTTATTGAAAAAAATGCAATCAAGCAATTGTGTTTGATGTTGCAAGCACTAGTCGGTTGCAAACTGCAATTTTGTAAAATTAATAAGTAGGTTATTGTTTAATTATACCCGGAGATTAAAAAATATTGGCATCATGTAGATTGGAACTGTAGAACCGGACAACTCGTCTGTAGGCGTATATTTCAGTACATGGTTCAGTAAATCCAAAATACATTGCAGTAATATCATTTGTCGTCCTTTAATTTCATCTTCCAACAATCCCAATACATCTCGTGCAACTACTTCTGGTGGCACGCTTTTATTATCAGGGTCTATTTAAAAATACATTCGATTAAAACATATTTAATTAAAAATACAACTTACCTAGCACGAGCGATTGGATTGAAGGTGGCACTAGAGGTTTCTTCAAATAAATCAAAAAGTACATCAATCCACTGGCGATATCTCGTGCGGAACATTCTTCCAGAATCTGTACGAGATTTGAGCCCCACGATTTAGTTCTTTCGCGATTTGCTGTGCACGTACATCGTGTCCCGTGGCTCGAAAGATGTCTCGTTGTAATACATCTAAAATTAAAACTTATTTATGCTTAAAACTTACAATTTCATCAAGTTTTGAAAACCAAACCTTCTTTTAAGTATTCAATGACCATCCGCACTGCAAGCAATGATTTTTCCGATATGTATTCCTTCTTTGAAAAGCGCATGCCAAATCTGCAATCAAGTTTCATAATCAATAATATCAATAATTGAATATTTGCCGTTACCAATCACGTACTACATACCATACACATGTTATGTTATACAACAAACTTAAATAACAATAATATTTGTTTAATTAATAGATATAAAAGGCGCCACGTTAACAATATTTTATTATATTTGATACTCGTGCATCCGTCAAGATGAACGTTCTCCGCAGTTCCACGTACATTAGTTTTGCTCTGGTTAGTTTTTTCTTTGAAATTGAAAGTCATTCGATAAGAAAGCCGGATTTGAGTGCTTACTACAATGCACAGTGTCCAGCGAAAGAAGAACACTCGCGCCATACACGAGATATTCATGTTGTACACGAAGCTGATCTTCATCCTTGTTACTGCGAGTCTAGAGATGTTTTCCTACATCCAAGATTTGCCCACACCGATGAAGAGTACGCGCAAATGCCAGAAGAAACTGTCTATGATTATCTTGGCCCGCACGAGGATGTAGAACATATTATAATTGAACAAACACCAGTTCAAGTGAGAGATATAGAATATCATACCGTGGATGAACCGGCTCGTATTGAACAAGTTCCAGTAGAGAAAAGTGAAGTGACGCCAGAATCTCATGATATCTATGGAAAGGAAATTGACGAATTTATTAAATCTGCGGATGCTGGTAAACAAATCAATGGAGATTTCGTCTTTCCCGATGATTCTGAATCTGAAGAACACGTTAGTCAAGGTCGTCCACCAATGACTTGGGATATGTACAGTATGGAGAAGGAAAAGTCCACCTGTGTAGAAGAATCTAACGACATGCATAATATGGAATTACATGAAATTGATTTGAGACCAATTAAAACCGACAAAAATAACGAAATCAAGAAAATTGTGCAAAGCAAGACAGAGGATAGCTCTGAAAAGAAGACGAATGCCGCCGATAGTAATTTGATAGCCAAGAAAGAAGAAAAATATGATATAAAGAAGCAAGATGCAATTAAACACGATAAATCGACACATATTCAGAAAATTAAAGCTGAGTCTAACAAAAAAATAACAAAACATTTGCCCACGCACGAACACTCACACGAATATGGTGATAAAAAAGAAAACGTATCTGTAATAAAAACAAACACAAATAATACGATTACGGAAAATATTAAAGAGATTCCCAAACATGAAAAAACTATGAAGAAGTTCAAGAAGTTAAGGATAAGCAGCATCAAGATGAGAAAGAAAAGCACCACGATGAGCAACCAAAACACACAAAAGAGGTAAAAAAGAAGAAAAACCGCAAGTAAAGATTGATACTAGAGTTGGCGAAGATGCAATTGAAGTAGAAGATAAAGCAATCGCGCCGCCAAAAAACGGGAAACTACCTTTAGGAAAAAATGGCGCCTTGTTTTCATCCTCTTTATTGTGACTGCTACAAAATTCATAATTTGCCTCACAGCATACTACAAACTAAGAAAAAATAGATGATTTGTAATTTTGTACCAGAACTTTAATAAAGTGAATTAAATTATTGAATATGTTTGCATTTAATTTTTGAAGTCAAATTAGTAAATTGTATTTAGCTTGCAGTTTATATTTGGTAGGTATTATAATCGTCGAATGATTAAAACGCAATTCAGCACTATTCAATAATATAAAAGCAGTGACTGGTCACACCGTAATCATTCGCTCGTCCAATTCGAATCTACACAGTACCAACATGCGAGTCTTTGTCGTACTCTGCCTGGCCGTTGCCGCCGCCAACGCCGCCTCCACATCTTTGGCAATTGCTAAAGATGCCGACGTTGCACGTGCCAAGAAATCTGCGACGACAACGTTCTGCGTAGAGATCCGACCAAGCGACCCGTACCACAAGCCCTACACAGTTTGCGAAAGCAACGGAGAGAAATACACCGCACCTGCCGCTACTGGTTACGCCGCTGCCCCAGCTTATGGCGCTCAGTCGACATACAACGCCCCAGCTCAAGGTTACGGCAGCCAGCCGTCCAGCTACAACGCACCGAAGGCCGAGTACTCTGCACCAGCCTCTTCCGGCGGTTATAGTGCCCCAGCTGCTGCTCCAGCTTACAGCGCCCCGAAGACCACCTACTCCGCTCCGGCTAAGAGTTACTCTGCCCCCGCTTCATCGGCAGCTGCCACCTCAGGCTCCTCCCCAGCCAGCTATTCTAGCGACTCGTCTTCCTCGACCTACAGCGCTCCCAGCAGCCCTGCTTACTCTGCACCTCAGAAATCTTACTCTGCACCGGCTACTTCTTACTCTGCCCCTGCTCAGTCTGCTGGATACAGCGCTGCTGCTCATGGTCCTTCTCACTCTGCCGCTTACCGCGAAGACGAAAACGAAATCGAAGATGATGATCATCCAGTCGGCGCTCCCATCATGGCTGAGGAACACGAAGAAGAAGAAGAAGAGATGCACGATGAAGGCAAAATGAGGACTCATGGTGGTGGATACGATGGTGGATACGGTAAGTTTTTCATTTGTCAGTAAACGTACAGGAGAATAATACACATAAAATTTGACTTTGTCAGGGCATGGTAAGAAACACGGAGGTGACTACGGCTACGGTGGACACGGTCTTGTTGTCAGCTGCCAACCAACCCTCGGCGGATACGCACACATTGGTCACGGATATGGTGATCATGGTCACGGTGGTTACGGACACGGCGGTTACGGACACGGAGGTTACGGACATGGTGGTTACGGACATGGCGGTCATGGCGGATATGGCGGTTACCGCAACGCTTACTCTAGCCCGAAAACTTACAAGAAGACCATGGGTTACGGCGCTCCAATGTCTGGCTACGGATATGGTCCAGAACCATCCTACGGCGGCTCTGATCAATCATACTCTGCTCCATCAAACTACGGTGGTTCTTCATATTCTGGATCTTCCAAGGGTTATTCAGCGCCTTCCAAGGGCTATTCTGCCCCATCCAAGGGATATTCTGCACCATCCAAGGGTTACTCTGCACCATCCAAGGGCTACTCTGCACCTTCCAAGGGATACTCGGCACCTTCAAAGGGATATTCTGCGCCATCCAAGGGATACTCCGCTCCATCCAAGGGTTACTCAGCACCTGCTGGAGGTTATTCTGCACCTACTGCATCATACTCTGCACCAGCTTCATCTTACTCCGCCCCAGCATCGTCTTACTCCGCACCATCATCCTCTTACTCTGCCCCAGCCTCATCTTACTCTGCCCCAGCTCCAGCATACTCTGCTCCAGCGTCGTCTTACTCTGCACCAGCGGCATCCTACTCCGCACCAGCTGCATCTTACTCTGAAGGGTCATCATCGTACGCTGCCCCAGCGCCAGCATACTCCGCAGGATCGTCATACTCTGCACCAGCTGCTTCAAGCTACTCGGAGCCCTCATACTCCGCCCCTGCTGCTCCTGCTTACCAGGAATCATCGTCGTACTCTGCACCTTCCTACTCAGAATCGTCTTCGTATTCCGCCCCAGCTGCCCCCGCATACTCTGCACCAGCTGCCCCAGCATACTCTGCACCAGCATCGTCTTACTCAGCTCCCGCCGCTACCTACTCTGCACCAGCCGCTCCAGCTTATTCCGAATCATCATCATATGGTGGTTCTTCTTATGCTGCTCCAGCTGCTCCAGCCTACTCCGAGTCTTCTTCATACGGTGGTTCGTCGTACTCTGCTCCAGCTGCCCCAGCCTACTCCGCACCAGCTGCCACCTACTCTGCACCAGCTGCCACCTACTCTGCACCAGCTGCCACCTACTCTGCCCCAGCTTCATATTCTGCACCAGCCACATACTCTGCACCAGCTCCGGCTTACTCTGCCCCAGCCTCATCATATTCTGCCCCAGCTGCATCATACTCTGCACCAGCGGCGCCCGCCTACTCTGCTCCAGCAGCCACCTATTCTGCCCCAGCAGCAACTTACTCTGCCCCTGCCCCAGCGTACTCTGCACCAGCTGCCCCAGCCTACTCCGAATCGTCTTCCTATGGTGGTTCGTCTTCGTCTTACTCTGCACCAGCTGCAACATACTCAGCCCCCGCCCCGCCTACTCTGCACCAGCTGCCCCAGCCTACTCCGAATCATCTTCCTATGGTGGTTCGTCTTACTCTGCACCAGCTGCCACTTACTCAGCCCCTGCCCCAGCATACTCTGCCCCTGCCGCGCCAGCTTACAGCGAATCTTCTTCCTACTCTGCTCCATCTTCGGACTACTCCGACTCATCGTATTCGGCACCAGCCCAGAAATACACCTCAGCTTCTTCGTACTCCGCCCCAGCTGCTCCAGCCTACAGCGCCCCAGCAGCCGCTCCAGCATACTCTGCCCCAGCTGCCCCAGCCTACTCTGGATCATCTTCAAGCTACTCCGCGCCAGCTCCATCAAAGTACAACGCACCAGCTTATTCCGCACCTGCTTCTTCTAGCTACTCTGCTCCTTCATACAACCAAGGAGGCTACAGGGCCGCCACTGAAGACATGAAGCCCGAAGAGAAACAAATCTTGGACACCGCTGCCGAGAAAGACGAGAAAAAACCTGAAGATGTTGCCATGACTAAATCCATGGATGACAAAGAAGAACACACCCTGCAACAGATGCAACAGATTGCCGAATCTGCCAGGTCCAGCGGTGGCTGGAAGAGCGCTGACGCCGATGACAAGAAAGACAAGAAAGACCTTTCCGGTGGATGGGCGGCCGAAAACTAAATCTTAAATATTTGAGAATGTAAACAGGGAATTTTATTTATATGAATGATTTAAAATCATTTCAATGTAGGTATTGTAGTAGTGTAAACTTCATTTTGTATTTTTGTATATTTTGAGCGAGCAAATATAAAACATTACGATGTTTTTGAAAAATAACTACTTTAATTTTCTGCATTTTAATAGTAGACTTTTCAGGCTGAAATATAAAAAAAAATAAAATCAACTTACGTTTTTGTGCCACAATTTCCCATTGTCAATACACAATCAACGGGCTTATCATCATTGATGTACCTAAAAGATGGTCACATAAAATTTACACTAAAATTTCGATGAACTTATGACATGTTTCTACTGATTTGATTAGACTGTCAATATGACATTTAATCTCACATTTATACTTATACAAGTCACACATTACTTTTGAAACATTGTTTACTTTAAATTATTTATGACCACAACGTGACGGTTGAATCGCGGTTTTGCGGTTTTTGTTTGAGTTGCGTCACTCAGTCATACAGAAAGTTGTGCTGGAGATTTGTTTAAAATTCAACATCATCATTCTCCCAACGTTAGTTTGATTTGAACGCTGGTAACGTAAAAATCTAGCAATCAAGATCTACAAATTACGATGGCATCAAAAGAATATAAAGAATCCGCAAAAACGTCTGAAGGTCCTTCAAACAAACCAGACAATATCGTCTTTATGGACGATAATAACATACAAGCAATAGCCAACAAACCAGAACCGAAAGAAGACGCAAAGAACGAAGTCAAACTGACGCCTAGAGTACTCATTGACACACCAATAAACGTCGATGTGGACGTTAACGGAGATCCGGTAGTAGTATTCGACTAATTCAAAGCAATATGTAAGTTAATTTTATGTTTGAATTTAAATTACCTATTCAGTATCAACATTATATTATTTTGGCATTGTTTCATGAAAGTTTTAATATTTAGTTTGTTGATAATACTCTATGTTATTTTTGTTGTTTTAAACAAATAATCATGTAGTGCCAGGATTGTTGCTAAAACGCAAAATCCAAAATTGGTTGTTTATTTACGCTAGAAATAAACTTTCTGCGCATAGGTAAATGCAAAACATTTCGCGCACTGTAATTAGCGTGCGTTTCGTGCAATTACAAGCACAAAAGTAGAATGAAAGGTTCATTAAAACGAGTAAGTCAATGTGACGAAGATATATGCGAGCAGTACATATCAATGAGAGGCGAGTAGGTGAAAGAAATCAGATTTATTATTCAATTCGAGTCGACACATTGTTATAGTTGACATGTTGGCATCGCACAAGACGAAACGTCGTTTTGAACGACGTTTGTGCGCTGTTTTTCGGTGTGTGCATTGTAATCGTGCTCGTCGGTGTCGTGAAGTTGATAAACAAGTGGAAGTTTAACATGAAAACGACCGCCCCTTTCAAAGTTAATCATCGCATAACGAGCGGATGCTGCCTCGTTTAAATTGAAGCGGTTAGTGAGGCAATTGTCGTCGGGATCAGGCTTGAGAAAAACAACACCGCGGATTTGTGTCGGGAACAAAAGCCATTTATGAAAGCAACGTGAATGCGTTCACGTCTTTGCTAAAATGAAATACAAAGTGCTTGTGGTTGTTGTGTGTGCTGTACTCTTGCAGCAATGTGTTGAGTGCAAACGCTCTGGTGGACGAAGCAGAGGTTCGAGTAGTCGTGGTTCCACTGGTCTGTGGGGTAATAATAACAAGAAAAAATCAGAATCTGGTAATGGCGCTGCTGCAAAACCTGCAACAAATGCTGATTTGGTCGCATTGAGTTATCCAAAACAAACTGGATCGTTACCAGCAGCCAAACCTAAGCCAAGTGCACCAAAATTGGAAACTCAAAAGGTTCAGAAGCCAGTTTCGAACATAGCACCAGCAAATCAAAATAAACCTGCTGTTGCATCAGCACCCGCAAGTAATGCGCAATCAAATCAACAAAGACCTATCGGATGGGATGTACCAAAACAACCAGGTCAAGGGCAACTGCAGACAAAATCTGTGGCAACGAATCAACAAAGTGCTGGAGGTCCACCTGCTTATGCTGCTCAACCAGGGCATGTACAAGGTGCTCCTCCACCATATAGTGCCGGAAGCTATGGTCAAGGTGCACCTCCTGCCTATAATCCAGGCAGTTATGGTCAACATTATCCCCAAGGTGCACCTCCCGCATATACTCCAAATGGATATCATCAAGCTCCACCACCAGCATATAGTGCAGGTGGTTACGGTGGTTACGGCCAACCTGCACACGGAAGTTATGGACACGCAGCTCCAAATTACGGACAAGGTTATAATCCACATCAACCTTATTCTGGAGTACACCCTGGTCAGTATAATCAAATGGGGGGAATGCAACATGGTGGTGGTGGTGGAATGTTTGGCGGTTCTCCTTTTGGTGGTGGGTATAAATCTGGATATGGTGGGTACGGCATGGGTGGTTACGGGGGTTATGGCGGAATGATGGGGCCTAAAAGAAGTTTTGGTTCCGGTTTTGCTAGTACTGCATTCACGAGTATAGCAACTGGTTTACTCGTATGGAGTTTAATGCGCGGAGGTCGTTCACAACACTACAACGTATACAATCATTACAATAACCCGGAAGCGGTGCCCCAGGAATTAACACTACCCGCAAATGTTATCACGCTTTGTTCAGAAAATGTAACACTACTTTGTGCACCTAATACGGTGCCGCTGTGCACAGCAAATGAAACCATTTTATGTGCGGTTACTGCTTCAGCAACTGTCCCATGCGTTGATAATGTCGGGGCGTCTTGTGTTGATACATCACTTCCTTGTACGGAAAATTGTGATGGAGAAAAAGAGGATCCTCCGTTAGCATTGCCATGTATTGCCAATGCAACAGTGAGTGGTCAAGTCAATCTAGGAAACTCTGATATGAGTATGAGTCTGTTTAAACAAACGCCACAAAATACTGATACTGTATTGTGTGTTACCACCATGGCAATGCCTTCTCCTGAAGAAGATAAAGCTGCTGAAGCTGCAATGCAAGCAACCGCGTCTCCGCAAATACCGCTAATACCAAATGCTCCTAATCCACCTCCAATTGATAGCACTTCTGATTTACCAACTACCAGGTAAAAACCAATATTCCCAATAGCCTTGGTTAGTCATTAACAAAATAATGTATTTGTGAACATATTATACAACTATAATGCAGTTAGAGTGTTTTATTTGCACCTGAAATTAATGTTAATAACTTCAATTATATCTATAATTAAGATAATATTGTAATTGTTACAGGTAAATCCAGAAGAAAAAAACGATCGGCCGATCTTCACTCGGTAATTCAGACGGTTTTAAGTGTTGGTAACGTCATAAGTATATTTATGGATTTATTTAATAGTGTTAGTAGATTTTTAACATTTATGAGAGAAATTAGTAGCTACTTTGACACGTAACCTATGGTAATTTAGTTTTAATGTATAGTTCTTAGAAAAATGAGTAATAAATGCATCGATAAACATTGACTTTTGCTTTTATTTGCGTTTCTCGTTTAAAAGTTACCGTTGTATAATCTTGATGGCAGTAGTGATGGAAGTCTACGTTACGGTAAGGATTCAAGGAAAAATATAACTAAAAAATAGTATTTGTTTATCAAATTTTGTACGATTATCATAAATAGATAAAAACATTTTATTTTTATCTTATTGTATGTCAAAATATTTAAAAAAATATTCTTTTTATTATAATTTTAAGTAAGTTGTAAGCTGTTAGTAAGTAAAATGTGGGTATATTTCCTTAAAAATAATCATAACTAAAATTTGCGTGGCAAATAAATAAATCTATAATTAAATTACGATGAAAATCTCAGCAATAATAATTTCGATGTACGCAATCCAAATTTATGATTTTCATATCATGGCTCCCAATGCAAATATTTCAACGACACACCGTACAAACGAATAATTAATGAGGTGCCGAGGAGATAATCTCGTTGTTCGGATTATATACGAGCGCACAACGCACGACAAAACATTTCCATTGAGATATCACGCTGGTGCGTTTTGTTCCACGCTCGTTCGGTTTGCTCGGTCGGTCACACATCGTGGAGATTGTTACATGAGCGTGGAACATCCGAACATGGTAGCGTAATGTTTGTGCAAGGTGTTGACAACGGTAGCCAATGAAATCGTGTAATACGAAAAGTAAACGTTCGTAGGTAGTGAGATTAAATAAAATTAAACGAGCGTCCGTCGACACCACACGTTCTGAAAGTGAAAATTTGTCCTATATTCTCGTATACGATTCGTTTTTGCGTTTATCAACGTGCGGTAGCAGCGATTGCACTCGATCAACTGAACATCAACCACATCGAATTTATCCGGCGCTCTCGCTCAACTTTAGCGATGTATGGATTAGTGCAAGGTATACGCCGCGCGCAAACGTGCGATATGTTATTTAAATAGATCGCATTTTAAATAAACCGCGTGGAAATCGTAAACGAGCGCGAACAGTGAGCTTGTGCGGATGGGGAACGCGGTGTGGGTGCACGCGATGCGCTAAGGAGACAAAAAATGCGCCAACAGCGAGCACGACGTGCACACGCTGAATAGGGGAAACTGTTTGTTGTGACGTTCCCGTATAAATGTTTGGATAAATGGATAGACGGATAGAGAGCAGTCGGTTGGTGTTGTGCAAAGGATTCATTAGATTAGTGCGCGCGAAGTGTACGCACGGAAATCCGCCGAAAGTGTTCAGTGCGTTGCAAATTAATCGATTTTCGGATTTTGGCACTAATCTCATCAACGATCCGACAAATGCCAGTATGCAGTTCTAGTGCCGCGCGTGATAGTCTCAATGAACAATGTTTAAAATACTCGTTGTCATTTACTTCCTACTTGTTATTTCAACAAAAGCCAAAAGAGAAAAAAGTAAGTTGAATAAAAAAATTAACATGAAACAAAAAATAAACATCACTTCTTCTTTTAGGGGATGAAATATACCCCTCGGAAGTTGGAGAAGGCTTTCCTGTAAAGCTGCTAAATTATAAACCTGGTGATGAGGTTTTCATGAAATGTAAAGACCACGACGCGACAAGCAACATGCACGAACACAGATGGAAATTTTTTGTAAGTAAACATGTATAATCTCTGAATTCACCAGGGAATCATGGTTGTATTACGCGTAGAGATAAGATTTTATCTTGACAGACGTTGTTGTACTTCGGATTAAATGCTACTGTGTTCTCGAATTATTATAAAAATCTGTTTAATCGCTGGCTATTGATAGGATTCTTATCAAATTTAATCAATTCGACAAGTATTTGTATTGTAAAACAGAAATACACGCAAAGGTATTGAGGTAACATTGGAAGACATTTTAAGTATGTAGTTAAAGGAAAATTTATTAAATAAATATGCGTTTAAAAATAGTCCGTTTAAACATCGGACGTTAAGACACGATCCTAATATTTGCTCTATAACTTTCCGATATCACAATAAACAGATCGCGCTTAATACACGCACGCAGTGCGTACATTTTATTTCACACATACAAATTAATTACTAAACTTAGTACCTATATGTAGTTTAAATCTTAAACAGTTATGTTTGTTATTTTTTCATTTTGGCGCATTCAAAATATACCAATTTTCGTGGTTTTTATTTTTCAGCCTTGCGATGATTGCAATAAAATGAAAGCAACACATATTGAATGGAGACTTCTTCCGCAACACAAGAAACGTTTACATTTTAAATCAGTATCACCTGCTGATAGTGGTAGATATCTATGCACAGTGAACGATAATACAATTGCTTCATATCAGCTCAAAGTGTCTCGAACGCAAAACTTAAACCAAGAATACAAATTCATCGGCCGTGCGCCTGAAATCGTTGACATTGAGAAAAACGATGATATCAGACCGAATGGTATTGTTGCGGTAAAATGTAAGATCATTAGCCCTATAGCACCACGTATTTGGTGGTTGAAGCAATGCGAAGAGGCCCAAAAGTGTGACCTGAACTACGACGGCAAATTCTACTATAAGATCAACGTCACCTACGACATGCAGCGGGAGGAGAACGTCTACGTGAGCAAATTGCATTTGCGCAATTTCACGCATCGTGACGACGGGCTGTACGTATGCGTAACGATGACCGAACTGGGAAAAGACTATCGAACGTTCACTCTTACTTTGCCACCCTCGGTGGCCGACGACGAGGGTGAGCGGCAAACGAGCAATCTTAGCTATTTGTTCCTCGTACCAATCGCTTTTATTTTAATACCAATTTGTATCGATTGTCTGGGCAAACGCATTGGGATTAAAAAAAGTAAACAGGAAGTTATGCTTCTTGAAGTTGTTACACCAACAACTCCAAGGATTTATAACAGTTGATAAAATGTAATGTTGCATTGTACATATATTTAGATTAATGGCTGTGATTATTAAATTTATTATTTTTACTGACTATTTTATTTAAAAATATATTGTACCAAGTTTATTTTCTAGTCAATCAAATTGTATTGCTGAGTGTCATCTTTCCGCAATCTGTCATAAGCTTCCAAAAGGGTATTAAGCTAATTACGAGGGTAAGAAAAGACCGAATCTAATGTAATTGATAGAAAGTTAGAAATCACTGATGTAGAAGGTGTTGAAAATCTCCTAAATATCCTAAAGTCGTCATTTGTTAAAAACTACGTGGGTGGTGACGTAAAACATATTTTCAAGTTTTAGGAAGTAGTTTTACTATAAAATTTTATTTCAACCCTAAAATTTAGTTTAGTGGTTTGCATGAATAAAAATTTACCTTTAATAGTAATTAAGTACTTCCTTATCTTTTTTATAACTACATAAAAACTTTTTCTTTTTCCTTTAACAACTAATCGTTGTTGGAAATCTCGTCCTATTCTTTTTTGTACCCTTTTCTTTAATCGTAAGGTGGATCAAATGAACTGAAGTACGAAAACGACCTAATTCTTTAACGCATGATATAATTCACACAAGCCGATCCCAATCTACTATTATTATCAACCCAATGAATCGATAATTTCAACAGCTTTATATTCATACCAGAGAATAGTTTTCGAACCCAACGAATTCTAATGACAAACACGACAGGTCATAATCGATAAGATATTTTCAGACATGATTGAATTCATTTCGATCTAGTCAATTCTCGGAGTGATTTTTTCTGCAGATGTAAACTTATACAAAAACATCTCCAACCCCTCTTATACCACCTTCTACTTCACGCGCATTGTTCGCAACTTGGGACAGTCAATTTTTGATGTGTTAGGCGGACGGCGTCCGAGTGCTTTGGAGTTAATGTAAAATAGCAATATGGTATAATAATAGACCAATATGCTCAAAGGCATTCACAAAATAACAACAAAACGTCAAAATTTGTGACTTAATGGCCGTGAAATGAACTCTAAATGGTCATGAAACGAGTCCAGTCACACGCATCCCTATTCTTATTTATTTCTCAGCCGAAATAGCGTGAGTGTGAAGCACAATTATTCTAGGACCGGTGCGCTCTTCACAATCTTCACAATTTGCACCTATAAACTTCACAAAAGCCGCCGACACACAATAGCAAACGAATTGTATTCCAAAACGACTTAAAATTGAAGACGTAAACAAAATTCTTCATCAATCATTCGTACGAAAATTTCATTTTATTTTATACTCAATTTGATTGTTATAAAATATTTCTTGGCAGTGCGTATTTTACCATAGCTTGACATCCAGACTGCTCATGTTCCTCCTCGCAGTTCGTCCTCTTCAACACGCATGCCCCGAAGTAGTTCGTAGCGAACCGTTCCGCACATGGACACTTATAATTGCAAACTACGGTATAGTTAACGCTGACAGGATCTCGCGGTCGTACCAGCACGTTAATGCACTCAGAGTGTTGCTTCTGGATGAGCCTGAGTATATTAAACAGGGCGCTGCCGAACGTATTCGTCACTGCAAATTTATGCTGCTTGTCGTAGTAAGGGACGACCGCAGACGCAATCTGAAATCAGGTCTGCACGTCTACATTAACAGTTTACGCATGCAACGAGCGCTTGTACTGGAAAGTCTACTAAACTGATTCAACTATCTGGTGGTGTTGTTGGCCGCCGGCGCCTGGCTCGCAATCGAACTTTCCGAGGAGATTTGTGTAGCTTGGCTCAACCTCCGAGAGGAAGTTCATGTCACTGCTACTAACCTGACGCAGGATCTTCGGCTCACTGTCACTTGTGTCATCCTGGAACGATATTGAAATTTAGAATATCGATCAATATTTTATATTGAGCTTACATTATCTTCAGATTCGAAGTCTTCATTCTTTTCAGAACTTTTGCATTTCATTTTTTCCAGACTCGCTTCCAAATCGTGCAGCTTCATTTCAATCTGTTCGATGTCTTTAGTTGAGTCTACTGGTTTCGGCTAAAAATTGTATGTCTATTTTATATTTCAAACAATAAAACAAAGTCTTTACGTGTGATGTAAGCTTAATTCCATTGTAGCTACTCTTGCTATTTACACTTTTGTTATCGGTCTGTCGTCGCAGTGTTTTCAACTGTGCCTCCGATTGTCGAAGTCTGCGTAAAAGCTCGGACTTTTCGGCGGACATCTGTTGGATCTGCTGTTTGAACTGGTTCGAACATTGAATGGACTCCTCCAGCTTACCAAGGGTAGCTTGACGCGCAACCGTGTTGCTTCTAATTTCCCTCGTGGCTGCCTCGAGCCTTTTCAGTAGTACGTTCTTGTCGCGCAACACCTCCATCATTTTCTGCTTGATTATTCGATTGTCCTTTTCGGATTGTGCAAGGAATCGAGTCAAATTGCGTTTTTCTTCATTTAAACCCTCCAGTTTCTTATTTAGACTAACAACTTCTTTAGTAGCACTCATCAGTTCCATATTTTCATCTTTAGCTTTATATTTATGCATTGGACACGCGTCATATTTATTTTCATGTATGATTACAATGTTTTCAGTGTTATCATCTATGTTATCCATAAGCGCGGCTCGAATGGCCATATTTGTTGCAATTATTTCATTTGTAGTTTGCAAGCGTCTGAAATAAATTTTAAAGTTTACTACCAAGAGTAACAGATTAGGCATTTATTGATGACCTACTTCGGATAGTACTTTCTTGAGAGTACCGCCAATACAAGAATTATATTGGTAGTTAAAAATGTTAACGCGTATGTCCAGAAGGACCACTCAGTTTCAAGGTTTTCTCCAGTTTGGAACGAGTGCAAAAATTGAGCTTCTTTTTGCCCTTCTGCTACTTTATTTAGATCTGCAAATGGATACAATTTATTTTTAGCGTTTCACGAGGTATTTTTGTCACTTCAGACTCACCGCTTTTAGCGAACTCTCCGGGAACCAATATACTTCCGTTATAATAGTCGTATCCACTCATACAGACCCAAAACAAAATGCCAAGACAACACAATCTCTTCCAGTGAACACGCATCGTGCATTCTCACCTCAAACCACCAGATATAACACAACCACTTAATATAAACTATAAATATATAACGCGCAAATTGTAAAAGAGTAAATCTAAATTTAAACAGAACGCAAAAAAACTGTCAAACGATATTATACGCGTTTGTGTGTGGTAAATTTTGTTTCATTGACAAACTTGATTTTTCGTTTTTCACTTATTCTGAACTTCATTCATACCCCTTTTGCTATAGAATTCATAGTTATACTAGTCAATGAACTTCTCTTTATGAAAGTGTGCAAAGACGCATGAACGCTATGAAGTACATTCAAATTTCCATAAATTATTGTGATATTTTAACGTTTCTAAAGTGGGAGTACTTTAGTTCTATTGCAGTGGTAGCGGAAAAAGTACAACCAAAGAACTTTTGGTTTATTCATTGTGCACTTGCTTTTAACCGAAGAGAGCGTAGTAAATTTGCTACGCACGCGTACTATGCAGAACGTAAGTACTCGCCAGGTAGGTAAAGTAAATAAATGCACTCTTCTGTCGAGTACGCTGTTCTCTAGGACCCACCGATGAAGCGTTTCTTCAAAAGGTAAAGTTAACCTCGCGTCGGCTCCCCTCTGATTGTTTGTTCGTACAGAATTGTACGCACGTAAAAAGGCAGGAAGTGGTCTATTATTGACTATTTTGGAAATCATTCATACTCTATCTACAAACTGGGTATGAAGGTACTTGCCCATCGTCGATATAAGTCGAGAATATCTTCGATCAATTGTTCATTGAGTTTTTCGAAGTTTTAATGCACTTGGATGAGTTTCCAAACAGTTAGGGGAGAATTATACTTCAATATAAAAGAAACAAGTGCATGGGAGTTTTTTTACGTTTAGATTTGTTTATTATTTTACTTTTACATTTTCTATTCTTCATATATATTTTGCAAAAAAATAAATCATGTAAACATAACTATATTGTAAGCTATAGTGGAGTTAGAATGCATATTCTAATTTAAAGTTTGAATTTGAGAGAAAATGTCTTAGTAGTAGTGAGTGCGCATTGAGTTATGGACGATAACTGTGTCCTTGTGAATTCACGTTCTGCGTTCACAATACTTAAATTTAACTATTAAGTTTGCGCGAAGATGGCGTTAAAATGCACATTTTTATATTAAATTTTTCGAGGCCATGAGGTGTGAGATCTTTGTTTACAACATTGCGAACAGTGTGTGTGCACCTGATAACAGTGGTCGTGGAAGTCACGTACACAAAATATTGCTTAGTAGTGACTTTGTGTTTACTTTCAACTTGTGCAATTTTAATTAATTTATCAACGGTATTTTTATTATAAAAATAAAATTCTGATTTTCGTCATAAGAAAATTTCACCCGTGTGAAACCGACTTGCTCGTTATTTATAAAAATGCAGTTAGAGAAAATCCCGATGGTAGTGATACCTACATACATAGTAGACATATTGGCACCTCTTGAAGCGTTAAGATTCCAAGAACTTGCTTTGAAAGCGTCACAATTGTACATTTTCTTGCATGTGCCCTTGTGTGTGCATGTAGCTGAAACTCGGATTTTGGTCATTTTGGAGTTCATTGAAGTCGACGCATTTGAAAAGCGTGCCAGCGTGTAATTCAGCGAGAAGTCGTAGTGGACTGCAGCACCGCATGTATGCGTAGACCGCCCGCAAGTTACAAATAAATAAATCACACCATTTTATGACTTGGGATTTGAAAGGGCACTCGAATGACAAATAACTTTGTAGTTACTGCCGGGTGGTGGTTAGACCAAAGCTAAAAGTGCATTTTATGTCATATTTATTTCATATTGATTATTTTTTAGCAATCTAACTTCAATTGTAAGATATTTTGTTGTATAAAACACTTGAGTGTGAATATCAAGTTACTATTCACAAATTTCTAAGGTTACTTCCTGTCCACTTGTTATCTGACCGGTATGCCAAAATAAAGTATCAAATTCAAGACGACGCATTATGAAGCGTGAAACATGACAACATAATTTGCGGAAACGCGGCAATTATTAACTTACTACGTTCATTCATTTTCATCTACGAGTACGCCGTATTTGATATTAATACTTTAATACCCTAGACACAAAAAAGTATCGATCATCGAAGCATGATTCCATCAAGTCTCTTGAACAAACAACGCGATAGCGACGCGAGTACACCAAAAAGCATTCAAGCATGAAGTCATGAAACGTCATAAAGTGTAATATACCAGCAAAGAGCACCTCTTTTTGTGGCGTCCTTAAAACTCATTTGTTGTGCTTGGCTTCTGTGTTTTTCTGTCCATCCGCGGTGGGATTGAATTCGCTCAAATTACCCAAACCAGTTTCGTTTAGGTCTAACTTTAAGTGCACGCCGCGGCGTGCCTCGTGTATAAATAAATAATTGAATCTGAAGGCTGTCACGTGTATGATAATATTGAATAAAAATGAACAACATCCTCAGCGGGCGCGCGCGCGCAACTGTAACGGAAGGAGATGATTATTCGTAAAAAGCTCCATTCTTCTCTTCGGCGGTAGCGCCAAAAAAGTATTGCGTTCGGCACGATGAAGCGTGCACGCGGACGGTTAAAGCGTGGCGCTTTTTTCCACCTCTAACCTGAAGCAGGCAATTCTCAACGCAACATTACCTCAGAGTTCGTGTTGGGTACTCTTTACGCTATACATTTATTTTAATTTTAAAACGATGCACTTTTCTGAAATAAGAATAGTGTTTACGGTGCACTTATTCTGTTTGTAGTTTAGAGTCGCAGAACAGAAGTTTGCAAAGTAGAACTTTTAAACTCAAATAATTTGTTCGAAAATAATGCGGTAAGTTTTGTTGTACTTTTGTGTTTACGTTCGTGTGGTGATTATGTATTGTGCAAAACTGGGAAGGGATTTATTTTTCTGTATTTTGTGAACTACGGTTCAATTCTTTACCTTTTTCTGTCTATTCAATCACAAGATTAGATGGGATTACATGTGCCATTTTGCTCTGTGAAAAATATTTGGAACGCAACGGTTTGTCATTTAACCTTGCAAGTAATTACGCAATTTAAAAAAAAAATTATACATTTTTTTGATAAATTCTACAATTTTAATTTATTTAATTATTTGAAAAACTCCTCTTAAGAACTCATAATAACTTAACATCTCCAACAGACTAATAAGTCATCTCACGTTGTAATTAAAAGAATAAAGCGTCGCACCCTCATCTTGGATAATTTGCATAATAAGCCCAGCATAAGCTGCTAACGTCAGTGGCTGTGGCGACAGTTAGCACAGGATTCTCACATTCACTTGTTTCGCCAGTGTCGGCTTACACGGTCGTCGGCGAGATAAAGCTCACTTTCTTCGCTCCTTCCGAAGAATCTCCGCCTCCTTCCTGTTACATTATGCTAGCTTCGCGTCGGAACGGCGAATGGCCTCGTTTTTTAGCCTTTTTGTAAACATTACCGTGTCACGTATGCGCCGCTGCATTGTGTCCCATTAGACCAGGCTAGACGACAGTGCTAAGTTCGTTGGGATGTTGGAGATCTTTGTCCCTTTTTTTATTTCGCACCTAGCATCTCATCTAGAGCGGTCTAAAGAAGACGAGAAGATATGGCCCAAGAAATGAAGAAGGATGACGACGGCAGTGAATAATAAACGGGATAACGTCAAGCGTTATGGAAGACTTGTACGGAAGTCTAACGAATATCTATTATATTTTTACAATTATACGATCATGCCCTATATTTTATGTACCCTTTTTATTGTGATCGATTTTCATTTCAATTTCATGACCTAGTTTAAATTTAAAGCACTTTCTATTACTCCATCAACAATTTTCTGATATATGATTTCAGGAAACCGATTTTATGTTTTACAAATATACAAATACTTTGTACTTACATAGTCTTGCGTCTTAAGCAACGTTGGTGGGGATGTTTTGGTTGTACAGGTACTTCGAGGAGTTAGACACCTATTGTCGTCTCGTCATTGTATGATCTTCTTGCCGGTTCATCAATGACTGCCCGATGAATGAGCACATTTCCCGTCTGGTGGGGGAAATCGTTTATCTTCAAGCACCCGAAGCTTGGACCATTCAGAATCTGCAAGAAACTCACTCAAGAACCATCGACAGTGCAAACAAGTGTAGTGCAGCAAACAAGTTCCAAACAGTGAAAACTTTGGTATACAACAACATGAAGACTGAATGTAAAACCCCCATGTCCGAAACACGTAAAGTAAGTTGCAACACATTCGAAACTGAAGATGGAGCTTTTAGTCATGTAGCATCAATTAAAACTTTTCGTTTTCACTCTTCATGAAAAGCTCTCCGGTGTAATTTTCTCGCCATTTTTCAAACTTTCCAAGCCTTATTTTCACTTAGGAATTCTCAGGCGTGCATTATTAATAGAGTTATTACTTTCAGATTCGCAAACCGTTGATGGAGAAGAAACGCCGTGCCAGGATTAACGACAGTCTCGAAATGCTCAAACAAATTCTGCTTGATTCAAAAGCGAATGTTGGAGAATCTGCCGCAAGTCGAAAACGTAGAAATCAACGCACTGCTAAGTTAGAAAAAGCGGATATTCTCGAAATGACCGTGAATTACATCCAGAATCTAAAGACGCGTATTGATGGAGGTCGGGAAAAGATGCTGGGCGAGCACGAGACCAAGTCGGCAGGGAGGCGGCACGCCGCTGACGCTACTTATGATGGTCTACAAGTTGGTGTTACACTCGTGCCAACACGCTTGGGCAACGGGGAATTGGCGTTCGTCCTGCCCGGCAATCATGCATCGCCTGTCACCCAGCAGGACGATAACATGTGGAGGCCTTGGTGATATTTTTACGTTCAACTAATTTAAAGGCTGCCTTGTTTTAATTTGTTTACTAGTGGTTACGTTTTTGTATATAGATATGAAAATTGATAAAAGAAGCTATTCTGTGATATTAGGATTGATAGGTTTCTATGCAATAAATATTTGTAAGTAATAAATCAAAAAAAAATCCAATTATTTTTGGACATTTCCTTGAATACAGAAAAAAAGGACCAATTAGTCAACATCATCACAAAATATCATTAACAAGCACGCTTCGGCATTTTCAGTTCCTTGCAAACTACGTCGCGTGTACAGTGTGCAAGTGGGCGTCCTGCGAGCACGTGGCACAAATCAACGGGTAAACAACGTGTGCGCTCGGTATTACAACACCACTGATCCATCCATATGCCATGTCTACATGTACGTTGCATATTAACGCATATATATTGAATGTATGCATGTGTATGAATCGGAAAGCGGTTAAAACATTCGCGTGCTGCGCTGCGTATTACTCGTTGCTCGTTTCGCATCCGTGTGGACAGCTTGTGTAGCAGCAATGTATCGTCAATAATCGATTCTAATTTTAACCAAACCAAAGCGCACCGAACCGAACCGAACCAACAGCTAATAACACCAATATTTTTAACTGTGGACATTCGACTTTAATTCTCCTTTAATTGTATACAAACAAGTCATTAAGTGAAGAAACGTACAAAACAATGTAATCATGGTTCGTACATTATTAATATGCATCTTTATTGCGTCGGTATCACAAAAATATTCATTGGCTTTTAATAGCAATTAACAATATCGATTTGTAATATGTGTGTATTGGGCCACGTGCAATAAAAATCTTGCACACGTTGTAAATGAACTAAACCAAAAATAGTGTGCAGGATTCCGCTGGCACCGGTTTTATCGGAAAATTACTTTAACTTTTACATACTTTTGAGTCTAACTTCTATTTTCGCTCTTTCTCTTATAAACATGCTGAAATCATCGTTTACATCTCTATAAAAGTATCCAACAAAATCGCAAGTGAGCTAGTCGTATAAAAGTTCTCAGCACGAGCAAAAATTTCATTTTCATTCGTTCTGTTATGAATCATATACGAAATTCTTTGAATACACTATAATTTAATATAAATGACTGAAATAGTTAATAGTTAACACAGTGTCAAGGACAAGGATAAAACAATATTTTCAAGATGAAGTTTTTATCAAGTATATTGGGTAAGCTACAAAGCAGAATCATTCAATCAGAAAATATATCTGATGCAACAAACAATATCGGTGTCGATATGAATTAATGAAGTGAATAAAATTCAGGCAAAGCCCAAAATAACCAATTTGCATTTTTGTTCAGTTTTATTTTTGGCGTTTGATTGTATCATACTATTTCTATAAAATTATATTTAAACAATTAACTTTGAACATTTTTATTTTTTTATTCATAAATTTTTTCTAAATATTTTTAAATTGATAAGTTTAGTTATTTAGTTAATAATAGAAAATAATGTGATATAATGGTGATATAATCGACACTCGGTATATTATTGGACTAAAATCAGCAGACTAAACATGAGAGACAATACAAATTATTTGGCATATGCAATTATTTGTTTATTAGCAATCGTACGAGTGTGTACGCGTCCATATATTCAATACTCTGATTGATTTGAATTAGTATAATTACCGAATGAATTGCCGCCTATCGATTTGAATTTGTCGATCGTATATTTGGAGACTGTGTTTCACCCTCGATTGCAGTCGCCCGCCAGTCGCATTTCGCATCAACAGCGCGATCAATGCCATTATTATTTAATGCATTTCGCTCGTTGTTAAAATACTATACAACCAATTTATCGTAAGTGCAGCATTTATTACCCTATTGAATTATTTAGATATGCTTGTATAGAGCTTCACAATCAAAAAAATACTTGTGCCAAAAACTACCGCGGCGTACTAAAAATACCAAAATCAGCAGGGCAAACTTGACCGCCAAAATCAAAGGCACGCGTTGCAAACACTGCTATGAAAATAAAATTATCACATCATATAGACAGTGTTCACTTTCAACTCATTCGAAAGCAACGCACTTTTGTTTTCCGCGAGTGTGAATGGCGGGTGTAAAATATGGTAAACATTTATTCCACCGATTGAGGCCCTAGATTTTAGGGTGAAGTCAAAGGTAACACTCACTTTCTTGCATTATAGATAAGATGTCCAACAAGATGTACTTTTGGAATGAGAGCGCGGGTTCGCCTGGTGATGCCGGCGACGGGTTGAAGCAACAGGAGCAACCCACGTTCGTGCACAAGCAACAGGAGATACGCAAAGAGAAACGGTTGAGTTACGTAAGCGTGAGCGAGGATGGCAGCAGTTCTGGACCGGACAACGACAAAGTGAAGCTGGAGCGGGGCGGGTGGAACAACAAATTGGATTTCCTATTTTCCTGCATTAGCCTTTCCGTTGGCCTGGGCAATGTCTGGCGATTTCCGTATCTCTGCTACAAGAACGGCGGAGGTAATGCCATACTCAAATTAGTCAACTTTACGTGAATGGCACGCATAAAAAACGCTCAATAATTTATGTGACACGTGCAAAGTATCCTTGGCAGTGTGCGTTCATAATTCTATTTTAAACTTTCCGACCTTATGCACTCGTATTGTCTAGGTCGGGATAATTTATGATACAAAAACGTTTTTATTGCATTTTAGTTTAAAAATACCCAATACTAGTCTACCCAATAAAAGTTGACTTCGTAATCATTTTTTTACAGGAGCTTTTTTGGTCACGTATACAATTGCGATGATTTTCTGTGGCATTCCAATGTTTTATCAAGAAGTGGCAATTGGGCAGTATTTGGGTTCGGGCGGAATGACGTTTGTGGGTCAGCTGTGTCCTATCTTCAAAGGAGTTGGCTACGCAACGATGACCATTGTCTTCTTGTTGGACGTCTACTATTGTATTATCATCGCTTGGACCTTGTTTTACCTAATCAGCACATTCAGTATACTACCACATCTGCCATGGGCGCATTGTAGTAAGCTAATTATTTACAGATTTGCACTAGAGTTGTTGTTATTACATTAGTAAACCTTCAGTCTTTGCTGGGAAATGAGTTTAACTTTGCTCCAAGTTTCCGCATTTGCAAACTGTAGTACTCTGCAGAAATTAAACTTTTCCGACGGCGAGTTGAAACTTTAAAGTGTAATAGTGCTTATAAATTGAAAATTAGTCGACTCATGAGTTTGAATTTGCAGATAACTTCTGGAATACGCCAGCGTGCATAGAAAACGCCACTCAGCATCAAATCAATGCAACAATAAGCAAGAGAGTCGCATCGCCAGTTGAGGAATATTTCGAGTAAATTTCACCATTAACATTGTGACAGTTGGAGTATAATAATATTTGGGTTTTAGTCATGCTGTGCTTGGAATATCATCTGGAATAGAAGATATTGGAGGGATGCAGTGGTCTCTCTTTGTTTGTTTAATTGTCGGTTGGATATTAATTTACTCTATCATTCGCAAAGGTCTGCATCAGAGTGGAAAGGTATTAGTGGCGCTGCTAACTGTGCAATAACTGCAAAATTATTACCGAAATGGTAACACATGTTTTAATTTCGCAGATAATTTGGTTCACAGCGATATTTCCGTATGTTGTCTTGTTAATCCTCTTAGGACGCGCCGTGACACTGCAGGGAGCGTCGGCTGGATTAATGTATTACATAACACCGCGTTGGGAGGAACTTCTTAGTCCAATACCCTGGATGGATGGCGCGACGCAAATCTTCTTTGCGTACAGCATTGGTTGCGGAGCGTTACCTGCACTTGGGTCGTTCAACAAGTTTCACCACAACTGCTACAAGTAAGCAGATTATACAAAATATTGATTCTTGCCTATCCTGATGATTGAAATTGATTAACTTTCAGAGACGCGTTAATAACGTGCGTCATTAACACGCTCACCTCGCTGCTGGCGGGTTGCGTGACGTTTTCTATCCTGGGACACATTGCTGAGGAATATGGAGCCAATGTAGGGGATGTAGTGAAGAGCGGGCCTGGTTTGGTGTTTCTCACGTATCCCGAGGTGGTCCTCAAGCTCCCCGGCGCTGCCCTATGGGCCGGAATATTCTTCCTCATGCTGATCGTAAGCAGTCCTTTTGTGCGTTGCCGGAAAACGGTTTTAATTAAACCAAAACCCGCATCCTGAACGCAAACCATAAGTGTCGACATGTCGACTATTTGTCTAGCTGAAGTTGTAGCAGTTGGTAAATCGTTCCAGATGCTCGGGATCGACAGTGAATTCTGTTTGGTCGAGTCTTTCATAACCGGCGTCGTGGATAATTGGTCGGAGACTTTGAGACCGCACCGCGACAAGTTTACCGTCGTCATTTGCGTCGTTATGTTCCTGCTCGGCGTTCCTATGGTAACTCATGTAAGTATATACTAGGCCGACACTAAACTGAACCAGATCGGAATTCGCAACTGGCGAATTCTCCGGGTTGCGTTGAGTCGATGTTTAACACTTCACAGCATTGCGGTTTGCATTGAACGAGAACCATGCACGTGTTACAGGGTGGCATGTACATCTTCCAATTAATGGATTATTACTCAGCCAGCGGAATGTCATTGCTCTGGGTGTGCTTCTTCCAAACAGTAGCAATCTCGTGGATATTTGGTGTGGAGCAATTGGCAGATTGCATTGAGCAGATGATCGGAAGCAGGCCCAATAAATTCTGGACACTCTGCTGGAAGTACTGTGCACCGTGCGTGATGTTGGTAATAGAAACACCTCAATTGATAATCTTTATATCTTAATTAACAATAATTATTCCCGAATACAGGCAATATTTATATTTCAATGCGTCCAATTCAACCGCTTGTGTACGGTGGCGGGTACACGTACCCAAAGTGGGCCAACATAATTGGTTTCTGTTTGAGTTTAACTTCAATGGCGTGGGTTCCCATTTACGCTATTTATTATTGCTTAGCAGGACCGAGCAGTATAATTAAGGTAAATGCTTCAATGTGCCAAACGAGCGTCAAAGGAATTTATTTTCATTATTGTGAATTTTTTAGAATTTCAAAAATGGATTGAAGCCACAAATTAAACCACGTCGTATATCAATCAAAGATAAACAAATGGGAATGCTAATATCAGAAAGTACAGCATCCGGCTTTGGATTAGAACAAGAGGATGATTCCTATATTTCGCAAATGCCATAATACTTTTTGCATTTCGCTAAAGTATAAAGATATATTCCTAATACTTTAAACTTAATTTAAGTTCATAGTTGTAATATAGTTAGTTTATACAGTTCATTTATCAAAGTTGTATATAATTATTAACTATTTGTAAGGAAAACATGAGAGAAAAGATTTATATAAACTTAATAAAGTAACGATGTGATAAACAAAAACAGTAGTATCAATTGTCCGGTTCAGAGTGTTCAGTAATAGAAAACTGTAATTTTCTACGAATATTTCTAGCTGTTGTAGAAGTTGCATAACTTGAATTTCAAACATGTAACAAAATGAATACAAAAATGTATAACATGTTTGCCTAGTCCTTTTTGCTCACTTTTTTCCATTTTACTACGCTTACCATAGGTTTCATATAGGTCCGACCCAGGCCGGGCATCGCGTCATACACAGGGCTTGGATCGATAGATAAAATGTGTGTGCGCCCTCCGGAATGAAGCTTCACGAAAAGTAGAAATCGCACTGCTGGCCGGAATACAAAACACACCCGGCTGCCCGGCCGCCTTCGTGCAAAGTACGTTCAATCATTAAACGTGATCGGAATCCGTGGACGATGCTCACCAGTGTAAATGCTTAGCCGTCTTCAATTCGTCAGCGCCATCAGCACGTTATTCTTTCCGTCCGCTCCTGCGGCCTGTATCGTCCGTTCCTGTTTCCCCTGAGAGTGAGCACAATGTTCGCACAAAGTGGATGGGGATGTTGCATCTTCGATAATTTAATTTAATGAAATACTATCCCGCTGCTTTTGCGATTGTCTATATCGGAACAAAGTAATACCATAATAAAAATGGTTGCAAGTGAAGAAAAATTGTTTGCAGCATGAAAATAATAATGAAATACTACATTATCGCGTGCGCGTGTGTGAAGAAAATAATAAATTACATCTTTAGTGGTATCATTAATGTTTCTCTCTTGATAATTATCCAAATAGTCATTAGTGCACTTAGTCGGAATTGCACAAGTGAGATAAATTGGACCATTAAATTGGTATCGCGTTCGCTTGCAATCTTACGAATACTAAAGCTTCCAATAGAAGTTTCGCTCAATCTCTGGTCCTTGGATAAGAATACACACATACAATTCTAAAGTATTGGTAAACCCCTATCTAACTTCTATAATTTAATCTTGATGCAGGTCACGATCTGAAATTAACTTTACGTTCGTAGCTAACTTCGATTTCATGACCATTCAAACAACAAACTGGTTCGGACATACTGACACATAGAAAATCATTGATTCTACTTTGATTTAGCTTCATTTGCTATTTAATATTTTAAGTCTCCAAAGAATAGAAGAATCTCGAAAGAATAAAAACTATAAAAAGTCCATTTTATCCGTTATGTTTGAAGTCAATTTTTATTACATAGCAACAGAAGAATAGGAAACAGAGAGAAAAGCGAATATTCTTTACTTTCAGACGCTTTTTAGTTTTCCCAGTATTCGCGTTTTTGCGTATGGTCATAGTGCCCCCAGTGTGCACTTTGATGTTGCCAGAGTTCGAGAACGCGTCTAGTAGCCTCTACTACAGATAACCTTCGCGTCTGGGTTGTGAAAAGCACTATCAAAGAGAAAAAAATCATTGACTTAGCAATGAAAAGCGTGGGCCCTTTTCAACGGCCCCAATTAACTAAAAAGGATTTAATTCAATATACGACTATGTCTTCCAATAGAAAAAATACATTACTGGGTACAATCAGAATATTTTTTAGAATTTATTTTATTTCTGAAAAAATAGAAGACAAATGTTGTAGTAATTTACCACTTGTGGCGACAGCTTAGTTTTAACCACTCCCGCACCCTCTATTCTAAACGCCTCACACATACAAATATTTTCATGGAGTAGTAAAATAGAAGTAACTTGTTGAATTTATTTGCCCAAGGGAAACATAGCCGCTTTCCCTTCTAATCTAACAGCATCAACATCTCCGATACGCTTGCCTGATAAAAGCAATATCAACTGCTATTTTTGTTTTTATTTTGACTTTATTTCATTTGCCATTTTATTTTATATTATTCCATACAAAATGTATCCGAAAACTTTGTCATCCTTTAAAATATTGAGTGAAGAATAATGTACACAAACAATCTTCAATTAATGAGACCCTAGTTTAATTAAAACGAGAGGATAATCCAAAACCTAAATAACTTTTCAGTAAGTTGTGTTCGTATAAATTAAGAACTATATACAAAGTCAGCACAAAAGTTGTTCCAACTTGAACTAATTGCAAACCAAGATAATAACTATAATAAGTAGGTAACCATGTAACTTTAGAAATAGTTCATCCACTTCGCCATTCAGTTAATAACTACGCGTAACATGAATTCCAATCGCGTTCGTCTTACAAAACTCACGAAGCTTCAGCGCATAATCACGCAGCAGAATTGAGTTGAGCGTCGAGTTCGAGCGCTTCAAGTCGCTATCTTGTTACGTCGGCCATTGAAAATAAGGACAGGAGTTTAATTTGAGGTTCATTCCGCAAGAATGGTTCCGTCATAACTAGATCTTGATTTGTTGATAGTTATCATCACTGCAAACTGCAAACAGTTTAATTAAATTGAGTAAATTTATGACAGATTACAATTTTTCACTGTGTATAATAAACAAATGTATACTTTGTGTTCACAGCAAGTTGACACGCAACTTTTGTCGGTTTTGCCGGTTGAGGCATATAAATAAATATGACGCCCAGGGTAGTTCATAAAACAAACTTTAAATGAACATAAAGTAGCTCGTGCGTATTGTGGCGGCGGCTACGGTTGAGTTAGACGGCTAACTCGGCAGTTGAAGCACCGTTGAATAAGGAGCGACATAAATCAGTCGACAGCCCCCAGATGTGACAGCAGGACAAGCGAAATTGTTCTTAGTCTTTAGTCGTGAGTCGTACTTGGCCGATTGTTGCCGAACAAAAGTCGCATAAAAAGCATCCAGTGAATTCAAAGTAACTTGAAAACAAAGTGAGGTTATGCAACATACTCGTACAAGTAAGTTAATTATATGTAGGCATATCTAAATATTAACTGGATGAGTAGTTTAAAATCGAATTGGCAGGATGATTGCAGTGATGTGTGGCACAGTGCACTAACACACATTACTCCTGTTCAAATAGCTCTGGACGGTTAATGTTTACTCAATTCGGCGCACGTTCAATGTAGGTAAATTTAACTTTGTTTGCTTTTCGTCTTAGAGCCCTACATGAATGGAATGGCGAAGGGAACAAATAATTTTTTAGTTTTTTGTTTTTGTTCCGTCGTTTTCGTCAGGCTACCAATACCTCTACATGTTTACCTTGTGCGCTTGAAAGAAATATGAGCGTGGTATGTGGTCCACACAAGGCAGTGTTTTCGTGGTGACTGCCAAAGGCAGAAAAGGCCCTGCAGGTGAGAAATGGCAGTGTGTCTTTGCGGCGGCAGCGGCGTCGCATATGTGCACGAGTGGCGGTGTTTAGTATTGACCCAGTGGCAGTTTCCAGGCGTCGCCGTCGTCGCGCGGCCCAGCGCTGCAGTCGGTCTCCGCAGAACGCGCCAACCGATGCTCACGCAGTCAGTTTCGGTGAGCCGCACGCGCCGGAAATGTCCTTGCTAGGATTCAAGTGTATCGAATTTTGAAATCAACTGGTAAGTGCCAATTTACACCATATAAAAATTTATCATTTTTTTGCGTACTTTTATTATTAAAATATATATTATTTCATAATATATATATATATAAACATTGTTCATATTACTGGAGTATTAATGAGGTGTTAACTTGTTAAAGTAACTTCTGGGTAAATAGACCCTTTTAACTAATGAGCAACGCGCTAGCGCAACATAGAAAACTACGCGCTCTAATTAAAGAGGCGTTGAGCACTGTGCAAACAGAGAAGCAACAGCTTATCACATTCACTAGATACTTTTAGCTGCACAACAAGTTTTATGCCTTTTTTGGGTCGTGTTTCGATGCGGGAGAATAAAAAAGTTGAATATATCACATTTTTATTATTGTTTTATCTCCAGCGTCGTACTTGACAGAAGATATAGCCAAAAAAGATATAAAATATATTTATGTAAATGAAATGCGTATTTGCGCGTAAAAATGCCTTTCCGACGGTAAGCGATAACACGCACACATTTGCATCATTTTTTATTTAATATTTATGGTTTAATTATTTCTTTATTGCTAATTAAATATCCGTTTAATTATCTTCCTATACGCGATATTGTTACAGTGGTATCATTTGCACTACAGCGGGTGGTCGGTTTGTTGCGGGTTTGCAATAAACCCAAATTAGGTCCTGCCCACACCATCGTAGCTCACCGCCGGGTGAATTATACACAAGTTGGTAGCTTACACATACTGCAGCGAATTTATTAAGCATGTTGAAAGGAATTATTTGATTAAAAATTTAACAGTACTAGCCGCCAGCATGTTAATTCTGTATGCGCTGACGGTGAATTGTTGAAAATTCAATTTAAAACTAGAAATTAATTAAAAACAAGTCTTGTAGAGTTCCTAAAGCTTCCTAGTGTTTTCGGTAACAATAGCTGGAATATGTATTCACATCAGAGTGGGTTTTTAATCTTTGCTGAAAATAAAGATGCTAATCACATCGCAACGAATAAATAAACAAAGAACAAATTAACTTTGGTTTGCTTTCGTGACAATGGCGCGTTTGCATTTTGCAAATGTGTTTCATTACGGCAAAATTATTTACATTACATTCGGCGGATTGTGTGTGCACGACTGCATTGAATCAGCGCCACCGCCGTCGCCGCCTCCAGCGCAAAACGTTGAAAACGCGTACGAACCATGCGAGTAGTAGCTAACTAATTGCACACCCGTACGCGCCTCGTCAGCGAAGATTGCAGCGATGAGCGGGGGCGAGAGGGAAGGGTAGGCGCTGGAGAGCAGGCCGAGTAAACGCCACCCGCACACCAGTTGCATTTTACCGGACGGCAAATGTAATTATGCGCTCTGGGCACGTTCGCAAATAGGTTACGTGTGACGTGTCACAATCCCGGTCGAACGCAAAATCATACGTTGGGCCAGTGGAATTGCCCCACAGAAAAAGTGCACATGCGATGACGAGGAAAGGCCTTTGTACGCGCCGAATACACCCGGGAGATATTTCAATATCGAATGAAATACGCGGCGGTTCGGCAGATAAATGAAAATTTGCATTTTTCAATATTCCCTTGTCGTCGTATGCGGTTATATGTGATTTGGCAAAGTAAAAATTCTATAACGTGCATGTAGCGCCTCTTCTGGTTTGCTTTGTTGTCTATGCAGTGCATTGTGCAAGGATGCGCAGGTGAAACTACGCTTTCCAAAGAAAGAAAGCGATATCAATAAAATGCAGCAAAATGCAGCAGAATATTACTCCTGCTTTTGTTAAATATTTTATTTTCATATTCACAAAAATATAGAAATTTTCAATCAGTTTAAAACATTTTGAGTAAAACATGTAACTGTTATACGCTTATCTAAAGATATTTATACTAAATTATTTACTATGTCTTGAGTATATTTGCGAGGTGGTTACAGATGTTTGCAATTATGCTCTATTGATGTACCAATTGTACTCTGTCAAGTACCACTGCAATGCAGTAGAATACAGACAATAATCCCTCTACATCGATTGCGGTTTCAATTAAATATATTAAATTCTGATTATTTCAATTATATTTCATTTCATAAATAAAATTTACCATTAAATAAACAATCGTACAATTGCATTGTTTATTTTAATTTTCAATTAATTCTATCATAAACAGTACAATTTAAATTATATTTCATAAATTATATTTCAATCAGTTAATAACTATTTTTTCACCAAATCATTATTAGCTTTTATTTTTAGATACCTAATATAAATTAAATTATGTTTACTCTGAACGTATCGAGTAAACAAATGCAATTAATACCTATTAATAGAAGCATTGTTCTAATAAATAGTTTATTTGATTATTAGAAATGATTGATTATATCCGTCGATACAAAAAAGTTTGAAAATTTTATAAATCATAATGGATAGGAAGATAGCCCTAATCGATACTAAATAGTTTACTAAGTAGACCAAACAAACGTGAAATCAATAGCATCAAGTATTGTCATTTTACGAGCATCAAAATTGATACATTTAACTTTATATTCGACGTGACCTGCTTACGAAAAGTTAAGACAATAATGCCAACAGAAAACATGCGAATTATCGACTTTACTTTAATTTCACCTTTATTCGTCTTCCTGTTGAAGATTTCTTAAATGTGTACATCCATATTTAACAGTGTTGTACAAAAGCGTCGAATAATATTATTACGTATGTACCCCGAGGGCGAGATTCAAAACGTGAGCCCAAGTTAGCTGAATTAGGTCCTTTTCAGGACCAGAATCTAAAGCAGAAGCTAAAGGGCGAAAGAGTTAGATAGCTGCGCGGAATTCAACAATTTTGTTTTGTACTGCGTTTCATTGTATGTGAAGGGCTTTTCATGCGAGTAAAAAATATAATAAAAAACACAAAAGAAAATACATAAAGAATAAACATTCGGTTTTTTGCGTGGATCCTGTCATAAAAAGCCTGCGAACGATGCGAATTTAACGAGAATTTTCTTTCCGAAATATAATAAATATAGAATTTAAATCTGCTTATTAATTTCGAAATAATATTATCATATTTAGAGGATGAAGTTATAGTTAATACGCATATCCGTTTTCATAACTTTTCAGTGGTGCACTTAACACTATCTATGCCTAAGGACGTTGATAGTGATATTGTAGTGTTTGCCGTGGGGAAATATTTATTACACACACATGTGGAAGGTTGTCAAGAGGGTTAAAGACACCCGGGTGAAAATCATTATTTTCTCTGCCTCTGGTTTCAGCTGGTTTCAACTTTCGGTAAACACGGATATTATGATGATGCTGAATTTGCAACCGAGAACGAAGATACCGCAAATAAAATTTGCTATAAAATCATTTTTATGCATTGACAAATAAAAATATTAAAAAAACAACAGCAATAAATCATTGCAAACGAGCGTTCTGTCAGTTATTAATCGTATTAACCATGCTCAGAACAATAAACGTTTGAATAGAGTCTTTTTTGCTGTGTTTTTATTTCAAATTCCAAAACACAATTATTATTTATTCTAGTTGCAATAAAATATTGTTATTTTGTAAAATAACAGCGCATATCAGTTATGGTTAAACAATTTATAGCTAATATAATTCATAAATTTGTTTGTAACTTTATAAAAATATGTGATTTTTCAACAATGTTTTTAAAATTGTATTTCACACATTTCATATTCATAATTTAAAAAATTTAAAAACGATTTGAATTCATTGCTCTGTCCGCCCACGCGTTTCGCTGAATAAGTACCGCAATCTTTTTCCAATTCCCCGTGCAGTGCAGAAGAAAATTCGTTTTGTTTGAACGGGTCCCCTTATTGCTAGACTTGCTAGCTTCGAGCGCTTAGCTAAATATAATTAATATGCTAATTAAGATTCGCACGCAACGTAACGGAAGCAGACCGACCCGGACGAATGAATAAAAAATTAGGTCGGTTTGCATTTTTGGTGTAGAGCGCACTTTTTTAAAAGTTGTAACCATGCTCTCTCGCATTAAACGCTGGGCGGTTTAACACGTTTGCAGGGAATTTCAGTGAATATATCATATGTGTATGTGTAAAGTTTGTGAGTGTTAGTTGGCTGGGTAGTTGATATCAATAGTAATTAAAAATGCTTAACTACCAGCTAGTTACGAGAACACGGCTTCTTTTTAAACACAAATCTGCATACATAAATGAAATTTACTCGTGACATCGTGATGTCGTGTTGCATGCAAGTTTTATTCCATTGGACAAATAGGAAAATG